CTCTTCAAGGATAGAGTATATGTCCCTCCAGACGAAGAACTCTACCGAGACATAGTCAAACTCTACCACGAACCAGCAGTAATGGGCCACCCAGGCATTCAGAAGACATTCGACCTAGTCCGAAGAGAATATATATGGAACGGAATGCGAAACTTTATCACACAATACGTCCGAGGATGCTCCAAATGCCAGACACTCAAGGTTAACACACACCCAACGAAACCTGGCCTAATCCCCATCGCGCATAGTGGCAACACACGACCATTCGGAGTAATCACCACGGACTACATCACCGATCTCCCACCCTCAAACGGATTCGACGCAGTACAAGTGATGTCGACCATGATGTCACCAAAATGGCGATCTTCGCACCATGCACGAAAACCATTACAGCAATGGGAGCATCCAAACTCCTGTGGGAACAAGTCTTCAGCCGTTTCGGACTCCCCGACAAAATCATATCAGACCGGGGTCCACAATTCGCAGCAGAAGCGTTCAGAGAATTACACAAGGCCATGGGAGTCGAAACAACGATGAGCACGGCTTATCACCCACAAACGGATGGACAGACAGAACGAGTCAACCAAGAACTTGATCTAGCACTACGAATCTACGCTGCGAACGACCCAGATCACTGGGCTGACCGCCTCAAGGAATTCGAGTTCGCACACAATCAACGTACTCATTCAGTAACTGGAAAGTCGCCGTTTGAACTACTCTATGGATACCAGCCAAACATAGTAGGAACGGTCCGCAGCAACCTCAAACATCCTAGCACGCAGGAACGGCTAAAACAGCTCAAGGCCGATCAAGAAAATACAATCGCCGCGCACAATCAGGCCGCCGCAGCAATGGCACGACGGTCGCCAGCACGCCCAATCACGTTCAAGAAGGGTGACAAGGTGCTGTTAGAAGCAACAAATCTCCGGCTTCCATACCCCTATCGAAAACTAGCGCCAAAACGACTCGGCCCGTTCTCTATCTCCGAAGTCATGGGGCCAGTCACATTCAAACTTGTGCTTCCACGCAGTTGGAAAATACACCCCGTGTTCCATGCCACGCTGCTCACACCATATCGTACGACAAAGGAACACGGCCCAGACTTGCCCAGACCACCACCTGACCTCATAGAAGGCCAAGAAGAACACGAAGTTGAGGCAATTCTCAAGCACCAACTGCGGGGAAGCAGATCGAAGCCGAAGCTCTATTATCTCGTCGCATGGAAGGGCTGGGAACCAGCAGAAAACTCATGGGAACCAGAACACCACCTGACCAACGCGTCAGACGTCCTCCATGCATATAAGAAGAAGCATCGACTATGAGCCAACCCCCATCCCCCACTCACCACATCTAACTCACTCTCACAACTCGTACCACTGCAACAATGCCTCGCACTCGTAACCCCACTCCCAACCCGCGCTCCACCCGCTCACGGGCAACCCCCACTACCTCAACCACTGGGCGTACCGTCCCCCAGTTCATCTCCGACAGGCCTCTCATCTCGTATCAGCACCTCCCGGTCACGTTCCTTCGCAACGACGCCCCAGCCCCTTTCGGCCTTCGCATCGGATGGGTTATCGCACACCCCGACCTCCACGACCAAGTACGCGTACGTACCGAACACATCCCAGGGGCCACTATGCCATCGAGACCTACCGGACCTTCGCCGACGCCTACCAGACTCACCAGGAGGCCAACACGTTCGTACACCGGGCGGCCGGACCAGCGCAGGTCAAAGAGAACGCGCAACGAGCTGCATGCGCCACCATGCACCTCCTCATCCGAGGGGCTGAACTCACGGTCCGCCAACTCGCCACTTATCAGGTTGGACGTGCCCTCGCCGATCTTCTCCCCCGCCGCAAGCAGCACACGGACTACACACGGCACGGATACGCATCACCTACTCCCAACGAAGCCGAACGCAACAGGGCCGCGTGGGAAGAGGAAGAGTACCGGACACGCGCCGTCGCAGGAGGATGGATGGGCATGGAAAGCTCGGCCGTAGAATGGGGATCACCGGAGGAGGAGGAAGACAGCAACGAGGAACCCACCACCCCCACACCAGGCCTTACCCTTTCGGACATGATCGCCGCCCTCGGACCTCGTGGGTCCCATACCCCACCTCCCCGTCCCCTCACCCCGACGCCACCAATGCCATCCCCGGACGCACGAGAAGTTCACTACTACGCGGACGACGAAGTGCACTACGACCTCGGCATTCCGGTCCAGGCCCCACCCCCGTACAACGACGACGAAGACATGGGCAACGACGCGGACTCGGAGAGAGAAGACGCCTCCTCCAGCGACCACGACAACGAGAACGATGCCCCGCGCATGGAACTACTGCGCGCCTACAACCCCGTCGCCCAACCGTTCCGACTCGAGGGAGCCACGGATCGCTACGCCCTCCGGGGTTACCTCTCCGCAAATCACTTCATTGGGGTGTACGCTCGCGACTGGCCGGCGCGCTACTCGCCCGAGAACATTGAGCTGAGGATCGCTGCCGCCCTCCCCTACGTCGCCCCGGCATTCGTCTCAGCCTGGAACTCCATGTCCTCAACGTCGTGGCACAGTGGGACAACGCCCCTTGCGAAGAAGTCGTCGACGACCGCGTAATCGACGCAGGGTACTGGCGGCGATTCCTCACCTACTACAGCCAGTACCGACGGACCGGGATCCCTCTTCACGGCGAACCCGAAATGTCGCTCGAGGAGACGGTCCACAAGTTATCGTCAACTTGATCGAACGACTCCGCCAGATCAGTTACCGCCCTCGCGAAGACCCCGACCTCGACGCCGACGACATCTTCGGGAACTAAGGGTTGGGACAACCCTCACGGGAGAGGGAGCTGATGTTACGGACACCATGCATACGCCTACCCCTTTTTGCTTTTACCCCTCTCATCTCCGTCACGGACTATGCCTCGCGCCCTCAGGGGCTACTGTAATACCACCCCTACCCCCGCCTCATGCTGCTGCGCAGCCTTGCCTCGGACATGCACACGCCTCATGGCAACCTCGCGGTACCATACCCCCTCACACGCCGTTACCATGATCCGTGTTGACTCGTATTGACTCGTTGTACATGCATGGTTACCTCACCTCTCGCGCACCGTGGCCTCAAGGCCTTTGTACTTATAAGAGGGACGATGCAGCATAGCGCTCCCCATCTTTCGACCTCCTGTATAGCTACGTCCTCTGGCCTAGTGCCAATCTACTCTCTTGCTTGCCTTCTACCTCGCTCGCTCGCCAGTCCACTCGATAGTGCACTGTGCTTACTCGCGTCAGCATCAAGAGAACTCTCACGGACATAACCACTCGGCGTCTAGGCCTTGTTCCCGACGGAACTCGGACTTCGACGTAACAGATGCGCTCAGTCTTACCGCTGAGACTAATGCTCTGACGGCTCAGGTACGTTGCACTCTGACTGCTCCCTTGACGCTTCTCTCAGCTGACCGACCACAACTTTGCAGATGTTTGCTAACATTGGACCGTTGCGCGACGATCAGCCTACAATCGACGCGCTTACTGAGTATCTTGATGCACCTGCCAAGGCCAGCGTGAACGACCCGCTGGAGTACTGGAACGTTTCACTGAGCACTGGCACTGCTGAAGAGCGAGCACTCGCTCGGATGGCGCTTGACTACCTCGGCTCTCCTGGTGTGTATATACTATATACTCGTCCCATTTTCTTTTCACGGTGTGACTTACAATGTGCGGACAACCCTCAGGGACTTCTACGGATGTGGAGCGCGCATTTTATGAGGTCGACTGACTGTGTCGCGTCTGCGCCGGTCTCTTGGCAACAACTCTGTGCGTGCAAACGTCATCCTCGGGTCCTGGTCCCAGGTCCCAGGCCTCGTCAACGAGAAGGAAGTCATCGCATTCCTCAAGGACAAGAAAGGAACCCGGGAGGCTCGTTCTGCGAAGACGGAGCGTCGACTTTGATTGTAGAGTGATTGTTGTACCTTTTACTGCTGTAGTATGCATTTTCCATGTTCCCTCCTCCCTGCCTACATGGTGTGCTGCCGATCATTGTGCACGGATATCCGTCAGATTGGCGGATATCTGTGTATACCCGTCTCTCACGGCTCTACCCACGGGTGGATCATATCTGAATATCCCCGATCTGGCGAATATCCGTCTAAACCCGTGCTTCACGGATCAACCCACGGATGTATCCGTCATCCGCGGGTCCAGCTCTCACGGATCCGGATCGTACATGCACGGATCATGGGTGGCTCCAGATAAGGGCTTCAGATCACGCATGATCCGCGGGTACGGATCTGATCATCCGCGGGTAGAGCCGCGAACAGCCTTAGCGAAGGGGAGGGACGCGTGGCGTGCATTACAGCCACGCGATGATGCACGCCACGTGTCCTTGCCGCCCACCGAGGTGCGTCTCCACGGGCACGCATCATGGATCACGGATGCATCCGCACCCTGCCGAAAGGCTGTCGCAACAGATGCTCCTGGCGATTAGCAGCTGCTCAGATGGCAGGTGTGTTCTCATCAGGAAAACCCCAAAATGCTAATTAGGACTAATGGCACTAATTTAGTTGATTAGTAGCCATTAGCCCGGATTATCTGTTAGCAGCTAATTAGATCGGACCCCTGCTAATTACGACCATTAGACAGATTAGTTCAACAATTAGCCATGTGTTACTTCGGGCATTTGGGCATAGGGCAGGGGATTAGACACACAGATAGAGGGGCTTTAGTGATGATTATCACAATTAGACAAACAGTTAGGGAGACATTAGAGGTGGTAATCGCACAACTAGTCATGCAGTTAGAGGGTTCAAAGCAAATATATTGAAGCGTAGTAATACAAATGCTATACTAGGCTGACGCGGACGAGACGTGAGCAATACGGGTGTTGACGTGTGGGCGACACGTGGGCGTACGCAGGTGATGTGCAGGTAAATGAAGGCAATGCGGCAATGCGGGGGTGAGACACAGCTGATGTGGGAGACAGGGTTGGGGTGATGTGGTGGCGAGATGGCTAAGGTGGATGACGTGGGCGCGATGCGGGCAAGATGGGTGATGCGGGAGAGGCGCGAACGATGCGTGCGAGGTAGGCAAGGTGGCCGCAGGTGGGAGGGTGATATGGGTGCATGACGCGGGTGAGCGACTTGGACGTGGGCAAGATGCACGAAGTGGGTGAGACGGGGGAGGGCAATATGTATGACACGGACATTGACACGAGGGTGATGCAGACGACGTGGGGCGAGATGTGACGAACACGGGCGATGCGGGTGACATGAGTGATGGGAAGGTGGGCGAGATGGGTGAGGTGAGTGAGCAAGGTGGGCAAAGTCGCGAGGCGGGTGAAGTGGATGAGGGTGACACAGAGGTGGGTGACGTAGGGGCGACTAGGCGAGGCCAAAGCAGGCGAGGGCGAGACCGGCAAGTGCATCACGAAATGCGCGCAAGATAGAATGGTCACGATCTCCAAAGCGCCTGTTGATCACGGCGTGAACTGTTTTCGTCATCGATATAACACATGATCATGGTTCGTCTGGTAGACGAAATGTGATCAACTATTGTCTTGAGATGAAAATTTTCGATAATTTTACAATCTGCCTGATAAATACCAGATCTGTGAATGTGCAAATGATCGTGGGTTCACTGAGTGCAGAACAGTAGATGATCAGTTGCTGATCAAGCCCCAGTGGCTGGGAAGTACCGAAACCCCTTACTTGCAAAGTACTTAGACATAAGTAGTTACTCACTAGCCCCAGTCACACCAGAGGATATGGTTGAAAGCAGACCCATCGATTAACAGAGAAGCAGCTATGTACATGCAAAGGGACAGTTTCACAAGGAATAGCAATACAGACACCCAGTGCAAGGTGGCAACTTAACCCAGAGACAAGGAAGGATGAGAGGCGGATGAGAACTCGCATTCGTGTGGCGGTGTGTCGATCGGTTGTGAGGCATACGCGTTCGCGTGCATACCGTAGTACCAGGAGGGCGAGAAGATGGCGGACGCACTGACCATTGCGGCCGTCACGTCAGCGAAGCAGCTCCACTTCAAGGGCGAGGAGACGTACCAGCAGAGCGGGATCTTAGCCTACGTGGTCACGGTGGTGTGCAACGGTGCGTCTTCTGCAGCAAGCCGCTCGCCGTCATCACTGCTTGCGGCACGTTGGGTGAGCACTTGGACGCCGAACTTGTCTGCACAGTGCGCGACGTGCTGTGGGTTGAAGCTGCACTTCGTCGCAACGGACATGGCGTGGACGAGGCGGCCGCCAGTGCCCTGTGCGAGCACCCATCACACGCCGTGCTTGTACGACAAGGTGCCCTTCGCGTGGCTGTCAAGCATCTGGTCAAGTCTCGGGCCGTGTGTGTGGTGTTGAGCGTGTCGATGCCGCGTAGTTCCAGCGAGAGTGCAAGTTGGAGAGGAGCTGTTCAGAATGACAAGCGCCTGCTCGCGCGATATCTAGATGTGACGCGGCGGACAGGCCTGCGCGCTTAGTAGACAGCCCCTCTCTCTCCTTCCTCTCATGTCAATGCCTGCTTGTTTGCTCATTCTATACACCAATAAATGCACTTCTTATCCTCGCACCCAACGAAATGCCAGGCATGTTCGGGGGTAAGGCTGTTTGAGGGTCCGGCTCACTTCGCGGGTAGAGCTGCGATGATCCGGAGCCGTGAGCCGGGGATCATGAGCCGGGTGGCTCCAGCTCCTAGCGGCTCCGGCTCCCAGCGGCTCCGGATCAAGGCGGCTGAAAACTGGCGGATCTGCGGCTCTATCCGCGGGTTATCCGCAGATTCTTGAGCAATAGCTTATATGTGTGTGTACATATCACAAAAGTTGTATCATTCGAAAGCGAATTGAAGCACCTTTCTAACGGTGTGATTTGTGTGTGATTTGGTGTGAATGTGACTAAGATATTGGCACATTACTATCCCCTTTCACTTCGAGCGCATTTGGCGCCAGCGTCCGGTGTCTGCCCGCGGGAGTCCGTCTCGATCGGGCAATGTTCGGATTCGAACACGCGCGTCTTGCATCCTCTCCAGCCCCCCATGCGCTCCCCCTGCTCCTCCGTTTATTCTCCACCTACGCAGCTTCATCGTGCGCGTGCGCACGGCTGTTCTCAAGCCCAGGAGTGTCGTCGTGGGGTCGCGGTGAGCTCCCACGGCCCCGATCTTCTCTGGTGAGTTCTCCCCACTCCCTCTGCTCCCCGCGCGTCCTTGCCCATCTCGCGCTCGCGCTCACGCTCGTCCGCGTTGCTCCCATCCGCGTTGCGCTCGCCCACCTCACCCTGTCCGCCTCCGCGTCGTCCTCAGCGCCACACGTCTCCCGCATCCCACATCTCGCTCGCGTTGCGCGTCTCGCCCGCGTCGCCCCCACCGTCGCCCGTGTAGCCTACGTCCGCCACCTGCCCTGCGTCGCCTGACCCTCCGTCTACACGGCATCATCGCGCTCGCGCGCTCAATCGTTCCGTGGGGTCGCTGTGAGCTCCCACGGCCCCAATTTCCTTTGGTGAGCCCTCCACGCCCTCTCCTGCGTCGCCTCCCCCTCCCCCACGCTGGCAACCCCTCTCCCGGACGACACTCGTCCTTGCCCTTCCGCCCCGCCCTCTCACCTTGGTCTCGCCCTTGTCGTCCCCTCCACGTCCGCGGCTCTGGCCCTCAGTCTCGCGTTCTCCGCCCTTCCCCTCCACGCGCCCTCCGCATCCGTGTTCTTTCCGCCCGCGCCCTCGCGCCCTCACCCTGTGGCTCCCACCTCGCCGTCTCCGCCTCGCCTGCCTCGCCTGCCTGCTTTGCATGCCCGCGCCGCCCATGTCGCCCGCGTCGCCACCTCGTCCGCGCTGCACTTATCTCCCCCGCGTGGCCTTCGTCTTCCCGACGTCTCCCTCGTCTCCTCCGCGTTGCCTACACGCCCACCACGCTCTCGCCCGCGTCGTCCGCGTGTCACGCCCTTGTCACCCACCTTGCCCACGCCCTTGCCCGTCTCGCGCTTGTGTTCATCCGCGTCGCACTCTCCGGTGCACCCTCTCCGCCCTGCCGCGTCGCCTTCACCCGTCATGCTCGCGCGTCACCTCGTCGTCTATCCCCTAGGTGGTCACCCGTCTCGCCCTCCTCGTGTCCTCTGCCCGCGCCCTGCCCATGCCCTCGCGTTTTCCGACGTCTGCTACCGCGCCCTCCGACCTCTCCTTTGCGCCCTCCATCCCCACGTCCTTGTCCGTTCTTCGCATCATCTGCCCTCCACGTTGTCCGCCCTGGCCTCCTTCACCCCCGTCCACACCTGCGGCGCCTGCATCTCCCGCGTGCCTATGCCTCACCCACGTCGCCCTCGTCCGCCTCACCCACCCCTTGCCCGTCTCGCCCTCGCACCATCTCGCACCCTTGCGTCCTCACCATGTGGTTCCCACGTCGCCGTCTCCGTCTCGCCCTTGCCGGCCTCGCCCGCGCTGAGCTCGCGTCTCGCCATTCTCGTCCGCGATGTCCAAGCCTTCCCCGCCTCGCCCTTGTCCGCGACGCCTGTCCCCGCGTCATTACCCGCCTTACGCCCTGGTTGCGCCTACGTCGTCCTCCGCACCTCTGCCTTGCACCCCCATCTCCCTCCTGCGCCCACGTTAGGGCCCTCGCCCGTGCGCCTCGCGTCTGCGTCACCATCACTCGTCCTCGTCCGTCTCCCCCATGTCCCAGTAGTACCTTTGTTAATGAAATAAATCCATATATTTTCTCTATCACTATATCTTATGTGTGGATCGGCGGGTCTACCCGCGAATGAGCCGGAGCCGGAGCCGCGGCTCCAGCTCTTCCAGCGGATCTGAGCCGTGCGGATCTGGATCAAGCCCCCGGATGTCACATGATCCGTGGGTTCGGATCCGGATCATCCGTGGGTAGATCCGCAAACAGCCTTAGATGCCGTACAGCGGCCGGTGAACGTGCTCGGACGTCGCCTCCACCGAGAGCGTCTTGCCCACTTCAGGAGGGCCGAAGAGGTTGAACGCGAGGCCGCGGCCCTCGCCTTCGATGAATTCATCAAAGCCCGTGTTCACATTGTGGGCGTCGACGAGGGAATGAGTACAGGCAAAGGAGTAAAGCGAACAAAAGGGAAACATACTGCGAAGGAGCCAGATCTGTTGTAGGTGACGGCCCAGCCCCGTCACGACCACGCACGAGGGGGAGACCGTGCACAAGGGCTGCAGCACAAAGAAGGCGCAGACAATGTTTGCATGGCATCGCGGCGGGCGCAGACGGCGGGCGGGCGATGTGTGACGCGGCCACAATGGCCACGCGACACGGCTGGCCAAAATGAGCATTGTTGGGACAGGCTCGTTGTAGGGACGGGGTCGATGGCACGGCCAGGGCCTGGGGAGGTGGTGGGCAAAACGGGGAGCGCAGGAGAGCAGAACGGGGGACTCACCAAGACAAAGGGGCCGCAACAGCTCATTGAGGAAACAGCGGGTAAGGGGCGTGTTCGTGTGGTCCTCGAAGATGCGCCAAGAGGAAAAGACGGGAGGATGGGGAGGACGGGGAGGACGGGGAGGACGGGGAGGACGGGGAGGACGGGGAGGACGGTGAGGACAGTGATGCTAGCAGTGAGCACAGAGTCCGACTCGCTCGAAGGACACACTGGCAGCGGCGGACGCGTGGGAACCGACGCGCGTTGTGCGCCACCCCCCACGTCACCCACCTCTCCCGTCTCGCCTGCACCCCACACTTTGCCCGTACTCGTCTCTGTCACCCATCCGGCCCGTCTCATCCCCCTCGTCCGTCTCGCCTGTATCGCCCACCTCTCTCGCGTCACCCATCTCGCGTGCGCCTTGCACCTCGCTCGTCTCGCTCTTCTCGCTTGTCTCACCCCTGTCTCGCACTTCGCCTGCTTCGTCCACCTCGCCCGTCTCACCCACGCCACCTCCACGTCGCCGCCTCGTCCGTCTCGCCCGCGACTTGCACCTCGCCTTGCCTGCCTAGCCCGTCTCACCCACCTCGTCCGTCTCACTTGTGTCGCCCACCTCGCCTGTCTTGCACCCGTACGTCCCACCTCGCCTGCGTCACCCATTTCGCGCGGGCCTCGAACCTCGCTTGTCTCGCTCGTCTCTCCCCCATCTCGCACTTCGCCTGCTTCGTCGGTCTCGTTCGCCTCGCCCATCTTACCCATCTCGCCCACTTCGCCCGTGTCACCCACGTCCGTCGCCACCTCCGTGTCACCCGCGTTTTGCCCCTGCGTCGCTGTGTGACCTGCCTCTTTCGCCCACTGGCTCTCGCGGCCCTGCACCGCGTTGACCCCCACCTGCGTCACCCACCCTGCCAGTGTCTCAGTCCAGTGTCGCCGGCATCACCCCCATTGTCGCCCCCATATTGCCCCCTCATCTTTGTTGCCCATTCCCTGTGTTGCCCACACGGCCCCCTATCTCATCCTTTCAGTGTTACTCTAATTAGTTGCATTATACGTGTGCGGTTCAAATTAGTGACATGTGAGATCAAATATGAGTGAATTAGTGAGAGAGCCGCTAGGATTACCCAGAATAGATTGGCATCTCATGGATGGCCTCTGTAGTACCTTTGGTGGTACTCTAGTTAGTTACAATATATCTGTGTGAGGTTCAAATTAGTGACATGGGAGATCAGATACAAGAGAATTACATCAATTAGTGAGGGAGCTGCTAGAATTACTGAGAATAGGTGATCCACAACACTGCTAGTACCAAACTATCACACATTAGTCACAATTAGATGGGCCAAATCTGTTAGCCCGATTAGATGTTCCATTAGGACTAATTTACTGCTGTTAGTCCTAATTAGTGTTTTGGGGTTTTCCTGATGCTACATATTCTCACCCTATTCGCCCTTCCTCATGCAGTACTAGGTCTCGTGAATGGCGCAACCGGAGTTGTCGAAGACATTGTATGGCCGAGACCAGGTGCGATGCATTCAGATATTCCCCTTGCAGTCCTCGTGTCTTGCCCCACATATACCGGCCCTAGGGGCCCTACGCTCTGGTGCATCGAGCCCAGGCCGAGTTATCTGGAGGGTATCCCGGTTGTTCCCATCACCAGTATAAAGGCGACATGGGAAGCGCATGGCAAGACCCTCGGGCGCACTCAACTTCCCCTCCGTCTTGCTTGGGCAGTCACCGTTCACAAATCCCAAGGACTAACCATTGCCAAGGCTCGCATCGGACTAGGGAAAGCTGAATTCTGTGCAGGTCTTACTTTTGTTGTGCTATCAAGAGTCAAGACTCTCGACAGTTTCATTCTACTCAATGAAGTAAACTTCAACCGCGTCAAGAAGCTCGGAGGAAAGCTTCTGACTGCCCGCTTGGACAATTTACGTTGTAGATACCTGCTGAATAGTACTTAATGCATCCCATACCATTGCTCACACCGGACGATGCGTGAAATTGAAGCTGGCACGATGTGTAGTTCCCCCGCTGCTATGATTGCGCAGCGAGCTATGTCGTGTCCCACGAAGGCTAGTAATAATCTTCCCTCTTCTCAATGCGGCCAGCCTAGCGAGCATGATGGGGCCGATTACAAATCCCTCGCGATGTGACGATGTGTCACGAATACTGCTTGGGAGACGGGTCCCCCAGCGACAGAACCACTGGAACCTCGACAACCTCGACAGCCCTTTCATGACGATTTCAAGCGGGACTACTGAGGAGCCTCCGCCATGGCGGGTGACACCTGTTTCCAGCTGGGGACTGGATACCACACGGCGTCACAAGGCTCTGTCGCATCGGCCAGGTGGATTCGACCTGCGCGGTGGTGGCGGGGGCTGGCGATGGGATGATCGGGGCGATCGCTCGACGCGTTTCGCGCGGGACGTTCGAGGCGGTCGCGGTGGGGACGGGCGGGACACGGCGGGGGGGCGCAGGCACGGGTTGGGGCCACCGCACGGTCTCGGAGGCAGGGCCGGCATCCGGGGGACGCGTACTTTATGCCCGGGCGCGGGCTCGAGGTCGCCGCCGCCCTTTGCTCGACGATGGCTCTCCCCCGCCCGGTCGAGTCGCGCGACTTCCCCGCCCGCGCCGTTCCCCGCCACGGCACCTCGCTCCCCGCGTCCCCTGCGCCTGTCCCCGCCCGCGCTGGCCCCGCGCCTCGCCCGTCTGCGGTCGTTCGGGTGCGTTTGAGCTCGTGAGCGCCATCGGGGGCCCGTGGACTAACTTGTGTCCTGCAGGTTGCGAATCTGCGCGCGACGCCAAACGATCTGCTCTGGAAGCTGTTCAGCCACGCCGCCAGCCAGGTGCGCTCCAGTGCTCTCCTCGGATTCCAGCGCACTCACCCGCCCGCAGATAAACCTCTCCCCGCCCGCGCCCCTCCACGACCCCCACGACCCCGCCCGCTCCTCCGCCCGAGCGATGTACGCCGTCTTTGCGTCCGCCCACGACGTGCGTCTCGTCCCCCCGCGCGCACCGCAGCCACTGACGACCTTGCAGGCCCGCGCGGCGCTCTCGCTCTCGTGCGACCTCTTCAACGTCTCCCCCGCCGCCGACTCGGATTTCGCGGTGCTGCCCGGCCTCCGCCGTCTGCACTCGGAGCCCGTCGTACGTCCCCCCGCGCTCCATCTTTATCCCGCCCTCAAAATTTCCCCCTCCAGGACTTTGAGATCACCCGGTCCCAGTCCCACCTCCCCCACCCTTACCCGCCCGCGATCCGCGCCCCGCTCCCGCTGCACGCCCCGCGCCCGCTCCCTGTCGGCCTCGCCGACGGCGCGCTCGACGGCCCCGCCTACACGCTCTCGAGCAACCCGCCGAACCCGAGGACGAGCTTCCGGGCGGGAGACTGGATGTACGTTCTCCCGCCTCCCCTCCATTTCCCTCTCCGCCCTGACCTGCATGCGCCCCGCCCAGGTGCCCCGCCTCCCACTGCGGCGCACACAACTTCCAGTAAGCCCTTCCCCTCGCGTTTCCGATTCCTGCGCTAACCCGTCTCTCGCAGGCGGAACACGACGTGCATCGCGTGCGGCCGAGGCGCACCGGTGCGCCCGCCCCCCCCGCATGGCGGACGCGCTCGGCTCGCCGCCGCTGGCGTATTCGCCCCGTTTCAACCCCCGTCTCCACTACTCGACGCAGAGCGCGCCCCAGTCGCCGCCCGGGGGACAGCTGCCGGCGACCGCGCGGGCGCTCGCGGCGGCGCAGGCGCAGATGCCGTCGAAGCCGCCGCCGCCGCAGTACCCGCCGCTGACGCCGTCGGGGCGTGCGCTGAGCGGGGGCGGGCGGGTGCAGAACGTGTCGCGGGACCCGCTCGCGCCGTGCGTGATGTACTGGCCGGACAACGAGCCGCTGCCGGAGCCGTGCCAGATCCGGCCCGTCGACTGTGGGCTGCTGACGGTGAGTGTCGGGCTCTGGTCCCCGCCGCGCTGCGCTCACCCGCTGCCCGCAGCACCCGCCGATCGTGAACACGGGCAACAAGGGCGCCGCCGAAAAGCAGCCCGGCGACTGGGTCTGCGGGAAGTGCAGCTACCACAACTGGCGCAGGCGCAAGGTCTGCCAGACGTGCTTCCCCTGTCAGTCCTTTGCCCTCCACCGCCCCTTCTCCTCCCTGATCGCCCCCCACGTGCACAGACGCAGAGGGCAACGGCGACTCGATCTCCGCCGCCGTCCAGGCCGAGCGCATCGCCCTCCTCGCCAACGTCCTCGCCACCCAGTTCAACGCCCTCGACCTCAACCCCGCCCAGCCCCTCCCGCGCAGCGCCCCGCCCTACGCCCTCCGCTTCCCCGACCGCCCCAGCAGCCACTCCTCGTCCCCCATCCTCCCCCCGCTCCCCCTCGCCCACGACCGCCTCGCGCCCGGCGCCCCCATCTACCAGACCCCCGCCTCCAGCCTCGGCCTCGGCCTCGGCGAGCGCAGCGCCCAGCACGCCGCCCTCCTCGACGCCCTCGTCCCCCGGCCCTCGCACACCCTCCTCCCCGCCTTCCTCCACGCCCTCGTCTCCCCCCCGCGCTCCCCGCTCCGCTCCCCCGCCTCCCTCTCCTCCTCCCCCGAGCTCTCCTTCGACGGCTCCTCCGAGGACGCCCACTACGTCCTCACCCCGGGCACCACCGCCCCCCCCCCCACCCCCACAAGCTCTCCCCGCCGCAGCACCTCCCGCGCAAGGCCCCCTCGTCCGCCGCCTCCGCCGCCGCCTTCGCCCCCCTCGCGCGCCCCCCGCCCTCGCCCCGCTCGATCTGGCGCCTCGACGGCGAGGAGAGCCGGACGTACTCCTCCGCCGCGTCCTCCGCCCGCACCTCGCCCACCCCCGGCTTCGCGCACGCCGCGGGCTCGCCCCCTCCCCGCGCCGACGTTGACGCCGACGCCGGGTTCGAGCTCGAGCGCGCCCCGTTCCTCGCCGACGACGATGACGACGACGACACGGGCACGACCCCAAAAGGCCCCGGGGGCTTCTGGCGCGCCGCGCAGGCCGCGTAGACCCAAGTTTTGATATCGATATTTAACATGGAAAAGGTGCCGCCTGCCCGTCCCTTCCGCTCGAGACGACGGCCGCTGACCTCCTCTGCGCAGTGTTGTAGGAAGCCCGGATCCCAAAAAGCTCATTTCGTCGTCTAATGTGTTTAATACCTTGTTGTCTCTCCCCCGTCTCCTGTCCCAATTACTCACCCACTGACCGACCCCCCACGCCTGTACCGGACTAATCGCTGTATCTCACCATCTTGTTTCCCATATCTCCTCGCCCATCTCATCCGCCCCCTCGTTCCACGCAATAATACCCTCCGCATCCGCAAGTACCCCTCTCGCGCGTCTCCATACCTAGAACGCCCATCTTATGTATCACTCCGTCCGCCGCGACGCACGAGGACCAAGGACGGTAGAGTCGTATCATATAATGCCCATGCCCGCGCCCGCCGGCAGTTCCGTATACACCGCCGGCCATGACGACCAATGACGACACCACCCTCGCGATCGATGGGATCTGATACGCGAACCTATTACTCGTACAAACAAACAACAAACTGCGCCTCGGCGACACGAGGCTACGCAACACCCCCGCCCTTGCCGTTGTCATCGCTATCACACCCCGACGACGGTCGACCGGCGCAAGAGGCCCTGCTCGAGCAGCTTTTCGCGCCTGCGCCCGACCGCCGCGTTCAGCCCCTCGAGCATCCCGACCGTCGTCTCCCAGTCCACGCACGCGTCCGTGATCGAGATCCCGTGCTTGAGCGCCCCCGGGCCCTCGGCCGGCACGTCCTGCCCCCCCCGTTGATGTGCGACTCGACCATGACCCCGGTGATGTTCCGGTCCCCACCAACGAGCTGCTCGCACACGTCCACGAGCACCTTCGGCTGGTTCATGTGGTTCTTTTCCGAGTTCCCGTCTGTGGCCTCCCGTCAGCACTCCGTCCGCCCGTCGCCTCCCAACCTTCCCACTCACGAGAGCAGTCAATCATGATCGACGGGTGATTCTGCGGCCGCGCCTTTTCGATGGCGGACGCCGCCGAGCGGACGTGCTCCGCGCCGTAGTTCGGGCCCTTGCTGCCCCCACGGAGGATGACGTGCACGTCCTGCTCGCAAGCACCATCTGAGTCTCTATACACCCATCAGCCCGATCGCACCGACCTGGTTCCCGCGAGTCTTGACAATGGCCGCGAGGCCCTGCTCGGTGACGCCCATGAACGCGTGCGGGTTCGACGCCGAGCGCATCGCGTCCACCGCGACCGTCATCTGCGGGCGCGACGTCAGCACCCATCCGGATGAGGCGGGCCGACGGTTCACGCACGCTGCCGTCCGTGCCGTTTTTGAAACCGATCGGGAACGAGACACCGCTCGCGAGCTCCCGGTGGAGCTGCGACTCGGTCGTGCGCGCGCCGATGGCGCCCCACGAGATCAGGTCGGCGATGAACTGCGGCGAGATGGTGTCGAGCAGCTCGGAGCCGACGGGGACCCCGAGGTTGGTGAGGTCGCAGAGGAGCTGGCGGGCGAGGCGGAGGCCCTTGTTGATCTTGAAGGAGCCGTCGATGTCGGGGTCGTTGATGAGGCCCTTCCAGCCGACCGTCGTGCGCGGTTTCTGCAACGCAAGCGTCGGGGTGAGCTACTCTAGCGCGCACGAAAAGCAGCAAAGATGATTGGGTGGTGTGTACCTCGCTGTGAGACGTGGCGACGTCAGCGGCTGAAGCTCGGGCAGACCGATCGGGCGGGGGACCTACAAGTAAGCGCGCATGACGATGAGCAGGTTCGGCCAGTCGTTCATCTTCGCGCGGAGGAGCTTGGCGTACTCCATCGCCTGTTCGGGCGAGTGGATGGAGCATGGACCTACGACGACGAGCAGCCGCTCGTCCTGGCCGGCGAGGATCCGGGCGGCGGCGAAGCGGGCGGAAGCGATGGTGGTGAGCGAGGTCGCGGTCGGCTCGATCTCGCTGCGGAGGAGCGCGGGCTGGACGAGGGGGTCGTACTACATAGCCCGACAGGGACGGACGCGGGGGCGGACGCGGGACGGGAGAGGGGAGATAAGATGAGAGATGGACGATAGGGCTCGAAAGGAGACGCACACCGATGACCCTGCGGTCCTTGATGTAGTTGTCCATCTTCTGTGCGTCATCGGGGATGGGGGTCACGACGTTCACAGGCTTCATGTCCATGTCGGGGAGAGCTAGGTTGTGTGCGCGTAGGAGGAGGGCAGGATGTGAGAGTGAGTCAAGCAGCCTGAGGATGAGTCAATGCGAAGAGCGTACGAAATCTGAAGGGCGTCTTGACCCGGGTCCTTTGGGCGTTGGAAGGCATGTCGGGAACGATCTGGGCGGCGAGGAGGGCGATGGGCGCAGTGCGGGGCGCTGGGGTGGTGGAAGAGGGCAAAGGAAGAGAGGCAGAGGCAAAGGCGGGCAGGGAGAGCGAGGACGAGAGCGAGGAGCCCGGCTGCCGAAAAGCGACTCGGCCACCTCCGACCTTTCTCCTCCGCACCCGCCATGGCCGCCACTCGCTCCGTCGACCTCGCCCCCGTCCCCGGCTTCTGCGTCAAGTCGACCGCGTCGAAAGAGGTCTCGCTCGCCGTCGCCGTCGCGCCCGGTGCGCTCACACAACCGCTGAGGATCCCGGCGGGGCTGAAGGTGTTCGTGAACGTGGGATGGGACGCGAACGTGCCGGGGCCGACGGAGGAGACGGTGGACGGGATAGAACGCGCGGTGTCGTCCAACGCCGCAATTTCGCCCGCCAGCGCCGCGTCGTGGTTTGTCCCGCTCGTCATCTCCGACCCCCGCCCGGACACCGACAAGGGTCCGTCCTCGGTGCTCGCCCACCGCTGCAGCCCAGCCGCTCACTGTATGCGCCAGCCGGAAAACCTTCGGTCGTGCTGGACGCGATCTTCAACAGCTCGCTGAAGTCGCGCGCGCTCCGCTCGCCCGAGCTCAAGACGTATCTCATCGGTGTGCACGTTCCCCGTGCTGGTCACGCACTGTGCTCACCGCGCTGCGGACAGAGCTCGCGTTCGAGCAGATCGAGGCGCAGCACGGACTCCTGCTCTCGCGCCAGATCGGGACCCCGAACATCGCGTCCAAGGGCAAGCTCTGGCCACGTGCCGCCCTCGTCCCCACCGCGCCGGGCGCGCTGGTCGAAGAGCTGCCTCCGCCGACGGTGCCAGCTCTCGAGTGGGCGACGACGGCCGAGGGAGGAGTGTCGATTGCCCTGTCCGTGCCCCACCTCGTCCGTCCCCTGCCTTCGCTTTTCGCTCCCCTCCGCTCACGTCGCCCTCCCTCCTTCTCTGCCCAGACCCGCGCCGCGATCCCGGCCACGACCGTCGACCTCGAGCCCCGCCGCCTCCTCTTCGCCACCCCCGCCCTCCCCGGCTCCCCCGCCCCCGCCGGCTACGCCCTCGACCTCGACCTCGACTTGCCCGACCCCGACCTGCTCGCCCGATTCCCTGCCAGTGGGCAGCAGGCCCTCGCCCTCAAGCACCAGCGTCCCTTCGCCGTCGACGCCGCCCGCGCAGAGTGGCGCGTCGCCGACCGCACCTTTGTCCTCTACGCATGAGCGCGGACGAACCAATCCCCCGTCCCTTGCCGTTTGCCTTTGGGCTGCCAACGCCTGTTTCCGCAGATACGAATAAACACTATACATACATTGTCTGACAGATACCCCGCGCCATCGCACGACGCGGCAGAGGCCAATCAACCAATCGAGCCAGCTCACGCCCCCGCCTTCCCGAGCAGCGCATACCCGCTCCCCGCAGGCCCAAAGTGCTACACCCCCAAAGTCAGCCATTCTCGTCGCTCAAACAAAATCGCATGAGCACGCACCTTGCCGTAGCACGGCTTGCAGAACGGGTCCCCCTCCCGGTCGACGAGCTGCCCCGCGTTCAGGCTCCTCCCGCACCCTGCGCAGCGCAGGCACGCCTTGTGCCACGTCTTGCCCACCGCCTTGACCTGCTCCGCAAAGTACACGCTCTTCCCGCACCGCGCGCACTGCGGGTTCTGCACCGCAAACGCCCGCCCCGTCATCGTCGGCACGAGCGGCTTCTGCCCGTGCCCGTGGTGGCCGTCGAGCGCGGCGCCGTACCGCGTGCCCGTCATCGACGGCGCGAGCGGCACACCCGTGGGGGAGAGGGAGCGGACGGCGCGGGGACGGCGTGCGCGTAGTTCTCGTTCCCGTGCGCGGGCGTGACGATGTCGTCGACGTCGAAGTCGGCCATCAGGTCGTCCAGCGCCTGGAGCGCGAGCGAGCCCTTGCGCTCTGGGCTCAGCGAGCGCGTCGGCGCTAGCCTCGGCTGCGGCGCGGGCGGTGGTGGCTGGGCGGTGGGCGGAGCGGGAGGGGGCGACGCAACGCGGCGGGTGCGCGGAGAGACGTCGCGGTCAGTGGGGAGGTTGCCATGGCGGAGGTCGACGGTGCCGAAGAGCTTCACATGGCAGATTTTGCTAGCCCGGCGTAAGAGGTGAGGGGTGGCGGGGAGGGGTGAGGGGGAGAAACGTACCAGTACGGCTGAGGGTAGCGAGAGTAAACGTTAGGCATATAGTCGCCTGTGGCGGCACGCACCTTTTCGTCATGCTCAACAAGTGCGAACGAGTCGAGGCGCTTGTCACAAGACGTACAGCGGAGACAGGCCTGCGAGACAGTCAGGAAGAGGGCGCGTGCGCGAACAGGGATGGCGTGCCTTGTGGTAGAGCTGGGAGGAGGACCGGTCAGAGAGTGGTGGGAAAGAGCACAGGAGAAGCGCACCTTCCGGCCAGGGCCCATGATCTTGCCGAGGACGCGGGGACGAGTGAGTGATCGGGCGGGGGCGGAGCACGGGCAGACGGACCTGTTCTGCTGCGTAGACGGACGTGCTGCATCGCGCACACTTGGGCGCGCCCCCGAAGGATCGCATCGCGGGCAGAGGGGGTGGAGGTGAGGGTGAGGGTGGAGGGGAGACAGTGGAGGGGGAGACAGTGGAGTGGAGGAAAGAGACGGTCTTGAGCTGAGCGCCGGCTGAGTCGATGGCAACGACTCTGCGTCACCTTCAGACCCCCGGCCCGCTCCCCCGCTCGCAATGTCGCAGGCGGCCGGGCACGGTTCCCACGGATGATGCGGAGATGGAAATTTGATCAGGGCGCCGATTTTTGTGGGTGGACGCGTTGCAGCTTCCTCCATCCCGTCCATCTAGACTGCTCCCTCTCTCCCTTCCCTGCGCCCTCTCCTCCCCCCATAAACGACCATCATGTCCGACGACGAGCAGCACCAGCACAACTTTGACCAGGTACGCACACAGCTTTGCTCCATCTCGCTTAGATCTCGGTACACCCACTCACGCTCGCCCCTTCCGCATTCCAGGCTTCCGCCGGGGCCTCGCTCACCTTCCCCATGCAATGCTCGGCCCTCCGCAAGAACGGCCACGTCGTCATCAAGAGTCCGTTTTTTCTACCCGTCCCGCTGCGCTCGCGACTTATCGATATCGCCCCTTCCAGGTCGCCCTTGCAAGATCGTCGACATGTCCACCTCCAAGACGGGCAAGCACGGTCACGCCAAGGTCCACCTGGTCGCCATCGATGTACGTCTCGTTTTCTCGTCTTCAACTCCCCACCGTGCTCATTCGCCTCCCCAGATCTTCACTGGCAAAAAACTGGTTCGTCCACTCCGCGCGGGCTGATTAGATGCCGATCTCTCATACAATCTCGGATCTGCAGGAGGATATCTGTCCCTCTACGCACAACATGGATGTTCCCAACGTCCGCCGCAACGAATACCAGCTCGTGCGCCTCCCTTTCTCCTCTTTCCGCCTGTTTTTCCCGTGTTTATCGGACATGGCAGGTCAACGTCGACGACGGCTTCCTCAACCTGATGACGACCGACGGTACCGCCAAGGACGACGTCAAGGTCCCCGAGGGCGAGCTCGGCGAGAAGATCGCGGCCGAGTTCGAGGAGGGCAAGGACCTCCTCGTCACCATCGTCTCCGCCATGGGCGAGGAGCAGGCCATTTCCTACAAGGAGGCCCCCAAGGGCGCTTAAGCGCTGTCCCCCGTCCCCGGCCACGTACGTTCCTCTTCCCCGCCCGTCCCGGATATCGCGCCATCCATCCCCGCCTGACGCCCATCACGCGCACACACAGGTGTATATTCTTCGCCCCGTTCCCGGTCTCTCTTGCTGTTGTTGTGTCTGTCATTCACACGCCCCTCTCCCGCCGTGTTGTGTTCAGTTGTGTTAAAGCATCAGTATCCCCGTAGCAGTACCTCCCATCACTTGCATGTACCCACCACCGCCCGCCGCCCGCCTGCCACGCGCGCGCGCCCATGTATCGTCCTAGGCCGCCCTTCCTGTGCCATACAATGGATTGCCGCGTCCCCACAGTCCATCCCACCGCCAGGTCGTCTCGGTCTCATCGTGCACTGCCCGACGTGGGCGCGAGCGAACAGGCCCATCGATCGAATCAGATGCGCGTCGTGGCCCATCGCCGCGCAACGTCGCATCACTCGCGGGTCCTCAGAGCTTCAGTCCTTGGTCTCTCGTGGCACGCAGTTGGACGAGGGAAAGAGAAAAGAGGGCGCCTTCAGATACAAAGCAGTCGTACATCGCTCCGTAGCAGTCGTACTCGGACAGCACGTCCCTCGCACGCAAGCACGGTCCCTGCTTCTACACACCCGCCCACCAGGGGCGCTCCTCGAGCCGAAACCGCGGGCGGGCGCGCTCACATGGTGTTGACGGTCGTGATGAGGCCGACGCCGAGGATGGTGGCGGCGATGACAGAGACCGCGGTCAAGGCCGGGTTGAGGCCCTGGCCGAAGGGGCCGTCCCAGTTGGCGGGCAGGACCGGGGTGAGCGCCACGGCGGAGAGGTTGCTCGTGTGGTTCACGCCCGTGCACGCGCCCGTGTAGACTGCGGGGAGGGCGGTCAGCGTGTTTTTTTCGGCGGCGCGAGCGCGGCAAGGAGGTGATGGGTGGAGCGAGTGGGACGGGGGCGGGTTGGGGCGGGGCGAAGGAAGGCTGGAAAGAGAGAAGACACGCACGGGTGATCGCGGAGACGAGGCCGGTGCGCTCGTCGGTGGGGAGACGGTTGTCGGCGATGAGCTGCTGGAACATGCACGTCTCGCACGACATGATCGACGTGAGCATCGTGTCGTTGCACAGGCAGAGGTCGTCGCTCCCGCACGCCTGGTGAGCCCGGGATTAGCGTCGGCGGCTTGCGCGGCTGCAACGGAAAGCGGGGGACGTACGGTGATGGTGCCCTGGGCCAGGTTACAGTCCGTGCTGCACTGGAGCCCTTGCCGTCAGCATCACCCAACAGAAAACAGAGAGATCAAAGACGAACGTCGGTGCGGGCAGGGTCGGCGGAGTTGAGGAAGTCGGAGGCTTGGATGAGGCCGATGGGAGCGGGGAAGGTCATGTTCAGCGCAAGCACTGGATCGGACGAGTCAGTGTACGCCCTCTTCGTGCGCCGAGCAAAGGCGGGCGAGCGGACCTTGAGACGCGAAGCAGGCGACGACGGCGGTGAGGAAGAGAGGGAACTGCATGGCGAGCGAGAAGGAGCGGAAGACAGCAGGGGCTGGATGGCGGTGCGAAGAGAAAGTGAAAGCGCAAGGGCGGGCCTGCCGGAGGCGGAGCGAAGGGAGGAAGGGGCGGAGAGCGAGAGCAAAGGCGATCGAGGAACACGACGGACGGGAACAAGATGAAGGACGGCAGAGGCGCCGAGGGCCACGCTGCCATAGCGATCCCGACAGCGGCCGCATCACCCGCACCGTCCTCCGGGCTCGCCGGGGGCCCAAATCGCCCTCTCCCCGTTCGCCTTGCCCCGCTATTTCGAGCGTCCACGTCCCCCACGTCCTCCTCCAGCTCGCAGCACACTCGCTGTGGACTATGGCAGAGCAAATAAGATAGCTGGTAATAATACACGGCAGGCCCCACACCCGCACACGGACCAGTGTCTGATCCCTGGGCTCGCGATTGGCCCTGGTCCGTCCAGACTGCCAGCTGCCGCCCGACCAACAAGCGAACCACCCACATCCACGGCCCTGGTCCCACAGCAGGCCACACAACCCATCTTCCCACCACCTACGGGAACACGCTCTCGCTCCTCGCCCGCCCCCCACCGCCGCCCGGCGGGTGGCCCACGACGGTGCCCATCCGTCTCCGCACCACCAACGTCTCGTCGAACCGCTTCGGCTCGTAGTTCCACGTCGCGTACAGCCGCGCGTCGGGCAGCGGCCGCGAGCTCTCCTTCTCCTTCTCCTTCTCTTTCTCCTTCCCGTTCACCATCCCGTTCGCTTCTCCATTTGCGCCCTTGCCCTTCCCGCCCCCCGCTGGCGTCGCCGCCGGCATCGGCGACAGGCTCGAGTTCCACGGCGCGTTCACCCCCGGGCCGTACGTCAGCTTCTGCGGCCCGCGCTGCAGCACCGGCGGGTGCTGGATCCGCATCGTCCGCGCATACACGTTCCCCTGCGTGCCAATGTCCGACCGTCAGCCTGCGTTCTCTCGAGCAAAGCAGCCCTGCGCACTGCGCCCCCGCACGAGAACAAACGCGCCAGACTCACCGAAAGAACGTGCCGCGCCAGCTGAGGGATCCGCGAGTCCTGCCGCACAATCGACGGCACCACCCGGTCCTGCACTGTGATCGTCCGCGCCGGCGCCCCAGGCAGCACCCGTTTCCCCTCCTCCCCGTCTCCCTTCCCGCTCCCGCTCCCGTCCGGCGTCCCCGCACCCGACCCAGAGCCGGTCCCTCCAGGTCCCTTCGCAATCGGGATCGCACAGCTCGCAGGCATCGCCGACACCCGCGGCAGGTTCGGCGCCGTGCTCCCATACAGCGTCGCCGGCGCGTCCCACCGGTTCGCCTTCTCCGTCTGCTGCACAAGTGCGAGCCCGACCCGGTACCGCGCCGGGTTCACGCCCACCACCTTCTCCGGAGGCGGGTTCGTGAGCAGGTGGTGGTACGCCCCAAGCAGCGCCGGCTGCGTCGGCAGGATCTGTGGCGGTTGTCCATGTGCGGCGTCCATGCCTGGTGGCCGCGAGGGGAGGTGCCGCGCGGGGAGGGCGGCGAGCGAGGACTGGTCGTACGGCACGACCGCGTGGTAGTCCGCGGACGAGGTCGCAGTCGACATCTGCGCCTGCAACGGGGGCGTCGCGGAGCGTTCCCGCTTGACCGCGTCGTTCGCCAGCGGCGCGCCCTCGGCGGGCGGCGGACTCGCCACTCTCTGCGCGTCGGCGGTCGGGAAAGGCGGCAAATAGTCGGGGATGTGTTCTGGGGGCTGCCAGCTCGCCGTTCGCAGGCGTTTTCGTGGGGGCGTGGAGGGGTTCGAGATGGGGAGAGCGGTAAAGGGGGCGCGGGCGGTGGACGTGGAGGTTGAGCGGGAGATCTGGGGTCTGGTCCATGGGCTCCGACTCGTCTTGGAGATCGTCTGCATCGGCCATGACAATGTCTGCCTTGGCGAGCTCGTCGGATGGGGTGTTTATCTCATCGTCCTCGCTCTCCTCCCCTTCGGATGGGAGGTCTTCGGGTACGGGACCCCATTCGAGCGGGATGAGATCGTCTTCGTCATGGCTGAGGCCCAAAGCGAGTTGGGCTGCACGGGAGGGGCGACGGCGAGGAATGAGGGCACAGAGAGCGCAAGAGGAGAGGAGACGCACCATTGATTTCGGCCAGCTCCTCGACGCGTTTGGCAGAATGGATGGCGTAGCGGGCCATGTCGCGGCCCTCGACGGCACAGTACTCCCTGAGCTCGTCCATGTTGGTGCCCAGCTCGCCAAAGGCTTCTATCGCGTCGCGCGCCACGATGGACCTGCGGCCGGCGTGTTCGGCATACTTTGCGACGGTGGCGGAGAGATTGGCGAGGTAACGGGAGAGGAGGTCAGCAAGGACGAAGTTTGCCTGGGTGGAGGAGCGAGCGAAGCCGTGCGCATGGAGAGTCTTGATGGTCGCGGTCTCGAGAATCTTCTTTGCGCTAGTGTCCATCAACAGCGAGCAGGAGGAGTGAGCCGGGCGAGAGGGTGGTGGAGGTGAGAGCGTCGTTGGCCCGCTTCCGCCGCGCGCGTTCAAGCTCCGCCGCAGGGGGTTTGAGCGGCGCCAGAAGTTGAGACTCCGCAGGGACGAGATCACTTCCCAATCATCCGCCCTCGTCTGCTCGACTCTCACCCACCGGTCGTCGTCGTCTGCGGCGGGCGGGTGTGGCGGGCGGCGGCGGCGGGGCAGACAATGAGAACGAGCAAAGCAGGACGCGCAGGGGGAGGAGATGGCGGACAGGAGGAACGTTCGTGCGCGGAAATTTGAGCGATATCATTCTGGACGAGGTCGCCCCGGCCACCCGCCACGGCTCGCGCGGCCGCTCCGCCAGGTTCCAATCGCTCTCTGCCATCGCCCTCATCCTCCCCAGCGATGGACCCGACGACGACGGGCGCTGCCTCGCCCTCCCAGGCCACCTCCACCCCTGCTCCCTCTCTCGCCTCCACCGCCGCCCCTCGCAAGGTCCTCCATTCCAAGCGATCCTTTGGCACCAAGCACTCCCTCGCCCACAACCGCCCTGTGCTCGACTCCCCTGCCTACGACGCCTCCGAGGAGGACAATGACCCGCTCACCGACGACGGCGCCTCCTCTGTCTCCAGCTCCGTCCCACACCACCCCCGCACCGCGACCGCCCGTCCCGCAGCCGTCGCCGCGCTTGCCAGGACAACCCGCCCGCGCCACGCGCTCGCCGCCTCCGTCGTCTCCTCTGACGACGGCGGGCTCGACAGTCCCACCTATGACGGCGATGTCGAGAGCATCACCACCACCCGCGGCCAAGGCGGCCGCGATACCCCCTCCTTTCCCGGCCCAGCGCGCTACGCGTCCTCAATCGCCTCTACCCTTGCCTCCCCTTTCCTCTCTTCCGCCCCCCTGCACGACTCCGACGACCCGGGCGCGACCGATGCGCCCACCACCGACGCCGATGCCGACCCGCGCCCCCGCTCCCACTCCCGTCCCGCACCCGCCCCCCGCGCCCGGCGCCCCGCCGGCGTCTCCCGCCCCTACCTCGCCCTCCTCGCTGGCTGCGAACGAGCCCGCGCCCGCCGCCGTCTCTGTCTCCGCCTTCAACCCCGCGAACCTCTCCCCGCCGACATCCAGGACTATGCGCGCGCGTGCATCGCCGGCACCGACCCCCTCGGCCCCGCCCGCCAGTACCGCATCAACCCCCCCCGGTCGGCCGCCCCGTGCGCGTGTACTCGGACGGGGTGTACGACCTCTTCCACTTCGGCCACGCGCTCCAGCTCCGCCAGGCCAAGCTCGCCTTCCCGCCGCCCCCGGACGCGCCGGAGCACGTCGTCTCGGGCGTGCACCTTCTCGTCGGCGTCAACTCGGACGAGCAGTGCGAGGAAACAAGAACATGCCCATCCTCCGCACGCCGAGAGGTGCGTCTCCCTCGTGGATCTAGCTGGAATACAATCATTCATATCTATGCGATCGGGCCAGGTGCGAGGCAGTCCGGCACTGTCGGTGGGTGGACGAGATAATCCCAGACGCGCCATGGGTGCTCGACGCCGCGTTCATCGAAAAGGTACGTCCCACTGTGTCACAACCGCCGCCGGTGTCGCGGTTGCCGCTCGTGTGCTCTCGTTGACATCATCTTTTTTCGCAGGTGCGTACAGGGTCGGGTCCCGGCCGCGGGTGTGGCCATACTGACGGCAGATCCAGCACCAGATCGACTACGTCGCGCACGACGAAGACCCGTACGCGTCTGGGGTGCACGACGATGTGTACGCGTTCGTCAAGAACGCTGGTGAGTCCACACTCACTCTCTTAAACCCTCTACAATGTTGAACGGGTCCCCGCGCGCCAGGCAAGTTCCTGCCCACCCGGCGCACGCCCGGGGTGTCGACATCGGAGCTGCTGGAGCGGATCGTGAGCGGGTACCGGCTCCGGGTGTTCGACAAGAAGTTGATCAAGATGGGCCACCCGGAGCTCAAGGCGGAGGGCAGCGACTACGACGACAGCGCGCCGCCGTCGGGGCGTGTGTCGCCCGTGCGCCGGCCATAACGTGCAGGCGGTTGCTGCCGGCTGCGTGTGTGCGACTCGGGGCCGCTACGCGTCGGATCTCTGCCGCAGATGCATGGGACAAGTGCGTGCGGCGGACCGCAGAGCGATGCGCATCGGACGGTGGGGGGAGGGAATAGGGAACGGAGAGGAGAAAGCCAAATACTGTACACGCACGTATCGTTATTCGTACACACCGCTGGAAAGCCAGAATCATAGACTACAATTGCTGAGACTCTGCTGAAAGCCTGCCGCTAGCCTGCGAACCATATGTAAGCGCCGCGGGACATCGCGACCTAGGGCGGCAACCGTGACACTCGGCTTGTCCGCCACCGTCGCACTCACTTACTCGAAACGCCTCAGCCGCTACCCCGTCTCGTCCAAAGACCCGCAGTAAGTTATACACGAGTACTGTAGCACCCTGAAACCTCCTTTCAAACGACAGCCGAGGCGAAACACAGACACTAGTACTAGCCCTTGAACTTGGTGTCTCGCGGAGTCCGGAGATCACCTCGTCGAGCCATGTGCGGCCGCTTCGCGCTCGGAATTTCGGTGAGAACAACGATCTCCGGATGCGGCCACGTTCATACGCCCGCTAACCACCCGTCCGCACCTCCTGAATCCCAGCATGAGGAAATCGAGGACATGCACGCCTACAACGTTAACGTCGCCAACTGGGTCGGCAGGGACCAGTTCGTCCCGCGGTACCTTCGCTCACCCATATATGCGCTAGATTTATTCCCATTCTCACTCACTTCTTCGCGCAGATTCAACGTCGCCCCCCGCACGAACGCGCCCGTCATCCGCCGCGGGGACGACGGCGCGTCCGGGGGCTCGTCGAGCGAACCAGGCCCCTCCGGCTCCCACCCAACTTCCCCCACCCCTGGACCAGTCTCCGAGTCTCCGTCCACGAAATTCGAAAAACCAGCGACGGTGATAATGCAGACGATGCGCTGGGGCCTCGTCCCGCACTTCAGCAAGCACGACACGAGCGGGCAGCTCAAGACTATCAACGCTCGCAGCGAGGCTCTCATCGAGGAGCCGCACGGGCTCTGGGCGAGCGTCAAGGGCCGGAAACGCTGCGCCGTCGTGTGCCAAGGGTGCGTTCTCGTGCTCACCGCCCCGCGTGAACCGGCGCTGACCGCGGCGTCGGGCGTGCAGGTACTACGAGTGGCAGAAGAAGGGCAAGGAGCGCGTGCCGCACCTCACCAAGCGCGCCGACGGGAAGCTCCTCCTCCTCGCCGGCCTCTGGGACCGCGTCGAGCTGAAGGTCCGTCCGTCTCAGGCTCTCTGCCCGCCCCGCAGGCCCCGGTCCTCACGGCGACGCGTGGCATCTCAGGCGAGCCCGAGCCGCTCTGGACGTTCGCGATCGTCACGGCCGCGGCGAGCGCCCCCATCGCCTGGCTGCACGACCGCCAGCCGGTCGTCCTCCCCGACGCCGCCGCGCTCTCCGCCTGGCTCGACACCTCCTCCGGCCGCTGGTCCGCCGCGCTCTCCGCGCTCTGCGACCCCCCGCGGACCCGCCATTCACCTGGTGCGCCCCCGAACCTTTCCATCCTCGCCCCTTCGCTCTCCCTTCCACCCTGATCTCTCTTTCTGCCTCGTCCTGCCGTGAGAGGGAGCGGCTGACGCGACGCCCGCTCGCAGCTACCCCGTCCCCAAAGAGGTTGGAAAAGTCGGCGTCGAGTCCCCGACGTTCGTCCAGCCCGTCGCTGCCCGCGCGGACGGTATCCACGCGCTCTTCGCCGCGCAGGCCGCCCGCGCCGTGGCGACGTCCCAACTTCAATCCCAATCCAACTCCCAGCCGCAGAAGCAGGTCTCCGTGCCGAAGCAGAAGCGCAGCCCGTCGCCGGAGCCCCGCCGCGCTACGCCCAAGAAGCCCAAACTCCACGCCCACGGCGACCACCCCGCAGCGCCAGCGCCAGCACTCGGCGCGGATCGACGGGGGACGCGGAGGACGCCCGCGACGGCGATTCGGACGTCGAAATCGTCGAGCCGCCTCCGGGCGTACGCGCTACCCCGTCGCCGTCAAAGGTATGTACGGTCGAGGCGGTTCCTGATCCAGACTTGGAGTCGTGCGCTCACTGCGCGCGTGCCGTCGCAGCCGGCAAGGCGGAAACCACCCAAGGTAACGCTCTTTCCTCGTTTGACTACCCACGCTCTGCTCATCCCCCTGTTTCTCCCCCAGCCGTCTCCACGGAAAGCACCGCCCACCGCCGCCGATGGTTCGGCAAAGATCACATCGTTCTTCGCGAAGAAGTAGTCTGGACTCCCTATTCCCCACTGTCGCGCAGCGTTGTATTTGGATTTCGTTTGACCCCCATGTTGTACCGCACCAGTCTTATGTACAAGCTTGGTTAGCGATCAATCCATCGCACAGACACCCAGACAGCGATGGGTTTGCAGCGTTTATTCGCGGCCCCGTATCGACGCTGCACGGAGCCAACTAAATCGTAAGCGTACAGTGGTAGTGGACTACTAGTACTAGTGCGAGATCGAGAGATCGGAAAAATCAGAGAGACGGCGAGACGGGAGCAAAGTGGGGTGAGGCAGGCAAAGAGACAGAGACGGGGGACGGGGACATGACACACAGGGACGAGCGGACAAGACGTATGAGACACAATCGGGGACGGAGCAAACAGCAAGACAAGCAAGAGGAACGGGGGCGGACATCATGGTTGAGCTGAGCAGACAAACGGGACGAAAAGGTGCGAACGTGCAGTGGGAGTGAGTGGGGATGGGGATGGGGATGGGGATAATGAGAAAATTGGTAGGGCAAGTCGATATTCACAGCAAGACGGCAGAGCCGAGACAAACGGCACGGCGCAACGCACAGAATGTCCAACACGTCCGTCATCTCCGCTCGCAGCCCAACCGAACTACCAGACTACGCGATGCTCACTGCCAGTACCCCTGCTGCTGCCTGGGCTGGTACGAGTAGAACCGCTGCCGTCCGAGCCCCCCTGGGGGTACCCAAGTGACCCTGCGGGCCCTGGCCTTGTGGCTGTTGAGCCTGCTGGGCCTGAGGCTGGCCTTGGCTCGCACCGAACCTTTGCGCATAGAAGGCGCTCTGGCCCTGCGGCTGCACCCGTCCACCCTGTGGGCCCTGTCCGACGCCTCCCTGCCCGACACCGGCGGTCCCGACATCCTTTACGCCCCCGACGTTGCCCCCGTACGGCTTGTACGCGTTCTCCGGGGATCCCGCCGCAGCGCGCGGCGCCGCGTCCGGCAGACGACCCATGAAGCCCTGCATGCCCTGTACGCTTCCACCGCTCCCGTAGAGACCCTGGTGACCGTGCTTGCCGTACGCCTCCGCGCCGTGGGCGCACTGCCCCCGCCGATGCCGCCACCCATCCCAGCCCCGACGCCGACGTTCTGGCCGGCGAGCGAGTGCGAGTGGTGCTGGTGCTGGTGTGCGCCGTACCCGCCGAGCCCGGCCGGGTCGTCGTACGCGTTCGAGTGCGGCTGCTGCCCGTGCCCGTACAGGCCCGTCTGCGCATACGGGCTCTGCGGCTGATGCTGCACCTGCGTGGGCCCACCCATACCCGCACCAACGCCGGGCGCCTGCTTGCCCGCGGGGCCTACCGAGGGTGGCCCCGCGGTTGGTGCTGTGTCGGACCCTGGAAGACCGCGGGGTATTTCACGAACGGCTGCGGGACGCTGTAGCCCGAGTTGTACGGCGTGCCGTAGTACTGGCTCTGTGGGTACGGCTGGTAGTAGTACGGCGGGAGTGGCGGCGGGTAGCCTTGTTGGGGGCCCTGGCCGGCGGGCTGCGAACCCTGGCTGCCCTGCGAGGGCTGGGGTTGCTGCTGCTGCTGCGAGCTCTGCGCATTCCCAGTGGGAGGCAGGCCGGGCTGCTGAGAGCCGGGGATGCCCTTGATCTGGTCGTCATGGCCGAGGACGTTGCGGTTCCCAAAGGTACCAGGGCCAGAGTAGGACTCGTAGAAGGAGTCGCGGTTCTGACTGTAGCCGTAGTCCTGGCTGAAGTTGCCCAGATGCTGGCCCTGGCCCTGGTGTTGCCCGAGCTGCTGTCCGAATGCACCGTACGGGCTCTCTTGGCTTTGACCGGCTGGAGGAGTAGGGGTGTGGAAGTAGGGTGCCTCAGCCTGGCGGAAGTAAGATGATGGGCCGCCTTGAGCAGGCTGTTGTTGCTGCTGTTGCTGCTGAGGGGTGGAATGCTGCTGCTGTGACTGGACCTGCTCGAGGTGGGTCTGCAGACCATACGGGAGGTGGCCCTGCTGAGACTGGTGACTTGCAAGCGCGGGCTGAGACTGTTGCGAATACGGAGAAATGGCGGAAGTGGTTGCGGAAGAGGGTAGTGAGGTCTGAGTGGTGAGGGAGGGAGTTGAAAGGGATGAAGGTACGTTTGAGGGGGGCTGCTGGACGACGGGAGGGAGATGAGGAGGCTGCTGGGGGGCAGGCTGAGCGGGGGGCTGTTGAGCAGGTTGCGAGACGGAAGGTTGGAAGAGGGCAACAGAAGCAAGGGAGGGTTGCGAAGGCGGCGAGGCTACAGGAGCAGCAGGTTCCTGAGCTTGCACGATGGGTGCAGGGACAGGGGAAGGCTCGGACTGAGCAGGGATCGGCTCCGGAACCACTTCGTGGCTGTACGAACCGTTAGTTACACATTTCAGACGAAGATAATCGACGACTTACATGGGGGCGTCCAGGTCCTCCCCACCAAGGCTCAGACTGCCAAATTGCATGCCGATCTTCTCAATACCAGAGCCAAAGCTGGCAGGGAGAACGACGGGCTGGTCCGTGGTCTTGAATTTCGTAGCACGGTGTGAAATCGGGGTCGGTCTTGAAGAGGCCGAAGGAGTGAGAGGCTTGGCGGGAGGCACGGCAGGCGAGACCGTTGGAACAGCCGGAGGACCGACTCCTGGAGGGACAGCTGGTGCGCTGGGTTCTATGGGAGGTTCCTCTGCGGTTGTCGTCTCAGGCGCAATGGGCGCAGCCTCATCAACAGCCACCGGGGCTTCGGCTGGGGGTGGAGCACGAGGCTCATCGTCCCATGTCGGGGCCTGTACAGTAGTAGGCTCCTCCCAGCCAGTGGAAGGCGCAATAATTTCAGTCGGCTCTGCAGGAGGAGAGGGCTCGGGCTGGGTAGACGCGGGGGGAGGAGTGGGAACGGAAGCAGGTTGAGGAGCAGAGACGGGGGCGGGAGCGGGAGTGTGGGCAGGAGCAGGGGCAGGAGTGGGGGCGGGAGGGGGAGTAGGCTTCTCTTGCGGCTTGCTGGAGGGTGCCTCAGACGACCATTTGGCGAGAAGAATATGGAGAACGGACGTACCTAGCGATCTGCGCCCATGAAAGCTTGGACGTGGCGGGTTTGGTCACAACCTTTGCCGCGATGGGAGCGGGTGCTTGAGTGGGAGGGGAGGCGGCAGCGACGGGGGCAGCGACGGGGACTGCGGCAGGAGGGTGGGTAGAGCCGTTCAAGACGGCAGTGTCTCCGCCCCAAGTGGGTGGGGTGCTCCAGCCCCAGGCACTGGTATCCGCGTCTGCATCGGGGGCCCCGCCGTCGGTGGTGAGCGGGGCGGCGGCGTCGGGAGCAACGTGGTCCTTGTCGTCCTGGCCGGTGAGAGACGGCTTGGTGCGATGACCGTTGACCTCGTGGTGCCCGCCACGGGCAGAGGCGCCGCGAGCAGCGCCGCCGCGAGGGCCGCCCCTAGCCGCACGACCGCCTCTGCCACCGCGGAACTCGCCACGGTCTCTGGCAGAGGACGCATCCTTGTTGTAGGAGGCGGTGGGCGTGGACTTTTTGTCCTTCTTGCGGGTGACCGAGCCCCATTGCTCCGCGTGCCCTGGACGGAGTTGGCGCGCAGAAGTGGGGAGAGAAGACGAGACGCACCTTCAAGGATCTGGGTCGACGCAAGTGTCACATCTCCGTTGACCTCGACGAGGAGCGACTGGATGTCTGTGGACGGGGCGATGGGTATGGAGCGGAGGCGGGGGCGGAGGTGACGCACCGTCGTATGACCATGTGGGAAAGGCTTCGAGGAGCTGCTTCGCCTGGGGGCGGAATCTGTCGGTGGGCGAGTCCGACGGGGGCTGTTGTTTGCGGTAATTCGAGGACTTGTACATCGTGGGCGGGGCAGCGGTGGCGGGATCGCGTTTTTTCTGCAGAGACGAGACAAGAACGCGGTCAGGGTGTGTGGGCGCCTGTGCTGGCCCCGCTTTTCCTATTTCGCGCGCATTCGATTTGGCACGGGATTAGCTACCCTAGCCGAGGATTGCCCCACCCTAGGCTATCCCTCATTTCGCTGATGGGATAAGCATATTTAGGTTCCCCGCTGTCCCCGCCCCGACGCTGTGTCCCGCCTGCTCTCGCACCAGTCGCCCCCTCCTCCTCGCGCTCGGTCCGCTCCCATGCCTGCCTTCAAGGGCCGCCCCCCAAACCTCCGCCTCGAGACCGTCGTCCGCCCCGGTCCCGCCAACACCATCATCGAGACAGAGACTCCCGTCGACCAGGGCGCCGACGATGATCTTCTCTCCCTCTCCTCTCCCTCCGACACCGACACCGACTCCCCGCGCGAGTACGGCGACGCCATAGACCACGACTCCGACCACACCCCCGACGACATCTCCAAAGACCTCGCCCTGCTTGAGAAGCTTCGTCGCAGCGTGCAGAAGAATCTCAAGCTCCGCCCCATCCGCTCCTCCAGCTCCTCACTCCGCGCCCAGGCCGCTTCTCCCTATGCTGCAACGTGGGCAGAGGCGCGTGGCACCCACTCGCCCAGCCCGACCTCGAGCGCGAGCCCCGCCAGTGTGTACTTCACTCCTACCTCTGCACTCTATAGCGCAAGTGTAGAGGTCGATGACTGGAAGTCTTCCTCCTCTTCCTCCTCTTCCGCCGGCGGCATAGAACCCGCCCTTCTTCTCGCCCGCATCTCATCCCCTACCCACCCTATTCTCATCGACACCAGACCGCCCGTCGTCTTCCTCGCTGGCCATCTACAGTACAGCGTCAACATTCACACCATTCCTTCCCTTATCCTCAAGCGTTCCAAGAAGCCGAATGGCGGCCCGCAGGACATCTCCGCCCTTCGTCAGTGGATCACCACCGATGCTGGGAAGCGGGAATGGGACGACATGATGCACGGCGGGGACTGGGATGGCGACATGATCGTCTATGACGACCTAATGGACGATCGGGAGAGGACGAGTCCCAAGGCAACTGCCTGGATCCTCCTCAACCTCGTCGAGCCTCTCCTTGACCATGGCACCATCGACTACCTCAGCGGCGGTTTTGCCGCCGCCCAGCGTCATCCGTACCTCCGACAGTGTATCAGCCACGACGTAGCAGCGAAAACCCCTGATCGACTTCCAACGAAACCTCAGAAGGCAAACAACAAGCTTGGGGGTCTCTTCCATCTCGATATTTCTGTCGTCCCTCGCCCGCGTGACCTCCCAGAAATCGAGCGGTCTGCTGTCTCTGCACATCCCATGATGCCCGCCACCCTGAGCGCGATGCCATGGCGGGATCCCGACGCAGACCCAGCGGCGCCCTCACACGCCCCCTCCCAGCTTGGGTTCTCCCGTCCTCCTCCCCCACGCCGACCGAGTGTACCCACACTACGGAAGCTAGACACCACTTCGACAGAACGACTCAACTCCAGCCTGCCTAAGCTACAAGTTCCCACCCGTTCTGCCACCCTCGCCGCCCCACCCTCCGGCCTCCGTTCCCGCTCCCGCTCACCATCCCACCTTCGTCTCAACCTCCCCGGCCCGTCTCCCCCGGCTCCGCCCGTCTTCTTTCCGCTTCCTCGCCAAATCATCCCTTAGACTGGTTACCTCCACCATCACCATCATGGGGTCAGCCGAGCACGCCCCGTGGGGGTGGATTCCACTCGCCAACGACACCAGTCTCCCGCTCTCCCTCCACCGCCCGCCCTGATTCCTCACAACCGCCGACCACCGAAGAACCGTTCCCCGTGTTCACCGTGTCCACCATCCTTCCGAATTTCCTCTTCTTAGGCCCTGAGCTTACGACGGAGGAGCATGTGGAGGAGCTGCAGGCATTAGGCGTCAAGCGCATTCTCAACCTAGCCATCGAGTGCGACGACGACCAAGGTCTCAACCTGCGCCAGCGGTTCGAGCGCTACATCCGCATTCCCATGCGTGACACGGTCGAGGAGGATAACATCACCCGAGGTGTCCGCGAAGTGTGTGAAGTGCTCGGTGAGTCCCAATCCATGCCGTTGTCCCCGCGCCTGCACGACCGCTAATCGCCCGCGCGACCAATAGACGACGCGCGGCTGCACTCCTCACCCGCGTACGTCCACTGTAAGGCGGGCAAGTCGCGCTCGGTGACAGCAGTAATGGCATACCTCATCCACGCCAACCACTGGACGCTCTCGCGCGCATACGCCTTCGTGCTCGAGCGCCGCAAGGGCATCTCGCCCAACATTGGCTTCGTCTCTGAGCTCATGACCTTCGAGGAGCTGGAGCTCGGCGGCAAGTCCGTCGGCGTCGTCAAAAGCGGCGAAGGAGAAGGAGGCGGCGATGGTGAGAGCGGCAACGGTGGGAGCAACTACCAGGCCGCGCTCGGCGGCCGTCGTCCCGCAGCACATCCGCGAGAGTCTCCCGCCGCTGTTCTCGCTCCCGTACTCGTTCTCCGGCGTGTCCGGACCCCCATATATGGACGCGACGCAGATCGGCGACTCGGGGCAGGAGATGGAGATCAAGGACGCGACCGGTCGCTACCGTCACGCGCGGCGGGCGCCCGTGAACGAGGCGACGCTGCAGCCAATGCGCCGTGTGAGCAAGGCAGGGCTCGAGAGCGCGTCGTATGTCTGACCTCCGCGGCCGCGGTGCCGTCCTCGCCCCTGACCCCGATGGCTGGTTCGCTGGATCGTAATTTGGTCTTTCGCCCGGGCACGCACCCCACTCCCTCACGCGTTCACGCCTCTCACGTTCCTCAGCCCACCCCGTTCGCCCGCTTTTCATCCTTCGTGTATACTGTAGCCCATCGGCCCGGTTATGGTTCCTGGTATCATTAACACATTCGGGTTCATGCATGCCATCCCTTCGTTAGTCGTTGGTCCCCGGTCTCACTTAGTGCCCAGCGTTGTTGCCCCTCCACACTCATTTCCCGTGCCTGGTACGAGCTCGGTGATCCGTCCTCCGTACAACGTGTATATATCTCCGCACTCACCAACGTATACCTCGGTTTTGCTGCAATAGTATTACATAAGGAGTCTGTAGTCCGTGTGAGTATCACATGTCGTGTGCGCAGAAGGACACGCTTGTCTTATAAGCGTGGTCTACCGCAGCGCACGGGCTTATCGTGACCGATGACACAGCCGCGAACAAGGACGGCTCCGTGCAGTGTACGAAGAAAACATGAACCACGCTTGGGACACACACAACAGTTGGAAACAAGGAATGGTGGCGGGGCAGGCAGCCACAGCAGGCTTTCGGCGAGCAGACCTTGTGTACACTAGAAATACATGGAATGGAGAGCACGCCGGCGAGCGTGCAATCATTCTTGGGCCATGAACGGGTTCGCGATCTCCTCGTAGCCGTCGACGGGGCTGAGGAGGGTGATCGTGGGGCCGCGGAGGACAACGAGGCCGAGCGTGCGCGACGTGGGCTCGCCCTCCGGCACTGTGATCAGGCAGGGTGAGCGCGTGTCCGCGGGCAGTTACGTATGCAGGGGAGCACATACCGTCGTGCATGATTTCGGTTACTTCATCAAGCACAAGGTTAAGGAGCTGGTCGTAACCCTTGAGCACGCCAACGACTGGGAATCAAAGAGAACGTTCAGGATCGAAGGATCGAATACAAGCAAGGGAGGCCGGAGGATAGGCAGCCGACCTTCTCGACCGCCAGTGAATTTGACACGGATCCGCTCGTTTGTGTATTTTGCGAGATCGAGGATGGCCTCACGCTTGGGCTTGTCCATGGTCGGCTGTGCCCTGACGTGATGGAGCGTGGGCTGAGCATCGGGGCAAGAACGGAGACGCGGACGACGTACGGGCCTGGTCTACCTCCACGACCTGGCATGGATGGACCGCCGCGAAAGGCCCCTCTGCTGGCGCCACGACCCTTTCAGCACGCGAGGTCATTGGGGTGCAGAGGACGAGAAGGGGGGCACGTACTCTGTCGGCCATCGGGCTGGTGCACTGGACGGATGGATGGGCGTGCTCGAAGGAGAAGATGGTCGGCGCGTGCGGGTGCGCGGTGGGCCGGGGTGGCTGCTGGTGAGAGCGGGAGACAAAAGGGACGAGGCGGGCGTCGTCGTCGAGTTGGCGAGTCGGGCAGCCGGGACAGGCGCCGGGCTGGATCCCTTGACCCAGGCAGGCTCCGCCACCCGCGTCCTTTTTCTCGTCCGCCATCGTCCTCCGCGCCCTGCCCGCCGCTGACCGCTCCAAAACGCCTGCGCTGTCCTTTCCATCACGACCATGAATGCCACAGAGCTCCTCGCAAACACCCTCTCTCCCGGTGAGTCCTTTTCCGCACCCACCTCGTCGCGCACCCGACCCGTGCTCTCGTCCTCACCCTGCTCGACGCGCTCCCCAGATGCACACACACGCGACGATGCGACAGCCAAGCTCGAGAGCGCATCCCGGGAGAACTACGTGAGTCCCCTCGCCATCCGTCTCCCCGTCTCAACCCAAGGACGCTCATCGGCCTCGCCCATCTAGCCTGCGTACATGCTGATGCTCTCCGCCGAGCTCGTCAACGAGTCCTCTCCTAGTCATGTCCGTAATGCCGCAGGTCTTGCACTCAAGAACACCCTCTCCGCAAGAGTTCGTGCTTTAGTGCCTCTTCCACTCGTGCCACACTCGCTCACCCCCGCCCGCAGGAGTTCCAACGACAGACCGACTACGCGAACCGTTGGCTCGCGCTCGATGACGGCACGAAGAACAAGGTGAAGCAGGATGCGCTCATGGCCCTCGCGTCCTCCGACGGCAAGGTTGGCACGGTAGCCGCGCAGGTCGTGTCCGCCATCGCCTCCGTCGAGCTCCCCAACGGCCAGTGGATGGACGTCGTCGGCATCCTCCTCGGCTTTGTCTCCGACCCCGCAAATGTGAATCTCCGCGTGGCCACTCTCCAGACGATCGGCTTCATCTGCGAGGCGCTGCAGTCGGTGTGTCTCGCTTCCTTTGCGCGCATTATCGGCACATCTAATGCCCCCGACCAGCAACCTGATATTCTCTCGATGCGCTCGAACGAGATCCTGACCGCGGTCATCCACGGCGCGCGCAAAGAGGAGTCCTCGCAGGATGTCCAGCTGGCTGCCATCACTGCTCTTCTCAACTCGCTTGAGTTCGTCCGTGACAACTTCGATCGCGAGGTGCGCCTTCATTCCCCTTGGTTTTCGCTTCTGCTTTATCTTGGATCATCAGGGCGAGCGGAATTACATCATGCAAGTCGTCTGCGAAGCCACCCAGAATCCCAATCCGTCTGTTCAGATCGGCGCCTTTGAGTGTTTGGTGAAGATCATGTCCTTGTACTACGACAAGATGAGCTTCTACATGGAGCGCGCGTTGTTTGGGGTAAGGGCTTTGTTTAGATTGTTGTTATCTTATCACTGACCATTTGCACAGCTTACTGTGATGGGGATGAAGCACACCGAGGAAAAGATTGCTCTGCAGGCCATTGAGTTCTGGTCAACAGTGTGCGAGGTTGAGACCGACCTCGCTTGGGAGGCAACAGAGGTATGCGGATGGGTTATTGCGATGCTCAAGGGATAGTCTAACCTAGTTTTCAGGCCACCGAATATGGCGAAGTACCCGAGAATGAGAGCAAGTTCTTCGCGAAGGTCGCGCTACCTGAAATCGTTCCGGTCTTGCTCGACCTCCTCACTCACCAGGATGAGGATGCTGATGAAGATGAGTGGAACGTAGCGATGGCTGCTTCAACGTGTCTGGGCCTGCTCGCCCAAGCCGTGCAAGACAACATCGTCCCCGCCGTCATTCCGTTCATCGAGGCCAACATCCGCGCGACGGATTGGCACATGCGCGAAGCGGCCGTCATGACCTTCGGGTCGATCCTTGACGGCCCCGACCCGAATGTCCTCACGCCTCTCGTGAACCAGGCGCTACCGATGCTCATCGACATGATGGCTGATCAGAACGTCCAAGTGAAGGACACCGTTGCGTGGACGCTCGGCCGTATCTGCGACCTCCTCATCACCACCATCCGGCCCGATGTGCACCTTCACCCGCTCATCTCGGCCCTCGTGGCTGGCCTGCAGGACAACTCGCGTATCGTCACAAACTGCTGTTGGGCCCTCATGAACCTCGCCGACCAGCTTGGGTACGTTGAGAATGATGACGGCGATGCTCTCAATGCCCCCAGCCCTCTTACGCCCTACTACGAGGGCGTCGTGAATGCGCTCCTCCACGTCACTGAAACGTAGGTTCTATCCTTTTGATCTCAAGTAACATACGATTCAAATCCTTGCCAGCGCCACCCTCGAAGGCACTCACAGGACAGCCGCGTACGAAGCCATCACTTCGTTCATCACTCATTCAACTGCCGACACTGTCACCGTTGTGCAAAACACCGCCGTCACAATTCTCATGCGTATGGAGCAGCTTCTGGCGATGCAAGTCAGTAATCCAGCACCTTCTTTCTTCCTTTCCATTCGTAGTGACGCGGTCATAGAACCAGATCATCGGTGTTGACGACCGTAACAACTGGAACGACCTCATGACCAACTTTTGCGGTGTCATCACGGTAAGCTAGTGTTGAGATTGTTAAGCCTTCATGCCACTGAACTCTCTCCAGAGCATCATCCGGAAACTCGAAAGCGGTATCCAACCACTTGGTGACCGTATCATGACGTTGATACTTCAGCTCATCGAAGCTGCGAGCAAGACCTCTACGCTCCTCGAGGACTGCTTCCTCGTTGTCGGTGCCCTCTCTGCCGCCCTGGAGCAGGGCTTCGCGCCTTACATCAACGCGTTCCTGCCGCACCTGTACCCCGCCCTCAAGGCTCACGAAGATACCCAGCTCTGCACCGTCGCCGTTGGCATCATTGGCGACATCTCGCGCGCTCTCGGCGACCAGACGGCCCAGTACTGCCAGGCGTTCATGTCTGTCCTTCTGGAGAACCTCCAGAGCGACGTCCTCAACCGCAACGTCAAGATTGCGATCCTGGCTTGCTTCGGTGACCTCGCGATGGCTATCGGCCCTCAGTTCGAGCCCTACCTTAACGCCACTATGGGTGTTCTCCGACAAGCCGGTTCCGTACAGCCGAACCCAGTGCGTATATCTCCAAATCAACTTTTGAAAGCGTGGCTGACGAGGGGCGTTCCCTAGCTCGACATCGACCTGGTCGAGTACGTCGGTCAGCTTCGTGAGGGTATCCTCGAGGCATATACCGGTATCGTCTCTGGCTTCAAGAACACGCCGAAAGTCGAGCTCCTCCTGCCGCATATACCACACATCCTCGAGCTCGTGCAGAAGTGCCTCGCGGACTCTGAGCGCTCGGAGTCGACGATCAAGACGGCCGTCGGGCTGGTCGGTGATCTCGCGGACGCGTTCCCCGTTGGACAGCTGAAGCAGCTGCTGCTTGCGGAGTGGCTGGCGAGCGAGCTTCGCATGAAGGGGCGTATGAGCCCAGAAACGAAGAGGACCCTCAAGTGGGCCCGCGAGGTGCGTAGCCATGATTCACGGTTGGCTGTCGCATCACTGACGCGTTTGGTTTGTCCTCCAGATGGTCAAGCGCGCGACGGCATAGAAGCCCTCGTCATTGTAATAATGCCAACCATGAATCCTTTCTGTCTTTCCTCAATCTTACACCTCTACAGTCTCTATGTCTATGTCTACTACGTTTACTCACTCGATACTGCACCCAGCACTCGCCCTCTGAAGGAGGACACATCGCATCTCACGTCCGTTATGACCCGCATCCGCACATGTAGTAGAAGCCGCCGCAGCCCGAACCCATTGTACCCGTCTATAGGACCATACTCGCCGCGTATATTCCTGCCCCGTCTCCTTCCCGCTTCCCGAGCTATATCGTATCCGTTGATCTCTCTGTCGCTGTCGGCGCGCGCACTTTGTATCCCTGGGTAGTCTTCGTCCTTTCTGATCCCCGAACCACCAGCTCTCTTCACTGTCCATTGTCCAATCTCGAATCTCATCCCCGCTGATTCCTCTGCCCGCGTCCGCGCCCGCTGCATCTGCATTTGCCCCTGCCATCCCCGCACTGTCCGTGTTTCTGTCCGTCGTCATGTTGTATAGGTGTTGTCCTGCGCGCCGCCAGGTCGTTAAACGATTATGCGTGTCCAGTAATGTGTGGTAGGTTCTGCCCCTCGGACTTGGTCTCACAGGGTGACATTTACGGCTAACCCAGCTGTCTGATTCCTTCACGTGCCGCTCGCCCTCTGAGCCCTTTGATCTGGACCACCACCGACAGCAGCAACAACTTCATCTTCCCCTTGTCTTCAGCCTCCTTGTCGTCATGCCTGGGATTGACTTTCCGGCCGGGAAATATGGGCACGGATTCTCGACATACGCTATATACAGTGGATACCAACTCCGTCCCGACAGCTTCATACGGCTTGTCAAATCGTTGCCCCCCTGTCGCGAATTACTAGCGCTCGACGAACAAAGGCTCAAGATGGACGCGAACGATACCGACCCTCCACTCGACGAAGTAATCAGCTGTGATGATGTGTGGGATCGCGTGCGAGCATCATGCCCGCAGATGCGCAAGGCCATTCCCAGTGTGGCGGGTCAGTGATTATCCATACCCTCCGTTCTGTCGGGGCTGACTGGATCCAGTTCGATACGACTACAGCAACGGCGGCAGGAGCCGCACTCACATTTTCTTTCCAATTCACTCCGTCCCTTTCATCAACAAGCAACAACTGTCGGAAAAGTGTCTCCAGCAGGCGACTTCGGAGGATTATAACAAACTACAGGTCCTCTTTGACTTCCTGAAGAAACGGTACCCCGAGTTCGAGTTCGATATCAACGAGTTCGAGTGGTCTCATATGTTGGAGGTCGATGCTAGATCGGGTTTTCCCGCGGTGAGTTTCTTGCATTGTAATGTGCGTTTGTCTGTTCATCGAATTGTTCCTGTCATCAGTCTTGAGAAACCCGGTACCGCTGCGGTTCTTGGGTCATTCGCATTCGCCGTAGTGCACGTTACTGTGGAGGGTTTGGATATGTGCCGTATGAGTGGTTGATCTTGAAGATCCACTTCACCGTCTTCGCGCCGTTGTAATATGATCGTTGTTTCCTCCACAATCTCACTATACCTTATCATGAAAGTTCGGGCGTGACAACCCTGCCGTGATGACCTGACCTGAGCTTTGGCTGAGCTTGAGCTTGAACAATTTCTTGAAGCTGCTCGCATCTGTATCAACCGCTGACAACAAGCGCCCGTAGTGGCGGGCTTCAACTGGACCACCATCCAGGCCAGCAGGAACCCGCGAAGACCCCGAGTCCATGGCCCCAAAGCACAACTCTCGAGACGTGGCCCAACAAGCGGCATCAAACGGCTCTGCTCGGCAGCAGGTCGTCTGGGCCTTGTTCGCAACGGCCACCGCAGGCCTGTCGTCGTACTACTACTCGCTCACTCAGGCCACGTCTCTCAGGACTTCTCTGCCGGCATCTTATGCTCTCTGTGCCCACGAGACAGGCAAGGTGCATACCGTCGATAGCGCCGCACCCGCAGTAGATTGTGTCGTGGTCGACAAGGCTAGAGTCACTGCTACAGGCTCCCTGGGTCTGTCACGATTCGTCGATCCCCTCCGGCGAACCTCTGCTGACGCACCCTCCAGCGGACGTTCAGACGTGGTGGGACGACTATCAAAACGAGCTCATCTTCAAGTTCTACGGGAACGAGCCCAAGGCCAAAAAGCCTCTTCCCGTCTTCACCGCCCCGCCCAACGCCATCATCGTCCCCGGCCTGACCGGTACGCGCGCTCGCCCTCCGCTGCTGCCACGTCTGACGCTCCCCCAGATGCGCACGCGCACCTCATCGAGTACGGCTTCAAAGTGCAGCTGCGCCTCGACCAGGTCCGCAGCATTTCCGCGCTCCTCGACGTCCTCGAAGCCTACGTCGCGCGCACCCCTCCGGGCCCGACACCTGGCTCGAGGCGGTTGGCTGGGACCAGACGCGCTGGCCGACACCGACGGCGCCTTCCCACTGCCGTGCGTCGCCCTTCGTCCTTCTCCCACCCCGCCTACTATCATCTGTGCGCTGATGCACGCCAGCACGTAGGCGGACCTCGGTTCCCGCCCAGCGCTCGCTGGCCTCCCAATCGCGCTCCACCGCGTCGACGTGCACGCGCTCTGGCTCTCCCCTCGCGCGCTCGCGCTCACCCGCACGCACCTCGGCGGCTCGTTCCCCGCCTCCGTGCCCGGCGGCCAGATCGTGCGCGGGGACGACGGGGAGCCCACGGGCGTGTTCCTCGACGCCGCGCAGGAGCTCGTCCCCGTCCCGAAGTGGTCGGCGCAAAAAAAGGCCGAGTACGCGGCGCGCGTCGTGCGCGACGCCGTCGCCGTCGGGCTCACGAGCGTGCACGACGCGTCGATGGAGATGGAGACGCTCGAGCTGTTCAAGAGGTACGATCTCGGCGCGTGGGGCGCGAACAGCGGAGTGGCTGACGACGGTGCTCGGCGACAGCATGAACGCCGAGGGAAAGCTGCCTGTACGTCGGTGGAAATCGCGATGCCCAACCATTCGCGGTGCTGATCGCTGCGTAGATCCGCGTGTACGCCATGGCCGACACGGACCGCATGTCTCCCGACGAGGCCGAGCACCTGGAGATCTACGACCCCGACCCTGCCGCACGCGTGCGCATGCGCAGCGTGAAGCTCTTCACGGACGGTGCTCTGGGCTCCTGGGGCGCAGCACTGTTGACGCCCTACTCTGACAAGCCCGGAGAGACGGGGATCATGCGCTTCCCTGAGGCCGAGTACGCAAAGATGGTGCGAACCTGGTGGGAGCGAGGTTGGGGGATCGTGAGTCCATGATCGCTCTCAAACTGTCATTCGATTTACCATCTTTTGCTCAAGAACACGCACGCCATCGGAGACCGCGCCAACAAGGCCGTACTCGACACGTTTGAAGAGCTGCTCAAGACCTCAGACGACAAGGAAGCGGTAGCAAGGAGGAGACCCCGCATTGAGCACGCGCAGATCATGCGCGTAGAAGACCTTCACCGCGCCGGCGAACTGGGAGGTACGTGTCTGGGAGGAAGGTACGAGATGAGTGAGCTGAAATCGCATCTCCACGCGCAGTTCTGACTAGCGTACAACCAACTCACGCAACGAGCGACATGTGGTACGCAGAGAAACGGCTTGTATGCACTTCTTTCTCGTGGGATGTTACATGTAATATTGCTCATACTACGTCCAGGGCCCGAGCGTATCCGTGGCGCATACGCCTACCAGTCCTCCTCAAGGCCTCGCCGAACGGCATTCTCCCGCTCGGCTCTGATTTCCCGGTGGAGGACATCAACCCCTTACTCGGCTTCTACGCTGCGGTGTCTAGACTGGATGTCGAGGGCAAGAGCCCCCACGGCGAAGACGGATGGTTAGTGCTGCCTCCTTAATTTTGCCTGGAGTCGGGGCTAATAGGACTTGCAGGTACTCCAGCGAGCGACTGACTCGTTCACAGGCCTTGAAGGGCATGACGCTCGACGCCGCATATGCCGCATTCGCGGAAGATACCCTTGGGTCGCTGTCCGCCGGGAAGCGTGCCGACTATGTGGTTCTTGACCGCAACATCATGGATGAGGAGGGTGCTTTCAGCGAGATCCTGGAGACGAAGGTGCTTGCGACCGTGGTGGATGGGCAGATCGTGTACGGGGGCATTTAATGCTTGATACCCTGCGACGTATACACGGCATCCGGTATGATATCTCGCGCTCTCAATTGTCAGAGGCAGTGTGCACAAGCAACTTGGAACCACATAAGCGCCTACTATAGACAATCCTTGAACGAAGCTGGCGCACGTCCTTCCAATAAGTACAAGCTCAATCGCCGTTAATCTCACACTAGAAGACCGCGTCTGAATTCTGGATCGTCGAGAAGAGTGCACGCATAATCATCTAATGATCTGGTGTAGGTTGGATTCCACTTCTACCTGGACCACCAGCAACCGCACTTGCATAATGGAGCACAACGTTGTGGCCGCAACGGAGGCAAATAAATCCGTCAGTCTGTCAGTACTGCGTCCCAGGATATAATTACCACCCGGCAAGTATGGGCGCCGAATACTCGTCGTATGTGATCTACACCAGATACGAAAGGTCATTCCCCCAGGGTGGCACGTGAGTGGATCATCCGTAGGAGTGAAAGTATTTGTCCGATGGCCGCCAGGCCACCCATAACCCAACCATTCGATTCAGAGAACGAAATTAGTCTAATATACATAGTGTATAGAACATGCCTGCGTCGTATATAGTCCGCATGGTATACAAGGGTTTCTACTTGGGCCCGCCCCCGGCGCGACGTAGTCGCGCGAGAGGTCGATCGTGCCTTTCAAGTGGGTGTTGGTGATGCGGACCTGCCGCTGCCCGGCGCGCTCTTCTTCCCCTTCTTCTTCGCCCCCGCGCCCGCCCGCAGCACCGGCGCGGCGGCCGCGGTCGCCTGGAGGCCCTCGGACGCAAGAGCCTTGAGCAGGTCGACGTCGTTCGGCACCTCGAGCTTGTGCCAGAGGTCGGAGAACTCTGCGCGGGGTAAGGCGGTGAGCGCGCGGGCGAGGCGGGGGGCGGCATACCTGTGTCGACGGCCATCCCGCCCTGATCCTCGACCGGCTTGACCTCGTTCCAGAACACCATCCGCATCTGGTTGTCCTTCATCGTCCGGGTGACGTACACCTCGCCCTCCTTCTCGAGCTCCTCGACCGCCTGCGGCGCCTCCTTCCAGCTCTCCTTGAGCGTGCGGATCGAGAGCCCGCCGCCCTTGCGGGTCTGGCGCTGGATCTCGGTGAGGAGGGCAGCCTTGTTGCGCACGTTGAAGTCGTGCTATCGGTGGTTGGACGTCTTGAGTAGTCCGGGGGAGAAGCGCAGGAGAAAAAGGAATCGACGCACCCGGTACGAGTACAGGTCCGTCTTGGGGTCATGGACGACACGATCGTGTCCCCTGAACTTCTCAAGAAGGACCTTGTCGGTGTCCACAGGCGTGCTCGTGTAGATGGCCAGGTCCTGGAGACGCATGGGGTTGCCATGAGACTTGAGGTGGTTTACGAGGTACACAAGCTGGGTGTTGATGTTCGTCCCCGAGCCCGTGTCGGCAGGCTGAGAGTAGACGATGTCTGGAGCAGGCGGTGAGAGGGGCGAGAGACGCGTTACGAAAAAGAAAAGAAAAGCGCACTGGACTTTGGCCGCTTCTTTTTCTTGGAGGACTCGCCACCATCCGACGGAGCCGCGGGTGCATGGGCAGGGGCGCCGGGCTGGAGAGGAGGGGGGTGGGAGTGCCAGGAGGTGTAGTCCTGGCGGTGGAGGGCGGTTTTGAAGGCGGCGACGTCGCGGGCGAGAGCCATGGGGACCGCGGGCAGACGTCGAGATGGTGGTGGAGGGCAAGGAGCGGGCAGGCTTCGCGGTGTGGGCGTCGCTTTGGATGCATTGCCGGGCGCCTGGGCCGGGACCGAGTCGAGGGGCTCGGAGTGAGCGGCTGGGTTGGGCTCAGCTTGGGCCCTCACGCTCGCCGCCTCTCCTTCGCTCCCTCAGGCCACGCCCGGTCCACGGCTGCGTCGTCGCCCGCCCAGCCCAGCATGGCCCACGGCGACATCGCCTTCTTCGCCCGTCCCGCCTCCGCCGCCGTCAAGATCTCCGCCCCGCCCTCCGACGAGCCCGCCAGTCCCCGGCCGGCCAGGCAGGGTCAGTCCCCGCTGCTCCCTGCCCCGTCTGCCCTGCTCACCCCGCGCAGACACCCCGCAGCGCCAGTGCAGGAATATTCTCATTTACGGGTGCGTCGTTCTGCCCCCGCGATCTCCAGTGCTTGAACGCCATCGGGTAGATCTTGCAAGTTTCAAGACAAGGGCTGTACCTTCTACCATCCTCAGGTCAGTTTGCCTCCCCCACCCGCATGCCCTCGCTCATGCCGATCGACAGCTTGAGGAGCCTTATTTGCCGTATGTGCCTCCCGGCGGTTTCGCACCTCTCGCCTGACCGCCTTCCAGATCGCCCGAGTCTCCCACTCCCCAGCCCGCCCTTCCAGCCCAGGCGGTCAACGCCCCCATTTTCGTCCCCAAGGGTCCCACCCAGCCCACAAGCCCTTCTCTTTCCGCCGCCGCTCCTGCCTTTGTCCAGAAGCACCCGTCTTCTGTCTCCTCGTACGTTCCGCGATCTCCCTTCCCTTCGTGCTCCGGTTTTCCAACGTGTTCTCGCGCACATGCGCCCATCCTCTTGCTGAATCTCCCATCAGGGAGACCTCCTCCGACCCCTCCTCTTCTTCCTACCCTTTGGAGCAAGAGCAGGAACCACCGACCTCTCCCGAGCCCGAAGAATACGATCCTTACAACCCCTACGCGTATGCAGGTCATAACGGCCACCTCCAGGACGATGGCAGCCAGCTGGTAGGATCTCACTCCCTTATCCTCGTTGTCTGCATGCTTCTAAATGTTTCCGATCCTAGTCCGCGCACAACCCATACGATGTCCCCCACGACCACATGCTAGGCTATGAAGCCGGCATCGATCCATTCTATCCGACGCCCATGCCATACTCTCGTCAACCGGTACCTCATCCCCCTCCCGGTCTTCCCCCACAGCGTTGATCCCTCCCCATCCCAGCTTAATTATCATCTATACACCCTACCTCGCCCAGAAGCCCTCGCCCATCGCTACTTCATCTCCGATGACGTTCGGGAGGAACTTCAGAAGCGCTCCGAGACCTTGCACATCGCTGCCCCTCCTGGATCGAACCTTCCGGAGGATCTGCAAGGCTATCACTCTCTCGTGCCCCTCGAGACCGTCGTCCCGGAGCGTCGCAAGTTTGGCAGCTGGTATTCGATGGTCTACCGCGCAGCCAGCTCGAACGATGGTGTGACCTACGTCCTCCGTCGCATGGAAGGTACGCTTTCGAGAGGCTCGATTTTGCCTGGATCGCTCTCATTCCGCTTTGGATCAGGTTTCCGGCTTATGCAACAATCGGCCTTTTCGAGCATTGAAAGCTGGTCTCGCCTGCGACACCCCAACATCGTGTCGGTACACGAGGCATTTACCACTAGGGCATTCAACGACTCGTGTACGTATTCTTGGTCGCAATCAGGTTACCTTGCTAAGTTCCTTTTCAGCTTTGGTCGTTGTTTATGATGACCATCCCAATGCACAGACCCTATACGAGACCCACATGAAGCCAAAGGCGCCTCAGTTCCAGAACGGTCGCCTGCAAGCGCAGTCCAACCGGGTCCCGAGCGCACAATCTGGTCTTACGTCATACAGATAGGGAATGCCATCAAGGCCGTCCATGAAGCTGGTCTCGCCGTGCGTCTTATCGAAGCCACTAAGATCTTGGTCACTGGCAAAAACAGGTACTTCGCATCTGCACCTAATCTTCCGCGGCCGCTTACTCTTCCAAGGGTCCGCATCGGCTCTTGTGGTATTGTGGATGTATTAATGCATGACATGCACTCGGACCTCGCCATGCTGCAGCAAGAGGATCTCCAGATGTTCGGCGCTCTGATCTTCCAGTTGTGTTCTAGCAGTATGACAGCCATGAACAACCCCGGCAAGGCCGTCGAGAACTTGAGCCGCAACTATTCGGCCGACTTGAAGAGCATCGCTCTTTTCCTGATCTCCAAGCCATCACCACTCAAGACTGTCGGTCATCTGTTTGACATGATGGTAGTCGCCTCCTCACGGAACTGGACGAGTCACAGAAGTAAGGGTGTTGTCACTTTCGCCGTTTCCTCTTACTCATCTTCCCCTAGCGCGGTCGACCGTCTTGAGGGTGAGCTGATGAGCGAGCTCGAGAACGCCCGCCTGTCCGCCTCCTCTGCAAGTTCGGCTTCATCAACGAGCGCCCCGAGTATGCTCTCCCCCTACACCCCATTCTTGCCTGCCTATCCGCTCACCTGTTGCCCTCCACAGGCACAACCACGAAACGCGCTGGTCCGAAACCGGCGACCGGTACATCATCAAGCTCTTCCGCGACTACGTCTTCCACCAGGTCGACGAGCTCGGCCGGCCCGTCATCAACCTGACCCACGTGCTCTCGTGCCTCAACAAGCTCGACGCCGGCACGGACGAGCGTCTCATGCTCGTTCCCGCGACGAGCAGAGCTGCCTCGTCGTTTCCTACCGCGAGATCAAGGTCTGCGTCGAGTCCGCGTTCGGGGAGCTCACCCGCGGCTAGCGCTCCCGAGCTGTGCATACGACGGCGGCCCCCACGGGCGTGCCATGGAGGCGGAGGCGGAGGGCTAGGCTTCGCAGCGACTCCGCGTGCGCGCACCACGGAACCACTTTTGTATACGCAGAAAACATGTAGAACCGAAAAAGACGCGGAAAATATAGCAAAACTCGACCCGTACGGCGCTGGTGTGGTCCAACATGAGTGGTTTCGTTGGAGCTTTTCCCATCCCAACGACCCGTGCTAGGGGTGGTTTGTGGATGATAATATGTTACCCCATCATCATATTTGACGACTATATGCGGCGCACGGAGACATATTTTCCAGACAGCGCAGTCTAGGTGGAGTACCCGGAGGCGCCCGAAGAGACGCTCGTGCGAAAGCACCAACTTCTGAAGTAAAAGCATCTTTGCGCTGTATCCTCTTTCTCTCATCAACCGCCAATTCCCTCGACAACCCTATCGTATTCTTCAACGATCGTTTCCTGTGCCATGCCCGGAGTTCGCACCAAGGCAAGTATCCTCTATTGGTCGAGCGCTCCTTCAGACACCCACCCGAAGCGCATATACTCACTCTGTTGAGCAGCAACAAAGTGGCCCCGAGGAGAACGGGCACGTCGTCCTCCACACGCCGTTTGAATCACTAGTTTACCCGTTCACAACAGATTGATGGCAGCCGTTGCCGCACAGATGCAAGGTGAGCGCATACACCCAGCTCTGAGCGCTCTGCACGTCTGACGAACCTGGACACAGCCTCCTGGGACAAGAAGCGCAAGGAGAAGGAGACTAAGTTCCTCCGCGACGCCACGTCCGAGCTCGACAAATGCGTACGTCCGTCGCTGATGAGGTCCGGCTGGTTTTGTTCAACCCTCTTTGGCAGATTGCGAACCGGGTGGATGAGTACAAGGCCGCCATGGCCGAAGTGTGAGCTCTCAATGCGATCGAGGCGCGCCGAATGTCTAACATTGGTAACCTAGGAACGGTGTATATGAGACTTTGTCCGCGAATATGCCCAGGTGGAGGACACATACGTGAGTGTGGGTTGAGCTGCTGAAGCATCAGAAGAAGCTGGCGGTGAGTGGATATAGGCATATTCATCCAGTCGCGCTGATGTTGCGTGCAGACTATCTCAGAAGAGAAGCACAAGGCCTCGCGAGACAACGATGCAGAACGGGAGAAAGCCCAGCTGGAGGCATTGGCGACGGCGAAGAGGGCAATCAGAGGTGCGTGCGATCACCATTGTTTCTTGCATGGTCCTCATTCCGCGACAGAGTTAGGAGCCTTGGAGCGACTCTAGCCGAGGATCGTTGAGAAAGTTGCTTGTGGTCAAGCAAAAGGACACGTACATACCTTCGCGCCAGTTTTTGCCATTTGTATCTCGTTGTTAAAGCTTTTGGCTCAATGCGGCTGTATATTATGAAGTCCACAACTTTTGCGACTGTTTCTCCGAGAAGCAAGCGAAGAGTGGGAAAGCGAGCCCTGGGCGCTGGAGCGGGCCTGGGGCCGGAGCGCACCGCGGGCGCCATCCGTCGTCCTCTGCGTCCTCGCCACTATATGCCCCGTCCAGCCTCGCGGTCCTCGCCTGTCCTCCTGCCCGCCTAACGATCTTCTCGCGGGCACGCAGTCCTCCGCCCCCCGGCTCGCTCAAAAGATCCCGCACGACGTCAGTGCACGCCCTTCGCATCCGCCCACTCGCTCACCCGCCCAGCAGGACGCTGTATGCCTTCGCACAATGACGACGTCCAACGACCCGCACGGCAGCGCGCGAACACGAGCATCCTCTCCTTTGGCTGGCGTCGCGGCGGCCGCCCCGAGCCCTCTGTCTCCGCCCCCGCCCCGCCCCTCGTCTCGTCTCCCCTGCAGTGGGAAGACCTGATCCAAGCGCTCACTCCTCCCGCCGTCCCCTCCCTCAGCTACGCAAAATCGCTCGCGAGTGCCCTCGGAGCCCTCGGTACGCACTCTCCGCCTCCCCGTCTCTCCGTTCTCCAGCCCGTCCTCGCCACCCTCTGCGCCCCCGACTCTCCCCCCGCTCTACAAACGGCCGGTTACGACATCCTCGCCGCCTTCCTCGAATCGGGACCCACAATCGTCTCGACTGCCGATCGCCTCTCCTGCCTCGCTCTCTTCCACGACGCACCATGGCTCCAGGAGCTCTGGGACTCGCGCACCAAAGCGTTCAAGGCCCTCATCAAGTCCGCAGAGCAGACCATCGGGATGGAGTCCCAGATCCTCCGCATGCTCGAGAGCTGGACCGAGCGCGCGTTCGACGGTCTCGTGAGCACCAGCACCAGGTCCGATGCTGCGCACGAGGACAGGCTCGAACGGCAGCGCAGCGTAGAAACCCTGATCGCGCTCCTCAACGCCGTCGTACGCAAGCCCGAGCTCGTCGCGCGCCTCACGGACGAAGACACTATGGGCGTGCTCCAGCATTGGGAGCGCCTCCTCGACAAGGCGTTGGCCGTCCCCAGCGATTTGCGCTCTCGCCCTCCACTCCCCCTCCTTGAACCGCAGTCTTCCAAAACGATGACGCCGCCCAAACTCCCGATTGCCCACCGGCGACATCACTCTTCCACCTCCCTCCCGAAGCTCTCCTTGCTGAAGCACCCCGCGGACCTCATCGTCGAGGCCTACCTTATCTATCTCACCGAACGACTGATGCTCTTGCACACGCCTACCTCACGACCCTCTTACCTCTGCTCTTCCGCGCATGGCTTTCTACTCCACCCCCCTTCCTCGGCTCTCCCTCCAGCCGGCGCACTCCCACCAGAACAGCCTCGAGCAGCGCATATCCGTCGTCCTCGCAAAGCTGGTCGGCGGGCCCTACGCGTCCGCGTGCAAGCTCCTCATGAAGCGCCACTTCTTCCCCTCCTCCGAGGCCGGCTTCCCCGCCTCCGTTCAGACCTCGACGGGCGCGCTGCGCACTCTCCGCCTCTCGGTCCGCGGCGTGCTCGAGAGTCGGCTCGCGCGTGCGTACATCGAACACATGTCGTCGGTCGCCTACTCACCCGCCGGGCTCCCTGCGCACCTCGCAGTGGAACGCGGGCTGATGGAGCGCGCGTGGGCCAAGGACGAGACGTCCGCGTGGGAGCTCACCCGGTTCGCGAACGTGCTCTCGCGCGCGACGCGTGCGTGGATCTCGCAGATCCAGGAGGTCTATTCGACCGAGGTCGCGCCGCGCAAGGAGGACGTGTTGCTCGAGATCGCGGCGATTGTCAAGGACGTCATCCAGGCGATGGAGGAGCGCAGCGAGGGCGAAGAGGTCGACGACGAAGAGGTCGAGGCGGTGGGGCGCATCACGCGGGAGCTCGCCATATACGTCCGGTCGCAGAAGTGAGTGTTCAGGATCGGCTCGAGACTTCGTGGTTGACGCCCTTACCAGGACAGCGAACCGGGAGCTGGTGCCCATATCCATCCTTCGCCCAGAAGGCTCGTCGCCGTTTCTCACTGCCGTGGCCACGATCCTCTCCTCGGATCTCAAGATAACCCCGCTATTTCCTGTGCTACCCTCCATCATCCTTTCCGTCGGTGACCACCTACCCGATGCCGATCTATGCAATGTACTCGTTGTTATGGCCGAGCGCCAGAGCTTCTCGCCCACGTCTTTGTCCTGGCTTGACAACTGGAACAGTGTTTTGTCACTCTCAAGTCTGTTCATGCGATCACGGACCCGGACACGAGAACAGGCTATGGGCCATCTTCAATCCGTTTGGGAGTTTGTGAAGGACATCCCGGCATACCGGAAGCCGCTGGCGACTCTGGTCTTCGATGTGTGGAAGCGACACTCCGCGGACGAGCTGGAAGACTCCAGTGCGCTCGTCGTCTGGAACTTGTTCGCCGACGAGGCCGTCCTCCGCCTCGTCGAGAAACACGTAGACGACTCTAGCACGGAGGCGTGCGAAGCGGAACCTGGGTTCTGCGAGGACATCCTCAATTTCCTGCTCACACTGGCGCGCGAGGCGCGACAAGACGACGAAGATGACGCGGCGTCGATCATGACCGTTGAGTCTGCAGGGCCGTCTCCTCCGGTCTTCAGCCCCTCCACAGCGACGACCTCTCCGACCCTGTCGCGGATGACCACCGTTACCGACCACTCAACGCCATCACGAGAGAACCCGAACTCGTTCATGAACCTGATCTCCTCATTTACCACCGCCATGCCCTCACGCTCGACCTCCAAGCCTCGTCGCACCACAAACGAGATGCCCGCCCCTATCGAAATTTCCCCACCTCTCCCCTCAGATCCCTACACATCAACACCCCGTTCGGTGGGCGCTGTCATCGCCCTTGTCTCCGTGTTCACCCAGCTCGTGTTCACCCATCTCGCGCTGTCCCAGTGCAGCCTGAGGCACGCGAAGCGCGCCTTCCAGCACCTCGTGGAGCTCAGCAGCGGCGCCGGCTGCGTCCGCGCCCGGCTCGTCGTCCTCCAGTTCCTCATGCGCCTCCGTGTCGACCGCGACCACCGGCTCTACTTCGCGCTGGAAGAGTACGACAAGGACGGTCACGTTGCCTCTCTCGCCGCGCTCGTCGGCCGCGCGGAGCTCGGACAGGGCACCGTCGAAGACATGCTCAAGGACGACGACTTCCGGCGGCCGCAGGCGCGCGTACCTGGGGAGCGCGACGGGCGGCGGTCATCGCGGGGACGGGGCGGGCAGCCGCGCATGGACGGGAGCCGGAGCCGGTCGCGCGTCCCCGCGGTACGCGCGCTCGCGCCGACGCTCACCAAACCGAAGGCGCGCGAGCCGATGTGGGCGCTGCCGGAGGTGCTCTCGTTGTCCGTCGCGGCGTCGGACGTCGCGAGCGAGGGGATGATGTCGTACGACCCGGCGAGCCCCGGGCAGGGCGACAGCGTGCTGCAGTCATCGCTCTACCTCGCGAAGATCATCGAGCTCATCGAGACGGAGAAGGAGTGGGAGATCCTCTCGTACATCCTGTGCCACCTGCCACGCAACTCGCGAACAAGCACCTGTTCTGCGGCCCACGCTCGAAGAAGACCGTCTCGGGGCTTCTGGCGGTGCTCTGCACCGGACTCTCGGAGGGCACGCTCGGGCGGCAGATCGAACGGTGGCCAGAGGGCATCATCTCGCGCGACGCGCAGGGGCTCGCCTTCCACACGCTCACGGTGCTCATCAGCTACCAGCGCTGCTTTGAGAACGCACAGCCTTGCACCATCTCGTCGAGGTCCTCCTCCTCGGGCTCAGCGGGCAGCCATCGACGCAGAAGTGCTGCCTGCACGCACTCTCGCTGTGCGCGTTCGAGCTGCAGCCGTCGATGACCAAGTACCTCTCGCGCATCATGGAGAAGCTCTCGCAGATCATCTCGAACCCGGCCGTCGCGGTCCACATCATCGATTTCCTCGCCATCGTCGGCTCCCAGCGCGCGCTCTACGTCAACTTCAACGAGTCCGACTTCAAGATGGTCTTCGCCGTCGCGCTCAAATATCTCGAGCACCACAACCGGAACGACGGGTCGCTCTCACTCCCTGGGCGCTCTCTCAGCACGTCCGCATCATGTCCTACTACATCACCTACGAGTGGTTCCTCGCCGTCGACATGCCCGACCGCCACCGGCACGTCTCGTACATCGTCCGACAGCTCCTGCTCGCCAACGGCGGCAAGGGCGACGTCGACGCGGCGACCGAGGTCGCGTTCGACTGGCTCGCGCGCTACACGTACGCGAGCGCGGACCCGCGCCCGTCCACGTCGACGCTCGACAGCCTCGTCATGGATGAAAGCCTGCAGGCAGCACGCGCGGAGCCCGCCCTCGGCGAGAAAACGTGGATTCTAGGGAACTCGATCGTCACCATCCGCGCGCTCGCAAAGCGCGGCTGGATCGAGGTCCTCTCGCGGCGCCCGTCCGGGCTCACCAAGTTCCTTGTCCGGTCCGAGAACGTGCCGATGGTCCCGCTCGGCGACGTCGACCCGGACCTCGTCTCGCTCTCCGCGATGTTCATGATGGATCGGGAAGACGACGGGGACCCGGTGACGGCCGACGACTCGACGGAAGACCTCAACGGAAGCGTCCCCACCCTGGTGCGTACCTTTTTCCCTTCGCCCTCGGGATGCCGTTTGATGTCGTGGTATTCCGACAGAAGGACGTCACGGACGAACTGCGGCAAGTCGCCAACGGCGAACAACGTCGACAGCCCGACCCCATTACCGGCTACGTCTGGAGTCGCAGCGCGCCGTCCCAGAGGCGGAAAGAGGTCGCGTTGACCCGAGTTACTTGCGCTGCAGCTTCGCCATATCCAGACAGGCGACCATGGGCACCGGACACCTCATCAAGGACACGAACAAACTCAATACATTTTGAGGACGTTCGATAGGAAGCCGTTATCGACACCATAAAGTCGGCGTGATGTACGTGGCGCCCGGCCAGGAGGAGGAGGCCGAGATTCTATGCAACACGCATGGCTCCCCGCATACACGCGCTTCCTCGAGGCCTCGGCAGGCTCATCTACCTCCGCGGCCAAGTCGACGTCTATGACGGTGGGCTCGACCCGACGTGGACGGCGAGTACGCGTACGCATGGTGGGACGACATCGGCCAAATCCTCTTCCACACCGCGACGCTAATGCCGACGGGCGACGACCCGCGCGGGACGGCGAAGAAGGCGCACATCGGGAACGACCTGGTCCGGATCGTGTGGAACGACTCGGGAAAGCCGTACCGGTTCGACACGCTCAAGACGCAGTTCCAGTTCGTGAACGTCGTCATCGACCGCACTCGCGCGGCGCGATCGCCGCGTTCTCGGACTCGGTGCACGAGCACGAGTACTTCAAGGTCACCCTCCAGCGCGCGCCCGGCATGGTCGAGTTCACGCCGATCGGCGACTTCAAACTCATCTCGGCCGAGAACCTGCCGAAGCTCGTGCGCCAAGTCAGCCTGCTCTCCGACTGGTTCGTCTCCGTCTGGCAGGCGACCGGCATGAACACCCGCCAGGAGGAGGTCGTCACGAACTGGCGCGCCCGGCTCGACGACATCCGCCGCTTCCGGGACCAGGTCATCGCCGCGGAGCCCGTCCCCGAGCCCGAAGACACGCTCACGCAGCAACAGCGGTTACGAGACTTCACGACAGCTTACTGAGCGAGCACGGCGCCGACGACGAGACGGATGACATTCATGATATTCTTTTCCTCCGGTTGCTTCCTTCAGTCACGCTCCTTTGCATAGTACACATATGTATATCGTCCTGTTCATCACGCCCCGTTCTTCTCGCATTGTAGCATCCATGTTCTACCGCACGTCACCACCCTAGTCCGCCCATCCGGTCCAAGTAGTTGGATAGAAGCACAAACACTGTATTCCGTACACCACGTCGCAGTAATCCAAGCAGTCATGTAAGATCAATCACGTCTTCCGGCTCGTACACCTGTCGCGGCGGCCTGCGCACAGCCTCCATCGCGGCAGGCTGAGGGAGTGACGTGGAGGTGGTCTGCGTAGGTTTGAACTTAGCCTTCGCCCCAAGCAGAGGAGCCGACTTGGTCGGCCGCCGCTGAGGGGTAACAGGCCTTCGTCCTCTGAGCCGCTTGATATCGAGATGATAGACAAGTCTGCCGGGAACGGGCGGGCTTCGCCGCGAGGGGGCGGGCGGGAGGCCTGGAAACCTGTTTTCGCGCAGGTGGCGAGGGAGAGCGGGCCAGACCCTCTGCTTCTTCCTGACCTCTTGTTCCGCTTTCCGCGCGACACGCGCGCTCCCCGGAACATCCTTGACGGCTGTCGCGGCTTCATCGGCGACGGGGACGGCGCGCGGTCGGACTCGGACGACTCTTCTTCCTCTTCACACCGCAGCGCGTCCGCGACCTTCGCCTTCGCCGTGGGGGACGAACGCGGGACTTGTGCTTCTCAGACCGTCGCGGCGACTTTTGCAGCGCTTGTCGCGCGGCATCGGAGTCGTCCGACGCCGTGAGCGAGGTGCGGGTGCGGGTGCGGGGCGAGGACGAAGAGGACGAGGCCGTCGGGCCTCGGTTCGACGTGGCGTTCGTGGTGAAGGGGTTCTCGTCCTCGTCTTCGCTGTCATCTATGTCAAGGTCTTCTCCGAGCTTGTACTGCTCAAAGTCCATAGGGAAGGGTCGGTATGAATGTTCTGTGGATTTTGACGATAATGGGACACGCGACGACGATGACGAGCCTTGGGACGACGAGGCTGAAGGCAGGTTGTCGAGATAGCTGAGGAGATTCGAACCCGACATTGCAGAACCGGAACCGGAACTCGGCGCTGTGGATGAGACTGGAGGCTTCGCCGCCGCACGAGCTTTGGGCTTTGGTTTGCGTGGCCCCTCCATGTCTGCGGGCTCAGCCGGGAGGCGTTGAGAACTAGGCAGCTCGAAGTCCTTGAAGAGATCCGCTACCCTGGACGCAGTTGAAGTGGCGACTTTCGCGGAGTCACTCGTCGTTGTCACTTTCTTCGCTGCATAAAACTGGCTAATCTTGGATGAGTCCTCCTTCCCGGCCACCTTCCTCGTGTTCTCCTTCGCCGCTGTTGCCTCCTTGGTCGGTCTCCTCTTCGGCGCTGCTTTGCTAGGACTATCTATCTCAGCGTGCACCGTGACCGAAGAAGGTCTTGCTTTCGAAGGTGAAGGTCCCGCATCCGACTCGGACTCTTCTTCCTCTTCGGCCAGAGCCATTACGGAGGGTAACTTGCGCAAGGCGGCCTTGCTAGCTCCCTTCTCCTTCGTCGCCTCCTTCGCTTTGCCCTTGCCGGCTTTCTTGTCCGCCTTCTTCTGCCGCACGCCTTGAAACTCCTCTACTAGCTGTGGCTCGACTATGTCGACCATACACGCCGGCAGCCAGATCCGCACGTGGCTGTCTGGATCGGGCGGGGGCTTCTTCGTCCTCTTGCCCTTCTTGCCCCCGCCCTCGTCGTCGTCATCCTCGTCGTCCGACAGGTCTGGGGGAAGCGCGGTCCTCAGCCCCCGAATGCCCGCTTCGCAGAGCCGGACGAGCTGGGCAGGCGCGACCTCGAGGCGATACTCAAGCACGTCGTCCGTCGACGCATGTTGCCTTGACGAGTGGATCCTCACGATGAGCCGCTCCTCGTCTTCGTCTTCATCTTCGCTGTCTCCGCTGCGCTGCGGGCTGTCGAGCGCCATAGTCGAAAAGTGCTTCGCGATCATGCTCGAGGGCGTCCCTGGCGGCGCCCGCCTCTCCTTCCCGTCCTTCCTCGGCGTCGCCGGCACGGCCGCGGCCCTCTTCCGCTGCTCGCCCCTGTCGCGCAGAATCGCGGCGCGCCTCAGGATGCGGAGCACCGCGGACGGCCACAGCACCGTCCTGAACCGCTTCACGATCACCTCCCGCAGCCCCCACTCGAAGTACATCTCGCACAGGCCCGCGATGCGCCCCAGGTCCGGCTCCCGGTCCCAGTCCACGTTCGCGTTCCGGTGGCCCGCGCCCTTCTCCTCGCTCGTCGCCGGGCGCGCGTACGACAGCAGCACGTCCACGTCCGGGAAGTCCTCCCCGAGCGCCTTCGCGAGCGCCGGGCTCTTCCGCGGTAGGCACCCGCTCGCGTTCGCGCGCAGCTCTGCGCGCACCCCCGCGCGCCAGCCCACGAGGAAGTCCGCGAGCTCGTCGCGCGGGAGCGTGCGCGCGGCGTCGAGCAGGCGGTCGCCGAACCCTGCGCGCGCGAGCCCGTGCGCAGTCGCGACGCCGCAGCCGTGCAGGCCCGGGGAGTAGTCGCCCCCGCGGAGGACGCCGAAGAGGACGAGGCCGCCCTGGGTGAGGCCGATGTCGCGGTGCGCGAGGAGGTCCGCGGCGTGGTAGGTCATCACGTGGTTGCCGTCCTCGCGGCCGTCCGCGTTCTTGAGCGAGTGGCTCTTGTTCCCCGTCAGGGTCGTGCTCGGGCTGTGGAGGACGAGGGCGGGAGGAAGGCATGTGCGTCAGTGGCGGCGGCGGAAAGGGCTCGGAAGGGAAAGTGGTATGAGAGAGACTCACTTGCGGACGACGAGTTGGGCACCGAAGAGGAAGGTGTCGACGTCGTCGGAGAGAATGCCATCGATGACGCCAATGCGGTTCAAGTAGGCGAGTTCCGCCTCGGCTTCTCCTGGGGCCTGTTCAAACACCCAGTTGGTTAGATTGTTCCTCAGAGCCACCCGAGCCACTGACCATTCGCCACTCGAATCCGAACGCAGCGATGATCTCCTGCATGCCCTGGACCATCCAGTGGTTCTTGCCGCTGATACGTTTGCCTCTCTTTACTTCTGGACGCTTCGGACCGTCGAAGACAAACAAGGGCAAGAACGGCATGCTCATGAGGCGAGTGCATCTGAAAAAGAGCGTTCGAAGCTCGGGGTTCTCGCCTTCGCGGCCATAGGTGGCATGGTAAAACCAGATACTGGCGTCGATACCGACGCGGAAGCCGCGTTTTCCGTCGGGGTTCGCCTCAAACCCGTCCTTCACGGCGAGGTGGGTCAGAGAACGCGGTTTGCCTGCTGGGCGGAGAACCTGGTTTTGGATTAGCTGGAAGATCCATATGCCACGTCAAGAGATGACGCACATCCCAGAGACCTGCGACACCCATTGTAGTACAGGGCGTATGTGCGAAGGTGCTCCGGTAAGAGCTCAAGGTCGAAGTAAAGGCGACTGTTTCAGAGACGGAGAAAGAAAAGGTGCTGCTTGAACACACCCGTTGGCGTCTAAGTTCGTGTCGCGACGCGTCGAGTCACAATCACGTGCGCTCATTACGACTTCCCGCAGCGTTCCCATTGCAACGTAACGTTAACCATGAATAATCCCATTCGCCTCTCACGGTTCCGGCGAACTGGTTCACTTAATAAACCGGAGGACATTTCCCCCACTAAACACCATACAATCGCCACCTTGTTAAACGCACCATAGCGAATCGATACCTCGTCCGGAGCCGGCAGCGTAATGCTCATGAGCGCTTGAGCTTGGGCACATAGTGTCTGTCATTCTATGTAGAAGGTTAAGTTTAATAAATCTCGGGTAGATACGCGGCTTCAGAAGGTGGCAGAATCTAGAATACGTTCTGCTTGGATTCGAAAGGAGGATCTATTTCGAGAGCCTCGGTTGGCACGACAATATGGAAAGGCATCGAGCGATTTATGCCCAACCGCCACCTTGACATATATCCCGATTCCTGACGTTCATACTTGGCTCGACTATGGGGAGTCACGTGTGTATTCGGCCCGTGCTGCCGAGGTGAGAGAGAGAGAGAGAGAGCTCCGAGAACCTGTCGTCCGCCTGCTCGCATTGCCCGCTTATCTCGAGATGTTCTATACAGTGCCTTGGTAAGCGTGATACGGCATACGGTGAGCAGATGATGCGATCTACAGAGCTGGCGTGTGGCATGTGCGGGCGCGCATCATTGGAACACAGGAGGTCACCGTGGGCGAGCGAGCCGCAGCGACCGGTCAGAGCGTCCGAGGGGGCAAGTTAGGTGCGAGGAATTGTCACCGGAGAACCGGAGGCGGCGTGTGAGGTCGGGACTGTGTGCGACGACACGCCTTGGGAAGATGGGGCGGTGGCAGAGGACAGCCGGGCGGCATGTATGTGGGATTCTGTTGCAGGACGAGGCAGGAGGAGGCGCATCCATCATCGCTACGATTGGCAAGAGGTAGATCTAGATTCCACACATCACAAGCACATACCTGGACCACCACGCGCGGGAGGACATTGAGCGCACCAGAAAGTGTCCCGACCAATGCAGTTGAAACGCGGGAAGGGTTCACAGCCCAGAGCGCTCCGGACGGGAAGAAAGGGAAGGTCTGGGTAGACCAGTGGCGAAGGGCGGTGATGCTGCGTCCGGATGTCGAAGGAGGCGTACATGTGGGCGAGGGCGATGGATGATCAACGGATGGTCGGATCAGCGCACCATCTCCTCTGCGATGCGCGCGGGGCAATTGTGCTCCTGAACGGCCGAGGCCTGAGGCCTGAAGAGGGACGATGAGCTGGGGGCGGAGGGCGAGGATGGCTGCACCCACCGAGTCTATTTCCAAGCCTCCGCTCGGCTCACGCCCGTGCTGCGGCTTCACCCGCATGCCTGCTGCAGCGTGCGACGACGGCCACGGCCTCTTTGCGCATCGGGCGGGGAGACAATACTGGTGCATTGACCGTTGTATGCGCGGGGAGTGGCGCCAAGAATAGGCGAGGGTGGAGAGCGAGGCTCAGCGCTCAGCGCTCAGCTTGGACGAGCGTCCGCCGCGGCAGGCCAGGGCAGGCCAGGGGCAGGGCGTCCGACAGCTTGTTCCATAACCTGCTCCTCCTCCCCCACCGCCCTCTGCGCCGCTCGCCGACCACCTCAGAGTCCGTCGCCGTCCGCTGTCCGAGTGCCCCAGTCTGCTGGTCGGATCCGTCCCAGCCCAGACCCCCCGCGCCGTTCACTAATGGCAACCGCCTTCGCCCACTCCCCGCCCACCCCGGCTCAGTCCTCGCCCTTCCTCTCCCCTGGCTCCCCGCCACAGCAGCTCCGACGCCCCATCTCAAGACAGCGCTTCATCCAGGACTTCTCCCAATGTCTCTTCGAGTTCGTCATCCAGCTCCTCCCCACCACCGAGGAGATGGCCGTCAAGGAGGACGTCCGCAAGCTCCTCGAACGCCTCATCCGCACAATCGAGCCAGATAGCAGGCTGCTCTCCTTCGGCTCCTCCGCCAATGGCTTCAGCCTCAAGAACTCCGGTCCGCCCTCTTATTCCTCGCCATCGCATGCCCTCAGCTGATCCCCCGTGCCACCTCCAGACATGGATCTCTGTTGCCTTATTGATGCTGGAGAACGACTAAATGCGTCGGATCTTGTCACCATGGTCGGGGATCTACTTGAGCGAGGTCCGTATACTCTCTTTATCGTGGTCGATCCCCCGCTCATCGCGTTTACGATCCAGAAACCAAGTTCCATGTCAAGCCACTCCCCCATGCACGAATACCCATCGTCAAGCTCAATCTTGACCCTTCTCCCGCCCTACCCTTCGGCATCGCGTGCGACATTGGATTCGAGAACAGGCTGGCTCTGGAGAACACCAGATTGCTCATGTGCTACGCGTCTGTCGACCCCGCACGAGTCCGAACAATGGTCCTCTTCCGTACGCACCGTTCTTTACGTATTGTCAACCCGCGCCAAGCTCATGTCCTCTTACCGCAGTCAAAGTTTGGAGCAAGCGAAGGTACATCATCATCACCCGCACGGACCCAAACCCTTCACTGATGCCTCTTCAGAAAAATCAACTCGCCCTACAAAGGCACATTGTCGTCATACGGCTATGTGCTCCTTGTCATTTACTTCCTTGTACACGTCAAGAACCCACCTGTATTGCCTAACCTACAGCAAATGCCGCCATTGCGGCCTATCCCCGATGTCAGTTCACCGCCGAACCTGATCATGCCCCTTCCTTGAACTCATCTCGACTACTACAGGAGGAGTCTCATCTTAATGGGTATAATATTTGGTAAGTGCAACGCGATGCACCACCTCACATCCGATGCTGACTCTCGTAGGTTCTTCGACGACGTCGAGCTTCTGAGGCAACGATGGCAGTCTTCGAATGCTGACACTGTCGCCGACTTGTGCGTCCATTCATCTCTCGTGTTATCCATTGAGCTTCGCTTACAAGGAACTGTAGGTTGATTGACTTCTTCAAGTTCTATTCTCGTGACTTCACATACAACATGGGAGTGGCCTCAATTCGGGCTGGTTTGTTGAAGAAAGATGACAAAGGTTGGCTTAGCGAGGTGTGTTTGCGGGCTCAGACAAATATGTCCTTTCCCGGCTCATAGCGTTCGGACAGGACTACGGCACCGGTCGGGAGCGAAATCGCTTGTGCATCGAGGTAAGGTGGCATGTTCATGTTGTAGGGCACGGCTCACTCACTATCTGCAGGATCCGTTCGAGACGGATTTCAACGTTGCACGATGTGTAACCAAAGATGGCCTCTACACCGTGCGCAATTTCTCCTTATCGTCAGCTCCATCATCTGACATATCCTCTAGATCCGGGGAGAATTCATGCGAGCGTCAAGAATCCTACAGACCCGGCCTGAGAGGGCGATTCTCGCTCTTGCGCAACTGTGCGAAGAGCGCAAGGAGGAGACGCTTGGTCCACCTCCGCCTCCGCCTCAACCACGGTCAACACCGTCATCGTCGACGTTCACGTCAACACGATTGACCTCCATCCCTCCACAGACGCCATATACGGTCGGTAGCAGTCCGATGCGCCCAAACGGTGTCCCGGTACCCGCGCCCGAAGACATCGCCTCCCTGCGCAAGTCAGACGCACTGTCGCCGACGTCACCGGCCTTATCGTCTCCGAGTGACTCGCCGGGGCGTACAGCTGCCGTGGTGCCGAAGGATTCCACGCTACGCCTACCCATAGACAAACTTGACCACATGGCGCCGATACGGAGCAAATGGACAAGCCCTCCGCCACCAGATGCACCAGAGGAAGACCACTCGGCTTTCGAAGACCGCCTCGGCCAGGGCATCGCCCTCGCCACAATATCCACTGCACCACGACTGAGAGAGCGGTCATACGCCTCCTCTAACGCGAGCGAGACGCACACGGATGATGAACGCCAGTCGATAGCAGAGTCGGACGACGTGCGGTCAGTCAAATCTTACCTTGAGGAAGGTGCGGTACACTACAGCAGGGAGTTCCGTGAGCGCGAACGCCAGCTCGCAAACCTCCACGCGCAGCAAGCAGCTCTGCAACAACGGTTGCAGCAGCAGTACGGTATCGAGCCTTCAAGCCCTGGTATGAGCGCTGCTCCTGCCAACTCCAGGCTAGAGGGCGGAGTGGACGTCAAGATGATCTCGCGTCTGCGCGGACGACCAGCAGCACGGTCGGGCCAGCCATCCAACGGTCCCGTCCCACCGACGAACGGACGGTCGACACCCAGCGATCGGAGCGACGACTTTACCCCGCCACCACGGATAGATGCGCATACTCCGCGCCGGTCCATGTCCTTCCCCGTCCGCAACCTCAACCGCTTCTCGCTCCCCGCACAAGGGTTCCCGAACCCGCTTGCTCCCGCATATCACGCACACATGTCCCCCACACTCAGTAACGTCCCGCCCCGTTACGTCCTGTCTAACTCCGCCGAGGCGCAAGCACAGGCGCAAGCGCAAGCAGCGATCCAGGCGCAGACCCAGTCGAACGTCTACTATGAGGCGATGCCCCCACGCGAGCGAATGCTCCGCGCGATGGCTGCCTACAGCCCGCAAGTCCACTTCACGTCGCCTCAACCAACGTACGACCCGCTTTCACATATGTACGCCACTGGGTCGAGCATGAGCACAAGCCAAAGCCGGAGCGCGAGTCGAAGTCGGAGCAGGAGCAGGAGCAGGAGCCAGGAGAGGTCACCCATCACGATCCGCCGGGTAAGCGCGTCGGGCGCAGCTGAGGAGGTCATCGCGGGCCCGTCACGGCTGCCCGCCGACGCCCCCGTGTCTCCGCATCCTGATGCCGCTGCGCGCATGTACTCGCACCAACACTCGCACTCGAGCACGACGATCACCGCGCCGACGCCCCCCGCGCACGTGCACCACTTTTCTGTTGCGCTCCCGCCCATCGCCGCAATCCCGCCCACGTCCGGCGCGACGCTTGGCCCGCGCCACTCGCATGAGCACTCGCGTTCGCGCTCCCCACCTTTTCTGCCCGGCCAGCGCCATCCACCACATCCGTACGCCTTCCCACAGGCGTACGGCGGCCAGAGCCCGCGCATGGGTGCCGCGAACCTGCCCCCACGCCTACGCGCCGACCGTGAGCGCAGCTTCGGTGCCGTCAACGGCGTCCCCGCGAGCCCTTCGCCCAGAGCGCGCGCCGCTCCGCTGCCCCCAACCACCGCCGCCGCGCACGCCCACACGCACATTCCGCTCCCCGCATCCTCGCCAGCCTCGCTCCGGCCGGCGTCGCAGCACTCACACTCGTCCTCGGGCTCGGCCTCGCCGCCGACGTCGTGCGCAAGCCTCAGCCTCTCGCTTGGCTCGCAGTCGCAGTACGCGGGCTCGTCGTCCCCACTCTCGACCTCGCCACCGTCGCCCGCGCAGAGTGAGGCGGCCAAGGCCGGCGGCGGCGCCGAGCGCGCGATGCCGCTCCTCGACGGGCTCGCGCCCGCGTTTGGGCTCCAGCGGCTCGAGGAGGAGGTGCAGACACCAGACAAGGACGCGGCGACGCCGGTGCCGGTGTCGAGTGCGTCGTCGCCCTCAGCGGCGGTTGCCGTTTTGCCCGCCAAAGGCGGGGAGGTCTTGGATTCTGCACAAGTTGTGCCCGAGCTGCCTAGCCTGGAGGTCCCGGCACCGACACCAGCACCAGCATCCTCGCAACTCGCGGCAACACCTGAAGTGGTCGTATGTAGTGCCAAGCCTGCTGCTGGAGCCACGCAAGGAGCTTCATAGCTCGTGGTGCATACAGCAGTTACTGCCGTTCACGCTCCCCGCGCGTCCTCGCGAGCGCACCAAGGTGCGCGGGAGGCCCCGAGCCTGGTTCTGCAGCTAGCAATAGCCACACAAGGCGTACATATCACTTCCGTGTCATCCCGGAGTCTTGCATACGCCCGAAGCATCCAACGATGCCCTCTCTCTCCGTCTCACTCTCGTCGTCTCCCGTCTCATTCTCTCTCTCTCAACCAAACTCCGAATCAAGGCCAATAGTTTTCCGCCTTCGGTACATCCAAGTCTCCCGCGTCCAAGTGCTCCGCTGTCTCTCGCCGCTATATTCCCCCCACCAAGCAACCAAACGCCCGCCTACATTATCGCATTGTCGCCCTCGCATTCCGTCTACTCGAGTCCCACGTCGCCCCGTACGCGTCGAATATGCTATTCGCCACCGCTGCTCCCGCCTGCTGTTGCGCATCTGTACATACCACACGCCCGACTCCTTCCCTTCCCTCTCTCCCCCATCCCCATCCCCATCCCCGATCCCTCTCCTCCCCAATCGCCAACGCCCCTCCCCAGCCTCACGCTGCACTCATGCAGCGCTCCCCCACCCGCTACCCTACCCGACTGCATAATCCCCTCCCCGCATCCTCGAGCGAGCCGAGCGCCCCAGCCTTGAAGCTCGAGCCTGAACGCCACTCCACGCAGAGCCGAACGGGTGGTGCTGGCACACACTCCGAGCACTCGATGCCGTCGTCCCGTCCCCCGATCTGCACGCCCGCACGCCCCTCGACTCCCTCTTGGTACCACGCCCACGTCCCCGTCGCCGGCAGGCTGGTCGACTACCGCACCCACTCCCTTGACGCCCACGCTCCCCCACCGCAATCCGCTCCGCTCCGCACACGCCCTGCTCGGTAGGTAACTTGCACGCCGCAGCACGCCGTGTGTCCCCTGGCCCCCGACTGGCATACCGTGTACCTGTGTAGTATACCGTCTCGTATGCGCCCATGACAATGACATGCCGCTCACTACACTGCGTTTCACGCTCGTCTACGAGACCGGGGGTGCCGTTGCGTTCAGCACTGATGAGCCTACGGCCATTGGGTTGAGAGACTCCGAAACCAATCAATAGCGTGGATTGAGAGATTAAGGTAGGAACACAAACATTGCAGTCTACAATTACATCCGTAAGCCGAATCCAATAGCAAGCGATCTGTCCATCCACCCATCCAAGCTCACAGCCGGCTCTCGAGCCCGGCGACGACGACGTCGCGGCGCCAGGAGAGCACGCCCTTGCCGAACGCGGCCTCGAGCACGTCCTCCATCGAGCGCACGAAGACGATCTGGACCTCGGCGCGGACCTCGAGCGGGACGTCGTGCTCGACGTCCTTGCGGTTCGCCCAGGGGAGGATGAGCTTCGCGACCCCGGCGCGGTGCGCGCCGAGCACCTTCTCCTTGATCCCGCCCACGGGCCCGACGCGCCCGCGGAGCGTGACCTCGCCCGTCATCGCGACCGACGCGGGGACGGTCGCGCCCGTGAGGAGGGAGACGAACGCGCAGGTCTGTGGGGAACGCAGATGCCAGAAAGAAAAGGGAGCGAGACGGGTGAGACGAGAGCGGAGATAGAGGGGCAGATGGGACGCACCATCGCGATGCCCGCGGACGGGCCGTCCTTCTTGACCGCGCCGGAGGGGAGGTGGAGGTGGATGTCGATCGGGTCGGGCACCTTGAGCGGGTCCTGGGAGCGGAGCTTGGTGATGTACAGGTCGAACGCGTGGCTCTTGACCCAGCTCAGCGCGAGCTCGCCGCTCTCCTTGATGACCTGCGTTCGTGTGTATGGATGAGCTTCGCAGTCGAACGGCGTGCAACTTGCTGTGAAGCACTGACCTCGCCGAGACTGCCTGTGAGCTTCAGCTGGCCCGTGCCGGGCACCGCCGTCGTCTCGATGGGCAAGATCCCGCCCTCGCCCATGCCTGTAACGACGAGGCCATAAATGAGGCCGCGCCTCTCCTCCCGATGCATCTCCTCCTCGTCCCACCGTGCGATGCCGAGGATCTTCTCTAGCTCATGCTCCTCCACCAGCTTGCGGTACACCCTGCCCAACTTCTCCTGCGCCTCAGGCGCGGGCACTTGCGAGACGTCTGTGATCCCGGTGACGTCCGAGAACTCCGCCCATTCGACGGCCTTGTAGCGGACGACGGCGGAGATCGCGCGTTCGAGCGACCGCACGCCGGCTTCGCGGGTGTAATGCGTCGCGATGTGCAGGAGCGCAGAGTCGGTGAGGGTGACGTGCTCGGGGGTGAGGCCGTTGGCCTTGAGTTGCTTGGGCAGGAGGAACTTCCGTGCAATGTGGATCTTCTCGTCATATGTGTAGCCTAGAGTAACTCGTCATCCAGATGATCCTAGGATGTAGAAGCGGTGAGGCGTACCAGACAAGTGGACAATCTCGCAACGATCGAGCAGGGGCGAGGCCATCGTCTCAAGAGAATTCGACGTGCAAATAAATAGTACCTGACTGAGGTCGATGGGAACATTGATATAGTGATCCTGAAGGAGACCTTCAGTATCAACTCACATAATACATTCAATGAACCCACGTTAAACGAGTGATTCTGCTCGGGGTCGAGAACTTCGAGCAACGCTGCGGAAGGGTCACCATGGAAGTTGCTGTGGCCGACCTTGTCGATCTCGTCACTGTCATGTACCAAGTGAGTCGAGAACATGGTCAAATGGATGAGACTCGCTCACAGAAGAATCACAGGGTCTGGCCTGCCTGCCTTGCGCAATGCCTGCACAATGGATCCTGGCCCACTGGCAACATATGTACGTCTATGACCTCTGATCTCGGCCTCGTCACGAACACCACCCAGCGATATCCGCTGGAAAGGACGATCGAGGGCGCGAGCGATCGATTGTCCAAGTGACGTCTTTCCAGTACCGGGAGGGCCGACGAACCTGGATACAGCTGTTGAGTATTGCGTGCATACATCCCACGGTCGTAATGCAGACTACAGGAGGATGGGTCCCTTGACCGCCTTCGTTGCGGCGCCGCGGCTCTGGCTCGCGCCAGACGCCCGAGGCGCAAGTGGCGGCGAAGTCTTCACCGACTGCTTCTCTGTCACGCCTGTGGCATACCCATTCAGCGCCTGCTTAATGCGCTTGATGGCAAGCCAGTTGGAGTCACCTTCTGACCGCTGAGCCCCTTCGTTCGAACTCGCAGCAGAAGACATGGCCGAAGACGCCGCCAGTTCTTCCCGTTCGGCTTGGAGTTGTTTCAGACGGACGACGGCGAGATATTCAATGAGCCGCTTCTTGATCTTCTCCAGGCCGTAATGGTCGTCGTCGAGTTGCTTCCGTGCAGAGGTGAGGAAAGAACGGTCTCTCAGCTTGTCCGCGGAGGTGGAGGCCGCAAACGCAGCAGACGATGGCCACGGGATGGACGTAATCCACTCGAGCTGAGGTCTCACGTCAACAGCCGGGACAGTCGCGAGAAGGGGTGCGACTTACGTAGTTACGGATGACGCCATGCTCAACGCTCCCGGACGGGATGCGCTGTAACCGCTTCCACTCTCGCACGGCCATTTTGCGCTCGTCACTGTCCTTCGCCATGGCTTCGATCTTCGACTTGATCTCCGCCATATCGTCGGCCTCCGACTGCTCATTGTCGTCAAGCTCCGACGGCGTCTTGGGCGTCCGTGCCCCTGGGGCTTCGGAATTCTGTGACGAGCGGTTGAGGCTATTGAGCTCGCGCTGGATGGCGGCGAGCTGCTGCCTGAGGAAGAACTCCTTCTGCTGCTTCGAGAGGGACTCGTCGACGGATTGCGCAATCTTCTTCGTGACTTCGGAGATGGATGCCTGCTTGATGAACAGCTCTGTGGCGCGACGGAGACGTTGGTCAGGGCCAGCAGCGGCGAGGTAAGCTGGGGAGAGAACGCGTCAGAAATCCCGTGCGCTGCTACCATGACCAGACACGGGGTTCCATGTTCCAGGACTTTAGCGGGGGTAGCAACACAAACACCGGCCGGTGCTCGCGAATCTCGCATAGCAGGGTCGAAGTCAATGTGGAGTGAGAAGAGGGAACCCACCGAGTTTGTCGTCGTACTCGACCTTGTTGATGCCAGCGACGATGACGTCCGCCATCCATGGTGTCCTGTCATCTGAGACCTCCTCTATCATATGTGAGATCTTGAGATACACATCCCGACGGGATTGCTGGTTTGCGTCTTGTGCGATGTAGTCGAGGAGCTTGGAAGCCGCAGACCTGAAAGGACCAATGGCCTCGTGCGAGGGACAACCATCCTGGGTAGGGATATAGACGGCGAGCTCCAGGAGCTCGTTCGGCCCAACTCCGATGGGTGTGGGGTCGAGGTCCGGAAAGTGGATCCTCGAGAGGCCTTGGAGAGTGACATTGTAGAACCGTTGGGGACCTCTTGAAACGGGACGGACGACACGGACAACGCGAGCAAGAGTACCCCAGGAGTGGAGGGAGTTGGAGGTGGAGATGGGGACTGTGCCGACGGTGAGTTGTGGGGCGTCTGAGCGCTGGACGAGCTCGATGAGACGCGAGCCAGTGGCTTCGTCGAGAGCGACCTGGGTGCGGGCAGTAGGAAGAAGGACGAGAGGATAAGGGAGGGTGAGCACAGGCAGCAGGGCAGGGGCGACCATGGTCGTCGAGGGAGGGGGAGAAGAGAAAGGAGAGCGAGTATATGCGGGGCGTCTCTGCGCCCCGAGCCAAGGGTTGGCCTCCGCCTCCGCCTGTGTTCCTCCCGCGACCCGCCATGCGCGAGATCCTCTACGTCCAGGCCGGGCCTCTCGCCAACCATGTCGGCACTCATTTCTGGAATGCCCAGGAGAGCTACTTCACGTACGACGACGAGAGCGAGCCCCAAGTCTTCCACGACCGCTCCTTCCGGGAAGGCCTGACCGCCACCGTCAGTCTGACCCCTGCCGCATTGCCTCCGCCTGACCGGGATTCTGCAGGGAGAACAAACGTACTGCCCGCGTGTGCTCCTCATTGACCGCAAGTGTACGCACCATCCAACGTGTGCCCTTCCGTCGTGTCCTCAGCAGCTGCACAGCGCAATTTGGTTCCCTCCCCAGTGGCCTTTACGGCACAGAAAACGACCTTGATGCCACCCAATGGTCTGTTCGCTTGGTCCCTCCCGCTTCCCGCCACGACCATGACATATCTCCAGGGAGAACGGCATCGTCGAGTTCCGTCAAGATTCCGTCAGCAAGAGTGCATACCACACTCGCCTCGATCAACGCGGGCCTGCAGAGGACGAGGACGACGCAGAGCCCGCAGAGCCCACCACCATCCGCTTTTGGTCCGACTACAGCCGAGTCTACTTTCATCCCCGCTCACCCCACAGGCTCCCCGATCCTGCCGAGTGGGAGGATGCCCAAGGCGATTGGCTTAGCAGCAAGCGAGCATTCGCCCAACATCACACCGTCAGCACTCTCCCGGAGGCATTGCAGCATTGCAGCTATTTACTGACGCGTGAGCATAGGATGCGGATATCATGGAGACCGACGTTCGCTTCTTCGTCGAAGAATGCGATGGCCTACAGGTAATCCCGCGATTCACATAGCACACTTGGCGTCTTCTCAATCAACCCTTCCTTGCAGGGTATCCAACTTCTCAGCGACTCCGTCACCTTCGGAGGCTTCACCGACGCTTTTCTGACCGCATTCAGGGATGACTTCCCTAAGTTGCCTTCCCTCGCCTTCCCCATCCTGTCCCCCGCGTCCTTCGGTTCCGTCGACGTCGATCAAGTACGAACCACCCAGTTGACGACCGACGTCATGATGAGCTTACTTCCGCCATTCAGCAAGACGAAGCAATGAAAGCACTGAATGATGCCCTGGTGCTCAAGGGACTGGAAGACCTCTCCACGATGAATGCTCCCCTACAGGCTCCTACAACGTGGCGTTTTGGCGCGTGGTCAGACGATCTGAACGCCAATGTAGGAACAATTCATCTCGGTGCCGTCGTCCATCTGCTGACAATTAGTTGAAGCTCCAGTCGCCGTACTGTGCCTCAGCGCTTTTGCCACACATATTGAGACTGCAACGCTGCCGCTGAGGTAGTGCTGCGTTCTGCGCACACCTTGCGAGCGCCTTATCTAACGCCCACTATTAGACTCAAGAGCTTGGCAAATCAAGATCTCTTCTCTCTCAGTACCACGCTCAACAGGTCGGGCGATTTCAAAACGTTGTGCTTGTCTGGAATGTATCCGCTCTCAACGCCTTTTGATCTGTCGATGGACACAGAAAGGCGCATCTACGATTTATCGTCCCCTGCCGACAGCGACAAAAGCCTCGTAGTGGTTCGTGTGTCCCAGCCAGCGATCCGTTCTCGCCTGACCCTCGCACCAGGAGTACGCTCGACTCTCCGTCTCCCGCGGCTTTACCGCCCCCGAGATTACATTCTTCAACGAGATCACTTCAGCCCGCACCCCGGCACCCTTCACGTCAGCCTCTTCCTCCCATACTCCTCATGCTCCAGCCCCGACTGACCTCCCCCTTCGCAGTGTGCACGCCTTCCCTTACCCAACTCCCTCCTCATTCCCCCTCCTCCCGCGCCCTCCCCGCTCCGACCCTCCGCCACCGCGCGCTGAGCACCCTGACCGCGTCGAGCGCACCTTCGCGCCTGTTCGCCGCGCACGCCCGCGTCGCACAGGCGTGCGTCGACCGGCGCGCCGCCGTCGTCGTGCACATGGGGCTCGAGTTCGACGACGTCCGGGAGCTCAAGGACGACCTCTGGGCGCTGTGCGACCGGTACGCCGGCGACGACGCGCACGGGACGGGGCCGGAGGCGGAGGACGAGTTCGGCGAGGACGAGGAGTGACCTCTTCCTCTGTCAATGGTCGCTCGGTGGAATTCCCGTTCCTCCCAAGACTCTGGCCATTGCCTTGCCCTCGCACGTCCACGCCTTTCAGTAAAATGTATATCCCCTCTCCATTCGAGAAATAGTACGACGGTGGTTCCCTACTGAGCCCGACTACGTCTTCGCCTCCACACCCGCCCTCGTCTTCTGTTTCTTCGTTACCCTATTGGACTCGTCACGCTCAGGTGGTTCGGCGCGAACGAGAGTGTTCACGTAGAAACTCTCGTGAAAGGCAGTAAGCCGCGCCCTCTTGAACACGTCGGCGCCCTTCTTCCAGTTTTTCCCTCCTTGCCAGACGTTGGCGTGCGCATAGCGCTCGAATATTGCCTTCAGCGGCGTGTGGTCAGAGAGAGGCCCCGGTTCGTCGGGAGGTCCACAGGGTCGGTGTCCGTGCCGTATATGCGCCTGTAGACTTTCAGCGAGATCGGCGCCAAGTGCTCGCAGGTAAGCTGTCCGATCTCATCCAGCAGGTCTCCCAGGGCCGGGATCCCGCACGGTAGGATCCAGGATTCTCCATTCGCTCTCAGGTGCGTGAGCTTCTCGTATGAACCCGTGTGGACTTTGCTGTCCACAGCGCGGACATATGAGGCGTACACTAGCCGGATGATGTTGCACAGAGTATTCAGCGATTCGTCTCGTTCGCTCAACTCCGTCTTGCAAAACCGTAGGACGAGGTAGTGGAAGACGTGGATGAATGACTCGATCTCGTCGGCCAGGCGACACTCACGACGTAGGGGGTACAACACCGACAGCGCCGATCTGAAATACCAGGATCCCTGGAACACGAGCCGGTCAGCGGAGAAGGAAGCATCGCGCGGATAATGACTACTCACTACCATCGCATACTGCCGGGGCCCCTCGCCAGTCTCGATCTGCATGAGACTCTTTGACGACTCCCAGTCACAGAGGAGCGCGACACGTGTAACGATGCATTTGGTCTTCCCACCGACTGTCTGGCGCTTGCGTCGAGCGAAGATACCAATGCTGTTAACGCCAACTTGACGATTAAGAATTTGTGCATCGGCCCATGCGCGTTGGTGTGCTGCAAAGAGATAATGAGACATGTTCACGCGATGCCATATCGCAACCATTTGACGCACCAGTCATAGCGTCTACCATGAAGCCCGACAACTCTCTGAAGTTTTGAAGGCGAGAAGGGGCTCGTACATCTCCTCGAGCAGAGTGCGGTAGTGGACGTAGGGATAGAGATGCTCGGGATTGGCCACGGACGGGGCAGTGGTGCGCTGCGGGACCCCATCCGCCGAGGTGACATCTTCACCACACATGCATGTGGGTACATTGGAGACATCGTTCTGATGAAGTAAGGCGTAGATGCTATCCTCACGCTCGACGTCCTTGATATCGGGTCGCCAGTAGTCCTTGATGGTGCGCCCTATGAGCCGGCGTTTGCCACCGCGCTTGACCATGCGAAAAGCATGATAGACACGCGGCGCGGGTCCATAGAGGGCCGAAGTCTGGATGATCGGCCGCCCAATCACGTACGCTTTGCCTCCGACGTCACGAGGTGAAGCGGCCACTGCGTGGTGGTGATCTGTCCAAGTCTGCGCCTTCGGGTTACGACTCAGTGCGTGAGGAGGAGGGTTCGTCGAGGATCGGCCTGCTTCAAATCCTTCGCAAAGTTGAGCAACCTGGTCCGACCGCACTCGAGGCCGGAACGACCGATCTATCGAAGCCGAGGGACTCCCTAGACATATGGGCCACGCGCCAGAAGAAGCGATGTAGCGTCCGGTTTTCCAACGTGCCGTATTTGAAAGGGTGGAGATGAAGGTGCCCCCGCGTTGGACAACGAGTAACCGGGCCTGGTTGCGGCAGACGTGCAGTGCAAAGACGTGCGTGCGGTGTTGTCGTCCTAGGTCGTGGCGCAGTACTCGGTGATCTGAGCTAGGGACTGCCGTTGCTGAGGAAGTGTCATCCCATCGCCGCCGAGCGAGGCTCTTTTGAAACGGGGAGTGGCCTTCGGTTACGTGGTTTTCGGCCGCGGCGCTCGGCGATAGAGCATTCGGGAGAGGCTTCGGGCTGAACAGGAACGCCGACTCGATCTTGACTTCTACAGGAATGACGACGTCGGTATATGAGGTTCTACCATGATGAAAGACTTGGTGCCTCAGCACGAGTCCAAGGGGCATCGGAGGAGACGGAGTCCTCGGGCGCAACGACAGAGTCCCCGGGCGCAAAGACTCTTTCTTCAGTCGCATCGAAGTGATTTCCAGTCTCATTGGTACCGTCACCGCCGTCCTCGTCCCAGATCCATCGTCTTCGCCGTCACCACCGTCGTCGTCGTATTCCATCACTGATTCATCTTCCTCCGAAGTGACTTCTTCGTCATCTCCGATGTTCAGGATATCCATGCTCGTTTCAGCGTCGACAACGAGTAGCTCGCGCATGCGTTGTGTCTGAAAGTATATAGAGAGATCGGGGCGAGGCGAGGCTGATGTACGGCCGGACTTGAAGTTGGGCCGTCCTTTGCGGACTTGGTCGAGGTGTCCAAGGCCACCAATAGAAGTTCGCCGGGATTCCGATGCCCCTCTGCCGCCTTGAACACGGATCGAGCAATCTCGGCTTGGAACAACTTTTGAGCATATGGAGAAAAACAGAATAACGGGGGAAGTGGGCCTACAACTTCGTGGTTCACTTGCCACTCCAATTGCACGTCGACGAGACGGTTGATGGATGGGTAGTAGAACAGGCCCTCAACCTCATTCGAAGGATCGGTTCCGGGCACAAATCTCTTCCATATCTCCACGAGCGGAAGCCCCTCCATAGCACGATGAACGGCCTAGATACCGCTGTCGTGTTACGTAGACCTTCGGTGGGCCCTTTGGAGCCTATTATTGCCGGCTGGTGGTAGGGATCAGGTCATGCTGAGGCTAAGGGGGGTAAATATCAAGCCCTAGAGATAGCGAGTGCGGAGGAGTAACTGCGCGTTGAGGTGGAGGAGGCACGATGGCAAGGGGGCGAGACTCACCGAACAGTACGCCTCCAGCCCATATAGACAAGAACGCGCAGAGCGATGGGACTTGTGGACAACAGAAGAAGGGGCCGGGGAGTGCCTGGGAGCCAACCAGCAGGGTCAGAACTCAGTACTTGGCAGGTGGCGGTACGAGACAAGTTGTGCCCAGCGCTCGGCCGGCTGAAACTAGACCAGACGCCGAGGGCGCGCAGTGTCGCCCCGCGTGCATATATTTGCGGCCCTTGCACTGGCAAAGGCACGCCAGTGAGCCCTTTTTGACATTCAGTATGGGCAGTTGTGGTCCTAGTATGAGGTATCGCGCAGCAATCCATCGACTCGGACACAATGGTCATGCTCGCGCCAGCATGCAGACCAGGCCTCAAGCTTCAAGGCCCCACGCATACATACTCACCTTGTTCAATGATGCCTGATCGAGGGATATGGGTAGGGTGTGCATCTATACACATGGCACGTTGCATAGCTTGTCCTCATTAACCTCAGCATGTACTCTCTGTCCATCCCCATCCCTGCCCGTCCCAGTATGCCACTACGCCTTGTCCTTGCGCGGTTCGAAAAGCACGAGCGCGTACCTTTCGAACTTGATCAGACAAACTCCACCGAACAGCAGCAACGCCACTCACTTCCCGTTGTACCTCCACTTCTCCCCGGTGCTGTCCAGCTTCTCCGCGACCGCTTGGTCGACCGCGCAGACCACGTCGGCCTTGTTCGTACGGAGACTGAGAATAGGGAAAGTGCCGGCGAGTGGACCTGGAGAAAAGACGGGGAAAGCGATGACTTCAAAAACGAGACAGCCGAAGTTCATCCTACGACATACCGATAGCTTCACTGAACGGTGTGGAGACTGGCCACTGCACGTCTCCGGTCAGCCTGTAGCGCACGATCAGCACCGACAATGATAAGAGTTCCTTTCGGACGTCTCTCACTTGCGGAAGCTAGTTCGCGCGCGAGAACGTGTATCCGTCAGCCTCGCATCCCTTCACGCACCCTAACCGACTCACTTGAGATCCCCCTTGAAGATCACCAGCCCGCTGTCTTTCAAGCGCCCCAGGAGCTCCGGCGCGAGCGCGGCCATGTTCCAATACGGGTACGGCGACGTCCAAAAGTCCGCCATCGGGTCCGCGCGCCCGAGCGCGTTCTCCAGCGGGACCGACAGCGCGAACGTGCCGTCGGCGATGTACTGCGCCCAGCGGCCGACCATCGCGTGCAGGTGCGCCTTCTCCTCCGCGGACGCCGCATCTTGCGGGAAGAACGCGGGGTCGAGCAGCGACCCCGTCGTCGCCTTGAAGTCTGGCGGCGTCACATCCGAGACGAACCAGGGAATGATCTTCGGGCTGTGTGCGCGGTGATCAGGCGACTGAGGCCGGAGCTGGACAGCATGTGACGGGAAGAAGACGCACTGGAAGACGACCTTGTGGACGTATGGGGTGTAGGTCACGAGGAAGTCCGCGAAGACGAGATCGGTGAACAGCTGCCCGTCGCTTCGTGATTATCTGCTGGACCGGCCATACGACACTACGGATCGTACCTCGAAACCGGCTGCGAAATCAATCAGCTCGAAAGCGATGAGCATCCATTGCTACGGAGCGCCTCTCACCATTATCCAGGACGAAGTCGATGCGGGAGTCGGCCTTCTCTGTGAGCCCGGTGAGGTGAGTCCACACACTCTCCTGATCATCGTGGAGAATGTACTGCGCGCGAGTTGCTTGCGCGTCCCGTCCCACGCTCTGCAGGTGCTGAATGTCCTCATGAGACATCTGTGTCAGCATAGAAAGATCCTGTGAACGCCGTTAGTAGTCCATCCGTTATCGATCCTGGATGGTGTGAACACACTGTCGCATTTCCCCTGGCAGGATGCTTGTGAGATCGTTTGCGCGCATGAGAGTGGAATTTTGGACCGACCAAAGACACATCTGGATCATCTCCTTGAAGATCACTTTCAGTTCGTCCCGAGAGGACGCCAGTGCGTCTTTCTCACGCTCCAACTCGTGCATGGTGGTTGCGAGCTCTGCAAATAGATTTGTTAACAGGGTGAGTGTCATCGCTCGTATCGGAGACCCGCTGACGGTATATCGCCTTCGAGCTCTTCTGAAACGTGTCTTGCTTCTGGGAGAGGAAAGGATCGTAGTCCTTCCAGTAAGTCGTCTGCACAAAGAACGAGCGGACGAGGCGATACCTGAGAGAGCCTATATCAGCTATCATCGCTCGGGCAACGCATCACCTAACTGACAAGTAGCATCTATGTTGAATATCTCCGATCGTCAGCGAATGTGCTCCACGGCTGCTATCGCTCTTACTCAGAATAGAGCCAGGGGACGGTGAGCCACGTTCCTTTTCCCTTGGCGGCAGCGACTCCAATTCTTTGTTGTACACTTCATCCAATGGTTCACCGTCGTTGGGAATCTGGCTGGAGGACCCGGAGTGAGCACGGCCGATCCACATCCCCTTCGTCCGCAGGCACTCACACGAGCGGCCGATCACGCGCCATGTCGTACTTGATCTCCCCGACCTTGCTGATGATCTTCTTGCCCTCCTCGATGCGCGCCTCGACCACCTTCGCCTCCTCCGGCGTCCTGCTCTCCTGGGAGATCCCGAGCTCGTGGTTCTGACAATAGATGTTGTCGATGATGCCCGTCAGGATGACCGGCCACCGCTTGACGACCGTCTCGAACCTGTCGCCGCGGAACCGCAACGGTGAGGGCGCGTCCGAACCCGGCAAAGAGGGCTCGGGACGCACGCGAAACTGAAATGGGGCCGCGATGGTCAGTCGATGGCGCTGATGGGCGGTTGGCGGGGGGCCGCACGGACCTGTTCCTGTCCGTAAAGTCCCATGGCGGGAATGGCGACTCGTACATGTCGAGCTCTGCACGCAGTTGATGTGGTACGCTCCGTAGAGCCTCCGCTGCTGTCGTGGCAAAGGTTGAGCAGCGAGCGTGTGCACCACGGGCATCCGGCCCGACTTGCCGAGTGCCCGTCCCCTGGCGCCGATGAGCGGAGAGGGCAAGAACGCCTGTTAATCAGCCGCGTCTTGCGCAATAAGATTACTGGTCGGTCCTCTAATTAATCGTCAGGGTTCGGGAAATGATCGTGATAGTTAGTGTACAACCCGCCGCACAAACACCCTCACGCTCGGCTTCATCCATCATGAACATGTACATACATGCACGACCCCCGCTCGCTCCGTGCTCCGCGCTGCATCCAGCCAATGTGGTGTATAGAAGAATAAGTGCCCGAGTGACATAAGTAGTATCGTAGGTATATAACACAACAGCGTCGCGAAGCCGAAACCCCCGCAGAGCATGCGCATGAAGGATGAAGTGAGAGACGGCATGAGAGGTCATAGTCATAAACGGTCGGCATGCATCCGTGCCCCTCGCGCGCACCGCCAGAGCGGGCGCCACAGACAGTACAGCCCGAAGGCAGGCGGCCAGGGGCGGCGACAGCGATGCGCTAGTGCACTCCACCCACGAGCGCCGCCGCGGCGAGCCGCCCTTCCCGAATCCGCTGCTGCGTCCGCTCCGCCGCAGCGTCGTACACATAATGCACTGGGCGGTGCCACGGGCCCTTCGCCTTGCCGTCGTCCGACTCCGAGTCGTCCGAGTGCTGCACGCCGTTGTTGTTCGGGTTCTGGCCCTGCTCGTAAAACAGGTCGTCCGGGTCGAACGCGCCTGTTTTCCACCCCAATCACCCGCAGTCAGTCCAGCTGACCCGAGACGTAGCGCGAGAACAAATCACTTACGTTCGCCTTCGGGGGGTTCGACCACCCTGCGCTTCCCCAGAGCCTTCGCGCTCGGCCGCACAGGCGTCTTGCACTCGTCGAGGTCTGCGTCCGATGGCTCGGAGCTGCTGTCGTGCCGGAGATTGCTCGGCTGCCTCGCCGTCGTGCTCTCCATCGATGCCCGCCCGACGTGGTTCAACTGCCCCCGCTCCGGAGAGGGCGTGTTCGACCGCTGCTGTGGCAGTCGCGGACCGTGCGGTGCTGGTGGGGGCGGCGCGAGCGATAGCACTGACCCTTGCGAGCTTGTATGCTGCACGGGGTGGGGAGCGCGCCCCGGTGCCGGCTGGCTGGGAACGGGGGCCGCATGGCTGCTGCCATGACCGTGGGCGGAGGTGATGACCAACGATGGGGCAGGTGAAGGGGATGTCGAGGGCGGTGGTGATGGCGCGCGGGAGGAGGAAGACCCGCCGATGAGGTTCTCCGTCGGCTCGAGGTACTGCAAATTGTTTTCCTCGTCGACGTGAAGACGCTGTGAAACAAAACTGTCAGCGCCGGTAGTGATGAACAGGTAGTGGCCAGAGCTTACCGTACGATCCATCCGGACATCCCGTTTGCTCCTCTCCTCGGTATCCCGCTCGATGCCGACTCGTTCAAGGTCGTCATAAAGGCGAAGGGCTTCAAGCAGCTCCTCGTTCGACGCCAAGATTGCAGCAAGGAGCTTCTCTTCCGTCGTCTGGTGCTCCTCCTTGTCCTTTTTGGGGCTGGAGGGTGGACGGTCCTGGTCTATTGAATGCCTGCCCTCCTTTGGCGGTTTCGGATTCGCTCCACCTTTGGAAAGCAACGCTTCACGCGAACGCTCGGCTTGAGCAAAGGCCCAGGGAATTTGAGCGGAGATGAGCTCTTGCGAAGCGCGACATCGGGCATAAAACTCCTGCTGGGAGGATTAGATAATCTAAGTCCGGTCGGATAGTTGATCCTACCTTGATAATGTCTTTGCTCCTGAGGTCCTCCGGCTTCGCATACGTGAGGGCCTCTGAGAGGAGGTTTGCATTCCCTCGGCCGACCTTACACTCCTGGAACAATCGACGAATGTCTTCCTCTGGAGGAATGACGCGATTGCGAGACCTAGGCTTGCTCGATGTGACCTATACGGCATGTGTGGATGTTGAGATGCTGAAGAAGCAAAATCGTCAGACTCACCGTGGCAGGCGGTCGCTGGGGTTGGGGTTGGTGTAGAGTAGGGGGTTGTTGCGGAAGCTGGGAAGGGTTGCGTTGCAGAGCCTGAGGGTGGCCAGGTTGGAGGCTATGAGGATGCTGGGGTTGGGGTTGTGGGTCAAGGATTGGCGGTTGCAATGAGTTCGGTCCCACAGAATGTCTTGGAGTAACGGGATAGAACATCGCGTCGTCCGTATCGAACGGAACACCCTACACGCTAATATTGAGAACAACGTATAATGCAGCGAGAAACCAAGCACCTCATCAGGTTGGTCTTCACGCTTTACTTTTCGCCAGAGGTGCCTGAACCCGGATTCTATGGGGGCGAGATAGTTGTATCGGACGCGCAATAAGGACGTAGAGAAACGTACCGGAATCACTCGCGTACGAAGCTGCGGCGAGAACGGCGATCAGCCGTTCCCGCACTACGGGAGTAGTGGTCTTGGCTTTGAGGACTTCCTCGAGTGCGTCAAGGAACTTGCGCGAGGTGCATTGCTTGACGAAGGACAGAGAGCAATTGCGGAGCATAATCGCCCACAATCGAGCCGCCGAAAGCTGAGTCGATGGTTCGCCACCTCTGCTCACAGCGGGATCAACGGGCAATTGAGAGGGGCATAGAAATGAGGACGCACTTGAACTCTCGCCGGAGTGCCTTTGCAGCCTCCTTCGCATTTTCCTCGCTCGTAGATACTCTATCACAGACCTCTAGAACCAATGACCAGTCTTCTGAGGATGTTGCGAAGAGGTAGCCTGCAAGGACACCAGGATCGAGACACGCTCGCGCGTAAAAGACGAAGGAATCGGACGCACCAAGCAATCGTGTAAGCTCAGCAGGCACACCGTCCTCTCTCCTGTCCCTCTCCCGCTCCTTCTCTCTCGTATAAAGATGCTGCCTTTCCCGCTCGTGCTCTCTCGCTCTATCCTTCTCTCTGTCCCTCTCTTTGTTATTTGACCGTTCCCAGAACGGCCGCTTCTCCCTCTTCTCCTTGTCTTCTCTATGTGAGGAGTCCGTGAATCCGTCATCGGACTGCTCCCTTGAGTCTACAGGCTCCAGATGGGAGGGGTTGAGAGAGTTGAGGATGCCGACGGCAGCGAATGCGTTCGGAGCCGCAGGGGTCTTCTTGCGGAGGACGGTGCCTTGGTCCTTGGTCTGATTTGACTTTACGGTGTTTTGCGGTGGGGGAAGACCGTTAGAAGCGAAGGGAGAACTTGGGCGCGGTAATGGGCTGGGGTTCGGCGAGCCGACATGGTTGATGGAGGTGTATGAAGACTGCTGAGATGGGGCGTGTCGTAGTGGGTGTAGTGGAGGATCCGCCTCCGAGACCATGTCCCAGGCGTCTTCTGGGTTGGAGTGAATTCTGTCGTGTCTGGAGGCCGGGGGTGTGTCGTTCTAGAGGGGCGTGACAGGTCAGCGCGGGGCAAGGGTGGGTGGAGGGCAATCGCACTTCGCCAAGGACAGAAACGTCGTCGCGGATGCCCGGAGTGACTTTGACGACCTTGGCCTTGTCTCTCCCAAAGAGCTTCTTCATCGGGGGCGACGGCGGGGAGGAGAGAGGGGATCGTGGTGCACGATGAACAGATGTAAAGGCTGTGTGCCTAAGAGTGAGTGCGCCCCCACGTGGCCGGCGTCGGCACAGCGCCCGCGCTTCATGAAACGGCCCCGCCCCCTCCGCCAACGCCCCCATCGTCCCGCCACCCCGCCCCGTCGCGCCCACCGCCTGCGGCCTGTGTGCCCCGCACGCGTCGCACTCTGTTCCGCCCTACCCCCCGCCACCCCCGCCCGCAGTGTGCAGCGCGCAGGCCTCGACGAGGGCACATATGACGGCAGCCACCTCACAGTCGGATCTGCCAGGAACGGCTGATGCTCTCCAGCACCCTCGCGCTCTCGCAAGCTTTCGAGTTTCAGCCTGCGGTTAGACAAACACATCACATCGGTTCGCGCTAGCGTCCTCCGCTCAACTCGGCAGCTCGATCGCACGCTCACTGCCTGCACGAGCGCGTTCTTATCGACCCGCACCGATCTCTGCCTCTCATCCACCGACGACCATCATGTCGGCGCTCTCAGAGGCAGATAGACGCGACATTGGCCAGGTATTTCGGCCTCCATCCGCCACGCCTACAGTGCCTGACCCGCCCGCGCATTCGCAGCACTTCGTCTTCGGCTTCCATGGCCACACAGCCAGTGATGACATTAAAACGCTCATCACGGATTATTTCCTTGGGTACGTCCCTGCGACAGTGCCACCCGCCCTGCTAACGTGTCGGCGAGCAGTCATGTCATCCTCTTCAAACGGAACGTCCAGAGTGCGTCACCATGCACAGATCGGCATTTGATCCCGGGTACGACTTAATCACTTCATCAGGCATCGCCCAGGTCCACGCCATCACTACCGAACTGCAATCACTCGCAAAGGCAGCGGGCCACGAACGCCCGCTGATGATAGGCATAGACCAAGAGAACGGTGAGTCTTGCAATATCGCAACGTCTGAAGAGATTTCTGCTTCGAATAAATGCTGGGCAATATTTTTTTTCGTGCCATCTCGAGCCAAGCAGCGGAAACACGATGCAGATGCATCAGCTGCGGTTGCTTGTCGAGGTGCCCACTCGTGAGACATGGAACAACCACATCTACGTAGCCAGTTGTCACAAACGACTCGCAGCCACTGGACAGCTGCCGGAATTGCCTGACCAAAGCTCATCAGAATGTGGCCCTGACGTGCTTTGATAGCCGTTTTCTTTCTTCTCCCACTCCCAGGACTGCGGGGCTGATGATCCGTTGTCAGGACTTGTGTCTGCGTTCAGCATCCCCAACGCAGGAACCAGTTGTATGCGTCGATCCCTACTATCTTGCTGTTACAGTGTTGAAGGCAAACGCAGTCCAGGTGCGATGGCCCTGGCGGCATCGGGATCTACCGACCTCGCTACCGAGGTCACCACTGCAACCGCGAAAGAGCTCAAGGCGGCCGGAATCAACTGGGTGTAAGCAGTTGCCCGCCGGGTCACTGTGTACCGTCGCTCACATTCGGACTTGTAGATACAGCCCCGTGGCTGATGTGAATAACGATCCAAGGAATCCTGTCATTGGTGAGCCACTGCTCTTCCCCCTCCATATGTCCCCGATGTCGCGCATAGTGCGTACTCGCATGCCACCACGTACCAGCAAAGCTGTGTGCACCGGCCGAATGTCGACTTTGTCCTCGAAGCAGCTCAATGCTGTTGTCTGCGGCCCACTGAGTCTTTACCCATTTTTCTGTTGCTAGATGGGTAACCGTCCCGGCCATTTGTCGGAACGTTCTCAACAGCCGTCAGAGTCCCATCGATTCATTGGAACGCTGCTCCCCTGTTCAGCCTCCACAACTTGCATAGTTCTATGCAACGCGGTGTTGATTGCGGAGGGTACGCCGCCAATAGTAAGGTCTGCACGCACAGTGGGGGTCTGAAGCGGTTGGGCTTCGTGTGCAGCTCGATGCGCGTAGCGCGCGCCGAGCTTGCATGCGGTTTCACACGCAGGCTCAAGCAGATATTTGGATCTTTACGATTGCGACCTGGATATCAGGTTCGACCATTACGGTCAGACACCTGCGCCGTAATAGTTCCTCTCGCACTGTTCCGATAAACGGCCGGGGGTTATTATCTTGCAGTTCTCGTCCCGGGGTACACTTCCTCTATGCCACACAATCTTCAAGGTGGTACAAGTCGCGAAAGTTGTCGCGAGAGTCGCCATCGAGTAATTCTCGAACCCGCTACTCAGTTATTATCAATGACCCTGCTCACCCTTACATTCTCTAGGCGTTCGTTCCTACAGCGATGGTGCGCATAGTTCGATGATATCATTCCCTTCTGGTACTGACGAGGCAGCTCAGATCCTACCGTTGCTTCCCGCTTCGTGAAGGCGGTCAGCGAGGCGCACACTGCGCACAAAGTAGCGCCCTCCGCTAAGCACTTCCCCGGACACGGCAACACCCACGTCGATTCCCATCTCAGCCTCCCACGCATCAACGTCGACAAGGACTCCCTCGCATCGATCGAGTTGGTTCCTTTCAATGCGCTCGTCAAGATTGGGATCGCGAGCATCATGACCGGCCACATGGCGCTTCCTCTGGTCACCGGCGACGACACGCCATGCTCGCTCTCGCGCGCGATCACCACCGACCTTCTCCGCGGAGAGATGGGCTACCAAGGTGTTGTCGTGACCGACTGTCTGGAGATGGAGGCCGTAGCCGAAACGTACGGCTCCGAGGGCGGTGCTGTGCGCGCACTCCAAGCAGGCGCGGACGTCGTGATGATCTGCCACACCTACAAACGGCACGTTGGGGCTATCGAAGCAGCCTACGCCGCCGTCGCGTCCGGCGCGCTCTCGATGGACGAGCTCCTCGCGAGCGGCGCGCGCGTGGCGGCCATGAAGGACGCCTTCGCGGGCTCCTGGGACGACATCTTCGCACCTCTCCGCCCATCGGACGTTGCGGCGTTGCAGGACGCGAACGCAACGCTGAGCGCACGAGCGTACGCCGCGACGATCGCGCACCTGCCGAACTCCGCGACATTCACGCCTCTCTCTACCGCCGGTTCAGCCGTGGTGTTCACCCCGCGCATGGAGTCGCTGAACCGCGCGGTGGACGACGCGGAGAGTCAGCTGCGGGACGCGGCCGGGCGGCTGCGGAACACGGTCGGGCCCTCGTACTCCGCCTTCGCGCAGGCGGTGGCCACCCGGGTGTCGCAGGTCGAGCACGTCGTCTACGCCCCCGGGGATGAGCTCGACGCGCCGCTGCTGGAGCACATCCGCGGCGCTGGGTCGGTGATCTTCGCGACGCGAAACGGGTACGACACGGGCGCGTGGCAGACCGAGTATCTGCGCAAGGTGGTCGCGGCCGTCGCGTCGACTGGTGGGGCCGGGAGGATGGCGACGGTGTCGACATGCGCGCCGTACGACCTGCTGGCGTTGGAGAAGCTGGAGGTCCCCGCGATCGCGACATTCGAGTTCACGGTGCCTGCGCTGACCGCAGCTGCGGCGGCATTGTATGGGGAGTCGGTAATCTCCGGCACTGTGCCGGTGAAGGTGTAGGTGGGTTGAGAGGCCAGATGGACGAGTTGTTGTAGGATAACTTGTATAGTATGTCGCGACTTGTGTAGCAGGAAGTATGCTAAGGCGAATATAAAGACAATTGAGGGTGCTCAGAAAGGGCCCAAAGTGGCCGAACCAGGGCGGGAAGCGGCGCGTTCCTGAAACAGCCCCGGCAATGTCCCACTTACATAAGCAGTAGCCCACCCTGGGTCGTCCCCGTCTCCTCGCCCTCATCGTCCTCCACCACATCCTCAACGTCAACATGCCCGGTTCTCTCGACAGCGACCTCTACGACGGTGCGTTTCACGCGTATATGCACTACACATGACTCATGAGCCTGCTCAGACCTCTACGGGGACAACGAAGAGACCCGTGACGAGCCTCCCACCGACGCGGTTGACACTGCCGCACCAACGAAGACCCAGGACCCAAAGCGCGAGGAAAAACCATCGACAATCCCCAAGGACAGCTCACTACCGCCCAAACCCTCAGCTGAGCTCTCGTATTCCGCCCAAATCGCCAAACAGTTCTCCGCATACAAGCAGACCCCCGCCCAGGAACGACAACCATACCAGGTCTCCCCCGCCACCAAGACCAACGGTGTCGACGGCGATCTCGACGACGCCGGTCGCCGAGCCGTGCGTCCCTCAGAGATGAAGGATGAAGGGTGAGTGTCTTCTTCCGTCTCTGCAGAATCTGGCTCGCGTCATCGTCGTGGTTGCCCCGTGCTACGTACGACTCTGCTCGTCGCTCCCGTTCCTAGAGACATCTCGTCGCTCGATATCGTCCAGTCAGACCGTATATCTCTCTGTCTCTCCCTCCGCTTCACTCTACATGGCCACCTCCTTACCTTAGCGATGCTAATCTCCTTCCGCTCTCGGTACCGTCTCCTTCTGCACCTCTGCAAACACGTCATCTACCTGTCTCACTGCATATTCCGCACTGGTCTGGACCTCCGCCTGCCTGACGACATACGACTCCTACGGCATCTCTACGGCGCCCTCTGGATAACGCGCGATACCCTCGTACGGATCGTTACCCGTCGCCCAACGATACCGCTCGTTACGCGCCCCGCAACATGTCGCTCCGTATCTCCCTCTCAATGAAATCCCGAATTTCACCACGTATTCAGCAAGATGTTTGTGGGCGGGCTCAGCTGGGACACAACAGATGGTATCGTCTTTCTCGACACTGCTCGTCCGCGTCCACTGACAGCGCCACTGCGCAGAGGGCCTCCGGAAATACTTCTCTGAGTTCGGCGAGGTCGAGGACTGCACCATCCTCCGCGACCAAGAAAACCGGTCGCGCGGGTTCGCGTTCCTCACCTTCAAGGAGCCCTCGTCCGTGAACGCGGTCATGTGTCGCGAACACGTCCTCGACGGCAAAACGGTGCGTCCTCGTGGTCCCCTTCCTTCTCCCGCGTCGCTCACGCCCGCATGCACACTCGGCAGATCGACCCCAAGCGCGCGATCCCGCGCGAGGAGCACCTCCGGAACACGCGCTACTTCGTCGGCGGGCTCTCCCACGCGACGACGTCGGACTCGATGCGCGCCTTCTTCGCGCAGTACGGCAAGGTCGTCGACTGCACGGTCATGGTCGACCGCGAGTCCGGCCGCTCCAAGGGCTTCGGCTTCGTCACCTTCGAGGACGCAGCAATACAGAGCAGCTCGTCGGCCAGGCGAACCTCGTGCTCGACGACAAGCAGGTGTGCTTCGCTCTTCCTTTCACACCCCTCGCGTCGTCTTACTCACCCGTGCTCGCCCCGTCGCAGATCGAGGTGAAGGTCGCGCAGCCACGCAGCCAGCGGGACTCCGCGCGCCCGAGCGGACGCACGAACACGCGCGAGAACGGCAGCACGTACATCAGCCCCGACGTCCCCAGCGCGAGCAGCCCGCCCGCGATGGGTTTCGGTGCGAACCAAGGTGCCGTCGGGCCCCAGCAGATGTCGATGCTCTACCAGCGCATGATGGGCCAGGGCATGGGCGGGCCTATGTCCATGGGCATGGGCGGCATGGGCATGGGTGCGATGGGCATGGGCGCGATGGCCGGCATGGGCGGCGGCATGGGCATGAATCCGTCGATGAACACCATGGGCACCGCGGCTACCCCCATGGCCGGCGGCGGCGAGTTCAACGCCATGAGCGGGAACATGGGTGGCAACATGGGAGGCAACATGGGAGGTAACATGGGCGGGAACATGGGTGGAAATATGGGCATGGGCGGGCCGATGAACATGGGCAACATGGGTATGGGCGGCGGCATGGGAGGTGGCATGGGCGGCATGCAAGCCAACATGGGCCGCGGCGGCATGGGTGGCGGCATGGGTGGAGGCATGGCGGGAGGTATGGGTGGTGGTATGGCGGGAGGTATGGGAGGCGGTATGGGCCACATGGGCGCCGGGATGGGCAACATGGGCGCCGGGATGGGCGGCGCGATGCGGATGGGCATGGGCCCGATGGCGATGGCAGGGATGGGCATGCAGCCGTTCATGAACAACGCGATGGGCATGATGGGTCGCAACATGGGCATGATGGGCGGGGCAATGACGGGCCCCATGGGCGGCCGCACGCGCGGCGTGCAGATGAACGCGGGCGTCGGCCCCGCACGAAACACGGCGCGCGGACACGGCTTCCACCCCTACGCGCGATAGGACCCTCCTTCATACATACCATGCCCCGCCCGCCCCGTTGCTCACCTCGCTACGCCGCTCTCTGTCTACTTCGCTCCCGAAATTACTCTAGGTACCCATGCTGATACGTATTCCATATGTCGTTGTAATATACTCCCACAAGCTGTCTTGATACCAGTTGATTGCTACACTACTAGAAGCACATAGCTTACATCCACACGCACTAGTCCTACACTCGGATCCCGACACGATGTCTGTATTACGGACGCCACGAACGCACCGCCGTACACCAGGCTCTAGAACGACCGTAGCGAAATCTGAGGCTTCGCCGGTTCCGCCGCCTGTATTTTGCTCCCCAACGCCTGCCTGACCGACGTTTCCAGGGTCTCCCGCATCGGCGCCTCCAGTCTCGCTGTCGCATCCTTGAACGCGTTGGGGGAAGCGGCCGCGAGGGAAAGAAGCTGGGTGATGCCTTCCCTGTGGAGCGGTGTTGGCGATGGGCGTGTTGGGTCGAGGAACAAGATGAGGGCGGGCATGATCACGCCGAGCGCGCGAGGTCCTGCGATCGAACGTGAGCGACGTAATACAAGGCGGACTTCGTGCCACTCACTGGTGTCCTCGCCCAGCGAGAGGAAGAGAGCCGAGAATGCCTTGTTGATTTCCCCGACCGTTGCCATGACCCGCTCTGGCGGGGACGCCTCGTCGCTCGACCCAGCTGCTCTGGCGAGACATTCGACCAAACCTGGGATAAGCAGCCGGGTGCATTGACGTAGGATGGGGTTGCCGGAAGTCGACGTCATAATGAGGGTTTTGGCACAATGCGCGGCGGTGAGCGAGACCTCGCCGCCGTCCACCAGTTTCTGAGAGACGAGGAAGCAACAGTGCTCGATGACCGGCCTTCCTATCGGAACGTTCGAAGGGATGACGGTGAGGATCAGGACCGCGGCCAGCAGGTTGTTTTTAATCTTCTTGTCGCACATGGGTCCCTCACGTCCACTGTGTTTCCATGAGTACGTACATACTATTCAATCAAGGTAGGTTCTGACATACCTCATCTCGTCGACATGCATCAGGCACGAAGAGAGCAAGCCATGAACTACCTTCCCATACTTGTTCTCGGGGTCGGAGTAGTTTGCAGGTCTATCGAGGAGTGCCTTCAGTGCCTGCAGTGTCGGGCCGACAAGGTCAAGCTCGCTAGTTTCATCCTTGAGCAGATCTGGTCGGAATTAGTCGATGCTTTGACTGCTTTTGGGAAGCAGTATTTACCGCAGTACATGGTCACAGCTAGCGCCCGGAAGTCTTCGCGTGTGGACGTCCCGAATGTAACGGCGACGGCGGAGAACGCTTCGAACGCCGAGATGATGAGCCGAACCTTTTCGGCGGGCGTCGACGAGTCGTCTGAGTGCAGTCAGCACCACACCCACACCACGAAGAAGCCTGTACTCACGAACGGCACCGCTGCCCGGTCCAGACATGACTCTCCTGAGGATGTATGCGCAAATGCGAAGGCAGTGGGCTTGAGGTGAGGCAAGGACGTTCTCGCCGTTGGCATGGCCATTCCTGACAACCATTCGTCAAACAAGATCATCGTCGGTAGAGACCGGTAGATACTGACGATTTGCTGCTGGCCTTGATGCTGTCCGCCAAGCTCGCAATCGCCTCGACGAGGTGAAGTTGCACAGCCGAAGGCTCGGTAAGAGCCATGCGGTAGAATAGGTTCAGCAGCTCTTCGAACAACGGCGGGTCGCTGAACACCCTGCCACAGTACTTTCGTCGCACCAGGCACTTCAGCGCCTGCAGTGATACGATCGAGGTACGACGCGCGTCGAGACTGGTGTCGGCGCTTGAGGTGGCGAGGGCCTCGTAAACGAGCCCGAAGATGACGAAAAAGAAGGTGACGGGGTCTTCTCGAGTTTCCGGTTTCGTGCTTGGAGGCTGGGTAGGGGCCGTCTCTTGACCATCCATGGCTGCAACAATGCTGGGGTCATCCTTCTGCATCGCGATGGCGACTGCGTGGAGGATGACAGGCCATGCTTTGACATAGTACTATATCACACTGCATCAGTTTCAATTTAATGGGAGCGGGAAGAAAGACTCACAGGGAGGAGAACCTCCCGACCTAAGCTCGTGTATGATGCGTCCAACGCGCCTGCTGGCGTGTCATCTAATGCTTCCGCGTCGATCCTGATACTGGCGTAATCTCGCAAACATGATACCCATAGGGGGGCAAGCGAGGCACGGTAGGGCCCGACAACCTGGACCAGGTACACTTGATGGGTGCTGGAGACCTCGAGCTCTGCCCACGCTGACAACGTCGCGATGCGTAACATGACGGAGGCGTTGGGACTCAGCTCTCCAGCGTCGCCGAGTGTGAGCATCCCAGAGCCTGAAAAGTACGTGAGCAGGTTACGTTAAGTACTCACGAGAAGACAGACCTTTGGATTGTTCCAGCGCCGAGGTCAGCAACCTCAGAATACGACCCATACGCCCAACATCCTTGACGACCCCACACCCAACGAAGATTGCACAAGTCCTGATAGCAGAGGCCAGGATCTCCGGGGTAGAGTCGGAGGAGAACGCTGGGGTCAAGGCGGCGGTGATGGGTGCTTGGTGCTGCTCCAGCAGCAAGTTCTCCTCGTAATCGGGATCCGGAATCTTTGCAAAGATCTGCAAACCAGGCATCAACATCCTGTTCTGACCTCTCATCACAGCACACACACCTCAATGACATCCGTGAGCACCGCGAGCCCCTCGAGCCGGATCTCAGTGACGTGTGCTGCGGATGCAGTGAACGCGATCTTGATGAGATCCGGGACGCGCGAAACCAGGAGCCCGTGCGTCGGGACACCCTGGCTCCGCGCGAACGCAAGATCAAGATGCTCGCGCCTACCCGACCGACCCACGACTGTGCAGATGCTGTGCAGACACTGCAGCGCAAACAGCTGCGTGCGCCAGCGGGACGTCTGTCGGGCGGCCGTGCTCGTCCCGACGCTCAGGCTCTGCCCCTCGTCGTCGACTGTGGCGGCGTCCGCGGCCTGCTGCGTCGCCGTTGTCCGGCTCATGATCCGTTGGCAGAGATCGATCCACGCCGACGGGTTGTACACCACTGTCTGCTGCAGCCAGCTTGCGATCACGTTCCGGACGCCGTCGACGGACGAGTCGTCGTCGAGCATCGCAAAGAGTTCCTCACAAGCTTGTCGCCGCCGAGCTTCGACATGTTCAGCGCATCGCGCTGGACGAGCTGGTAGAGCGCATTGATCGATGCTAGCTTGAGCGGCCGGCGGGTGGAGGACAGGTATCCGCGGAAGCGCGTGACAAGGTCCGGGACGTCGACGTGATCAGGTGCGAACATGAGGAAGTGCTGCATGCACTTGATCGCCTCTACGCAGATTCCGTCGTCCTCTTCGTCCACGAATTGGTGCACGAGATCGAGCACGAGCGTCCGCGTTCGTGTCGAGTCTTGGATGTCGGGCCGAGCACAGTAATGACTGCATCGATGTTCTGCAGACGACCTGATAAGCGGGCAAGTCGCCGCTGATGTTGACGTAGTTGAGCTGCCCACCGTCCGGCTCGTGAGATTCTGTCATGTACACCTTGAAGAGCAGGCCAGAGTGCTGGAGACGAAGGGCGCGTAGGCAGACTTGCCGCGTCGATGACTCGAGCCAGCGCACTGAGAGCCCAGAAGTGCACGACAGGATGAGGGTCGTTGATGAGGGACATCAGGACGTTCGCCGTTGTCTTGAGGAGCGGACCCGCAGCCAGACCTCCAACGTGGGCATGTATGGCGCCGAACGCCAGCGCGCACCCCGCGCGGCCGTGAGGATCGCGGTTGCTGACGACCTGGTCGACGAGCGTCTTGACCTGGCTGGTAAGGAAGTTTGTGCCTGCGAGGCTCGCGAGGCGTCCGATCGCTTCGCTGCTCGCCTTCCGTAACGCCGGATCCGAATCGACGACTACGTCTTTCAGGAAGGTCGATATCGGACTTGACACCTGGGAGTTTCCAAACATTTGTCTGGAGCTGTTCGAAGTGGCTTGGCGCAATGTGAGGACTAACGCAAATGCTACATTGACGAGTGCCGCAGCCTTGCGTCCGGTGTTCTTCTCGAGCTTAACCGATCCTACGAAGCTGAGTACTTGAGTGACCACCCGCGAGGCTTGAGCGACGTCTTGCAGTGGAAGCAGTTGTGCAAACAGCTCGATGGAGCCGTCCACGGCGGCCGTGGCGGCTGGAGGTGGTTCATGTCCGTGGCGACTGTTCTCTTCCATACTCAGCTGACACAAGTACAACGGATCGTGTTCGAGAGAGGTGATGATCGGCTTGAGGCACTGTAAATATGTTAGTGGTATTCGACGATCGATTACACGAGGTACGTACCATATCATCGATGGACATCTCAACACCGTCCCGGTTCGCAAGTTCCGTGGGTCCGTCGTCGACTTCGAGACTCGTCAGACCATACGCGTACCCGTCGACGCTGTGCCAGATGGACGTGAACGATCCCGAAGACGTTGCGATAGCAGCTTGCATAGACGAGCCCGCGTAGCCATCGGGGCTCGCGAAAAGCTGGATCACCGACTGAAGGAGGGAACTCTGGACGGACTCCGTGACGCCGCTGAACCCGAGCAGCGAGAAGCATTGGAAGACTCGTGAACGGAGCAGCGCTTCGCGCCCGTCAATCATGAGGCCGTTCGTCTGCGCCAGGAGCTCCTCTTGGTTGAGCCCCACGCGGCTGGTGAGGTACGTGTTCGCAAACGCGAGCCCATTGCTGAGGAGCGAGGATATGCGACGCGTGACGTCTGCGGTGACCAGCGTGGGGGAGTTGTACTTGAGGAAGCAGTGCACCGCGCCGATAGTGCTTTCCCGGACGTGGAGAAGGAACTCCCATTCAGAGATGCTACGTCCTGGGGCGCCGTCCTTTGTTGTGGGCTTCGGGAGCGCGTTCCTCCACAGGACGAGGAGCTGCGGTAGATGAGGGCGAACGAAGTTCGGACCCAGCGTCATGAGGGACGCAATGCAGGTCCACGCAATTTCGATCTCAATCTGCGCAATCCTGACGTCGTGCTCGCCGGCGCGTTTGAGGATCTGGACGGCCATGTCGAACACCTTGGCGCTGACGTCGTAGGAAACGTATAGTGGGCGGTCAGGAATTACAGCGAGAAGTGCAGCAAGGCCATATGCATGTCCGAGCGCACGGAGATGGATGTCGGATGGTGCTGCCGGAGTCGTCAGCGAGGAGATGTCGCGCTGCAGCTTCTCCATAACACTGAGAAGACTTTGGGGAGACGTAGGGGTGTTGAGTAGCAGAAGCACCGTAGCGCCCATGCGGTATTGATCCGGACGCTGTGACTTGGATGTGCAAGGAGGTTGAGAAGGGGGTCGAGAAGCGCATCCTATTGAATATGAGCGCCGGCGTATGTTCATACTATGGCAGTGCTTACCTGAACAAGGGTGGGAGCATTCCCAAGTTGTTGGACGAGCCCGCTCACTTCCCGCAGAGCAATGACCAGGCAGAGTTGGTTGGGGGCAGAAGAGCCGGGCATAAGTGCGGGCCACCGCTTCAGATACGTGTTGGCCAGCTCTTGGATGGCGGCAATCTGCGCTTGCTCGCTGAACAGCCGCACACCGATGAGGTCGCGGAGGATGATCTCGATCAACGAGCGCACGAAGAGGATCTCGTAACGGCTCCCTGTGTTGCGCGGGTTGGTTACGATCTCGTTCATCAAGTGGGTGACTACTAGGGAGTAGTTGGTCTCCACGAAGCTCGACCCAAGAAGGGAGAGGAGAGCGGCGTAGCAGTCGAAGATACCGACCCGTGTGCGACGGGTGGCCTGTGGCTTGTTGAAGTGCGCCGAGAGCTGCTGCAGCATCTCGGTGGGCGTCATGATGGGCTTCGATTCTTCAGCAGAAGCATGCGCTCCTGGGATATCGTCTTCGTCTTCGTCTTCTTTCTGGCCCTTTTTGCCTTCTTCGCTGTGTCGACAACGGGAACTACTTTCGCTACCTGGGTTGAAGCTAGCATATGCGCAGCGAGCTTTGAGAGTGAACTGCGAGTCAGCTGGTCGGCTCCCTCGAGGCTCTTGACGCATATGTTCACGATGCTCTCAACGTCAGCGACGGAGCGCGTTCCGTCACCACTAGGGTACATGAGGATTAGGACCTGTTTTCGGATTACTTCGAGACATGCAGATAGGAGCGTATATGGATCACCTACCTCGCAAGCAGCCCGCTGCACCGCAAGAGCCCTATCACTCAACGCGTTCCTGCTGTACCTGATAATGTCCTTCGCAGCCGAGTCCGTGACTGCTCGCTTGGCCGTTCCGAGAGCCTTCGCGAGAGCATATAACGAGTATGCGCGGACGATGATGGGTTGCTGGATATGTGGCTATGATTCAGCGTGCGTACAAGGTCTAGTAGGCTTGATTTACTGACACTTGAAGCACGATACATCTTGATGGTGACTGACGCCACTTCGGCCATGAGTGACATGACCTGATACACTTTTGAGAGGAGATGCATGAGGCGAATTGCTGCATACTCACCTGAGACCCGAAAGTGCCCATAAGCTCTCCAATACAGTACATGGCCGCCCTACACCGGGCTCAAGACATGGAACAATGATAATTGGACAATGCTCACATCCTGCTGGACTCCTTAGCGGGAGGCTTCGTCTCTGCAAGCAGCTTGAGGAACGCCTGACTTGTGTCATACAGAGATTTGGTCTCTCCGCGCGTGTAGAGGGTCTTCAAACAGCTCGCAACCAGCCTTCTTACCGGTCGGCCAGGAAGCGGAAATGACTCTGGGGCCGTAACAATCTTGACCATATCCTCCTCCAATGCCGTTTGGTTGGCCTTCAGTTGCTCCTGCCCCGCAAATGAGGAGAGAAGTATGCATGAACAGAGGCAGACGCACCGGTGTGGCTTTCTTAACCGCGGCGTCCACAGAGGACAGCCATTGGAAGAGGTAGATCTCTCCGTTCTCTCCTGATACTTTGGACTACATCATTTGAGACACGAAGAAAAAACTAGAAACGGACGCGACATACCTCGTCCAACAACTCAATGATCGCGTCGCCCAACGCTGCCATCAGAACCCAGAGCCCAGTGGAGTCCTTATATGCAAGGTGGGGAGGAGACGAGTGATTTGGTTGCAGAGAAGCGAGATACCAATCGGGGTGTACCCAGATATGTGTCCCAAGGCCGCTGTTCTAATAGTGCGAGGTGCGAGACTAGACGAGGACTAAGCAGAGAGAGAACGAGAGTAGTGATTTCGGTGCACTCGCCTGCCACACCTCCATGCAATAGGCGCCCGATACTCGATCAATGCATGGGCGCCCATCTGCGCTCAGCTTGTGGCGACTTGAAAGCTTATGTAAAGCCAATCTGCCACACCCACGCCTCCACAACTGAGGGCGGCCATCGCTGTCTTCTACCACGACTGCTTCTTCCTTGCTCTGACTGTGCGCGCTCCTCGTACCGATCTTCCAACTCTCTGTTGGCTCCAATTGCATGTCGGGCTTGTCAAGTAAGCAATTTCCGAACGATGTGAGAGCTCCGCCGTATCTGTCCTCATATGCTATCTAACCAAGTACTCAGGGATCTTCACCAGCCAAGAGACGTAGGGTAGAAGACATGCTTGATGGCTTCAAGCCTGCGAAACGAACCCCAATCTCTGTGCCCGCTCCTAAGTTTGCGTCTGCGTTCGACGATCCACACAAGTCGAAATTGACAAGCAAAGATCAACCTCTTCGTGCGCCCCCTCCACCGGTCTCTCTCTCCTCCTCTGCTACCACGCGCCCGAATTCTCGTTCTTTGCACCCTCCTCTGTTACCCATCCGTCTCCCCTCTCAGCCTCAAGCCGGACCTTCCAACGCTGCCGTTCGTGCCCCTGTTACTCGAGATAAGCCCGTGCACATCTTGCGACCCCCAGACTTCCAAATCTCCCCGAAGCCCACGACGAAGTTCACATTACCATCTCATGTACGTCTGCCTTCCCCCAACAAGCACAAGTCTGGTCCTGCTCGCCCCATGAGAGTCATGCCTGTGCCCGAGCTCGGCGATATATTCCTCAAACCCCTTGCCCCAGAGCCACAGAAACCGAAACGTGAGCTCAAGCCGCTGCAAGCCCCGCCTCCCCCGCCTCCCCGCAAGTGGGTCCCTCTCTACCTGTAGGGCGTAAGGTCAAGACGATCACGACGACGCGCGTCGCACTTGCACTGGACCCGCTGACTGAAGCTGGCTCCGAAGAGCTCATGGCGCTCAACCTGGAGCTGGCTGCCACGGCATACCTCAGTCCGACCGCGCGTGAGCTCAACCGAGGACTCGGCCAGAGTCCCGAGAAGGCGTCTAAGAAAAAGACTGCCAAATTCCTCAGGTGCGCACTACAATCTCGTTCACCGATACAGCGCTCAAGAATGTGCTTGTGCAGGGGAGGGCTTGCGGACCGTGCGCAACATCTGTTTGCGCAGCAGAGGACGGGTCTCGCGCTGTGGCAGAAAGACATGGATCTCCAAGCCCAGCGACCAGGAACACATCCTCGCAGTCCCCCAGACCTCTCTCTCCGGATCATAGACACAGTGCACATTACATCAATCGCCAGTCTACAACGCTCGCAGACCGTGCCGCGGCTCTCTATTGTCCGCTGTGCGAAGCTTCTCAAGGGCAGCGCTGTTGGCGAGATCACGGTGGTCCTCGACTTCGGCATTAATGGCGCCACGGGGTCCGAGGCCCGTACCCTCGAAGACGCCAAGGGTGGGCGCGGGCTCAACATCTGGTCACCTTGGAACAGCTCCGACCGTTCCGCCGAGGAGCTGCGGAAATACGGGGTTCTTCCTAAAGACGGTACTGTCTTGTTTTGTACTCGGTTTCGAATAATATGAGTCTGCGCCACAGCCCACCCAAGGACGAGTGTCAGACAATTGCACGCGTATCCCTCTCCACCACCCACACGGAACGAGTATGTATCGCTCATCGCATCTGCCTGTCTCTCATCTGTCGGTGGGCGGTGACTCTGCCTCTGCTGACTCGCACAGCCAGCCAGACGGCACACACGTCCTCGAGGGCTCGCGCGCAATCAAGCAAGGCAACCAGGACGGAAAAACCTGAACTGATCGTCGCCATCGAATTCGAATATGGGGCATACGCGTAGTGCCTTGGTTGTGCTCGTGCCCTTCGCCAAGGACAGGGCAACGCCCTGCGCGTTGTATTCGGGACGAGCACGCGGGGAGCATGCGGCGCCGAAGGCCTTCTGTGGTCCGCTATCATGCCCAACTCCGCCCCGACACCCACGCTCGCCACCGGCGCCGGTCTGCTGGGGCCTCATACACGACCTCGGAGGCCTTCGCGCGGGCACGCTGGCCGTTGCCCGCTCTGCTGATTATCGCGTGCGCAATCGAGGGTCCGCTAAGGTACCCCGCCCGCGCATTCGCGTCCCAGCGCCCGCCGCCCATCTGGCTTCTCGCACGAGAAGCGGCGCGCGCCCTCGCCCTGGCCTGCACAGATAACGCTTGCCGTCGACAATCGTACGGCCTCCGTCCCGGCTAGCTAGGCGGCTACCCCGCCCGCGCATCTCCTGCTCACCTGACCCCTTGCTTTATGCTCCTTAGCCGCTCGCAGGCCCATAAAAGCCCTCTCGGCCGCGCCCCCTCTCCTCAGACCTTCCCGGTCATCCACCGCCCTCATCAGCCCGCCTTCCCAGCGGCGAGGCGCAGCGAGGCGCACCCCTGCATGCACGATTCGACCGCAACAGGAGCCTAGGACCGCCTCGGTGGACCGGCACCTGGGTCGCGCACGCGCTGCGGGGCGTCGCGTCGCTCGCTCGGAGTCGCCCTCTAGTGGTACAGTACCCGCTGTGCTCTCCTGCCTGCACGACGCTCACGCTTGTTTCTCACAGCTTTGCACCGGGCCTCCAACACACGGCGGGCCGCGCCGTGTGCGGTCTCGCGGGTCGACTAGACGCAACCGGGTTCTTACCTGGTGCGCCCGCCCCAGACCTCCACCTCCACCTGCAACCGCGCGCCCCACTGCGCCTTATGCCCATCTATGCCAACAACAACAACACCTGCAACTCACAACCTTCACCACCAGTATGCTCCTACCTCCGACCTTCCCGCGCGCTCAGTAAGCCCGCGCATGAAGCCCCTTGCGCCATGGCGAGCGCGCGGACGTGTGCGACCAACACTTTGCGGGCCGCCGGTGTAAGGGCCACCGGCGCCCGCACTCGATATCACGGTGCGCCCCCTCCTTCTCCCGCTCTCCCGCTCTCATCCTGACGCGCTCCCCCCAGAGGACCGGCGAGGCCCGTCCCCGATACGCGTCCAATCCGCGCCAAACTTCGCCCGCGTGAACCCGTAAGCCCCTCCTCCGTCCCCCACCTCCCCCCACACCCCCTGCCAGGGCTCGACTCGAGTTAGGGCCACGCAGCGCGGACGCAGGCCGCTTCGCCCCCGCGCGAAAAGTCTACCACTTGGTCGCCCGCGCGTAAGCCGTGAGCGCCGACCTCCCCCGCCTGCCACGCCTGCGCCCCGGTCGATCTGCTCTCCGTGCGCCCGCGCGCGGAATGACTCTCACTCGCAGATCCCGGGGTGCCGCCGCCGCGGGGTGAGGGGCCGCCGTTCATAAGCCGCCCTGGCACATCCGCTCACTACCACTCCCCGCGCTCCTCCGCGCTCGCATGCACCCTATACACACTATCGTTCTATGCCAACCGCTGCGAACTTTTATCTCCTTTTGCTCTATCTTTATTCCACTTTTTTACTTTATGGGCGCCACTCTACTTAATAGAGTGGCTCAAAAGCCCCCCGAGGTACGGTGCAGGCCTCTTCGTGGCCCTCGGGACTAGTACCCGCCTTCGGGCGGGGAAGCCAACATGCACCAGTGTTTTGTTCTTGTGTTTCTGGTTTTCATGTACTAGGGTAGCGCGGAATCGAATGCTTTTCTCGAGCAACACCGGTGTGCGAGCGAATGAAGACACTCCTAGTGGCACACTCCGGGCCAACGACACGACTTGGGAAAATCTCGAGCGGGCCGTTTGCGCCTAAGAGTTGAGAATCTCATGTGCTTTAGCCACGTCACTGACATGGGGCTGCGACGTCGCGACACGCCTGCTCGCTGAAGCCAATATTTCGATACTGGCGTCCGGTGATTAGCAGTGCGAAGGAGGTGATCGGAAGGTTGGAATACTTGGAGCAAGAAAAGAAAACCGACGAGACGCCGTTTGAGAGCACAGACAAGTCCCAGTCTTCAACCTTCATAAATGCCACGCGAAGGCGGCGGCGGTCCAACGAGAGAAAGAGAGCGCCAGGTACACTGGACCGTGAGAGGCGAATAGTATATGCATAGCGTAGATTCGCGATCCTACTCTAGGTACTGACACCGACGAAGAACGACCCGATCAGAAGTGGATGGGCTTGTCGTACGCCGCCATCGCCGCCTCCTTGAAGGCTTCCGAGAGCGTGGGCTGCAAAATAACATATCGCCGGTCAGTTCCATCCCGCGCCGTGCCGTAAGAAAACGGGAGAATAGACTCACGTGAGCGTGCGTCGTCCGCGCGACGTCCTCCGCGCTCGCGCCGTACTCAACCGCGAGCACGCCCTCCCCGATCATCTCGCCCGCATTCGGACCCATGATGTGCACGCCGAGAATCCGGTCCGTCTCCGCCTCGGTGATGAATTTGACGATGCCCTCGGTGTCGAGGTTCGTCTTCGCGCGCGAGTTCGCGGCGAAGGGGAACTTGCCAACCTTGTACTTGACGCCGTCCGCCTTGAGCTCCTGCTCGGTCTTGCCCACCCACGCGACCTCGGGGTGCGTGTACACGACCGAGGGGATCGCGTGGTAGTTGACGTGCCCGTGGCCCTTGGAGATGTGCTCGACGGCGGCGATGCCCTCCTCCTCGGCCTTGTGCGCGAGCATGGGTCCGAAGGTGACGTCACCGATACAGCGGATGCCCTTGACGGAGGTGTTGAACTGGTCGTCGATCACGACACGGCCCTTGCTGTCGACCTCGACGCCAGCGGCTTCGAGGTTGAGGCCATCGGTGTACGGCCGGCGACCGACGGAAACAAGGACGACGTCCGCCTCGAGCTAGGGAAGGGGGCAAGCATCTGTACCACGAACGCGAAAATGAGGCAAGCGAGAACGTACTTCAGCCTCCTTGCCACCCTTCGCGGCCTCAGTCTTGATGTAGACCTTGCCGTCGCGCTTCTCAGCAGACAGAACCTTCGTGTTCAACATGAACTTGAGGCCCTGCTTTCCAAGCGAGCGCTGGAACTGCTTGCTGTCATGGACGTAAGCCAGATGGCAGAAAAACGAGAACGAGCATGACGCACGCAATCTCCTCGTCGATACCCGCACCGCCGATGCCACCAAGGAACTCGACGACGGTGACTTGCGCACCAAGACGACTCCATACGCTGCCCATCTCCAGACCAATGATACCTCCGCCGATGACGACCATCTTCTCAGGAACCTCCTTGAGGGAGAGCGCGCCGGTGGAAGAGACAATCTGCTCCTCGTCGATGGTGATGGCACCACCAGGGAAGGGCGCAACCTCGGAACCGGTAGCAATGATGATGTTCTTGCCCTCGATCTCGGTCTCGCTGCCATCATTGAGCCTGACGGAAATCCTAGTGGGGGAGACGAAGGAGCCGGCACCCTTGATGTAGTCGACCTTGTTCTGCTTGAAGAGGGTCTCGATGCCCTTGGTCAGGCCAGTAACCGCGTCCTCCTTCGCCTTGAGCATGACAGGTAGATTGAGGCTGACCTCGGGGACTTGACAAACGAGCATCAGCATGGGTTGATACAGGGAGGGAAGCCGTGCAAGAAGGGTGATCAAAAGGGAACTCACTGTCAATTCCTCGCCTCTTCATGTCGTGCTGGGCTTGGTGGTACATGTGCGAGTTGTTGAGCATCGCCTTTGATGGAATGCAGCCAACGTTGAGACACGTTCCACCGAGAGAACCACGTTTCTCAATGCAGGCCGTCTAGAGGGACGTTAGGCCAGTCGAACCAGGCAAGTGCAAATGACGCACCCGGAGACCGAGCTGCGCGGCCTTGATTGCGGCCACGTAGCCACCGGGACCTAGTTCGCGTTGGTTGGGTCAATGAAGTTAAGGGAGGTTGCATGTGCCTACCACCACCAATGACAATGGCATCGTAAGGCTCCGAGGGCGTAGCCAGCCCGCGTTGCTGCTGCCAGCGACCGACCTGGGTGCTAGCGGACTGGCGGAGGCGGCGGGCCGCTGCCTAGATAGACGGAGACGGGTTGGATGTGTCACTAGCGGAGGGCGAGAGGAGGGGGACGCACTCTAGAAGAGACCTTCTGGACCTGGAGCATGATGTGAGGGAGGAGAAAGAGCTTGGTGTCCGAGACGCGTCGACCGACGGAGGTGCCCAGCGCAGACGCCCATCGGCCGTTCGTGCGGGCGTTCCGCGTTGGGCCGGCGGCCATCCGCGGGCCAATCATCGGACGCGCAGCTCACCGACGAACGCCGACCAACTTGACGCACAGGGACATAGGGGGACGTGTGGAGACCTACAAGTCTGTAGTCTTCATGACCCATGATAATATGCATGCACACCATCGCCGCGACAGCACAAAAGTACAAGTACTGTAGTTCCGACTTCCCGGTTCAATATATACATGCTATACGACATCTCTTCAGCGATCCCGGCTCGATGGACTTCTGAGTTCTGAACAGTCAATGAAGCCAGTTCGCACGTGTCCAAGCGGCAGGGGAACCGCGAGTGTTTCGGGGGAGTTCATCGAATGGTTCGGCATTCGTAACATCACGGGGTACGGGTTGAAGTGCCCCATCTGGCACCAGCATCCTTGGGGTCAGGCGGCCATCAAGAGTGAAGGAGAGGGTGCCCCCAAGCTGGATGCGGTGAGTGACGTCAAGCTCCGCCCCTGGTTCCATGAAGTGCATCTTGAGACCTATAAGAAAGTCTTGATCAGCAAACCGTTGAGGTGCCAGGGCAACGTGAAGTGTACGCACTTCTGACAGTCGTGGCAAACTTGTTTCTCGGCAGGGCATTGACAATATATATCATGACCAGAAAACAGTCAACGGGTGTACTGAACTCCTTTCGATAGTCGGAATACTGGTGTTGCTCAAACCCATTGTCTCCCAGGTAAGCAATCAATCGTCTATAGGTGTTAGCTAATCATACGCAGTGCGCACCCCATATAAGCGACATTGTATTCATGACTTCAGCAAGAACTTACCTCTGTGGGAGTACCAGCCATACGGGAGATCGTCCTCTGTAGGACGAGTGTAGATGTCGTAGGATATCCCCCAGGGACCGTCATCATAAAACGCGAGAAGGTTTTGTTGGGCCAGTATGTACTGTTCGGCGACAGCAGCGAGGGCAGGAGCAGCCATGTGCCTACAGCGATGAAGGACAGTGAGAAGGGGGGAGCGATGAAACTTGTTCTCAGAGCCCCCCCCCCGCATATTTGTACTCCCGACTCATCTTCTGCAACAAAACCTCCATCACGCGAATTACAAACGTATCCACATCGACGATGCCATGTTGTTTTTCATTATTGTTCAAAACAATACCGTGTTGTTTCTCCGGCTCTCGAAGTGAGGAACAATCATGTCTGCGTGGTTCCGGGACCGAGAACAAGGGCGTCATATCGGCACGTGAGGTGGCGAAACAATAAGGTTCGCATTCGAACACAGACTGGGAAAACTCAGCGGGCGCCGAACACCAGGATGGGCGCCACCAACCTCGTATATCTAGTCCGTGCGCGGCACGCCGCCACTGCTAACCAGCCCTTCCACCGGCCCTTCCACCAACTTGCTTCTTGACATGGTCTACACTCGCACCTCTGCCCCCTCCCCCCCCTCCAAGCGGGAGTGTGAAGCTCTCGCACAGCGATATGCATTGTACTCGAAAACCTGCAATGAGGACAGTCTAGTCAACAAGTACCGGGATCCTGTCGGGCGAAAGCGCGCTACGGAAGAGCTCTACGCAAGCGGTCGGGCTCAACCTGATGTAGGCCCGCTTCAACTCGTAGGTGGTCCTGGTGGAGACCCGGACAAATATCTTGCTCTTGTCGACGCCGATATTGAGAGATTGGGGGCCAAAGGAGCGGCCATGACAACAGCTGAGTGCGTACATTTGGTTATTCTTCTCCCCAATTTCTTACGCTGACGAACGTACAGCCGTGTGTTTCGCTGGCACATAGCTCTGTCCGCGATTATGGTCTTTGTCGAATATAAGCTTGTTGCTCCATATGGGGGTTTCGACGGAGTGGTTGCAAAGATAACAACACGAGGACATAAGATGTAAGTGCGCCTTCCCTGATGAGGATATGCAAGCCTTTGATACATTGCAGCTCGGATGAATGGCTCAAGGCAAACTACGAACGAATCAAGTCTGGCGATTGGCCCCCGGCTCCCAACGAACGCGCTGTGCCGCCGCCTTCCGTCAATCTACCAACCACTCCCAGTCCACCTCGCCAGCTCCACACTCCGCCTTCGAGTTCTCCCCCTCAGCCCATGGCTGATCCGTGTCCGCTCACACCCAAAGAGGTCAAGGATCTCGTCAAGCGACCGTCGCCTCTGATCGACATGCGGTTCGAATGTCATGACGAGACTGCAGGGGGCGTTTGGAAGCTACAGTCGTTCACTCAGTCCTCAGGTCGTCAAACGGAGTTCTGGATCAAGTACGACGACTGCAACGGCTTGATTCCCATGGACAAAGATGCCATGACGTGGCTCCTGGGCGCGAGCTTGGTAGTAGAAGGGCTGGATGAGTACAGGTATGATGATTAGGGTGGTGGGAATGTCATCTTTGTCTTGCGGTGTTGGAATGTACTGTACCAGACGCTTTGGAGCATAGTTCAACGTGGCGTCTCCACCGCTGGTTATGAAATGCGAAAAACCCTACAGTAACATAGTGGTGTGGCGATTCGGCCGTTGAATGAACGTCACGTTACATACTTGCATAGATCCGTGTGGCAAGACGCGTCGCGCGCGTCACAAACGCGAACTGTCACACACATCATTGTACCTGTCGCAGTAGTCACGTCACACGAGTCGTGTGTACGAGATTTCGCCCAGGATCAACGACATCTCGATAGAGTTGCACCCTTGGCCTTTTACACCTGCATGTGAACAGTGCGGAAGACGTCCACGCCACTCCGAATTGGCCCAAATGTACTGGCATTCGCTCCAGCCGACGGCGATATATACGAGCATAGTACAAAAGAGGTGCAATGCGTCCGACCATGAGTCTTCGCGTCACTGACCTTCTCAACATGAATGTCTTGGGAGAGAAGGAGCATCTATACACATAGCAGCCTCGGGAAGACACTAAGATCGATCCGCACCTTCGATGGCCGGACCAGAACGAGCTCGCGCGCAGACCTCCGGTGTTCCAGTATAGTATGCATGGGCTATCGACGACGATTGGTAGTCTCGATGAGACTATCTTCACTGTTCAGCGGCTGGTCCACCGACACCTCGAGGAGCACATTGGTTTACCTGAGGCCTCATATATACCACTCTGCTCGACAGTAATGGCAGTGGGGGCTTCACTGGGTCGGGACGAATTACGATGACATTATTCCACTGGGATGCATTGTCAAGCTGAGGATCGTTCTCGAAATGGCGCGAAACTGTTGTGGTACATTCATCCACAGATACTGCATTGGCAGCCACTCTTAGACGGTGAAAATGGCTAAATTTCGCCACCCCTCGATGTTTTGCTGACAATGCATTCGCCCAGAGGAAGAGATGGAATAGGTCATGCTGCCGATCTCGGGCACAACGGTGAATAAGCCATCTCGTGTCTCGTGAACGCAGTGTTCGATGTCATGACCATGATGTAGTACCGCCCTCATGTACTCGGACGGCTCGCAGCGCCAGTGCTGCTCCCAAATATCCATGCACATGTTGGATGTACCCGTGAATTTCGACAACCACTCCTACTGTACCCATATCCTCAACAAGGTTCAAATCACGCACCCGGTCCCGGTTTGACAGTCCTCACATTCATCGCCCCTTCGGACAAAGTCACAAAGCTTAACACCGACAGTCCTAGTTCAAAAAGTCCTCGGGATGCAGCTGCACATAATTCAAGAACCCGTACGCGCTGTAACCCAAGCGCACACAACACGTCAGCAGCACATCCGCGAGACCCACTACGCGCACTCACGTGTCCAGACTGGCGAAACACCGCGCGCTGCCCGGGTCGAGGTCAGGGTGCTTCTCGCCCGGAGGCGGCGGCTTGGGTATCGGGGTCTGCGTGAAGAACGGCTCGTGCCCCTTCTGGCCGGACGTAAAGAGGTAGAACACTTTCGGCGCGAGATCTTGCCCTGGAACAACCTGCTTCCCCTCCTTTGCGAACGGCGAGTAGCTCTGGTGGCCAAAAGAGCCTGTGCGTGGTGGATTGTGGGAAGAAGGCCAGTACTGGACTCGCCGGATGTCGCGCACGCGCAACTGCTGGTCTGAGCCTGTGCGGGTGACTACAAAGGGAGGGTCAGGTTAGTGAAGGAACAAGTGCGATGAGGGAACAAGGCTACTCAGGATCAACTCCTCGGGCGCGACGTTGTGCTTCCTCCCCAGCGCACTTCCGTGTATCAATAGAAAGCTCCAAGCGTCCTCCGCGCGGACCACTTCGGTGGTATGAACAACGTGCATGCTGAGCTCCGCTTCCGGAAGAACGACGACGGTCCATCTGAGACCGTCATCCATCAGCGAACGGTGAGTTCGAGAGAGAACAAAACGCACCCATGTACCCCATCCGGAAGCTCGAAGGACTGCACGTCGTCCCACTTGTGACAGCCGTCGTGCCATGCCCCTTGCTTCCCGTCCGACACGTGTGTGGTCTCGAAGCGGACCAGGCCTTCGTCCTGCACGTTTCCCAGCACGACGAACTCGGACCAATCTTGTTCGACGACGTTCGACTTCGGGAAGTACCCGTAGTCGCCGACGGCGAACCGATGCGGCGCGATCCCGTTGCTTTCGGACCAGACCTGCTTGTGGCCGCCCGCAGAGATGGCGGCTTCACGGATCCGCCTGAGCGTCAGAGTGGGGGTGTGCAGGATCTCGAACGCGTCTTCGTCTTCGTCCTCACAGTCCGCCGAACCTAAGATTCTGTGCAGGCGCTCTTGTACGGCAACGGTATCCCCGGAGTCGGGAAGAAGAGCCCGCGCGAGGATCGTGAGGTGGTTGAGCTTGTGTTGAATCTCGGAGGGGACTGGGTTGTGTGCTGTGAGCAGGCTAGAACACACGGGGGGAACAACACCCACTATCTTGGGTCTTGCTGCTGGACGGCGCTTTGGCCATGAGTCCTCGATTGGGCAGGATCTAATCGGTCGTCAGCGCATTCCACGGGCGGGTGCTGGAGCGGCGTACTTTGAGGTAGACATCTCGCACTGAGTATGCCACGCCAAAGTTTCTCCATGAGACAATTTGGTCGACCTCTGGAGGAGGTAACCCCATGACGACAGTCTCGTCCATGTCGATTCGGAAGTTCGCATACTAGCGTAAAGGTGTTATGTCAGACTGAGCAGGGGGGCGTACAGGCGAGATACGTGCCTCAATGTAGTCTTGCAGCTTCGCATCGGACAGCTGCAACTGTTGCTGTAGGTATAGTGCTGCATCCTATGCAAGTCATGAGCATCCGCCGGAGACAATTTCTCAAGATTCATACCAGCGTATCGCGGTACTGTCAAACACTCTATAATGAGCTGAGATCGGGGAGAAGATGGTGCTTAGGACCCACAAGTCGTAGCAGAAGTTGTGCACAGCCAGTCAACGTGGCTCGTCTCAGAGAATCTAAAAGCAGAGCTTGGGGTAGACGTGTTTGCACTACCACCCAACAAGTTAGCTCGACTTCCGGACCCCGTGCTGGAAGCATAGTTACCGTTCGCCAACAAAATAAACGGTGTCGGTGTTTCGTCATCAGAATACCCGATCATCTGTGGCAGGTTCGGGTGGCTGGGATTCGCTGAGTTGTGTTCGAACATCGGCAAAGGTCGGCTGCTTACTAGACGTTCTGCAGGAGCTTCACATCGCGAACCCACTTCTGCAAGATGTCAATGTGTTGTCATTTGATTCCGATGAATGCGCGAACTAACCTTGGCGGCGGATTTCGTCCCGCCTTCGTATCTGAGCATGAGGGCTTTTTGGCCTCCGATCTCTCCTTCCATAGCTCCGGCCCACCACCCATCTTTGATGGTGCGGGATTTTCCCTTGAGACGAAACTGTGACTGATGGTATCTCGAGAACTACCAGGACACAGCCGTCAGTGGGGGTTATGATGGAATCGATGCTGGACGCGTACTCACACCATGATGGTCGAGTATCACGGGTTCTTCTACCTCGGGGTCGTCAAAGAAGTCTATGGTTTGATTTGAAGATGGTATGACGTTCAAGAAATATTCGCTGTCTTTGGGACTTGACAGGTCGATCAAATCTATGGATGGCTCTCTTGTTGGCACAGAAACACTCGACTGTGGTGACGATATTTCTTCTGTAACGTCCATGAAAGTTTTCTGCGATGTCCAATGTCACCTTGATCCCTTGGGAATAGAGTCGAACGACGCACTGTATGAGATGTGGGAGAAGTCACGAGCTCCCGGTTGGTCGTGATCTGCATGACCGACTTTTCTGAAGTATCCGCGTCCACGGTATACGGCGGGAGTGTGGACGCTCGGCGCGCGACGATCTGGTTCCGCTCGCCGACGGCGAGGTGTATGTTGATGAGTGTCGCGATCTAGAAACGGACAGCAGCATATATGCGCCACGAGTGAGCGGCGGCGGTACTCCTTGACAGACCCCGCCTCACGCGTACCTGGAACGATCGAGCGGCGTCGTCGAGCGCGGCGTTGTACTCGGCGAGTGCGTTCTCGATGCTGCTCTTCCGCATGAGGCGCGACCGCCAGTTCTGCTCCGCTGCCTGTCGGACGAAGGTGTATATCGAGTCGAGCGTGCTGAAGACCGAAGGTGAACTGTGAGTACGGCTTGCCGTGGTGCTAATCGGCAGGGAGGCGCTCACCGCTCGAACTTGGACAGCGCCTTGAGCAGGGACGCGGGCGCGAGATCGCCTTCTTCGGGCAGGTGGTCGCGGATGTCGACGAGGAGGGACAGGCAGCGGCGTGCTAGTCGGAGGCAGTCCTCCTGTTGCGTCTGCATGTCCTGTAGTAGTGGCGTCAGCGGCACCGCTTGTGCGCAGGTTAGGAAGGGCGAGCGAGACGCGACTTGCCTTGATCGTCTCGAATATGAGGAGAAGCAGCGACGCGGCTGCCTTCACTGGCGTGAATTGGCACAGGTCCGCGACCTCCTTGGCGGCGGACGTGGTGGCGATGAGCCCATTGAGGACGTCATTTGCAGAGAGCTTCAAGAGACTATTGCTTCTGCTGGTGCCACCAGTACTGGAGCTGTTGGCACCAGAACGAACAGTCATGAGACGGATCAGCTTCGGTGGCATGGTATGTATCGCCGACCGCTCCGAGAGGCTTTTGCCAGCAAAACTGGAGGGAGAGAGAGGAAGCTGAGCGACATGCTGGACGAAGAGCACACGCTGCTCCTTACTATGAGAGGCTGCGCAGTGGGGGCCATGGGAGCGGAAATTTGCGCGTCGCCGCGATGGACGGATCCAAGCTGGTGACAGATGGACACTCGGCGTCAACGCCTGTCCCGCCTGAAGACCGGCGCTTCTGCCACCGCCTCGCTGTGCTCTCCTCCTTCCATGCATGTACCCAACAACCAAGACGAGGGGGCATGTATTATACAAGTTGCTACTGATACAGCGGTATTGTCAATATTGAAATGTCATGAGGAGTGAAGGGGAATCAGTCAACCATAGTCAGCTCCGCGATGATCTTCTCATAGTTTGTCGACGTGTAGCCCACGTCGACACCTTGCGCGCTTCCTCTGTCCATGTACGCCGACATGATCTTCTCGTCCTTCTCGGTCAGCTCACTGGGTTCCTCGACTCCAGATGCGAGGTTGATCGCGTCGCGGTACTTCATGTACAGCTCCCGGTAGTCGACCTCTTCGTTCGAAGTGACCAGGAGCTCTTGTCCTTGTCCGATGTACCTATAACATGCTGTCAGTCTTGCCGGTCGACAAAGGGCGCAGTGCAAGATCGAGACTGACTCCTGGTACTCTTCCTCTTCCTTGACAATTGGATCCAGTAGCCTTGTGACAAGCTCCGGCAAAGACTCCGGGTGGCTCTCCGGTCGAGCCGTGGCCAACTTCAGCTTCTGCTTGTGTTCCGTGCGGTCGACGCGGGATGCTCGTACACCCGCCGGCGGAGTGGCACCCATCCACCGGCGTACCCCATCCATCAGCCTGCGAACACGTCAGCTGAAGTCGACACCGTATGTGCAACACACCCACTTTGGCTGAGACTGCGAGGTATGATGCTGCAGGAAGGGGCTCGTGTTGATGTCGCGCGCGGTCTTGCCGGGAAGCTTCAGCGTGCTGTTCATCGAGAATGCGAAATGCTTCCCGAGGGACGTGAACAGGAGGGGGCGGTAATACTCGATCCAGTACTCTGCGCGGGTGTTGACGAATTGCACGACTGCCTCCTCGCACGCTTCGAGGGGATACGCTTCTTCCAAATGTTCGTCGGTGAACCACTTCTGGTAGTTTCCGCGCTGGGGCGGGGTCCGTGCGCTGGTCTTCTCCGAGGGGATGCCAAGGAACAAGTTGATCGCAGCTTGCTTGTCATTGTCTAGAGGCACATCAGCACAAGATGATACGACTGACGAGGACGAGATCTACCTAGCAGAGAATTCGCGTAGAAACGGCGTAGATTCTCGATGATATCGCGAGAGTGACTGTTCCAATGGGGCATTCTCCGGTATGTCTCTACGCGGTTAACGAGGGCGCTGCCGGTGTACTGGAGTGCAAGACCTGTATCAACCGTCAGTATGCGGTCCCTGCTTGCACAAGAGAGTTCGGCTCACTGTCTCCATGATCATGGTACATCTCAGTAAGCATATTCACGGCGTCGGAGTCGAACGCGAGGTTCGGCGAGTCGACGATGCCTAGAGCATACAGTTGGTGACCGAGCGCCTTCTTGCCGTAGACGAACTGAGCTGCGTTGGTCCGATCTAGACAGTCCACGCAGTTCGTCCTGCAGATGCCGTTCTGCACTGACATCGATGTGCGTAAAGGATAGCCGTCGCTGAGAAAGAAGTCTTTGAGCATCATGACAAAGAGAGTGAAAGCCATGTTGTCCGACCTGTTCTGCAATGCGTGCGAGTAGGGCTCGCGTCCTGTGTGGAAGAATCCGGTGGTTTGGATGGACTGCTCCGCCATGTCCTCCAGCTGGCCAATAACGTCATTTGTCTTGCTAGAGAAAGGTCAGCAGTCTGCCGTTGACAAGGCGGTGGGCTGCCCACGTCTTGTAGTATTGGGCCATATCCCAGTGTTCATGCAGTAGCTTGTTCTCCGGCGGTAAGAACTGGTTGAGGTACTTGATACACTGCTTATATTCCACCAGTAGCTTCGACTCTCGTGGCTGAGGCTCCCTGCTCTTGATCAGATTCAGAATCATGATGGGAGAGCCGTATCGCTTGAAGAGGCCATCGAAATGCCGAGCGGCAGAGACGTAGAAAGGGTCCATTACAGGGACTGTGCAAGGTTGGTCAGTACATGCGCGTTGAAAGGCTTCAGATGTGTGCCTTACTCTCGATCGGAGGCTTGGCTACACCTGTGACCTCCTGCGTCCAGAACAGAGGTATACTACCTCGATACTGTACATAGCTCGTGAACTTTGGATTAGGCCTTCTGGTTCGCCCGTCCGCAGAATCTTGCTCCGCCGGGTAATAGAAAGGCGTCGTGAGTATCTCAGAGACGATCTGCTCAGTCTCCACTTCGTTCGCGACATTGCCCTACGCGCTCATCAGAGAGACGGTCGCCAGCTTGAGTATATGGCACGAACCTCGTCATTGACTCCGCGCTTCAGATACCGGGCACCGGCATGGTGACGAGATCTGCGCGCAATGAGCGTAATAAACACGACACGCCCGAGTACCGTTAATTCTGCACAACACTCTGTCAACGTCTGGTACACCGTGAGTTCGAGCCCACTCACTAGCTTGGTCGACATGTCCATGGATGAGCGGCACCAGCCAATGCGACCTATTCGATGATGGTGTCTCATCGCGGGCGAACGCCGCTGTGAGCAGATAGTGATTCCACGCAAAACGGTCATTAATAGACCATCGACGCGCAGGTCCAAGACCACTACGCGTCAGGTTGTGTTGAAGCGTCGAAGTTAGGTCATATGTGTAACTGAACGCACCAAACCGCATGAATTAGCTCGGTGTCTACCACAGAAAGGCGCAGCAAACTAAGGGACCTGAAGTAGAAGTTCTTCGACATGTCCACCTGCTTGAAGATGTTCAGCAGACGCTGCTCTTCGGCCGGCTTCTCCACGCGGTGGTTGAAAGCAATGGGAAGAATGTCCGTGCTCTCGCAGTGGTAGACGTAGTGTCCGCCTATGAGCGCGACGACGGACCGCTTCGAGACGAGGATCATATACCAGCCCGCGGTGAACCTGATGAAGCCTGCATTCCTGTCAGATCGGGCAGCAGAACGAATGGATACTGCAACGTACCAGCCACCCCGAAGAACACTCGCGCCTTGCCCAGTCCTCCGCAATGCCGGTTCCCGTCCTCCAACATCTTGAGCATGGCGGTCATTTGCTTTCCGCTGTAGACACACTCATCCTCGATGATGATCAGCTCCTCCTGGAACGTGCGGTCAATCTTGATGATCCGGTGGCGCGAGTCCGAGGTGTTGGACGCGACGACGTAGAAGCGCAGCCTGTTCTCGTACAGAATGAACTTGTTGAACGCCAAGGACTCCTCGGGGCGTGCGGCAGGTCCTTTCGCGGCGGACGGGTTGGTGGCGAGTGTGGCCGAAAGGCTCGGTGTATCCTTGGACTTGAGCGAGGCCGTATCGGCTACGGTGCTAGAGGTCATAGCAGCCGGAGGCAGGGTGGAGGAGTGTTGTGAAATGGGGGTGACGGTGCCACTAGAGTCGGCTTGAATCGACCCGGGTAAATGCAAGTTCAGCGAGGGGTTATGAGCGGCCATAACGACAGATCGCCCGAAGGCGGAAGGCGGGAGGAAACAAGTTCGAGAGAGGCCCTTCCGCTCGCTCACAGTGACGCCGCCACCCGCGTCCGGGCCGCCCGACCTCCGATCATTGTGGCAGCTCGCACAATTTCCTCCCACTCACCCCACCAAGCTCCGACCATGGCTGCTCACGACTTCATCTTCTGAGCTGGCGGCACCCTATGGCCGAGTCCTTCACCCTCCCAGACTTCAACTTTCCAGTGCCAGAAGACGAAGACTACGACGGAGACGACTATGAGGCGGGAGACGACGAAGAGTACGATGGGGAGGACATCGAGGCGGAGGCGGAGGCCATGGCGCGACGGCTCGGAGACCAGCTTCTTGCAGACATTGCGAAGGCTCAGGCAGAGGTCGCCGCAGCCGGGGTAGCGGCAAGTGAAGCTCCTGTTGTAGAAGCGAGCGACATTCCCGTCCTACCGGAGTCTCCACCACCACCTCTTCCTGTCTCGCTGCAGAAGAAGAAAGACGCGGCACTTCTCACCATGCAGGCCATCCTCGCGACCGCGACGAAACACCCATTAGTCGCAGCCACGATGTCCTCACTGCAAGTGCCGGGAGACGGCGGATGTCTCCTGGACGTCCTCACCCGCTGCGTCTCTGCCTCTGCCGTCTCCAAGCCGCTCGCTCGCACCCTGGTCGAGTCCATCGTCTCCCTCGCCAAGTCAGATGCACTTTTTGCTTCGCCGCGCCATTCGGACGCGTCCTCTCAGCAGCTGGACAAGGGAAAGCGCAAACGAGACGAGGCCGAGGAGACGGGCGCCCTCTACTCCCAGCCACCCCCGAAACGCGTCGCGATGCCCATGCCCATAGACCAACCCGACCTGTTATACACCATCGGCGAAGCTCTGCGGGTCGTCTCGCACACACTCTCGGGCCTGTCGTCCCACGTCCCGACCATCGACCCTGGGGTGATCTCGTCCATCCAGCTCCCGCTGCACCAGATCTTCCTCTTCGCGGTCACGTCCGCCCCGCGCGCGGGAGATGGTCGCATGCAGGTCCTGCAAGAGCTCGCCGGGCTCGTCCAGATGCTCGGCGTGCTCAGCGGCATCCACATCGGCCACCCTCCGCCGCCATGGCCCGGGGCTCCCGCCCTCGCACCGTCGCCGGACATCGGGACGGCCGTGTACCCGTGTCTGGTCCCCGGCTGCCCGAAGACGTTCCATCGTCTGTACTCCCTGCGCGCCCACCAGCGCCTCCACACCATCGAACACCGACCGTATCGGTGCATGCAATGCCCGGCGTCGTTCGTCCGGAACCACGACCTGAAGCGGCACACGCTGCTGCACGACAAGAAGGCGTGGCGGTGCGCGGGGTGCAACAAGATATTCTCGCGACGGGACGCGATCAAGCGACACAAGGACGCGCGGGGACGTGCGGTGGGCGGGAAGGGCAGACCGGGAGCCGAAGGGGACGTCGACGGGGCGTGCGCGTTCGCGGAGATCGAGGAGGTGGAGGTGGACAAGGTGGAGGGCGAGGAGGAGATCAGCCGGCGGGCGAAGCTGTGGAACGGGATCGCGGCGTCGTCGGCGGGGACGTCGGTCGCGGAGCACTTGAACGGGCCGGAGGATGGGGAGATGGACCCGGGGGTGATCCACCAAGCACAGCACATGGTGCTCGGTATACACGCACTGCTGCAAGGCGAGGTCACGAAGGGACTCGGTGCTCCGGCGGCAACACCTCCGACATCGGCGCCGCAGCTGAGCCAGTCGACGCTGGCGAGCATCATCGCGCGGGCACAGCAGGCGACGGCGTCGCAAGAAGGCGACGGCGTTCTTGGGGATGACGAGCCAGCACAGGACGAGTTGCCCTCGTTCGACGCGGTCCCGATGGACGTCGAGTCTCCCGCCGACGCCGACACCGACGCTGCACCTAACTCTTTGGCCGCACCGCCGTCGCTATCCCTTTCATGGCTGTCCGAAGAGCAGACACGTCTTTTGGAGCAGGCGATCGCGCAGGCTGCATCGGCTGCTCAGGCGCAAGCAGAAGTAGAAGCGGCGCAGGAAGAAGAGGACGAGGAGGAGGATGAGGACGACGAAGCTGGAATGTAGATGGTGTGGCATTCAGTTGACAATGTAGCAGTAACAGAGCCCGTTTCGGCCCATACCTGCGAGACGCCTCGTATCTTCGTAGTACCTGCACGGGATTCCAAGACTCTGAGTTGTGGACTATGGGGTAGCGTGTACACGTCTTCATGCTACGTGTCTCCCATCGAATGAAGACTGCTTCTCGTCCTTGGACCAAGCTGAAGAGTCACTGGCGCTTCTACGGACGCATTCGAGAATCCTTAGACAGCACGCCATATTATGGAGCCGGACCGTTTACGCATCGTAAATCATTTGACGAAGAAAACAAACTGTTCATCGCTAGCATTCCTAAACCCACCGTTTTATAGTTCAGCCAGTCCTTCTTACAATAACAAGTGTGTTATGACGATGTATTCGCTGCGCGCCACGTATCGTTTTGCGGCCGCGTACAAGAACACACGCCTCTTAAATACTTTGGGAATACATGACAGCAGTGCCTGGTGAATCACGATCACAGTTCCAGAAAGGGAAAACCACGGAAAGAAGACTAGGATAGTGTTCCGAACATGACGGAGGTGATTCCAACGACTCATGTCGTCAGAAGAAGTCGTCTGAGGCTAGAGACAATTCAAGAATGAGAAAGCAGCTTCGTAGGAACGACGACTGCCACACTGACCTTGTGGCTTCATATCAACCTGCTGCCAGGAACGCACAACCATATCGAGGTGCCATAAGGGATCCCCCTCCATGGCGAACAAATCCTTGAGGGCTTCAATGCAGTTCTTCGGAATAATACCGCGGTAGTTCGTCCCAACTTGCAGAACCCATGGGTCTGGTTCAACGCCATCGGGGCCGACTATGCAGTGGACCATTCTCACATCCAACAAATCCGTCTGTTCGTCCGACACACCAATAGCTTCGCAAATAGCGTTACGTATATTCCCTTCGTGGAAGGTGCTCACGAGGCTGGCGCACATGCCGTCCAATGGGGTGTCTGGAAGCCGGACGAAGTCGTGATGGTGTTCATTCTGGCCCTGCAGGTTGTTGTTCTTGCTGACCCTAACCTTCATGACATGTTTGAGGAATTTCGCAAGCATTACGGACATCAAATGAGTGCGAGTTGTCTTCCACGCATACCGGAAGATGGGAGGTTTGCGTGTGCGCTTGTCGCGATCGGCCTCTAGATAGTACAGCTCGGGCTCTAGGATGGGCACCGGCTGCCAATCTTCGAACTGTTTGTTGCCGTGCCACAGTGGTTCCTGGATGAAACGGATGACCTCAGTGGAGTGGCTCCAAGAAACGTAGGAAATACATACGGCTTCACTATATGCTTCGCCGCTGCAGGCGTCTTCAACCGAGGCCATATTGTGAATGGTGCGTTGATTCGGCTTGTCCACCTCGTAGACGGTAGGATAGTCAATAGGCTGGAGGTAGGACACGTGACGAGCGGAGAATGTGGGCGAAGTGGAAGGGTTAACGTTGAACGCGGTTCTGATGCTTCAAGCCATCCGAGGTAAGCATATGAAGATCCTCTCTGTTTGTGTGTGTTTTGACATTTCTCACATGGTGTCTCAGCCTGTCTCTCGGAATCGTAAGTATTGCAACCACAAGTACGTACTGTTGTGTGCGCCGTGGTTCATAGTCCTGTGTGCTAAACCCCTACTAGTGCTAGACTCAAACGTCATGTCTCGGCCATTCCGGGCCATCTCAGACGTTCGTCGATGTTTGCGACGGAATGGAGAGGTCGCCACCTGTGGATCTGGTAGAAACTGTGAGTGTTGCCCGACGGCGGCGGTGCGTGCCGCGCTGAGAGTGGCAGTACCCAATTTCAGGCCCGCCCGGAGATCTCGATGAAGCTACAGACACGAGTGATTTTGTAGATTGCCCACATTAGCGTACCTGTGTCCACGACGACGCGCGCGGCGGTATGTGCACCGGATGGCAGTGGGCACAAGTGTAGCCAAGTTTTTACTAGGTCTCATGTGATCCACGTTGCCATTTGAAAGTTCAAGTTCTCGCTGTGAGTCCGCAGTTACATACAACAAAAGGGAAACAGGAAAATTTTCAAGTTCAACACTGCAATAATTAAGTATGTAGTACGATTCTGGAGATCCCGAAACTTCGTAGCGATCACCACGGACGAACGTTTGAACTTTGGACCCTCGGGTCATTTTGAGTTGACCCACACTGAGTGTACCCGTGAAAACTCGCTCCCTCGAGGTCACGGGTGTGCCGTGTACCGGGTGTGATGACCGCGCCGGCAAGCGTATCTCATCAACGTACGGATTAGTCTCACGTAGCTGTGTACCACTTCAGGTGCGTGCCGTACTCTGTTCAAGGCACATCCGCGCGGCGGGTTGGAGGCAAGTTTGGGGTCCACGCGCCGGCGTCCGATTGCCTCACGCCTGGCAGTAATCGTTTGCCCAACCGCACCGCAGGAGACGCAAGCACGAGCGACATCGGGGCGACTACATAGCCTTACCCGGGAGTGGCGCCACAAGACACACCGAAGCCCGCTCGCACCTGGGGACCATGACGTGACACGGTGACGCTCCCAAGTGACGGGCTCGCGCACCACACCGGTCGCGCCCGACGCCAGCGCCGCACCCTCGGACGGTTGCGTCCGGCCGCGCAGGACGTCCATTGAGGCGCGGGTGGAGTGCACGAGCGAGTGCGGCCTGCTGCTCGCAGGGCACGGCGCCTACTATGTATACTATCGAGGTCACAGGTGGGGACGAATGTATCTACAGTACATATTAGTAGTCGTACATCACATATACTCACACATTCTGAGAAGTGCATGGGTCTCCACGGGTATCCGATAGTCCACTATGTGTAAATTATTATTTGCAGTTCGAGGGGCCCCGCACGCGTCACGGCAGCAACTAGCATGCAGCCTGTGCGCGCGTTGACGTGTGTTGCGTGAGTGCTGGCAGTCGGCGGGTGTGTTGGCGACTGTGTGTTTATGATGGAACGGTGCCACTGGACGAAGCCGCGCGCAGGCCGGCGGGGGTGCGGTTGCGGCCGTGTCGTAGAGGTGCCAGTTTGGTACGATGCGCGCCGCGGCGCGTCTTAGTCTCTTCAACTGATGTGCATACATATGCATGTGATCCTGATAGAAGGGCTGCCTACATAATGTGATCCCAACTTTTGTGATTTGACACCTTCACTCTGGTCTCACTGTCGAGTACTCACTAGCACGTCCTTTCCGCAGCCTCCTCCTGTCGTGCTTTTGAGCCCTGACTCACTCGGTGGCAGCCTCCGCTTCAACACATCATTACCATTCATGATTAATACCAGTCTCAGCCCTCAGTGGATTCCGACTTCTCAGACACCGATCACTTGCGCCCGATGTAAGGGCCGCAGGTTCCACCGTCTCTTGACAGTCGTGTTTCTGTTCCTGTCTCTCTTGGCAGTGAAGTCGCGAATGACTCACGAATCCGAATGCTACTCTGGGAGTCGGGTCGAACCACGGTAAGCTGGACGACGCCAGTTGCTGGCATATATAAGCCGCCATTCCAGTGCCGGATTGGAGGACATCACCAAAGCCTCATTCGAACTTCCAACGGTGCATCGGACCTCTTCTTCACGTCTCTGAACAACCACGCACTCCTCTCCCCGATCTCTCAGGCCCACCGCAATGACACAACCCGATCTCTTGTTGAATCCCCCCAGCCTTGAGAAGAAGCTGAGCACGGCTGCCCTCTCGTTGATCTATGCATTCAAAAAAGGAACTGAGTTCGACCTATATGAATGCACAAATCCCATCCTCTCTCACGCATTTGATTGCGCCAACTCACTGCTCCCCGCAATCACTCGCTTCAGCTTCGGGCCACAAGGCAACGTTCGTCTTGAGATTGTTGGCCCGCAGGAGCTCTTCGACAATGGAGAAAAGTATGATGAGGATTACACCTCAAAACCATCCAAGAAACGGGGTGAAAATTGGCACCAAGCCCTTGCGCGGAGTCAACAGAATAAACACGACACGGACTTGGCCAAGAAGCTCTTGTTCAATCACTCACGCGACACGCCGGTCGAGGCTCCGGATAGCAATATAACAGCACCGGATAATACTAGCTCGGCCGCTGATCGACCTCGGCGGGGACTTGGTATGTGAATCATGATCAGTATTTGGCACTCGCAGAGACTATAGCACTTTGTTTAGTTAAGAAACCGTCGATGGTACCGAGGACGATAATGGAGCTCAAAAACGCCGAGAATCAGAGTCCCAAAAGCGTTCCCCCACTCAGTTCAGCATCAACCGACGGTGGTAGCACCCCCAAGAAAATTAAAAGCTATCGCTTACCGGACTTCCTCGCATCACTGTTGTTCGTTAGTCCCAACGGGGTGGCCGTAGTCCAAGAAATCGATCGCTTCGTGGTGGCCCTCGTAGAGGTCAAGTTCCTTGGGGCCAGGGACTTCCCACCCGACGCGCTGAAGAATTATACGGTATCACAGTACAAACTTGCCATTGTCGAGAAGATGGATAAAATGCTCCCTCAGGTCATCCAGGCGGTTCAATTTGAATTCGCTCGCAAACAAAAGCTGAAACAACTAGCTTCAATTCAAGTCGTCAACGAGTATTGTCGATTCCTTTATTTTCGTCGGAAAAGTGACGACGGGAAGGGTGTGATACCCGATATCACTTTACCGGGCTTGCAACGAGACGGCTACAGGTCCCCGCCCCAATGGAAGCTTAGTTCTGACCAAGAGAAGATTTTCTTGAAGGAAACGTTTTACAAAACCAGCGCCACAGTTCCAATGATTGAATGCAACAGATATCCCTCAGTGCTCGCCTTCGCCGATCAAATTCCGAGCGCAACCGCGTACTCAGAGGGTTTCATAGAAGTCTGGGAAGACTTTGTTCGATGGACCGGGGATCGGGACCTGTTCCCGGACCCCCGTGGCCGAGAATGGGTGCTCTAAGGGGGGAGAGAATCGGAGGATAAGGAAAGAGAAGAACTGTGTATGATCGGAAAATGTCGATGTCGTCTTTTACCAAACCATAAGCCTCCTCACTGTTACATCCGCCACGAGTCGTGCGTCACTCATCCCTGTCTGCGCCCACCGCCTATAGAAACATCAAATGCTCCTCTCGTCTCTATCTGCCCTCCGCTGCATTAGTAGCCTGTGGCGACGTGAGGCGAATAGGTAACGCACCCATCGTACCCAGTCTACCAGCGAGCCATGAATGCATGACGTTGTGACTTGGCGCGCGGATAAGGCCTTGAGGCCTAGTCTCCCCTAGGCAGACCTTCCACATACGAAGCTTGAGGCCTTGAGCTGGAACCACTTCGCAGTGAAAGTCGTCGCCAGGGCAGGAATTTGAAACAAGAGCACTAGTAGTACTGGCACAGAGATAAGATGAGACGTGGCGAGTATCATACATATGTATGACTGATAAGCTTCAGGCCTTCAGGCCTTCATCGATCATCCTTCGATCCGGCTAGTGCACGTCCGCGTGGACAGAGTTCTCGCTGTTCGCCGGGCTTCTTGCAACTCCCATCGTACTTATCTCTTGTGATGTCACACCCGCCGAAGCCCTGCGCTCAGCGTTGCGGCCAGCAGCCATTGATGCCCCGCTCTGAGCTGCCCGTTCCGGGCGTTGACCGCAGACATTGGTTGTAGATACTTATGGCTTTTCACTCCAACGTCTGATCGTCGCCATCTTTCTTCCGTGAGTTATGCTTTATCCTGGCTGTTTTCTCCCGCTTATCATTGGGTGACGGCCACGCAGCGATAAGAGCACACGGGCGTCTCTTTCCCATTGACGGCGGGCGCGGACGCTGAATCCACTGCCTTAAAGTCGCCACCCCCGCGAACCATGCCCCGGGTTCTCCGCTCCCGCGACCTTGCTTTCCAACTCCCACGATCTCCACACGCGATATGGCGACCGTAGACAAGCGTAGCAGAAAAACCGCGATTGCGGCCGCCGACGCCGACCTCCTCGCGTCTCTCGGGTACAAGCAAGAATTCAAACGAGCATTCACCGGGCTGGAGGTCAGCGCCCAGCCTCAGCGTAAGGGGTCGACGGAATAACTAACTCCATGCGCCTCGCAGACGTTCGGTATTGCCTTCAGTATAATTGGCTTGCTTCCATCCATAGCGTGGGTCGCCCCTGTTCAGCTCTGCCAACAACTCGCTTTAACTCCGCTGTCCAGGTCTGTCCTCGTGGACTCTATTCCCAATGGAGGGCCTTCTGCCATGGTCTGGGGCGTAAGTACGACCTTGACTTGGAGCTGCCTGCCGCTCACTCGCCTTACCCTAGTGGCTTGTGGCAAGCATCTTCATCCTCTTTGTCGGCATGTCAATGGCAGAGCTGGCGTCAGCCGCCCCTACATCTGGAGGGGTAAGCATGAACGCCCGATGTCGGTGCCAAGTGTTAGACTAATCCAAGATGATAGCTCTATTTTTGGACGCATTCGCTCTCCTCTCCTCGCTGGAAGAATCTCCTAGCCTGGATCGTTGGATGCACGTCGTTACTGCTCTGCCGAGAGGTTGTATCTGACGATGACTCTTCATAGATGCGAACACCATTGGTTCAATTGCGTCGGTCGCGTCCATAGACTGGGGGTGCGCAGTGCAAATCACCGCTGCCGCGAGTATCGGCTCCAACCAGGCGTTTTCGGCAACAAACGCGCAAACATTGTAAGGTCGATTGCCTCTGCTTTAGACTACTTATATTGACGCCATTGTAGTGGAGTCTACTGCGCCGTGGTGATCACCCATGCCCTGATCTGCTGCTTTGGAACCGAAATCCTGGCTCGGCTGCAAACGGTTTACGTCGTGCTCAACATGATGTGAGCACGAATCTTGGTACAGTCGCCTCCGAACTGACATCATCGACTAGACTGTGTCTTGCAGTAATCATTGCTCTCCCCGCGGCAACTCCTAAGGAGTTCCGGAACACTGCCTCTTACGCCCTGGGCAACTTCACGAACAGTGAGTCCCTCTAATGGGGTTGCCAGCACCGACAGCTAACACTGAAACCGCGCCCAGCAAGTGGGTGGCCCGATGGCTACGCGTTCATTCTGAGCTTCCTGTCGCCTTTGTGGACGATTTGTGAGTTACGGGTTGTTTAAATTGTCTCGCTCTAGGTGCTAAAAGCGGCATTGTCCAGGCTCGTTTGATTCCAGCGTGCACATCAGCGAAGAAGCGTCGAACGCTGCGACTGCAGTCCCGTGGGCGATTGTGTACGCCATCGGCATTGCTGGAGTGCTCGGATGGGGTGCGCCCGTCTTCCACGCCTCCAGTATGGGCGACCAATGACGTCATTTCCCGCAGCAATCAACGTCGCGCTGGCGTTCTGCATGGGCACCGACCTCGACAGCATCCTCAACAGCCCGATCGGCCAGCCTATGGCCACCATCTTCTTCAACAGCTTCGGCCAGAAGGGCACGCTGGCGCTCTGGGCTGTTGTCGTCATCGTACAGTGCGTTTTCCTCGCACTCCCCATAAAATTGCCTCACCCTGGTATGGTGCAGGTACATGATGGGATCGAGTATGGTTCTCGCAGCTTCCCGCCAGTCCTTCGCATTCTCGAGGGATGGCGCACTTCCCTTCTCAAAGTACCTTTACCGGATGAACCGCTTCACTGGAACTCCTGTGAACACTGTCTGGTTCACCGCGATATGCTCCATCCTGCTCGGTCTTCTCGTTTTCGCCGGAGATGCTGCAATCAATGCTGTTTTCGCGATCTCTGTCACTGGGCTCTACATTGGTATGTCACGTTTGAGCGAGTCATCCTGAACTCACGGAACTGGGCTTCCACTAGCTTACGCGATCCCCATTGCTGCACGCTTCTTGGGGACTAACGATTTCGAACCGGGACCCTTCAATCTCGGCGTGTGGAGTATGCCTGTGGCCATCATCTCTGTTCTGTGGATGGCATTCATGGGCACGGTGTTCCTCTTCCCGGGATCGCCTCAGACCGACGTTGCGGACATGAACTACACAGTGGTAAGTACCTGACAGCCCGTCAATGCCGATCGAGACGCTGAGACCATCGCTCTCTGGCAGGTTGTCCTGGGCGGCGTTCTTGTCCTCTCCCTGGTGTGGTACTACTTCCCGGTGTATGGTGGCGTGCACTGGTTCACGGGACCTGTGCCGACGATCGAGAAGACCTCCGCAGCCGAATCCGAGCGTGCGTCGACCTCTGACTCGCTGGAGAAGAAGAGCGAAGGAGTCAGGGTCGGCGAGCTGGCTGCTTGAAATTTGAAACGCCGATGATAGCCTTACGCTGTCGGCATAAACGTAGACCACGGACGAATCGATGACGTATTTTCTTTTGCCCTAGGCCACTGCCCGCCGCAGACCTGCCGTTTCCGCGTGGACACATGGCAAATCCAACAATCTGGTGTTTCGGAGAGCCCTAACGCGCGCTCGGACCGTGATACCACACTAGTGGAGCCAGACAACATGACGATGGTGGCTGACACCGAGCGTGGCTTGCGCAGACAGCTGGATGCGGGCCGCGTGCCGGCCGACAGTTTCGTGACCAGGACGTGACCGGCGTCACCGTGCCTAAAGCGCACTCTCAGTGGCCAGTGCCCGGCCTGGCTTAGTCCTCTCCTCCTCCCTCTCCGCCGCCCCCGCTGCCCCCAGCGGCCCCAGTCGGTCTCTTGCGTCTGCACCCTGCTCGCTCAGATTGTCGCTTGTGGCCCCCACATCATCCGCTACAAGGTTTCGCTGTTCTGAGACCACTACTCCCGAATCAAGATGCACTCCGATGCTTTTGATGTCATTCCCTTCGAGGTCAGTCCCTCCCTGCGCTCTCCCCGCGTGAAACCGCCTGGGACCAACGACGTTGTTTAGGACATCCAAGGAGATTGGAAGAAACTAGGTTCGGGCTCGTTCGGCAACGTCTACAAGGGTGCGTCTCCAAAGCCGGCGCAGCCCTCGGGGCTGGAAGCAGTGCCCGACCGGGATTGACCACATACCTCCTCGCACAGCAACATACCTTGGGATCGAGGTCGCGATCAAGGAGGTCCTCCCCTCGAACGATTACGATGTCGCGAAGTACTTCGAGCGCGAATGGCGGCTGATGAAGTGAGTCTCTCCGTCTCCACCGCCTGTATGCGTCCCAATCAAGCGCCCCCAGAGAAGCGCGCCATCCCAACGTTGTGCTCTACATCGGCCTCTCGCGCGCCCCCGACGGCCGCATCTTCATCATCTCCGAGTTCATCGAGAACGGCAACCTGCGCATGTACATCCACGACAAGAACAAACCCTTCCCTTGGCGTCTCCGCATGTCCTTCGCGACCGACATCGCCCGCGCCCTCGCCTACCTCCACGCGCGCAAGTGCATACACCGCGACCTCAAGGGCGAAAACCTGCTCGTCACCGCGAACGGCCGCCTGAAGATCACCGACTTCGGCTTCGCGCGCATCGCGGCCCGGAACGAGGAGGAGAGCAAGCGCCTCACGTTCTGCGGCACGGACTCGTACATGTCCCCCGAGATCCTCCTCGGGAACGAGTTCGATCTCCCCACAGACATCTACTCGCTCGGCGTCATCTTCTGCGAGATCCTCTCCCGGAAACTTGCCGACGACCACACCTTCCGCCGCACGCCCCCGCTCTTCAACGTCGACGACGACGAGGTCCGCAGGTTGGCGACCCCTGGATGCCCACCAGACCTGATGAAGTTGGCGCTCGACTGTATGGCGCAGATTCCAAGCGCGCGCCCCACGACGCGGGAGATCCTCGACCGGCTCAGGGAGATCGAGGCGGAGGTCCTGGCGCGACCGTCGGAGGACGACATCCATCTCGGCACCGTCAAGTTCATGACCGGCATTCGCAGACCGGGCGGTGCACCGCGGATCCCGAGCTTCGGGATGGGCATCGGCAAGCCGTCGGCGCACAAGGCCTCGCACTCGTCCGACGACGACTCCGACGACGAGTTCACGAAGGTGGTCGAGGGCCTCAGCCGCGTCAACCTGCACAGCGCGTGGAGCGAGGGCACCGCAGGTGAGCACCGAACTATCGACCGACGCCGCCGCCGGGCGCCCCCATATTGCGCCCGCGTCCTGATCCGCCCCAAAACAGGACACGACGACACCAGCCACACGAGCGAGCAGCCGCTCATCGACAGCACCTCGAGCACGTTCTCGGACTACAGCACGACCGTCATCCGCGCGCACTCGGGGCAGTATTCGGACACGGCACCGCCCTCGCTGTCGTCGATCCTCACGGTGCGCGCGCCGCCATCGCCGAACGGCTCGGACGATCTCGTGGGGCACCCGCTCGCCGTCGGCGCGCACGCACCCACGCCGACGACGACGGACTCGATGCTCTCGATCGAGTCGTACCACACCGCGTCGAGCAGCATCATGTCGATCGCCGCCGCGACCGAGGGAGGTTCGACGATGCGCGGGTCGACGATCCCGATGGTCCACCGCTTCACGCTCCTCAAGCCGGGCACGAAGCGCGGCTCGGGCACGGAGAAGGAGCTCCAGCTGGAGTCGACGTGGAACCCGCTCGAGCTCTTCTTCTCGAGCACGCTCCTCAGCGCCAAGTGCGACGTGTGCGCGAAGCGGCTCGGGTGGAAGCCCGTGCTTGAGTGCGACGACTGCGGGATGAAGTGAGTCCAGTTGCGGTCCGCTGGTGGATGACAGAGTGCTGACGTGCGCTTCTTTCCAGGACGCATCTCAAGTGCGGCGACCTCGCGCCGACGGACTGCGGCGTGCGCGCGCGCACGCACGCACCGCCAACGAATGTGACGCCGCCACCGTCGTCGCCGAAGTCGAAGGTGACGAAGATCAACGGGAAAAGCACCTCCCCGCGCTAGTCGTGCGGCGCCTCTCCTTGCCGTCCCCGCCGCCGCCGCCTGTTTTGTTATATCTCGGAATCTGCCATTGCATTGTACGCTTTCTTGTCACGCACTAGTATCCTCGCCGCACACATACACTGCTACACCATCCCCACACATCCTCACGACCGTCACGAACGCAGTCTGCATCCCTGCCCGATGCCAGGATATATATCCCGCACGCCTTTCGCCTCGTACCTCCCCGTATCTATTTGCCGGTGCACCCCGATGCGCCTCGCTCTCCTCGATCGAGACCTGCTGTCGTCCGCTGGGCGCGCGCGTCGATGCCACACGGCGGTGCGCCACACCCAGTGGGTGATTGAGACGACACGACCGCGAACACGCGAGTTCTGGCATGTCTGGACTCCCGTTTTGCCCCGTTGTCCGACGTCACGCTCTCCCTTTTCCCCCTTCTAATATCCGCTCCCTGGCCACGGACACGGACTGCGTCGGACGGTGCCGCTGTTGTATCCCTTAGCTTATGCTTGCGGCATATGTAATGCCATTCTGCGTCTGTTCCTACATAGTGACTCTTGTATCCTCGCGCCGCGTGCCACATTGGGACTGGAGGCCTGAGCACTATGCTCACAGGGTTGGCAGCAGAGAGCAAATCGCGGACCATCGATCGGCGGCGTTGAAACGTTGACGCCTTATCGCAGATAGGTTTGCCATCTGCGGCCCTTGAAAATCGCGAACGCGATGTGTACGTGCGGAAGATGTGGGATAGCGGGGGGTGATAGCACATTATACTACATCGACTTTTTCGTCTCTGCGCACCGGCCTCTAGGTCGCCTCTACACGCGGCCCTTGCGGATGTTGGCTTGCGCCCACCTGGGAGACGGGACGCATTAGGACTGAAAAGGAGAAGGAGAGAGAGGACGGCAGAGACGCACTTTTTGATGCGGATGGACTCGATGGCGATGAAGCCAGTCGTGTCCGTCGGCTCGAAGCCACCGAGCTCGTCCATCGACGACTGCTTCTCGTCGTACAAGCCCTGCGCAGACGCTCAGCACACTCATCACAGTCCAGGGCGAACGCACGCACCTCGTCGGACGAGCGCCCCTCGACGACGACGTTGCCCTTGTAGAGCTTGAGGCGGACGACGCCGTTGACGGTCGCCTGCGACGCCGGGATGCTCGCGGTCACGAACTCGCGCTCGGGCGTGAACCAGTGGCCGTTGTAGAGGATCCGGCTGAGGGCGACGGTGACGAACTGGTCCCGGAGCGCGCGCACGTTGCGGTCGAGCGTGAGGCCCTCGAGGTCCATGTGCGCCGCGCGGAGGATCGTCGCGCCCGGGGACTCGTAGCACCCGCGGCTCTTGACGCCGATGAACCGGTTCTCGACGATGTCGATCCGGCCGACGCCGTGCGCGCGCGCGAGCGCGTTGAGCGCGAGGAAGATCTCGACCCCGTCCGTGTACTCCTTGCCCGATCCCTGGACGACGACCTTGACGGGGATGCCCTGCGCGAACTCGACGCTCAGCCGCTCCGGCGTCTCCGGGGCCTGCTCGGGGTCGACCGTCAGCTTCCACATGTCCGCGGGCGGGGTCGTGTCCGGGTCCTCGAGGATGCCGGCCTCGTAGGAGATGTGGAAGAGGTTCTCGTCCGTCGACCACGGCTTCGCGGCCGTCTGCTGCACGGGGATCTGCTTCTCGGCGGCGTAGGCGAGGAGCGCCTGGCGGCCGGCGAAGCGGTGGTAGAACTCGGGGATGCGCCAGGGGGCGATGACCTTGATGTCCGGCTTGAGGCCGTAGAAGGCGAGCTCGAAGCGGACCTGGTCGTTGCCCTTGCCGGTGCAGCCGTGGGAGACGAAGTCGCAGCCCTCGGACTCAGCGATGGACATCATCCCGCGGGCGATGATGGGCCGCGCGAGCGAGGTGCCGAGGAGATAGACGTTCTGCGTGAGGGTGAGCGCGCGGGCGTGCCGCGGGAGTGGGGAGGAGGGGCGTACCTCGTATATGCAGTTCGCTTGGAGCGCAGGGTAAATGAGCTCAGTGATGAACTCGCGCTTGAGGTCCTGAAAAGGCGATGGGTATTGAAGTCGTGCATGAAGGAGGCGAAATAGTGGGACATACGGAGCAGAAGAACTTGGTCGCGCCGATCGCTAGGGCCTTCTTCTGCGCAGCCTCGAAGTCCTGCCGACAAGAATGTGAGATCTACGGACGGCATCTTACGACATGCCGGCATACCTCCTCCTGGCCAACATTGGCCATGAAGGCAATGACCTCGTAGCCCTCCTCGATGAGCCAAGCGAGGATGCATGAGGTGTCTGTGCAGATGGTGATATGCATCAGTCAAAGTCGCACATGGCGCCTTGCGCGTATGGCCGCCTCGCAGGAAGTGGAGGACATACCGAGACCCCCGGAGTATGCAAGCAGAACGCGACCCTTGGATTCAGGCATGATGGTGATGGAGGTAGCGGAGAGGAAGAGAGGACGACTGGCGGTGGCTGGGCCGTGCTCGATCTCTCGCCTGCTCGTGACTCGCACGAGAAATTCCGCTCTTGCCGGAAAAGGGAGCCGTGAGTGTGACAGACGCGTCCCGTCACTTGTGCGTGATGGATCCTCCAGCTCTAAAATATAACGCGCGCGCAGTATCAGTCTCTGATCTCAGCCGTCTCCGTCTGCGAGTCAACACCAGAGCGGGGCCGAGGGTGGGCCACGTCACCTACGCACCTTGCCCTCAGTTCAAACCGGCGGCGGCAGCGATATTCCGAGCGCACCTTACTAGTCCCTTCCAGCTACTGACTCAAGCTCAACGCGACCTGGCCATGGTGTCCTGGTCGTTGCGTCTCGCTGCCCTTGCCCTTTTCTTCACAGCCCAAGCGCGTGCAGGGCTGTCTGGAATCGGTCCCTTGCAAGTTCCACTAAGCCCTGATTCCCCACTTCCTCTCTCGGACGAGGGCTTCACATCGACTACTGTAGTGAATTCAGAGGGTGCTCTTTGTAAGTTTACAAGTGCACCGACTCCTGCGGATCTGACGTGCTTTTCAGATGAGCAGTTCGCGCATCCTGGGTTTGCAAACTATCGTCTCCGCCTAGCGCAGCCCAGCATTTGCGACCCAACGGTCAAGCAATACTCGGGATATTTGGACATCTCCGACACTCGCCATTTGTTCTTCTGGTCGGTGCTGCATTCGCTGCGCCTCATTGAATATCCAGGCTAACTAGATCCACAGGTTCTTCGAAGCCCGTCACGATCCCGACTCCGCTCCCTTGATGCTATGGCTTAACGGCGGTCCTGGGTGCAGCTCTACCACCGGCCTCCTCTTCGAGAACGGCCCCTGCACCATCACGGGTCCTAACTCCACCACCCCCAACCCCCACTCCTGGACGAACGTCGCGAACATGATCTTCCTCGACCAGCCCATCGGCACCGGCTTCTCCTACGCCTCCGACGGCTCCAAGGTCGACACCCTCGCCGACCTCGCAATCGACGTCTACGCCTTCCTCCAGCTCTTCCTCGCCCGCTTCCCCGCGCACCGCGCTCGCCCGCTCCACATCGCCGCCGAGAGCTGGGGCGGGCACTACGGCCCCCACATCGCTTCACACATCCACGAAAAGAACCTCCTGCTGGGCCCCGCTCCCGCTCCAGGGCAGCTCCACATCCCTCTCGCGTCGCTCGTGCTCGCCAACGGGCTCACCGAGCCGCGGACGCAGTACGGGAGCATCCCGGAGTTCCTCTGCGGCGCCGCGCGCACGCCGTACTCCCCGCTCGCGCCGGACTCGCTCAAGTGCGCCGCGCTGCGCGCGGAAGGGCCGGTGTGCGAGCGCATGATCACGGCGTGCTACAAGGTCAGGTCCGCGGCGACGTGCGACCCCGCGACGGCGTACTGCACGGCGCGCGTGCTGGGCGCGATGGGTGAGTGGCCTGTTCGCTCCTCACGTGGCGTGCCGGGCGGCGTTTTGACGAAGTTGCGGGCAGCAGGCAGCGAGCAAAACCCGTACGATCTTCGGATCCCGTGTAAGGACCCGCAGGGCGTGTGCTACGCCGAGATGCAGTGGGTGACTACGTGGATGAACGAGCCGGCGACGAAGAGTGCGCTAGGCGTCGACGCGAGCCCTGTCGATTTCGTGCACTGCAACATGACCGTCAATGCCGGCTTCTACCTCCAGGGCCAGGCGGCGCAGAACAGCGCACGGCTGCTGCCGAAGATTATCAAGGCCGGGATCAGGCTGTTGGTGTTTGCTGGGGATACTGGTAAGCCAACCTACCTCTGCTGGAACCCCGTGTTGACTGGTAGTCACCGCACATAGACGCCATGTGCAATCATATCGTATGTCATCTGCCATATGTAGACAAAACACAGGTTCAATAGCTCACATTAACGATTGCTGCTATAGGGTGTTGAGAACTGGATGCTCAAGCTCGAGCACAAGCACCACGAAGAGTTTTCGAAGGCACCCCTCCTCCCCTTCTGACGGAGCTCACGGGCGACATCGGTGGCAAGGTGCGCAAGGCGGGAGGGGACGGTGCTGGCAACGTGACCTATGTCCAGATCTTGAGGGCGGGTGAGTGTCCCCGATCTCACCATACTGAATGTCCTCACTCATGCATCTCTAGCCATATGGCGCCGCACGACCAACCGGAGGCTACGCTGGTGAGTGCATTTCACGTTGTGTGGCACGAGCCTTAGGCTAACGAGAACGCGTGCAGGACATGATCACCCGGTGGGTGAAGGACGTCGCCTTTGACATGGATAGCGTAGGATTCCTAAATGGCAGACGTGATCGTGTTTCGAATGCATGCTCCACTCCTATTACATCCTTTCGCGTTACCTCGTTGCCGTCTTTTTGGCGGATGACATGAGTTAAGGTGCCGGCATACTGTCCGCCGCCTATTTTTGCTTCATCCTCTTCAAGAGACGGTCATAAGTAAATCTCAAAACACCCTCACCTCGTATATGATTTCTGTGACAGCGGCCGACATATAGCAACAAGTAACATCCACCTTCATCCGACCCAAGTGAATACCACGTCAGGCGTACCGCTTTTCCCGGGACCACCCCATACGCAGGCCGCCCTTCTTGTACATGTTCCGCAGGTCGCCGGCGAGTGCCTCCGGCTGCTCGAACGCGGCAAAATGTCCTCCCTTGTCGTGGTAACCCGCGTACACGTACTTGCCGAGCTGATGCGACCAACTTCATCCTCGAGTCAGCAAGACCGCAACACAAGTCCGAAGGGAGGGGTCCACGCACGAGTACGGGAACTGGAAGATCTCCTTCGGGAAGTACGATACCCCCAGCGGGATCGGCATCCACTTGTCGCCTTGCCCGCCGAAGCTGCTCGTGCCGCCGCGCGAGAGCTCGTAGTAGATCCTGAGCGTGGCCGCTGGGCCGCGCGCGAAAACCAGTGGAGGGAGACCCATTCGAGCACTGCGTGGCGGGTGCGATCGGAGTTCGGATATCGTCGGGCGGTGATGCGTCATGAGCGGACGCGCGGAGATAGGGCCGAGGGTGGAACCGGGCGCACCTTCGTCGTCGGTCCACGGGTACGCGTCCGTCCATCCCACGAGCTTCTCATACACCCACCCGAGCAGACCGACGGGGGAATCCGTCACGCCGTATCCTACCGTTTGAGGCTTCGTCGCCTGCTCAAGCATATACCCGCGTCCGGTCGTGACATGCTTGTGGAGATGGGCGAGCCGCTGCTTCGCAACTTGGTCGAAGGGCAGCTTGAATATCATCTCGAGGTACAGAATCGGGTTCGAGAACAGCTTGGGGGGTTCCATGCTGTCAGAAGTCAGCCTGAGATAGTCGTTACTGTTCCGAGTTGGAGACGTACATGGGAAGGTTGGTGTGCCATGCTTTGACGTGTTTGACGCCGTAGCGAGTCACAAGTGATGCTCCCAGCTGCCAGGCACGTCAGCAAATTCAGAAGAACCTGTCGGCACCTCAGAAAGGACCTACAACATGCCCCCAATCTCCTCCTTGATACACTGCGCATTGTATCAGTATCAGTATGATTTGCGTGGTTCGCGTGACGAGAACATACCATATTCTTCGTACCCGAGCGAAAGCATGACTTTGTGCAGAACCTTCCATGCATTCTTTGGTAGGCATGATTGTGTGACAGAAAGCACCCATACCTCTATGTAATGCTGTTCATGGAAACCCGGTTTCTTGACTCCCTCTGAGAAGCCGAAGTTGGGTAGGCTGGGAGCAACAACATGGAAGCTCGGTTGATCCGAAGACGCTGTTGTGAGGAGCGGCAGCATCTTCTCCACCTCCAGGAAATGCCCGGGCCCTACCAGAGAACACGTCAGTACAGTATCTGAGAACACGCTGCGTGCCAGAGTAAGAACCCTCTTACATCCGTGCAAAACAGCAAGGAATCGGTTCTTGACCTTGCTGCGTTGATGGAGGTAGTGCACATTGAGCGTTCCGAAGCCGTCGACCTCGATGTCGCGCGTGTACATGGGCAACGCGTTGATACGTGTCTCAGAAGCGCGCCAGTCGAAACCGTCCTTCCAATGCGCCGCGAGCCTTTTGACATCAGCAAGGGGGGTGCCGTAGGCCCATTGTGCGCCATCGAGCTCGTCGGGAAGCGAGCCAGATCAAGTTTGTTGCGAAGAAGGTCGATGTCGGTGTGGGTACCGATATGGTGAACGGTTGTTCTTCGCCCCACGGGTTGGACATGGTAGTCTGAGGCGGGGTATGGGGGTGGTAAGAAGAGAAGGAGCAAGGCGCGGGAGCGCTAGCTAGGGGCCATTTATACGTGACCCAACGTCGGATGGGCCCCGCATGAACGATCAAGGTGATTACGAGATGCACTGGTCGCTTCCTCGGCAGAAGAGCTACCAAAATACTCACCTGACCCTAATAAAAACCCTGCTTGTTCACAACGAGCATTCTGGAAAATGTACTCTCAAAGCTGCAGCTCATTCGTAGCCCATGATCACATCTTCGTGACCATATGTTACCGAAAACACGAGCGGGATACCCTTGACGCCATAGAAACACGACCGAAAAGGGCGCCGTACATTGCATGGTACGCGCAAGCCTGATGAATACACGTGAGCCATTCATGCTTGAAAGGAAATCATGAGGAGATATATGCTCACCTGAAGACCTTCACTCTCAATGATGTCAACAGGTAGCTGGAGCTCTCTTTGCACGCAGAGCCGTTCAATCGGTACAGGTCACTGAGCTGCATGTCGGTCTGAGGGTAAGAAATAATACTTCACTGGGGAAGGAGAGCTCGGGAAAAAGATAAGAGAAGACTCTCAAAGGACTCCGTGCCGGCGGACCAGGACAGATGATCGTGCAGTCCGCGAAAGCCGAGAATTGGTTGAGGTGCGTGGCGACACTTTCCCGGTGCTTCTGTACTTCGAAAGAGGGGATGTGGCAGATGGTAAGAACGGCCAATAAAGTGCAAAGTCTTCCTTGTTGTTGTCAACAGCAGTGGAACAAGCGCCGTAACGACTGGCAACCCCTAACCCCATGGCGGGCCGGCCAAGCGCCTCGCAAAAGTTTCCTAACGCGACCTTCAGCCACAGTCCACTCCTTCTCCGACATATCTGCCGGCTTCATACACTTCTGCTCTCTTTTCACTCGTTGCGAGCATGGGGAAGAAACCCGTAAAGTCGATGCGCAAGTTCGCCGCGAGCGGGCAGCTCAAGAAGACGATCCAGGCGCGGCGCAAACACCGGGACATCAAGAAGAAGGCGGACAGCGGCAGGCGGGCAAGGGCAAGGGCAAAGCCGCGGCGCACGATTCTGAGCAGAGCGACGAGGATGATGAGGGGTTGAAGAGACTTCCGGAAGGTGAGTTGCTCTGCGGAAAGCTCGTGTGTGTGTCTGAATGAGCCTTAGATTTAAGGGAATGTCTGTGGATGACTTTCTTGGCGGTGGTTCATGAAGGGAGGCAGCGAGGATGAGGGTGAAGGGTACGAGTGCTTCTTGTCCATTGCATGCGTACTCTGAACAGTTCTTCAGTCCGGCGAGGGGGCAATAGACGAAGGCGAAGATGGCGAAGAAGACGCGGATTCAGAAGGCATCGACGACAACGCGTCTTTTGCAGACATTGATGACCTTGACGGTACGAAGTCTCTTCCTTGATGCATGGCTTTAATCTCATTGAATTCAGAGGAGGGAGCGGGGCATCTGATGGAGCTCTCAAAACTTGCGGAGAAGGACCCTGAGTTCTACAAGTACCTCCAGGAGAATGATCAGGAACTGTTAAATTTCAATCCGAACGACGGTCCTGCGCAAGATGAGGACGAGGCAGAGTACGAATATGCCATGGAGGAAGACACAACGCCCGTCCTCACGAAGGAGATCCTGCAGCGGTGGCAGAAAGCACTACTTGATGTGCGTATGGGTACCTCTTCCAAGTATCATGCTGACTTCTCTGTTTGTAGCATCGTTCTCTCAAGGCACTTCGGAAATTGCTGATCGCCTTCCGTTCAGCAGTTCACATGAACGAGAGGACCAGGTTCTCGCGTGGAGAATTGACCGCTCTTCAGGTTCGCTTCACCACTTACAATTGTTGCGACGGCTAGTTGATTCGTCCGGCTATGCTTAGTATACAACAAGCTGATTACGACCGCCTTGCGATACACGCCTATTGTGCTTGAACACCATTGTCCGTATCGGACGCTGGCGAATGGCAAATTGTAAGTCACCAAAACATTTACGAAAGACCTTGCGACTCATCCCGCGGTTTACACAGCAAGCCTCCACCCAAACTACGAAGTGGAAAACACTGCAGAAGCTGATCACTTCTTACTTCCTGAACGTTCTACATTTCGTTGGACAAGTCTCCGACAATGATATGCTTCGTCTAGCTTTAGCGAAACTGCAAAGCTGTGCCATACATTACGGGGACGCGTAAGACGATCAAGCTATACCTCAAAACGTGTTTGGATTACTGGGCCACCGCGGAGGACACTGTTCGGATATCTGCTTTCCTCTCTGTTCGGAGGTTGGCGGCGGCCACGGACGAATCGGTCATGGACACTGTTTTGAAGGTAAGGGTCGCCACAGCGGCGTGTCCACGATCTCACCCACACGACCACATGCAGAACACGTACATGACGCTACTCCGTTCATGTAAATCGACGAGCGCGCACACACTCCCGTCCATCAATCTGATGAAAAACTCGGCGAGCGAACTCTTCTGTGTCGATCATACCACGGCCTACCAGCATGCCTTCGGGTATATCCGACAGCTTGCTATTCACCTCCGAAATAGCATGAAAACGAAGACGAAGGTAAGCCACATCGTGTTGCTACAAGCGTTCAATTCTCATCGCTACTTATTGTAGGAGGCGTACAAGTTGGTGTACAATTGGCAGTACGCACACTGTGTGGACTTCTGGTCAATTGTGATCGCGCGTGCGTGCGACAAGCAAACCATTATCGACCGTGGAGGTCAAGAAAGTGAACTTCGGGCGTTGATCTACCCCCTTGTTCAAGTTGCTCTCGGTGCTGCGAAGTAGGTTTCCGACCAAACTCTGAGAACTGCAGATACTGAGAACTCCATGCGTAGACTCATCCGCAACGCTCGCTCGTTCCCTTCCACTTGCAAGTCGTGCGTTCGATGCTGCATCTCACTCGGCATACGAACGTCTACGTCCCGCTTGCACCCTACCTCCTTCCCGTCCTTACCTTTACTCTCTCTGCCACCTCAAAACCGAAGTCTTCCACCCTTCGCCTCTCGACTTCGAGACCAACATCCGCGCCCCTCAACAGTACCTCAAAACCCGCGTCTACAACGAAGGCCTTGCCGAAGAAGCTTGCTTCCTGCTCGCGGAGTACCTCGCCTCGCCCCTGTGCACGGCTCTATCGGCTTCCCCGAGGTGACCGTCCCGATCGTCCTGCTGCTCCGGAAGGTCGTCAAAGGCGCCAAGGCCGCCCCCAAGGGGGGCAAGGGCAAGGAGGCCGCCCTCGCGAAGACCCTCGTCGAACGTATCGAGGAGAGCGCGCGCTGGGCGGAGCAGAAGCGTAAGGGCGTTGCGTTCGCCCCGGGGCGCATGGTCGAGGTCGAGCGCTGGGAGGCAGACGTCGCCGCAAAGCCGGAGGACACGCCGCTGGGGCGGTACGTGCGCGTGCAGCGCAAGGCCCGGGAGAAGCGGCGTACGCTCGTCGAGAAGGTGCGTGTTCCCGCCCGAGCCCCCGGCCCACCCTCTCTCGTCGCTCTTTGTCCTCTGTGGCCGGCCGCCGTGTCGTCGTGCTATTCCCAGCGAGTGCTAATCCTGACTTTCTCTGTCACAGGCTCGTGAGGGCGACCATGAGATCCTGGAGGACTGAGCTTCGCGCCTCGCGTGCCGGGCTCCACCACGAGCGCGGGTGCGCGGGCGCGTCGGCCACAAGGACACCTCATGCTGCGACCACCGCCCCCGCGCCTGTGAGAACCCGCCTTCTGCATTGCGTCGAACGATGTTCCCAACCTTGCCTTTTATCACGTTCCCCCCACCGCTACTTCCCGGGCGCGGCGGCTCCAAGGCGCTTCGAAGACGCGGAGATCCCGTCCGCGAAGCATCCGGCAGTCGTCGAAGCTCGAGGATCAAGCTATCAAGGGCCGGCGCCGGCAGCGGCAGCAGCGCAGGTGGGAGGGGCACACGGCACTGGACCCCGCCGCGGTCCATGCTGCCCACCTCTGGGACCTGCGGATGGATTGGCGGCCGCTCGCGTTATCGTCGTTACCATCCACGGCCCGTAGCACACGCTTGGCGTAGCACACGTAGCCACTTTTGCAACTCAGCCTCTTCCTTTCCGCCCTCTGAACCCGGTAGCACGGCGCGCGTCCCTGCCTGTGCTCCATGCGCAACGCGCTCATCCGCAATTCGCCAGGGCGGAACGCGGCGGACGGCGCTCCCCCGAACCGGCGGGAGGCGGAGATTAATGCTTGCGCACACGACCCTGTGCGATCGGCCTCCATACGTAGTGAGTACATGAGAGCCTGTCTGCAAAAAATTTGCGGATTCGTCTGGTTTTTCGATCATATTACCGCCCTCTGCCCACGTGCTACAGAGAGACCACTGCAGAAAATCAAGTGCTTGTAACCACACTGCCTCCTATCCTCGTACCATTCCAACCCCATGCTGAGTCCTCAGGCCTCCCAGAAGGTCTAGGGTAGTAGGTAGGAGGGTGTAGTTGATCCCAGCTTTGCCCCGGCTTACTTGCAGAGTCAAGCGTGAAACTACACAGTACTACCAAGAGCGTAGGGCCCTACGGGGACGCGAGACCCCCAACGACCCAAGAGTTCATCTCCGAGGTGTGCTCACTGAGGGCCAAGCGAGCGTCGCGCCAGCGCTCGCCATGCAGGGACGGATATTCGCACCGAACGTCGTCGGCCCTTCTCCCGCGAAACTTTTCGCATCTGACCGACGCTCCTTGTGGTCCACTGCCGAGAGAGCGCTTAGAGCCTCGACGGCTAACCTGCAAGTCGCAATTGTGACAATCACGATGAAGGGATTGATTATCGGGATTCGGGATGGTGCGCTACATTCCCATGCGAGTATCGTACGTGGTCAAATGTCCCAGAAGCCGGAGCCCAGCGCGGGGAGGAGATCCCGGAAGGGTCACCAGCCTCGCGCTCCGCGGTCCGATATCATTCGTTCCGTCCGCCCTGCTGATGCATGATGCGGCCGGCAAATAAGCGTGGGGGCCGTGGCAAGGGCGGGAACCTGCGGGGATTTGAACCGGACTGAACCACCCTAGAGTGCTCCCGAGCGCACCAAGATCGAAGGGGCTTGCCGGCGCGGAAATGGAATTTGGGGCAAGGTGAGGCGGGACGGCATGAGCTTGAGAACACGCCGTCGCGGTTGGGGAATCGTGCGGGCCACGGATAGGCAGGCACGGAGCTCCGCGAGGCGGCGCCGGGGCCTACCAGACATTGAAGAATATTTTCCACCACGGGCGCGCGATGCCCTGCGCGCTCTTCTCAAACGCCTCCACGAGGCGGGTGTAGTGGAGCGGCATCGATGCCGGCTTGAGGATCTTCGCCGGGAGTGGGTACTGGAAGCAAAGACGGGGTCGTGGTCAGTCAAGGATATAATAGCTGGTGGGACGATCAGAAGAGGGAGCGGTATGGACGCGAGCGATCGATGGGAGTGCGAGCAGCGAAGCGACGACGAGACCATGTGGACCACAGTCCAGGCATACAAGGCGGATATTTTGACCTCGGCCGAAACCATGTGAGAAGCTCGTGCCCTGGTGACCCTCCCACCAAACCGGCCAGGTTTGCCGCGCCGCGGAGCCTAAGGAAATGCCATCGGTTCGCGTCCTCGTCTGTGGTACTCCTCGGTGCCTCTTCACCATTCTGACTATAGTCAAAGTGACTATATACCCCAGTCATCATGCGGACGTATCCACGTCGTTTCTCGAAAGCATCGAGTCCCGAGAGCGCAGGGAGCGTATGAAAAGAGCTGCTCACCTTCTTTTTTATCGTGTTTGAACGAAGACCCTCCATGGCTTTCACTGCCTCGGGGGTAAGGCGTGGATGGTCTGCTAATGACTCCAGGAGAACTCTGACTTGGACATGAGGCCGAAAAGGATCCACCGGCCAATTTGTAGCGGCGGTCATCATTCGGGTGCGTGGCATGGAGCTGACACCCGTCATGGCGAAGAGGAAGGGTGTGTGGTAGCGAGGGAAGACCACACTACGACGTCGCTGGTCGGTGCGGTGACGCGACGATACGGCACGTGATCTCGGAAAACACCGAACTCCCTCGGCGCCAAAAAGGTCACGCCTTCAACGTTCAACATCAACGTCAACGTCAACATCTGTGTCTCAGATGTTCTGGATTTTCATTTTTCTGACTCGGGTATAATATATTGGTCTCTAAGTTCACCCATCATTTACAGCTTCCGAGAGGGCATCGGGTACATAAATTGTAACTCTTGCACCTAGATGCCACTGCATCCGTACACATGAGACCGTATTTCGACTGAATTGGTCCCACACGTAAACTACGATGGAGGCGAAACAGAGAGCGGTCTAGCGAGCAAAAGCCACGGCACATCCGGAGAGGCCGGATCAGCGCGTGCTCCGTAGCCGCTCCTGGCTCTGTCCGCACTGACAGAGGCGGTGTGTCGCGCGCCCGCACAGCGCCCAGCCACACAGTGCACCCGCCCTCGGCGGCGGCGGCACTCACCACCCCTCTCTCCCCGCCCACCACGACTTTCACGACCCCCACCAACGCGCGCCCTTCGAACCCTCCGCCATGAGTTGCTGTGGTAAAAGCCGCGAGCCCGACCACGTCCATGCCGCCCAGCAAGTCAATCCTTTTCCCCAGGGGCCGGTGTCCGCCCAGCCGGGCCCCCAACCAGGACTCCCGTCGTGGCAGAGTGGTGAGAAGGGCTTTCAACCTCCTCTCGGGCCCACTCCTCCCCCGGCGGCCCTCCGGAACAGCTGGGAGAAGCAGCCATACAACCCCCAAGGCTCCCCTCCCCCCGGTCAGTACCCTAATGGTGCCATGCCCCCCTATGTCCCTGGCGGTGGTTCGTCGCCTCCAGGATCCCCGAGCCCGTACAACTTGTTCGCAACTCCGATACAGACCCCGGGTGTCGCGCAGATGACCGTCGACCGATCCGTGCCCATGTCAGTGTCCATGCGAAGTCAATCTCCTCCCAAAGCACTCGCCCAACCCACATATGCGGATGAGGGTAAGGTTTCAGTGTCTATCGACTTCGGTGAGTCGCACATATGCGCGTCATTACCATCTTCCTTACGCCCGGCATCCAGGTACTACCTTCTCGGGAGTGGTAAGTTCCATTGACCAAGGTTCGTTTCCTGCGGATCGTTCACGCACCTCGGTGATCACAGGCATATGGCTCGTCGCGTATTGCCGGTGGGAAAGTCCAGCAGATTCTGAATTGGCCGGGCTCTTTCGAGACGTTCAGGAAGATCCCGACGTGCATACTCTACGACCAGCATGGCGAGGTTATGGCGTGGGGCATCGAGGCGAAGAATGCCGGACCTATGCCGGGCGCGGTTAAGTGTGAATGGTATGTTGGCATCTTACCTACTCTTCGTGCGGGGAAATGATGATCCCTCCAAAGGTTCAAGCTCTTCCTCGAGCCCCATGCACTGCGAGATCAGTCTAGTGTCGATCCTCGCCTTCCCACGCTCCCGGTAAGCTGCTGCTGAGAGCCGGGCAGATTGTTTGCTGACAGAGCCCCGAACGGGCATTGCCAGCCTGGCAAGAAAGCCATCGATCTCATCATCGACTTCCTCTCTTGTCTTTGGGATTATGCCAAGCAACAGATTACACGCGAAATCGGTGCGGTGGCCGACCTCGGTATGTCCACCCGGTATTCCGAAACACTGCTTGTCGGTTGATGTCAACCGCGCGTTCGCCTTGCAGACTCGGCGGACGTATGGCTCACTGTACCGGCTGCATGGGATGCTACCGGCTGCCAGATGATGAGAGATGCCGCGATTGCTGCGGGCCTTGTTCGCTCTGCCCGAGCCGGAGACCACGAATGGAGGGAACGCCTGCGCATCATCAGGTGAGCCCCACTGAGCGTTCGTGTCGAGCGTTCCGACCAATGCCGACCCCCCCTTTCACAGCGAGCCGGAAGCGGCAGCAGTGCACTGCGCCAACCTGACGGACGTGCACAAGCTCTCCGCTAGCCAGAACTTCATGATTTGTGACGCCGGTGGTGGTACTGTCGTACGTACTACCCGGAGCTGAACCGAGGTGACCGCGGAATGCTGACTACTGCCTCCGCTCTCCCAGGACCTCGCTGTTTACAAGATCATCGGCATGCTCTCCAGTCTGGAAATAGCAGAGATGTGTGCGCGATCTGGAGCGAACTGTGGTTCGCTTTTCCTCGACCTCCGGTTCAAGGAGTTGATGAAGGCGCTCCTCGCGGACCACCCGGCGCATCTCGACTCCATCAGTCTCGCCAACTTTATGGAACACTTCAGCGAGACCGAGAAGCTGCGCTATATGGGCGCCGAAGATGACGGTGAGCGCCGCGCACTTAACGGGTTTATGCTCTAGTAGCGTGCTGATCCAAAGAATAGACAAAATGTTCCACTTTACGTGTTTCAACGTCGAAGATCCGGACGATTATGCGGTCGGCTTGGTGAACGGCGAAGTCGCCATTCCCGGCAACCTCCTTCGGCGAGAAGTGTTCGATCCGGTTGTTGGCCAGGTGAGTCTTCGTGAGCGTGGCACTCGTTGGGTCACGTCCCTTCGTCGGCCTTCACTCGTGCGCATACTTACGGCACGACACCGCTTCCTCTCTCGCAAGGTCGTCGACCTGATCGAAGCCCAGACCAAGAAGGTCGATCAACGGCTCGACGCGCTCCTTCTCGTGGGAGGTTTCTCAGGCAGCGAGTACTTGTTCCGCAGAGTCAAGGTACGCCCTCCCTCCGGTCTATCTTCGCATGACTGTGTGCGTTGGCGCACGCTGACGCCTTCACAGGAGCAATTCGGATCTCGAATCCGCGTCATCGCGCGCCCTGCCGACTGCGACACCGCGACCGTGCGCGGCGCGGCGCAATACGGTCTCGCGCGGCGGCCGCTCGTGTCGAGCGTCATCGCGCCGTCGGCTTACATGCTCAAGGTGCGCTGCGGTCTTCGACGGGGACCCGTTGGTCCGTGGGCCCTACCAGTCCCTTATGTTAACCTTTGTCCTGCAGGTGAAATTGCCCGCGGAGCAAGAGGATTGGCTCAAGCGGCCCGCCTATATTCGGGAGAACGACGCTGGTGTGTCGATTTGTGAGAACAGGTAAATTTCTGAGTCGACCTGCACGATACCGGATTTTGGTCTGATTCCGCTCGTCAGGATACAATACCTGGTCGCGAAGGGCGCCATTCTGCGTAAAGGGTGCGCATTAATGCTCATGGACAGTCATTCAGTTGGCTGACGATACTTGATGACCTGGCAGACAACGCATCAAGACGACGTTCTGGTAAGCAGCTCTGCTCATGTGAGCGCGCGAAGGCGTCCTCCTGACCCACCCATCCTCTCGGCGCGCTACGCAAACAGCAAGTTCTCACAGACCGCGAGTGGTGAGTGGCGTACCTCGTCTCGGCCGGCCGCCTAGCCATGTGGCCCGTGCCGGCCGCGTCTTCAGGATCCATCGACGCTGACGCCCGTTCTGCCTCGTGCATCGTCTCGCGCCCTCGCAGATCGGCAGTTCGTCGCGACATTGTATACGTCGGAGACCGATAAGATCATGCGGTACACAGATGAGGTGAGATGCCGCGCGCGCGCTTCGACAGGATCGGAGGAGCCCTGCTCTCGATCAACTTTTGGTGTTCACTTGCTGACGGCGCGCTCGTTCTCTTTGCGCAATCGCACCTGCGTCCGCACACGCCCCGCTGGACCCTGTCGCCCGCGGCGCCCCTCGATCTGGCCTGGCTGCCGCCTCGCGCCTCTGCCCTCGCGTCTCGTGCCGGACGGACGCTCCAGGGCGAAATCACGGAGCTGTGCAAGTGGACGATCGATCTTGGCGCGCTGCCGAGCTTCCAGCAGAACGCGAGCGTGCCAAACGCGAACGGCTTCTACACCGGTGCGTCCGTCCCCATTTTGCCTCCGTGCGCCCTTTCCGCTCTCGCGCGTTTGCGAGCTGCGCGCTCGCTCAGGGACTCCGTCGGTGCACGAGCGCTCGTCGAGAAGACGACGCTACTGGTGCGGTGCTTGCGGGTGACATCGCCGGGGCGCGCCCGGGCGAATGAAGTGCTGTGTTCTCCCGTCGGCGCCGTATCGAGCCATCGGTGGACGATCTTGGGCCCATCGCGCGAGCGGTCCGCGCCGCTCGCACAGATCCCGCAGCCAGCCGCCGCCCGGACGCTGGCTGAGTAACTAGTCCATCTGTCCCATTGCATCCCATCCCTTCCCGTTCCATTCTCTCCTGTGCCCTGGACTTTTCCTTCACATCACGACCCTTACTGTGGACCGCTCTCCCTCCCTCCCTCGTATGATCGGACGTGCTGACGATTGTGCCCTTTTTCATTTGGCAGAATTCGAGCTCGGGCTGGAGCTCGACAGCGCCGAGGTCCGCGGCGTGCTGATCTACCACGGTCAAGACTGGGGCCGCGTCGTGTTCGACTATCGCACATGAGCGCGGCGCGCCTGGGGGCAGAGAAGGCGCGTTCGCCGTCGCGGTTGGATTCGCGACGGAGACGGCCTTGTCCAGCCGGGTCGAGGAGGGGCTCCCGCCGTTACGACTCGACGGGTTTGTTTGGGATGGGTGTCTCGGTATGTATCCGAGCGGGTCCGGACGTCTGCTCTTGCGCTATTCTATGCTCTTCGTATTCTGCACGCGTGCGTCCCGACGCCGCGTCTGTTTGTGCCTGTTATGCTAAATCCGTTCGTTCCTTGGGACTGGACTGTAATCCGCACCCACCGAGCCCTGCGCTCCAGCGGTTCTTCGCAAGTCCCGTGCACCGCCCGATCACCTCGCCTGCACGCACTTGGACGTGCGCCCCAATCGACGCACAGTGCGTGTGCACGCAGCAGCCCGGACCGACCCACGGCCGATCGCGTGTGTGGCGGGGAGGGCGAGATCTGGAGAGGGCGGAGAGGTCGTGTGCGAGCCCGCGATCGACCGCGGGTGATCGATTGCTTCCGCCACGCCGTCCGGGAGCCTCGTGCGCGCGCGCTGACGTCATTGCCTGCCCCGGATGACGAGTGGGTCCGACCTGCGCCCGCCTCTTCCAGCACTCGGTGTACTCAATCCCTGCGCCGGGCACGTCGTTTGTCGACAACCTCCAGGCAGCCCACCGGTGCAATCAACCCTTCGAAGTTCGCCGTCCCAGGTCCCAATCCCGAGCCCGAGCCCGAGCCCGTCCCATCAGCCCACGCGCGCCCAAAATGGCAGCTAGCGTGGTTCGCGAGCCCCAATACCCCTCGCGGCCACCCTGGTCGCGGGCCTCGAGGCTCGACCTGTCGGGGCGACTGCGGGTCCAGCCCAAGCTTCAAGGGCAGCTTCATCGACGTCTCCGACGCGTGCGGGGTCGTGCCCTCCGGTCCTCGAGCGGCGCCACAGCTGTCTGCGGGGCAAGACAGGGAAGGACGCGACGCGACGCTAGCCCGAGACCGCGGACGTGTGTGTGCACGGTCGGATGGCGCGGGCCGTGCGTGCAGCCTGGTGAGTCTACGAGGCACATTCGCCTGGGACTAGCTTGGCTGCACGACCACCCCGGAACGAGCCTGCACCCACACCGCCGGATGGGGGTGCCACTGGCCTCCACAACCCATCCCATCCCCGCCGGCACCGATCGAAGGTGCACGCCGGGACGCCACGCGGAGGCTCGGCGCACACATACGGCTGCGGTACACGACTCTCTGTGGACCGCCGTGGACCCAGGGACCCGTCCGCTCGCCCACCCGCGCACGCACGCTCGAACGGACGGCCCCCAGGACCACACCATGATTCCAGCCCCACCCGCATGCGCCGCAGCAGCCGTCCGCCCTACTCCCGCCCGGCGGTCGACCAACAGCAACTTCCACCCTCCAGCTCCAGCCATCTTGCAAGCGTGGCGGTGCGGCCGGGAAGTGCCGTCCTGCGCCCACGCCGCGCGCGGAGGGTGGTGGTCGAGGGGCGGCGGCGTGGAACGTCCTAGGGTCCTTTCCAGGAAGAGAACAAGGGGCGGGCGACGGATCAGCCGTCGTGCGGTTTGCGCTGCGGGGTTAGCCTCGGTGGCTTCGCGCCTGGACGTCGGACCCTGGGCCCGACCACAAAAGCGTCCCTCGAGGATGTGGACTTGATGTCGAGTCTGCCGGGACACCGTCGCGGAGCGCGCTCGCGTCGCCGCCGGAGAGCTCCTGCCCTCGGTGGTCGACATCGGACTCCGAAGAACAACAATGGGACCAGAAGAGCGCGGACGAGGACGAGTGTGGACTCTGGAGGGTCTCGGGCGGCGCACGTTTCGTGGCGTATCAGCGAGCACCGACGTCGAGATCGATTCGACTCGTCCGTCTCGGACTCGGACGCGGACTCGGGCGCGGGGCCAGACTGGCGCGTGCGGTGCCTGGAAGAACGGCTCGTCCTCCATCTTGCGTTCGTGATCACTTGTTGCGGTCTCAGCCCCCTCCAATGGCTTGATCCGCGCATGCACCGAGCCTGGGCATCCCTTCCGTGCGGCTACCGCGGTCCGCTGGGTTTCTTCCGAGGAGACGGCCGCACACCGGCGACCATTCACCTCCGGACACCAGCGCCCAACGGTGGTGTAGGATGTCGAGTCACTTCAAGTGCTGCTTCTACGACCGATGCGGCTTCATGGAGCTTCCGAACCGCTCGTTTCACGAATTTCTCCAGGTGGAGACTGACCACGGAGCGCCCAGCTAAACGGAAGACGATAACGGCCGCGTGCCGCCGCTCCAGATACCTGCCAGCCACGCCGTCAGGAGCAATTAATGTACGACTCCCAGACTCCAGTGACTGTCGGCGTCAAAATATATCGTTCACCCGCACCGTCCACTCAGGCCACCCGGCAGATATCCGTTTGTCATCGGCGCTCCTCCGAATCCCCACAAGCCTCTCAGGCTCTCAGATCTCTCCTCGCCGCACGATGCACGCCAAGCTCATGACGCCATGCGACAACCACGGTGGCCGCAGTCCACAGGCACCTCGGGCAACGGGCGGAACGCGGAGCCCGGGCTCCGGAACGGAGGCTGCCGGCGCGTCGCAACGGGCTGCCTCCGCTCGTTCAATCCTCTTCCTGCTCTTTAGACTTTAGAAAACTGTTTCCGAAACAGGATAGGACGGCGCGCGCTCGAGTGTTCCCATTGTTCTCGCCTATACACGTCTCTACCCTCAAGCTCGACTGGCTCGCCCTCGAGGCCACCCTGCCCTCCACAATCGCGATCACCATCGCGCTTGGCCTCCGCACGCCCCTCCGCACGCCCGTCTCCGTGGCGGCCACGATCCAGGGCCACCTCGCCCTCGTCTTCTCCTTTTCGGGCGCTGGCCACACCGTCCGTGCGCCCCCGCCCGTTCCGTCGCATCAGCCCCACATCCACATCCCCGGGCGCGGCGCGGCGCGGCGCCTGACGGGGACGGTCTCCGACCGCACGCAGTCCTTCCAAAGTCCCACCGGGCGGGGGCCACGAGCGCGCGCTCGTCCGATATTCAATATCAGCGACCGTCGACGGAAAGATGGGTGCGGAAATTGCGCTGAAACGAGCACGAAGGCGTGCACGGACGTCGTCGCGACCGCCGACCGCCGACCGTCGGCGCCACGCTGCGTGCGCTTCGAGCCCGGTATCCAGACTACGGCCCACGCTGCACGAGATGAACGGTAAAAAAAATGATAAATGTACGTGTGCGGTTCATTTCGGCTCCTGGCGCGTCGCGCGTCGCGCGAGACCTGCACCGGCGCACGAGCGCACGAGCGCGGGTACTTACGCGTACGGCCGCCTGGCGCGGCAATCGCCCCAGCGCTCCGCGGAGCGTCCGCCCAAAGGCGAAGCCGTGCGGCGTGCACCGACAGCTGCCCGTCCGCACTGCGACATGCAGATGCCCGACCAGGCATCCGGCGCGCGGGCGGCAGCAGGGCTCAGGCCTCAAGGCCTCATCTGTAGAGCCTCGAGCAGCGGTCCCCAATCCAGCCCCAGCGACACACACGCGCCGGCACATGACAATCCCCCCCACCGTCGACGCGAGCAGCACTCCCCCTTCCTCTCCAGACTCCTGGGCTGCCCGCGACGAGCCCTCGGGCGCCGGACGCCCGCTTATCGATCCCGCGCGGGCGACGCCCAGTGCAGTCCAGTCGCCAGCTCCGGTCGCGCCTGGAGACGCGGTTCGGATTTCGGATTCGTCGCTGAGCGCAGTGTCGGCGCGGTCTTGTCCGCCGGCAACCCCTTACGGCAGCCTGCGCCGAAGGCCCGCACGGCACGGCTCGCCGGCACGACCCGCGCTCGAAGCGAGCACATGGACGCACGGATCAAAGCCTCAGCGCTTGAGTGCGCACCGTTGGCCCCAGGCCAGCCGCCAACGGTAACCTCGCCGGCGGCCCCTCCCAGGACGCGTCCATGAAACGATGACGGCGACCAAAGAACGAGGACGAGCGCGCGGCACGCCCGTGCGCGTCCACTGCGCGTCCGGCGAGTCAGAGTCCCTGCGCGCGCGTCCACCGATTGAAGGGGGGGCGGTGGACTCTCGCTTCTCGCCCGCTCGCCCGATCGCGCGTTCGCGCCTGCACAAGGAAGGGGTCTGCAGCGTGCCCGTCCGACGTCCTGGTGCGTGCGCGTGCGCGCGTGTGCGTCCACAGACCGACCGTCCCGGGATCGCGCAGCGCCCGATCGCGCATCTCCTCCTCCGGCGAGCGTATCCTGACAGCACTCTGTCAGACCGTCGAGTCGCCCGTGCGGGCGTCCCGCGGCGCCACGCCACGACGTGGAGCACACACGATCGGGCGCGCTGTAGAGCGCGGCATCGCAAGAGCCCCCGCCGCTAGTACGCCCGCGCACAGCGCAGCGCAGCAGCGAAGGGTCCCGCGCCACGGCCAGACGGGAAGTCCTCCTTCCCACCCTGACGCCTGAACGCCGCCCCAGAGGGTCTCGCCACACAGCACGCACCGCGGGCCCTCAGACCTCAGATCGAGCGTCGCGCGGCCACACACGTGCAGGCCCCGCGCGCGTGGGCCTCTCGGACGCGGGGTGTCCTCGCAGGGCGGAGCGGCTGCGGGGGCGCGCGAGCGAGGCTCCGCCGTGACCCATCGACGCCCGCGCGCGGCCCGATCGAGCTCTGCGCCGTACCTCGTCCGCCTGGTCGGGGCGCACAGGCTGTGGGGACAGCTGCACGGGCCCGGGGCGGGCGAACTCAATCTGGCCGACGACGGTGCGTCGAGACCTGGCCTGTGGCCGAGATGACGGTTGACTGACGGTGGAGGAGGACGGGAAGCGCGGACGGCCGGGCGCGGGCGCCGGACGCCGGGCGTGGGAGACGCTGTGCCGCGTCTCGGCCTCGCGTTCGCACGGAGTGTGGTAGGCGCCTGGCGATCGTGCGTTGACGGAGTGGCGGGGCGAGATCTGGGAGGGAGAGGCGGTCAGCGCGGGGGGCGGGGGCGGCAGCTAGCCGGGGCTCTGGGGCGACCGTTCTGCCGAGCAGATTGAGCCCCGGCGTTTGCCTTCTGGCTGTCGCGGCCACTCGGGTCGTCCCGAGCGAGCCTCCTCCTCCCAGCCGCTCGCCAGGAATCGATCGAAACGGGCAGGCAGTCTCCAGCGAGAGCAACCGCGCTGCTCGCATCATAAATCACGACTCCCTCTCCCTAAAACTTATAAAGCCACGCACGGCCCCGTCTGCCTCCGCACCCCGCTCGCGCTCCCTCCTTGCGCTCTCCCTCCCGACACACCCACCGCGTCACACATCTGACCCCGCGCCCCCGCTGAGCCCCCGCTCACCTCTCTCTCCATCTCTACTCCCCTCCCCTGCGCTCACCCACCTTAGCTTGTCCAATGCCCACTGCAACAGCACCTGCACTCGCGCCGCCTGCCGCGACGAACCTGAAGCTCGCGAGCATGTCCATCGCGACCCTCTACGAACTGCTCCAGCCGATCACAGTCCCCGCGTCCGCCCCGCGGTCCAAGTTCGTGAACTGGGGTCTGAGCTTCGCCTGCGCGCCGCTCGCCGTCTTCGAGCCCACGACGGCGTACGAGTGCGAGCTCGTGCTCGAGCTCGCGCGCCGCGAGCGCCGCACCGTCCGCGCCGCCGGCGTCGGCCACAGTCCGAGCGACCTCGCGTGCACGACCGGGTTCATGATGCGCACCGAGAAGCTCTCGCGCGTCCTCGAGGTGGGTGTCCCGTTCCTGCTCGTCTTCCCGTCTTCCGCGCGCGCGCTCCTCCCGTCCGCGCCGCGATTCGCTCTCCGCTCCGCGTCTTATCCGGAGCGCGCTCACGCCCATCCCGCTCCCTCCTCGGCGATCTCCGCGCCACTGCCCCTCTCTCCGATCGCCCTGGATCGATCCAGTCCGCCTCCCGTGTCACCAGTCGATTCGTGCCCCGCGCTCCCTCCCCTCCTGGTTCTGCGTACTCTCATCGTCTCCGCCGCCGTTCCCTCCCCACCCGTCCCCCTGCCGCCTGTATGCGCTCTGTATTTACCCCACATCTCCCCAGGTCAACCACGACAAGCACTATGTTGTCGCCGAGGCCGGCATCATCCTCAACGACCTCCATGTCGCCCTCGCCGACCACGGGCTCGCCATGATCAACCTCGGCTCCATCTCCGACCAGACCCTCGCCGGTGTGATCACCACCGCGACGCACGGCACCGGCCTCCACCATCGCGTCCTCTCCGACCACGTCCTCGCCCTCACCCTTCTCCTCCCCGACGGCTCCCGAGTCCGCTGCTCCCGCGAGCAGCACCATGATCTCTTCATGGCCTCCATCTGCGGCCTCGGCGCGACCGGCATCATCCTCGACATCACCATGCGCGTCCGCGACGCGTTCCGCCTCAAGGACAAGCAGCACACCGTCTCCTTCGACGACTTCCTCCGCGACCTCCGCCCCACCATCGCCGCCGACGAGTTCGTCCGCTTCTGGTGGTTCCCCCAGGCCGATGCCGTCCGCGTGAGCGCGTTCGAGGAGACCGACGAGGTATGTCTTTCCCTGTTACTCCCCGCAACCTCGCTCATCCGTGTTCGCGCGCACACAGCCCGTCGCGCCCGTCACCTCTTGGCTCTGGCAGTCCCTCGTCGGCTTCCACTTCCTCCAGCTCATCCTCTTCTTCGGGCGCTACATTGGCTTCTTCAACACCCTCTACGGCCGCATCTCCGTCTGGCTCATGGGCGGCCCCTCTGTCTCCGTCGACGACAGCCACAAGATTTTTAACCTCGACTGCAAGGTCCGTAGTCTCACCCTCGCAGCGCTTCCCTTCCTCCCCCTTTACCCCTCCGCGCTGCACATTGCTCCCGCGCGCGCCGTTTGGGTTCCGTACTCCGGGCCTTTTACCGACGTTGACGCCGTCTTCGCTGTTCGCAGTATCCGCAGTACACCACCGAATGGGGCATCCCGCACGAGCGCACCGAACCGTGCCTCCGTGAACTGCGCGACTGGCTCGACGAGGAGATCCACGGCCCCAACGGCTCCCGCCCGCACTGTCCGCTTGAGATCCGCTTCTCGTGCCCAGATGACATCTGGCTCAGCCCGAGCAACGGCCAGACGACGTGTTGGATCGGGATCATGCAGTACAAGTGAGTCCCCCTTCCTTCTCTACTCCACCGGCCTTTGTCAGCGCTAGCGCTCGTCTCCCCCCCTCCACTCCGCATGTCCGCACGTTGCTTATCGTGACCTGCCCTCGTCCTTCTCCCCGCACAGGCCGTACGGGCTCAACGTGCCCTACCGGAAGCTCTTCGCGCGCTTCGAGCAAATCATGCTCGCGCACGGCGGGAAGCCGCACTGGGCGAAGGCGCACCCACTCCGCCCCGCCGGCCTGCGCGCGATGTACCCGCGCTTCGACGACTTCGTGCGGGTGCTGACCGAGGTCGACCCCCGCGGCCTGCTCCGGAACCCGTACGTCGACCGCCACATCTTTGGCGACGACGCACCCGCGGCCGGCGACCGCGTCTTCAAGCGCGAGCACTGAGCGCCGGAGTCGCAGGGTGACTGGTGAAGGGGGCTCCCACACCCCGCCTCGAGCCCGCATGGCGCGCGATCACCCACCCTGCAAGCTGTGTCGGAAGCCCCCCGACGCTCCGCGATGCCTCGGATCGTCCGCCTCCGGCTGGGCTGTCAATGTCGCCCTCGCAGTCGAAGGCGCACCGCCCTGCGCTCGGTCCGGGGCCCCGCCATCCGCCCCTGGTCCCATCCCGTTCATCGCACCCCTTCTCGTCCTCTCCCACTCCACGCCGACCGATCCCGTCTATCTATCCGTGTCGCCATCGCCGCCGCGCCGTCGTTTCCTGCGCCTGCCCCGCTAGCATACGTATTCGTATCTCTATCGCTCTGTATCCGCCGGCCGCCGCTGCGGTCTCTAGTTCTATTCCTAATTTCCCCCGGTCCCGACCCTCGCCGCTTCCGACCCTCCCTCTCCTCCCCACGAACGCGCGCCCCCCTCACCACCACGCGTAGAGATCCCTAGTCTGCCGCCGTGCTATGTAATTCCGCACAAGTTGTCTCCGTACCCGCACACGCACCGAACCCGTAGCTTTCTCTCTCTCTCTCCCTCTCCACTGTGCTTGCTTTTGTCTACCGCTCACCGCCGCACCAAACTGTGTATTCTACCACGTAGACCCGACGCGCCGCGCCTCGAACGCTGCGAGCCGACGACGTACCAGTATCACCGAGTACCGTACCCATCTGTCCCATCACCACGCCCGCGACGCAATATACGCCCGAACGGCCGCGCGCCGCACCGGGCTCCTGCCATCCACAACGTCTGTCCCCGCGTACTCACTGGCAGGCGCGGATCGAGATCACGGATCCGAGCCCCCCCACGCCAAGCTCGCACGCGCTGTCTGTCTGTCCGTCGCAGGGGTGGACCAGGGCAGACTGCGTCCCTGCTGCTGTCTCGACGCACGTCATGCGGCTGCGAGCGCGCTGCTAAGTAAGTTCTAACATCGCGGCACGGCACGAAACCGCGACTCGCGCGCCGTGACACGGGACCAGTGCCGCGCTCGGGGAGCACGGTGGCCGGAGCGGCTGCTTTGCGACATGTATATATATGTCATGGAGGTACGGGATCACGCCTAGCATGTAGGATGTGCTGCGTCGGACCGAGGTCGACGGTGCCAGGACGCCGGCGCGGACGTACTTACGAGTTGCGACCAAAGCGGGGGGCGCGACCCGGTTGCCGCCCGTGCCTGCTTTCTCTCTAGTGGCTGCGACGTCCGACGTCGTTGGTGCGCGTCTCCCATGCCACCACGACGCGTCCCGCCGGATTCGAAGAATCGAGGCACCCGGGCTCGGACGTGGGCGAGCGGGCCTTACGTACCCGCGTGCGACCGCGTAGCCAGGCAGGTGAGTGCGCAAGTGGAGCAATGCGCCGTTGCTGTGTCGTCGCCGCCCCCGACGAGCTGGCTTCTCCAAGACTCTATCCCAGGTCCCCGTGCCAGTCGCGACGTGCACGTCCGACGCGCGACGTCCGCATGCAGTCGCGTGCAGTCGTGTGCGGACGCCCCCGCCATCTCAGATACGCATCCCTGGTGCGCCCCTGGGCGGTTGTCGCCGCGCAGCTGGCCAGTCGTCAAGACTCAAGTACCCAACGTCAACGTTCGACGCGCGTGCGCGATGTACATAGCACGGCGCCTAGGTACGTACGTACGTCCTTCGTCAGCCTTCAGGATTCAACGCTCAACGTTCAACGTTCAGAACGTCCAAACGTCCACGCCCCATCGTCACCGTCCCCGCCGGCCGCCGCCGGTGGAAGAGGGTTCGGATCGCGTTCTGGCTCGCGCCGGCTCTTCTCCTTTGACCGGCCTTGCACGCCGGCTTCTCGCTCTGTTCCGTGCCCGCGCGCTCGAGGCCTTCTGCGCAGCGTCGAGCCGGCAGGTCCCTGGCCAGTCGGTGCTCTCGTCCCCAGCCACTCTGTAAGTACCGCACCCTGCCACCGGGGGGACGCACGAGAGCACAGGCGTCGGGCGTCCAGACCCAGGTACCGCACCGGCAGAAGGCAGCGCGCGCGTCGAGTCCGTACGTCGCTCTCAGCTGCAGGTGCCGCGCCTGCTGCTCGCGAGACAGAGCCCTCGACGTACGCACTGCTCCGATCTGCCCCTCGAAGCCTCGATTGCACGCCTCGACAGGCCGAGTACTAAGTACTATCCTTCGCGGCTCAGTGCTCAGCGCTCAGCGTTCAGCGCACGTACGTGCCACGGCACACGTCTCTCAGGACTGCTCATGAGGACCACCCTCGCCCCTTCCACGCACCTCCGCTCACTAGAACGCGAACGTAACGCACACCCCGACTTTATTTATACGTCGTCGGCGCAGCACTTGCGCACCCCCAAGGTCCCCGACCGGCCTAACCCCCGCGTGCTAGCGCGACCGGTCGGATGCCGCGAGCCTTCAAAGCTTCACGAACAACCTCACAAACTCACGAACGCACGCGGGGTCGAGCACACGCCGGACGTGTGGCGCGCCGCTCCCCGCGGTCAGCCGACAGGGCGCAGGAGGAGAAACGGGATGGGACCGCGCCTCGCAGCTGGACCCGCGACGTCGGCTGCGCTGCGGCCAGGCCCCGCGAAGCTGCAGCGCACACCGCACCCAATTCCAAGCAGGGTCGGCGCGGCTGGGGCCCCACGCGCGCGGATCTGATCTAATCTCGCTCGCTCCCGACCCGGCGTCACCTGGCTCCGGCGTTTGCTGAGTGCTTGAAGCCTGCATGCACGGTTTGCGGTTGGGACTTCAAGTTCAACGCGAACTTGGACGGCCGGCCGTGACGCTCGTGCGGGTGTCACGAAGGGCCCGCAGCCTGGCCTGGCGACTTGTCCTACGCGGACCGGGCGCTGCGTGCGTGCGGGTCTCTCCGAGAAGCCCGCGGGACGGCGAGCACGCCACTCGCCGGCGCGTCCGTCCGTGGGCTGATGTCCGATATCGCGCTGTGGCCGTGGGAGGCGCGGGTGAGAGGCTTCGAATGCAATGAACCTGGATGCGTCCGGTCGGGGCGAACGAGCGGGACGACGCCAGCCGCGACGGGTGCACTGCCCAGGCCCTGAGGCCCTGAGGGAGCGCTGCAGAGCGAGCTTGCGCTTGGGACTCCGGACGACCTCTGGAGTCGATCGAGCGCGGCTCGGTCTCTCGAACGCTTCGAATGCCCTGCGCGTTCGAGCGAGTGGACTCGTCTGTCAGCGCTTCAGGTCCCGAACGAGAACCGACTCACCTAAATTCACCGCGCGCGCCCTTCCCCCGACGCGGCGGACGCCGTCTCCAAGAGCCCGAGCGAGCCGCGAGGCCGTCGTTCGAATAGGCACACGTCCGACAAGCGCAGCGCACGCGCCCCGGGCGAGCTTGACCGACAGCCAGACCGTCCTCGAGCCCGGCGGGCGTGATCGAGGCTCGCAGCGGGCGCTGGCGCACACGTCCCGGTCCAGCCAGTGCGTATGTAAGTACGGGCGCACGGAGCGCGGCGTACGTACCATCGTCTTCGTGACGTCGTCCGCGAGCGCGCGCCCAGGCGCCCCCGGCATCGCGCGCGCGTTGGGCTCGGAGCTCTGCGGACCCTTCGTTTACGCGTACCGGGGGCCTCGGGATCCCGTGTGGGACCCTCGAGTGTGCGGAGCGGGCTTGGGGCCCTGGCTGGCCGGGCGCGGCTGGAGCCGCGCCGCCGAATGTCGAAAGCCTTGAGCTCAAGGGCGTGCTCAGGCCCAAGGGGCTCGGCAACGGCCGTCTGCGGGCAGCGAGTGGGTGGACGGCCGCCAGATGGAGACACGCAGATCGCGCGGACCACGGCTCAAGCTCTCTCGTTCCACGCTCTCCCGACCGACACGCGCGCGCTTACGCACCGGTCAGGGACGCAGAGAGCCGGCGGGCTCGGCTCGGGGGCGCTGTCGGCCTCGACTATGCAGCGCCAGCCCTGCAGGCGACAGAACCACCCCCGCCTCGTGCGTCCTACACACGTCCGGCATCTGGAAGCTGGAAGCCGGCGTCCCCCCGACTCGGCCCACACCGTGCCCCGTCCGCGTCGTTCCTGGAGCTAAGGCTGAGCTGAGCCTCGTCAGGCTGCCACGCCGCGGAGTTCGGGGGTTTCACCCGCGCTGGCCGACGCGAGAGGCGGGCTCGGGGTCGGAGTCGGAGTCGGAGTCGGAGTCGGGGTCGACGTCGACGTCGACGGACGAGGGCCGTCTGTCGCCGAGGGCGGACGCGCGGAACCCCCGCGCGCACTCTCGCCACTGGTCCCACCACCAGGACGACTGCGAGCGATCCAGATGTCGAGCTTGAGCTTGAGGACGGGCGGGCGATCGCGCCGGCACTTCCCGCGGCGGCCTCCTCTAGTTCTCCCTCCGCGCCGCCCGATCGCCTCCGCGCGCGCGCACGCACGATCCCGGCGAGCACCGCCGCGGGCGAGTACGATCGACTCGTGGGTGAACCGTTGAACCGTTGACGAAGTTGGGCCTCGGTACTGGGCGCCAGTGGCGAACCTCCTACGGCGTTCTTGCGTAAGACGCGCGTGGAGGGTTCGCCGCGCGGCGCTCGATCGGGGACTCTAAACCCCCGCGTCCGCCGTCGGTCGTTCGGACGTCGCTGTGCGCGTGTCTGCACCTCGGGTATGTCGCCGCAGCTCGAACGGCGAACGGCGAACGGCGAGCGCGCCGAACTGTGCAGAGGCTGCGTAGGTTCGTCGCACTCCACCGACGTGGAGACAGAACACGCCCGCCTGCGAAGCCGTCCTGCTGCCTGCGCGCGCCTCAAATCGCGTCGCGGCACACAGGACGTCAAAGAGGACTCGCCGACCGGCTTCCGCACGTACGTACGTCCACCGAGGCCACCCTGGGACAAACGCCTTCGACCGCTTCGTCCAAGGCAAAGTGACGCCCCGCCCAGAGCCACACAACCCTCGCCGCTCAACGCCCGGAGGGGGGACGCTAGGGGAACGCTTCCACCGTCAGGGCCACACTCGCCCGCCTTCTTCGTTAATCTCCGTCCCCTCGTGGCACCGCACGACGAACGAACCGTCCAATCTCCGAGTCCGCAATAAGGAACATCGCGCATAGGCTCGCGGCCGTGCCGGCCGTCGTCCGGTTCGGAACGCCAGCTCCAGCGCACGCTCTCCCGACGTCTCGCGGCAGACGAGGCAGACGCCTCTGAGCTCTGCAGTCGCGGAGCCGGACGCCCGTCGCGAGCCGCCGCCCGAACCCTGGTCTGCGAACGACGGCCGCGAGGAGGTCCCAAACGCGCCACGCCGCCAAGCTTTCAAATTTCAGGCTCGAGCGAGTGAGTGACAGCAGACGTCGACCGCGGCGGCCCTCTTTTCGGTCCTTCGTGCGTCGTGGCCCCGCCCCTCGTCCCACCGTGCCACGTCCCGCCTCCACTGCTTCGCGAAGGGGGACGTCCAGGGGTTGCTTCCGGCTCGCTGCGCGTCCCCGCCACGCGTCAGCCCCGCCCCGCTCACGCGAGCACGCGTGGGATGTCCGCACGGGCAACGCCCCTGCGCAGGCGGACGACGCTCGACTTCGGCAGCCCACGTGCGCACGCAGCACTCGTCGTCGTTGTTACAGCTTGGTCGTCATTGGTGCCCCAGCACGGCGGTCGAGTAGCCCCTTCCGTTCCCTCCCGTCCCGCGACGCCCCCACCCCTCGAGATCCGATCGGAGCCCTAGGTACCGTGTTCAGAGTTCAGAGCCCGAGTTGCTCGCGGATCGACTCCTTCACGAGCCGCTCGTATTCCTGCCCGCAGACCGCAGACGTCAGCGTCCACAGCCTAGCGGGAAAAAAAAACAAGGGTTGCCCACCGCCCGGTTGTCGCGGTACAGCTTGCAGCAGTCGATGTTCGCCCCGCTTTCCAGGTTGGGTTCTGCGCGACACGATGCGAGCGAGCGAGCCGTCAGCGAACGGTCCGTTAGCTTCGGGACCCGCCGCCAGGGCTGCGCGCGTCGACGTGCGGTGCGGACCCGGCGAGACGATGCCGGACAGGAAGGACGGACCTGCGAGCATCGAGATCACGCTGAGGATGACCTTCTCCACGCTCTGCACCGGGCTCCAGCGCTCCGACGCCTGCTCGTACATCGTCGGGTCGTCTCCGGGCGTGTGCAGGATCGAGATGCACACCGTGCCGTCCGGGTAGACTGCACGCCCGTCGGTCGGTCGGTCGGTCAGGCGTCCCGGTGCGCGGTGGTGCAGGATGTTCGGCGGGCGGGGAGGGCGGCAAGAGGGGTAGATGAGTCAGTACGAGCGCGGGTGCGTTGACAGAGACGGGACTCGGAGGGAAAAACCCGGCTCCCGAGGCGCGAGGTCTTGGGCGGCACGTCCACGGCCTGCGCGTGCGGCCGCGGACGACCCGCCGCCTCCACCATCCCCACCCCCAGGGGCGACCGACGGCGGCTGAGTTTGCCTCCAGAACGCGAAGAAAGGGTGCGAGCAGGAACGGCACGACGTACTGTTGGGGTGGAACAGCGGCGGGTCGAACTTCATCTTGAACGGCGACAGGGGGTAGTCGGACGGCTGATGCGCGACGCCAGTCCCCACGCACGCACGGCGGGCGGTGCGCGACGGCGGGCGGAACGAGGCAGGGCGTGAGTGGCGGGACCACGGGCGCGGGCAGCGGGCGTACGTACGAACGTCAGCACGGCGGGGAAGACCCCGCCTTCGAACGGCGTGTCCTTCGGGCCCACGATCAGGGCCTCCCAGGTGAAGAAGTCGGACTCGGAGACAGGACCTGGCCGGTGGAACGCGACACAGGATCGGCCGGTCAACCACGCGCGTGCGGGGGACGGGTGGGGGAGGGACGCACCGGCCGTGAACATCCCATCGGGGGCGCCTTGTGGTTTCCGTCATCGGCAGAGAGCGCGTCCAGGGGGGGTGAGCTCGTGCCCGGCCGCTAGATGTATGCGCCGGACGGGGGACGAACCTTGGGAGGTGAGCTGCTTGTACTCCGTCATCAGTCGCCGGAGGGCGGTGGCATTAGAGGCTCGTGAGTTCATCGCGGTTGACGGATCTGGCGGTGGTGTGTGCAGTGTGCGGGTGGCCGGAGGTGGGGGAGGAGGGAAGGACGAGATGAGCGTCGAGGACAGCGACGGTGGCTTCGACCCCGCCGTTCAGCTTGGTCGCCGGCCCCACGCGCCGGAACGGCCGCCGGCCCGCTCTAGCCGCTGACTATGACGAGCTTATCCGAGCAACCGAGTTCGACTAGATCTGTGCCGCCCGCGGTTTCTTCTCGAACTGAACCCAAGCGTTGCACGAGCCGTTTGCAGTTCGAACCAGTCCTGCTTGTAAAACTGACGGAAATCTTCCGGCCTTAGGCTCTCTTACAATTTCAGGCAAAGCAGCGCTTCTGTCACACTAACCCGCGGCGATCCGCAGGCCAAGCCAAGTCGCGCGGACACCCCCGCCGACAACTTGGACGACTGAATGAACGAGCACACGGACGGCGCACGCAGCCGCCGACGCACGTCGGAGCGTGGCAGGTGGTTGAATGGCTCTTCCCTCCCGTCCGGCAGCAGCGGACGCACTAGGTCGCCCCGGCTCGAAGGCTCGGCCGCGAGGCTCAGCGAATTCGCTCTCCGCCCACCAAGTTTACTCGCACCACGCTGCCCGACCCGCCGCACACTTCCAGCCGTCGTGACGTGTGCGGGAGTCCGCTGCTGCGCCGTCTCCGCCAGGTCTCCGCCGAGGGTGCCCGCCCACCACTAGTCCGACGCTCGTTCCAGTGCACTTAGCACTTAAGTGCTCCCGCCAGAGATAACCACGCGCAGGTACACCGCCCGAGGCTCCCCCGGGGCGCCATGCACCGCACGCGATCTCGCCCTCTATGTCCGCCCCGCCTCCCGACGACGCCGAGGCTTGGTCATCGGCGAGCGACCGAGTACTGCGCCGAGGCATGCACGCCGTCCACGCAGCTGCATGTGCCCCGGAGCCCGCGAGAGTGCGCCGTGCGTCGAGCGTCGGCGCGAACGACGGCGCCCAGTACCATGGTCCACAGGTGTCAGGCACGCCGCACGCGCCCCGCGAGGGTGTCCGCTCAGAACGACCGGCCGCTTTGGCCACCTATGGAGCTATATCCCGGAGGGCGGGTCCAGGGTCCTCCGTCCGCGCGTCCTGCGAGCGTCCATCACCGTACGCACGATCGCGCCCTGAGGCCCGACGCCCGACGCCCGACGCCTGACGCCTGACACCTGAGCCCCATGCCCGAAGTCCCGACGTCTCTGCGAGGACCCTGCGCGGCGAGGATCAAACGTGGGCGCGCGACACCGGCGCGCCTGCGCACCGTCACGGGGCTGGGCGCAATTCATACGGCGGACAGGTGCGAGGTGCAGGCCTAGGTACAGAGATGCGATGCGCGGTCTTCGCGGTGGATCTGCGCGGAAAGGTACACGTGTGATACATACATACAACATCGGACATCGGGCTGCCCGATCACGCGTCGTCGAGCACGAGCCGGGGCACGACGTTCATCGCCATGAGCTAGAAGCCGTGCGAGATCGCGGGCGCGGCGGGACGAGGCGCGAATCGAGCGTGCGCAGTGCACCCGAGACGCGGCCCGGGGAAAGGCAAACGCCAAACCGCAGGGAAGCAGGGCAGGGAAGGGCAGGGAAGGGCAGGGCCGGGAGTGCAGGGCAGAAGGACCGGGCGAGGAAGCGCAGGGGCAGAAGATAGGAACGGAAGCCGCGTCAGCGAACCCGCACATGAAAGAAGCCGGCGGAGCGGGGGGCGGGGGCGGTGGACGCGACGCACCTCCTGGAAGAGCAGCTTCGCCGCGTACGGGATCGTGAGCTGCGCCATCTTCTTCGACGACTTGCAGTACGGGCACCAGCCGTTGTACCCGAGCAGCCCGCACGCCTCGCACGCGTCCACCTGGAACTGGTCCGAGGAGATCATCAGCCGCTCGAGCAGCAGCTGCGTCGCGCCGTAGCCGATCAGGCAGTCGCGCTCCATCTCCCCCAGTCGCAGCCCGCCTTCGCGCGAGCGGCCCTCGGTCGGCTGCCGCGTCAGCGTTGCGCGCGGACCCCTGATGATGGTATGAAAAATGACGGTGGGAAAGCGAGCGAAGGGATGGGAAGCGGAAGGAAGAGGCGGTCAGCGTGCGGTCAGAACAGGCGGATTACTCGAAAGTTTAATATCCGCCCAAGCGGGGCAGGGGAGCCCAGGGCGGGTGTAGCGAATGAGACGGACCTTGCGCGGGCGTGCATCTTGTCCATGACCATGTGTTCTGCGACGCATCGGTGTCATTATCTCACCGACCACGCGGTACCCGGTGATAGACTCACTAAGTTTCTGTGGAGGTGCGGCGGGAAGCAAGGCGGTCAGCTTCGCGCCGCAAAAAGGACTCGCCAAGCTTACTTGTAATATATGGGCCCGAAGTAGACGTACGCCTCGAGTGGTTCTCCGGTGATACCGCTCGTTAGCATATCCTTCCCTCCGTAGCTGAAGCCATTCTCGATCAGGATTCGAGACATGTCCTCCACCTGCGCGCCGTCAGCTCCAACCTCCGCGGGGCCGGGACGGACAAAGTTCGGATCCTACCTTGGAGCCCCCAAACGCTGTCCCGTATTGCAGTTTCCCTGCGAGAACACCCGCCTGCGCGTGGAGGTACGCGGGGTCAGCGGGCGGACGGCGGGGGAGGGGCGCAGGCACGCGTACCTTGCCCGCGAGCAGTTCGATCATCTTCCCGACCGTCATCCGTGAAGGGAACCCGTGGGGGTTCATGATCGTGTCTGGGGGAAGCCAGAAGAGAAGCGGAGTCAGCAGCCGCCGGGCAGGCGACAGACGCCATCGCGCAAGCGACGGGCGGGGGAGCGGCGCACCGGGACAGATCCCCTGGTCGTTGAACGGCATGTCCTCCTGGTTCACGATCAGGCCGCAGACACCCTTCTGCCCGTGCCGGGACGAGAACTTGTCGCCGAGCTCGGGCCGCCGCGTTTGGCGGATGAGCACCTTGATGAGCGTCTGGTCGTTCTCGGTGTCCGTGATCATCACCTTGTCTATCTGGCCCGCGACGGGCGACTTGTAGGTCATCGGCGCGTTCTTGTACGGCACCGTCGCGGCCTGGCCGGTGAACGAGTTGTCGTTCGCGTTCGTTGGCGTCTGCTTGTTGATGTACACGTCCCCGGGGTCGACGCGCTCGCCGACGCCCGCGAGCCCGTCCGCCTGGATGATGTCGTACTTCTTCTGCACCTGCCCGTTCTCGTCCACCGGCGCGTCCGCGAGGCGGTCGAACCTGTCCGCGCACGTCAGCTCCCCCGAAATTCGCGCGGGGGCTAGACGGGATCGGGCCAGCCCCCCTCGCTTGGCACTCACGTTCCGTTGGGATACTTGCGGATGAGCGTGGCGTTTTTGCGCAGGACCTGGCACCGGCCGTAACCCCGGTCGAGGCTCGCCTGCAGCGCGCGGACGGTGTGACGGGCACGCAATCAGCGCACGGACACTAACTTCGGACCTTGGGGAGCGTCGGATCGGGAGCTGACCGACCTTGTTTAGAATGAGCGCGTCTTCGATATCGTAGCCTGAATAGCTCATCACAGCCACGGTGGCGTTCTGTCCTGCCGGAAGCCGGTCGTAGCCAATGAGCTCGATGGTCTTTGACTTCACCATGGGCTGCTGTGGGTACACGGAGAGGTAGAGCAGAGTGTCGATCCGGTTCAGTTGGTTATAGCCGATCGCCCCGATCGCCTGCTTTCCCATGGCGCATTGGTAGGTGTTCCGTGGGGACTGGTTATGGTGAGGGTAGGGAATAAGGCCGGCGACTGCTCCTAGGAGGGTGAAGGGCTCGATCTCCAGGTGTGTGGTTCCAGGGACAATGTCCTTCTCGTAGAGGGCAATGTAGGAGTCGTTCTCCTCGTTGACATCGAGGTATTCCACGAGACCTTTCCGGAGGAAGTCGTCAAACGTCAGCTGGCCTGCCTTGAGTTGCTGTACATTATAACCGTGAGAAGTTACAGAGAAGGTTCGGGTGCAGGAACACGCACCGAGATATGGCGGACGTGACCATGGGCATGCCATTCTCACAATGATCATGGGCCGGCAGATACGCCCGCCGTCACTAGCGATGAGCACGGTTCGGTGGTGGTGATTGATGTACACGCTAACGAACTCGCTGAACCGTCCGGCCCGCCGCAGTCGTCGGAAATTGCCCACAAAGCGCGCAGGGTATCGGGTCAGGCCGATAATAGATCCGTTCACGTTCACGACAAACGTATGCGGACCATATATCTCGGCCCCAGTCGCTAAGCTGATGTCTGCGATAAAGAGGGGCGCTCAGCGAGACCGGCGGGACGCTAGAGGTACGCGGAGCGACGCACCCTCGACGCCTAGCATGAACGCTATCCTGATGATCGGTTCCTCGTCCACATCGGTCGTGATGTGCGTCATAAGAGCGAGGTTCTTGACCAGCCCGCAGGCCTCGCCCTCGGGCGTGTCGCTCGGGCAGAGCATGCCCCACTGACTCGGTTGCAGCGCACGCGGTCCACTGACCTTGCGCGTCTTCTCAAATTGCGACGAGATTCGGGTCATCATGCCGAGCGCAGAGATGAACGAGAGCCGGCTGAGGACGTGCGTGACGCCGGCACGGTCCATCTTGAACCGCTTCAGCGACCAATTCCCCGTCGAGATTGCTCGGACGAAGCCCGACGTGATGTGGTCCCCTTGAAACTGCATCGTGTTGAACGCGTCGAACTCGCTCGTCCTCGACGGCTTCTTCAGCACCTTGTCAATCGCGGCTTTGAGGTTTGTGTTGAATGTCTTGAACAGATCTTCAAACAGGAGCGCGAGAAGCTGTCCGGCGCTGCAATAGTAGAGTTAACGTTCGGGAGTACTGACGTGGTGGAGAGAAGGTCTCACAGCTCGAGCCGCTTGTTCCCCACGTAGTCCCGGTCGTCCACCATCTTTTCGTCGTCCATGGCCATGAGAACGCGCCTCGTCATCGTCGCGACGAACACGGCCTTGGGCCGGAAGTCGAGGCCATGGATGGGGACGTGGGCCAGGACGATGGTTGCAAGCGCCTCAAGGGCTTCTTCCCAGGCAGGGCGCCGCGGGCCAATCACCCGGCGGTTGACCTTCACTCGGGACCCAATCCACTCGAGGGCCTGGTGCCGCGTAAAAACTCCGAGCTTGGCGGCTTCTTCAAGGTTCGGGGAGAAGGAAGATTTGTATGCTTCGTGGTTGCCGGCTGTCAGGAGAAGGATTTCCTTGTCCGACTGAATCCCGAGTGCCTTGAGTGCGATGGCGATCGGAACATCCTCATGGATAGAGTTGTGCCGGAGGTATATCTTCCCCTTCTTCGTGGCGACATAGGTTTTTGATTTGAGGCCGCCGTGGGTTGATCTGGCAAACTGGGGTCAGTGAATTCTGACGTTCCTGAGACCAATTATAGAGCTAAAGGAAAGTATGGCTTCGTGCGCTCCGAAGAGTGAATATGGCCGGTAGCCAAGCCTCCCGACCCGCGCCGCCCCTCGGCGACCCCGCCAAGCATCGCAGCCCCACGTTGATGACTGAGGACGGGGGCGCTCCCTGGAGTCGGAGACGACCCAGGTGAAGATGCACGTCGTGCAGCCGTTCCGTGCGCCGCCAACTAGCCCCGGATGGGCAACGCGGACGTCGGCGAGACCCATGACCTCGAGGCGGCCACGGTTCAGACTAATGACATCTCTCTTGAATGCTGAGCGAAAACAGCGAAGATGATAGGACGGTGCGAATGCCCAATGGGCGTGCCAAGCAATAAATAAAAACTCACGATGTACAGGACGCCTGAACGATTCCTTTCGTGGTATCGATCTCCACGATGATACGGTTCTTGCTCAGCTGTTCTTGGACAAGGATGACCTTCTCCGTGCCCTTGACGATGAAGTAACCTCCGGGATCCAGCGGACATTCCGTCATGCGCGCTAGCTGCGCCTCACTGCGTCCTGCGAGCACGCATTTGCTACTCCGGAGCATGATTGGCAGGCGTCCGATGTTGACATTGGCTCGACGAACGACAGTCTTCCCGCGCGTGTACTGAATGGTGACGAGAATGGGCGCACCGTACGTCGTGTCGCGGAGTCGGCATTCGTGCGGGGTGACACTCTTGTCGATCGCGTCTGCGTCGGTCCTGTCCGGGAAGCCGACAACGATGTCGGTGTACTTGAGCCAGAAGCGTGGGTCGACGTCCGACGTGACCTTGTTGTTGCCTTCAAGATGTTCTTGATGTCGACGTCGACGAAGTAGTTGAAGGAGTCTATGTGCTGCTTGACTAGCCCCTTCACCTTCAGGAAGGCCGGCAGCAGGAGCCACTTGTCCTGTGCGGCCGTGCCAATAAGCTCGCGACATGAAAAGACGCACTCACAAGCGTACCTCTACGCTTTTGATCGGATCCGTCAGCCCCAGCCCTCTCCAATTTGTCTGCGCTGCCCTCGCCCATTCTTCTCCGTCTTCTTCATGGTGCGCCATGGAGGATATCTCCGCGCGAGTAGCTGCTCGCTTCCCTTTCGTCCGCCACGCGCGTGGACGCGGCTTGGATATTTGCGTCTCGTTCAGTCTAGGATTGTTACAGGCGTTTTGCGAAGCGTTACAACATTCAAAGCGTGTAGAGTCGGAGGGCCAGAGCAGGAAGATGAAAGTCGGAGCCAAGCTCTGAGTGACCCTAACGCGAGGTTAAGGTTCCGAAGCTTCGCAGTAATGGCGTCTATTCACCTCCCTCCCTTCAAGTTCGTTCAATGATGTCGTGGCGCATTTTTGCACAATGCACAACGCCAGAAACGATTCAGCGCCATCTAGGTTTCGTTGCCACCGAAATCCGTTTCTGTTTCGGACGAGCCCCGCCGGTTTTGTCGGACGAAGGAACACTCGAGGTCCGAGTCGTCCTCGGGCCGATCAGCCGCCTGCACTTGTCGCGGCGTCAAAGGAGTGTAGCAACCTTCCTCTCCAACATCCAACACCTTCACCGCCATGCTCTCTGCTGTGACCCAAAGCGGGAAAATCGCAGCGCGGTGCCTGCGAGAGCTCAGAAAATCGCGCCGCAATTGCGCGGATTCACTTTCAACACCATCCAAAGGTCGAATACGGCGGACGTCACCCTGCACCGTTCTACCGAACTTGGCGCCGTCGAAGAAACTCAGGATATCGCCACCATGGACAGGCTTCTGCGAGTGCAACGTGAGTCTGTGCTCAGTCACAGCCTCTCACTATCACACAGGCTTACCACATTGATAGGAGAACGCTCAAACCCTGCTCATAACTCGTACGCGCGTTTCGGTAGTGCGCACTCTGGATGCCTCATCATTGACTCTGAATAATTGATAGGATCGTTCCTGTCCGCTCGAAAGGACTGTGGTCCGACGCTCTGAGCCAGCTTTCTATTCCAGAAGCCGAAGCTTCTGGGCAAACTGGATCGGCAGCAGCAGCCCAGCCCTCCAACCCTGGCGATCCCGCTCCACGGCGCATGCAGGACTCTTATTGCGAGATTATACTACCCTTTGCATCCTCGCCTGAGCTTCTCGAAAAGTACACCAATGCGACGGGTGGAATCCGCACCGGGCTCCTCATGGAGCACCTCGACTCCCTCGCGGGGAGCATTGCTTACAAGCATATGCTTGGCCCCGAAGTCAAGGAGCTCCCGTCCAACGCAGGCTTTTACATCGTCACTGCATCTGTGGATCGGTGTGTATATGTCATTTGATGGTTGCGTGTGACGCTAATCGACACTGCACAGTTGGATATGCTCGCAACGCTGTACCCAGTACGCGACATGCGACTGAGCGGACAGGTCATCCATACAGGACGAAGTTCCATGGAAGTCGCAGTACGCATGGAAGCTATCGCAAGGATGGGACAGAAACAACGGTTATGGTCGGTGAGTGTAGTCCAATTCATTCGATGAATCAACGCACTCATGCAAAGTTCCACAGGTCGGTTCTGCATGGTTGCAAGAGACAGCAAGACGCAAAAAGCAAAACTTGTAAATTCTCTGACTCTCGAGACAAGTGAGGACTGCACGCTGTTCAACATGGGGGAGAGTGAGTTGAACTCAGCTGGCTGCATCAATGGAGGCGATCGCTGAAACCGAGCAGTCCACAGAATAAACGACAGTCTATGGCCGTCCACTCTCTCGACCGCGTGCCGCCCACGTCCTGGGAGTCCGAAAATCTGCATTCGCTGTATCTGAAGTACGGCTCGCACACGTCTGCACCTTCGCTCCAGCACAAAGACAAGGACACTGTATGGATGGGCGACACTCGCCTAGAGAAGACAATGGTGATGTTCCCTCAAGAGAGAAAGTGAGTTCCTAATCAGTGTCCCTATGGTTTCATTTCATAACTAAACGCTATCATAGCGTACACAAGAAAATCTTCGGAGGTCAGCCGCATGGAATCTGTATAACTTGTGTTATCATCTGACATCTACTCCATCAGGCTATCTCATGCGCCTGGCGTACGAGCTAGGATTTGCGAACTCGTGCCTTTTCACTCGAGGACACGTCACCTTCCTCTCCCTGGACGGCATCGCGTTCGCGCGCCCCGTCCCAATCGGCTCCCTCCTGTGTCTAACCTCCAACATCGTCCACTCCACCTCCTCCGACCTCTACCCGCGCTCGTAGTACGTTCTATATGCTCTTTTCGTGTTCCTCCGATTCTTTTGATGATTGGTGTATCTAGCATGTCTGTGTGCATGCCGACGTCGTCAACCTCGCAACAGGCACCGAGCAGCGTACAAACGACTTCCGCTTCACTTGGTGCCGAGAGAGCGGGCCCGCACTCAACCGCATCGTCGTGCCCAAGACATACGGCGAAGCCATGCAATGGATCGAGGGCCGCCGGGCGCTGGAGATGGGCTCGGAGATACGCAAGCTTCGCAAACGCACCTAGCTGTTCCCGGAGGCCCTTGCTTTGGTCCCTGGCGCATTCAGCAGCATTCAGTAGGTCTGAGGGCCCCCCAGATGTGTCAACTCGTGTCAGTGGCGTATAGCCAGCGTTGCGATGGCAGCTGTAACTTGGAGTTCAGTACGGTCCGACTCAGTTCATGTGCATGATATCTATACAGAGCACGCCCTAATTTGTTCTTCCATTCCGTACCTCCCAGAATGCCGTTCAGCAATGGCGGCCGCCTCGCCGGGTCGGGCTAGTGAGAAACGAACAGAAGGACGCCACATCCAGCATCTCGCTAGTGTCTGGCGAATTGTCACTGACTGCCGCTCACCAAACTTCGGCCGACACTCTGTCGCATGCGTCCGCAATCACTCTCCGCCACTTCCCGCCCACGACCAGACCCATGAGACACTCCGCTCCAAATTCCGAGACAATTCGCCAGGATAATACGCGTGGATCCCGATGGTAGCTTGTGGGTGCCATCCCGTCCGCCCTGAAACGGCTCCCTGACACAGCGTGCCCGTCCAGCTGTGCAGATGGCGGGAAGATGATGTTGACTCCGCAGATCTGAGGTGCATTCCGCCCGCGCCTGAACACGAGCGGTGCCGGCAGCTTCGCTGTCCAGCTCGCTCTATCGCCGTGAAATGGAATGTTGTCCGCCGGTTCTCTTCATGTCAAGAGCCTGGACACCGAACAGATCGGTTTGTCGCCGGCCTGCGACGCTAAACAGGGTCCTGCGCGCCCGGAGGATCTGACAGGGTCGCGCTCGCGCGGTGTCCGTGCGGAGGTATGCCCGATTGGCGGCCGCCTTGAACAACGGACGTGTGATGTAGTCCGTCCGTGCTTCGTCGGCCCTGCACGGTTGCTCGACGCCCATCTTTGACGGAAACGCACCTGGCGGTCGTTGCAGAGGCTGAAGGGTAAAATTTGCGTTGAGAGGGGGAAATAAAGCGCTGTAGTTTCCTGATCGTTCGGGAATGTTGTAGCCCCGCATATATATCTGCCAACCCCTTGAGCACGACGGGAATTTGGACACGAGATTGCCTTTATTATTTGTATGTCAGCCCAGTGGCGTTTTTGTTTTAGACAGTCCGTGAACTGGATATGGACTAAATGAGTTGAGCAGAAGTGGTTGTCGATGGAAGACTCACGCCGGTGCTCGCTTGTCAATTCAAGCCAGTTTTTGGGAAAGAAGCGGTCAGCTGAGGGAATCATGGTTTCACAGCAACATGGGATATGTATCGCAGCTACCCGTGGGTTGGATAAACGATCTTCGTCCACGCGGCGCCTGCAGTCAATTCAATCTATTGCGCACGGTGAGTGACGAGTCACAAATGAAACTTCAGTGCTTGGAGAGATGCCGTCCATTTAACCAAGCCTTTTAATACCATTCATTACTGACATGAAGAGTCGGTCATGCACACCGTGAACCGAGATGATGAGGTTGCAAGAGACTTTGTTGACGGGAAAGAGAGCGCAAGAAAGGGCAGATAGCCGCCCACTCATTGTCTATATCACTTACCTAAGCGATCCTCAAGTCAAATGAGCGTCTCCACGGCCCTACTCCGCCCTGCATCGATCCTCCACACTCCCGCACACCCTTGCACTTGCACGCCTCCCACCCGCCTCCACCACTATGTCTCATACCAGTGTTGCTTCAAACACGCTTCTTCTCCGTCGTCAGCTCGCGGAGCTCACCAAGCATCCTGTCGACGGCTTCTCTGCAGGTGCGCCTCCCGCATCGTCAGGAGCCCGCCCCTCTTGCTCACTGCGCCATGCGTGTTCTATATGCTGCTGTTTCCCGGATCCTGGTGACTGAAAATGCCAGGCCTCGTGGATGACACCAACCTGTATGAGTGGGAGGTCATGATCATCGGGTACGTCTCGTGCTTGCCTTAGGGCGGCCTGCACTGATCCAAATGATTGCGGCGCGTTACAGGCCGCCGGACACCATGTAGTGAGTACATGGTAGCGTGATACCGCGAGACTATCCTCACTTGCTCAGCGAGGGCGGGTTCTTCAAGGCTCGCTTGACCTTCCCCGAGGACTTTCCTCTGAACCCACCCAAGATGCGCTTCATTACCCCGATGTGGCATCCGAACAGTTCGTCTTCTTCTCATCCTTGTTTACCACCTGGTCTTTACTAGGCTTTCAAAGTTTACGCGGATGGTGTCGTTTGCATCTCTATACTTGTGAGTGACTGTACCTCTCCGCGCACAATGCGAGTACTGAACGTTTTCAAGCATCCTCCTGGCGAGGACCAGTATGGTTACGAGGATTCGGGCGAGCGTTGGCTTCCGGTGCACACCGTGGAGTCCATTGTGAGCTCATTCACACTTGCTTTTCAACCTCGGTGACCAAAACTATGATCTCTAGCTGCTGAGTGTGATCTCTCTACTCTCATCCGACACGCCGAATTTGGACAGTCCGGCAAATGTGGACGCTGCCAAAGAGGTCAGGACTAACTTTGATGGTGCGTACAAGTCATCCACAGCACCATTTCCGGCGCTTATACGTATTGTTCGTGTTTGCTATGCAGCATACAAGAAGAAGGTCCGACGTCTGGTGCGTCGTAGCGCGGAGGCTTTCGACTAGGCACCTCCTCCCGTTTCCCTCTATTGTCGTTTTATCTGGCCTCTACCCCCACGCCGCCGAACCATTAATGTCGGTCCACGTTACTCGAATATGAACTCCGATGTCCTGTGATCCATACATCTTCCCCTCACATTCCTGGCTCATCCAGCTCTCCCGTGCTTTGTCGCCATTAGCACCTCTGACGGCTCCGCTTCTCATCCCTCGTCCCTTTCTATCGCGTAAATATCCGCTTCCCCGGTTCGGACTCCCTTTCTAATCCCCTCCCTGCGTTCCGCCTCGCAATGTTTTCCGTCAAGAATGTCTGTATCGAGATATAGCAACCCGCCTGTTCCCATAGTCGTCTCTATCGCTATCGCCCATCCTACCCCATCCTTGCTGGCGTGCAGCTCCAGTCGCTGAGGTGTCCTATCCTGGAGTGATCTGAGTTCATTACGGCCTCGTGCGTCTCTCATCGAGATCTCCACTTTTGCGCGTGCATCTAACAAGGGAATCCAGGTCGTACCTTGAGCGGTACACAGCACCAAGGGTGCCACTGTCGTCGCGGCGGTGCCCCGCCACGTCGTGCGTGCGTGTATCTATCGCTAGCCACCAATTCGATACCCTTCTTACTGCACCATGTGCGCAGTGAGACTCGTTGCTCTGGAGGTTCGGAAGGTCATCGCGACGTTTTGACAGGCCTTGAAGGCATCTTTGGACAAGAAACGTATGCCATGAAATTCTCAAAATTTCGTCAACTTGGCGTCCATTGTGATGGCTGTCGCTGAGGTATTCATTTAATCGAGCGACAAGCTATAGTGGACATTTGCTAATCCGTTTTCCATCCTCACCATACTTGCTCTTCACGAATCGCTCGTGCGAAAGGAAGACATCTCGGGAAAGGCGCTGGAGTGGGCTCGGCACTTGCAATTCTTTGACATCATCGACGGGCTGTATGATTATGTTCAGCCACATACGAGTTTGAGTCGCTGTTTGATGTGGCCGCAATGCACCTCCACGAAGCAACAGCGCTCTGAGAGGGCTTGAAACACGCTTTCGGGCTGTGACTGTCCTGTCAGCGCGAAGTCAGTGTTGATGAAACTGCTTGTATGATGACGCGGACGTCCGTGAGTCGCTCGACGAGCAAAGGCGAACCTCCAATCCACATGACCATGGACGTGACCCGCGAAAGGCCAATAGGTGTCGTGTCGTATGCTCGCGCATCTTGTCGGAGAAAAAAGAACGACGGGACTCATGCTGGAGAATTCTCCGAACCGTGCTCAACATCACAGGACAGCGCCTCCGCGCGCGACGTGGCACACATTTGAGCTGCAACGCAACACGGACCCCGACAGACCCCCGCATATGGCCGGCGGTTCTCGATTTTTCGGCGCGCTTTCTCGGCGCTTTGCCACGTGTGCTGCCCGTCGTCCCCTCCCGACCAGGCGCCCGGCGTGAACCCGGACGGAGGAGTGCACGGGGGACTGCGCGGGGCGGAGGTGTTGACGTGGCGGCACGTATTCGCGCAGATATATAGCGCGCTTCGGCTTTGCGCTGTTGGCAAGCACCTCTCTTTCTCTCTCCCTTCTCATCATGTCCCTTCCACGTCGACCGACGCGGACGCAGTCGCGCAGACTGTTGTCCTCCATGTCCCTTCTCTTCCTCGCCTTCCTCGCCATCATTCTTTTGTGCCCGGTTTCCGTAAGTGCCGATGAGGACAAGGCCAAGTACGGCCCGGTTATTGGTATCGGTAAGTTATCCCGCTTGATGGCGACGCAACCCTCCGCTGACCGACCGGTGGCGCGCAGATTTGGGAACGACCTACTCTTGCGTCGGTGTTCAGCGCGGCGGACGGGTGGAGATTATCGCCAACGACCAGGGTCACCGTATTACGCCTTCATGGGTTTCTTTCACGGAGGAGGAGCGACTGTGAGTAATAATTGACCGTCACACACGAGCATATACTCATCGTCCCTTGCAGTGTCGGAGACAGCGCGAAGAACGCGTTCCACTCGAACCCGGAGAACACCGTTTTCGACGCGAAGCGTCTTATTGGCCGCAAGTACGATGAGCCCGACGTCCAGCGTGACATGAAGCACTGGTAAGTTTTTTCATCGTACGTGGACCTCCCTCCGCTAACGCAGTCTCTGTCAGGCCGTTCAAGATCACACCAAGAGCGGGAAGCCGAATGTCCAGGTCAAGTTCAAGGGCGAGCTCCGCGAATTCGTGAGTAGTCCTGCATTTCCAGTTGTTGCGTTATCCTCAGCCCCGTCCCCAGAGCCCCGAGGAGATTTCTGCCATGGTCCTGGGCAAGATGAAGGAGACTGCCGAGGCCTACCTTGGTCAGACCGTCACCCACGCGGTTGTCACGGTTCCTGCCTACTTCAACGACGCCCAGCGTCAGGCAACCAAGGACGCTGGCACCATCGCCGGCCTCCAGGTTCTCCGTATCATCAACGAGCCCACCGCTGCCGCCATCGCCTACGGTCTCGACAAGAAGGGCGGCGAGTCTCAAATCATCGTCTACGATCTGGTGGTGGAACCTTCGATGTGTCCCTTCTCTCCATCGACGACGGCGTTTTTGAGGTGCTGGCTACTGCTGGTGACACCCACCTTGGCGGTGAGGACTTCGACAACCGGGTCATCGACTTCCTCGTGAAGCAGTACAAGAAGAAGACTGGTACCGATGTCACGGGCAACCTCCGCGCGCTCGGCAAGCTGAAGCGCGAGGTCGAGAAGGCCAAGCGGACGCTCTCTAGCCAGCAGTCGACCCGGATCGAGATCGAGTCTTTGAGAACGGCAACGACTTCTCGGAGACCCTCACCCGCGCCAAGTTCGAGGAGCTCAACATGGACCTTTTCCGCAAGACCATGAAGCCCGTCGAGCAGGTACTCAAGGACGCCAACCTCAAGAAGGAGGACATCGACGAGGTCGTCCTTGTCGGGGTTCGACTCGTATCCCCAAGGTCAGCAGCTCCTTAAGGAGTACTTCGGCAAGGAGCCCTCGAAGGGTATCAACCCCGACGAGGCCGTCGCGTACGGTGCCGCTGTCCAGGGTGGTATCCTCGCCGGTGACGAGTCGCTCGGTGACGTCGTCCTCGTCGATGTCAACGCCCTCACTCTCGGTATCGAGACTACCGGTGGTGTCATGACCAAGATCATCCCCCGCAACACCGTCATCCCTACTCGCAAGAGCCAGATGTGAGCCCTTCTTCGCTTATGTGTGCCCTTCGCGCTGACGGCGTTTCCAGCTTCTCCACTGCTGCCGACAACCAGCAGACCGTTCTGATCCAGGTCTTCGAGGGTGAACGTACCCTGACGAAGGACAACAACATCCTTGGCAAGTTCGAGCTCACCGGCATCCCCCCGTCTCCCCGCGGTGTCCCTCAGATTGAGGTTACTTTCGAGGTCGACGCCAACGGTATCATGAAGATCTCCGCCGCCGACAAGGGAACGTGAGTAGATTGTCTACTCTGCGTTGTGATACCGCGTTTGACGCCCCATTCACAGTGGCAAGTCGGAGTCAATCACCATTAAGAACGAGAAGGGTCGCCTGTCGCCCGAGGAGATCGAGCGCATGGTCAAGGAGGCTGAGGAGTTTGCCGCGGACGACGAGGCCCAGCGGAAGCGCATCGAGGCGCTCAACCACCTGTCGTCGTTCGTGTACGGTCTTAAGACGCAGCTCGCCGACGACGAGGGGCTCGGTGGCAAGCTTGACGACGACGACAAGAAGGCAATCCTCGCCTCGATCAAGGAGACGACGGAGTGGATCGACGAGAACGGGCAGACGGCGACCGCGGACGACCTCGAGGAGAAGCTCGCGGAGGTGCAGAGCGTCGTGAACCCGATCACGAGCAAGCTCTACTCCAGCGGCGGCGCGGGTGGGGCTGACGATGACGAGTTCGACCGCTCACACGACGAGCTGTGAGAGGCCATGACGACGCATTGGATGGGACTGATTATTACCTCGCCCCAAAATAATTATTGTACTGCCTTGTCATAGCATACTCCGCAATAGACTTAGGCCTCACGACACGCGAATATCTTGTGTGCTGTTCTGTTTCTCGCCACATGAAGCGTTCTGGAGATCTGCGACGCGCGTGGTCGTGATTCTGGGCGCTGCACGTCCTATGCCATGTGACCGCGCTCGCACTGGCATGAGGAATTGGACCCAATTCCGAATCGACCACCTGCAACGTTCTCATTCTTGGAGATCCGCGCGCATTGCATGGGTGAGAATGGCCGGATTCATGAAGGAACGTGCGCGGGCGACGACGGTACGTAGTATTCACAGCAAGCGAAAGAGGGGAGCGTGAATATATTAGGGTCCTGGTGATATTGCGATTATAAGGCAGACCTGAAGGTGAAGGCGTGCTAGAGATACACCATTGATACAGGAGGAGAGGGGAACGGAAATCCGATAAAATGGTTGTACAACAGGTGCGATCCAAACGGCCCAAGAAGGGAGACGAAGGGGATTGGAGAACGAACGAGCGGTCGTACGACGGCTGCCGGCGACAAGGGAAGGGCCGGGCGCGGGAGCCAGACGGAGCGCGGGCGGGCGCACGGGCTCACCGTGACGACACCTCGTCGTCGCTGTCGTACGAGAGCGCGTCGATAGCGATCATGCGCGCGGGCGCGAGGAAGCGGAGCGGGAGCGCACGGGGTGGCCCGCCGTCCTCGGACGAGTCGTCGCTGTCCGCGCCGCCGCTCTCGGGCGGCACGACGAGCACGAGGCGGAAGGCGTCCTTGCCGTTGAGGTAGAAGCGGAAGAGACGCTTTTCGCGCATGAACCCGAGAGACTCGTACAGCGACAGTGCCGCGGCGTTGTCGAACTCGGTCTCGAGCACGACCTGCGGGCGAACGAAGGGCGGGGCGTGTCAGCAGCGCACGGACGGGGGAGGGACGGGTACGTGGGGTTGGTACGGCACCTCTTCGACCCCGTGCTTCTTCATAATATCAATGCTACGACGAACGAGCGTGCTTGCTGGGAGAAGGATTATAACGTGGTGAGAACCGACCTATCTCCGAGCACGGGGATGGAGGGGTACTCACCGATACCACGCTTGCGCCAGTTCTTGTGGACGCTGAGCATGGCGATGTAGCCCTGTTCGCAACATCTCTATGCATGCTTTGCTTGCAAACGACGACACCCACCGGGTCAGACGACTGACTCGGGTAAGCCTATGAGCAGGAACAGCGGGAGGTCAGTATCTCGTTCATGGACGACGGTGCCCGCTTACAAGGAAGGCCAGATGTGGCCTGCATGTATGCCAAAGAGACAAAGAGGAGGCGGAGGAGGTCAGAAAGACAGTCACACGACAGATGCGGATGTGGGCGCACCATTGTTGCAGGAAGTACCGATAGGTGTAGATGACATACGGCTCGCTCAGTTCATGCTGAACGAGTGCCATGATATGAGGTAATTCAGACTCGCCGCTGTACTGTCGGTATACAATGGCGTCCATAGCAAAGCGAGCAATAATGGGGGGGAAGCGGCGCAGTTAGCGGGGTGGACGGGCGCGCGGCGAAGTGGGTGGGAGGAAGCAAGGCGAGGCCGCAGCGTGTCCCCAGGCGGCGCGTCTCCATACGCGCGGACGCGTGCGTGCCACAGCACGCGAAGCCGGCAGCGCGCTCCGGCCACCATCCTTGTTCTCCTCCTCCCTCCTCTCATGGCCTCCGTTTCGCGGCTACGGGCCGCGCTCGCGTCTGTGACGAGCAGTCAAGGCCTCCCCAATGGCGAACAGGAGTTCTTCGAGGAGCTCATGGCTCACCGGCAGTCCCTGATTGAGCTCTGTGTCGTCGGTCCGCGAAAACCTGAGGAGCAACGCGAGCTGGACTCAGGTCAGTACCTTCCAAATTTTCCCATTTATACGCGTCCCGATATTCCCGCAACAGGGAAAATCACGATAAACGGCCGTACGGTGGCTGTCAACGTAGACTTCGCCAAGCAGGCCGTGTTCATCTCCCAACAACTCGACTGCTCGGAGCGCTATGTCGCGAGCCTGCTCCAGGACGTCATGCACGCCAACCCAAATCTCAATCAGGTGCAACTCATTGAGGCGACGATCATGGAATACCACAAACGGCGTAGGGAGACGGCGGACTGTCTGGGCACCATCCTTCAAGCCGCAGAACGCGCGGAAACCGCGGACGCAACAACATTGTACCAGCGAATAGACATATTTGTCCGACAACAGCTCCTTCAGCCAGGAGGCGGGCTTTCGCTGGCGATGAAGGTCTTCCAGGAGATTCACAGCACCGGGAACGCCTTGAACAAGGCCCAGGTGGCGCGACAGAACGCGAAGAGCGACACCGTCCCTCCCAGTCAACGTGAGTCGATCTTCAGACCGTAGTGTCATTGCTCTCAACCCATGCCATGTTCTTGAAGCGAACGCGGGTCTCGGTGCGGACGTCCTCAATGCCCGGTGCGACTCGCTCAAGCACGAACGACGCGCCCTCGCGATCGTCCTCTTCTTGCTTGCGCGTATGGGGCATCTCGCCGCGAGTGAAATCCCAAAACTCGTCGAATGGCTCAACGCAAACCCGCGTCATGCGATGACCTTCTACGTTCTCCCCACTGTGTTGACCGCCTTCGACATGGTGGACCCAAATTCCGCCGGTGGCGCCGCGCGTAAGCTGCTTCTGAAGGACAAAACGCTCATGGATGGGATGAAGCGGCTGTTGGACGTCAAGAAGGAGTGGTCGGAACCTGGGCTCAAGGCAAGCATTCTCCTCAAATGGGCGCTGTTCCTCACCGCGGCACGCCGCGCAGACCCGGCTCTTGAGAACACTGATGGGTTCAAGTCCGACGACCTGGAGACGCATATATGGAACGCAGTGCAAGGCGACTGCTTCTCGTATCTCGCACGTATACTTGTCCTGTTCCTCCGGCGAGAGCAAGACCAGTCATGACCTCCTTCATCTCGTCGGCATTGGTCCTCTCGGAGCAGGACCTTCAGATGGAGCTGCCCCAAGACGACTTCAAGCCTGTTCTCCTCGACGCATGCGAGGAGCTTGTGCGCTCTCTTATCACCCAAGCTTCTTCCGAGCTCAGGAAGATCAAGCAGCGGCAGGAAGACCTACTCGCCGGCGCACGAGCGGACCGGTCAAGAATGTACCGTTCGACCACCCCTGGTCTCTCGCGCACAGAAGGGGATAGCAAACCTGCAGTATCTCCACGAAGCGACTTGGCCATGCTATTCTCCTTCATCGGCCTCCTGTACACAACACTCACCCCGGAGAAGGGACTACATTTCTGGGGAGCAGGAACCGTGGTCCCCGGGCAACGATCGTCATATCGCGAGTACGTCGAGTTGTCGTCGGGGAAGCTCTCCGCCTTCCTGCAATGGTCAATCTGGTCGACTCAAGCCCGCGACATCGACATGACAATGGCTCTCTTCGACATGCTCTCTGGACTTGCCACCGGCCAGCAGTGCAGCGAGTTGACCTACAACCATCTGGCGCGAGGGGCCGGTGACAGCCCCAGCGGCCCAGTCGCCTCAACCTCTACAGCAGCGCCTGTCTCTTGGACGTCGATATTCGGTCTTCTCGAGTCTTGGGCGTTGTCGGCTGCGCCCCAGCGACCCAACGCGCCTCCCAATCAGAGTTTCGCAGGGGCTCAGCAAGGGTTTGGTGCCACGCAGCACTGGCAATCGCAAGGACCTTCTCACAAGTCACAGCAGTTGCAGCTTTCCGCGCAAGACGTCCTGCTCGCGCAGTCTTTCCTCCGCCTCCTTTCCATTGTCGTCACCTACTGCATCCCCGCCCGCGCCAACCTCAGCCAGCACAGTCGCTACCGCGTCATCCCCACGATGGTGTCTCTCATCCCTCTCGGGCTTCCTCTCGAGCTGAAAGGCGCTGTCTTTGACACGCTCGCTGCGTTCTGCGCTCCGGGCGGATCCCACGTTGGCGTAGAGATCTGCAGGAGTGTCTGGCTACTCATGGAGAGATTGGAGGTTATCAACGTTCGCCTCGCACACGGCCCAGGAGCAGGACTTCCCGTCGGACGAGGCGTGGAGGTGGAACTCGAAGAAGTGGAGTCTGTCTACAAGCAGTACCCTTGCACCATTCCTTTCCTCAACCTCCTCGCCACCCTCATCCACACTCCGAAACGCATCCCCCTCCGCGAACGAGTGGCCGACCCTCCCTCCACAAACACCATCCCGGAATCGATGGGCGCGCCGTACAGAACTCCGGGCATTGGTCCATTCGTGGACTTCGTTGTCGACAACGTATTCGCACGGATACCTGCCAGGGAGTATCTTCGTCTGTCTGACAGATGGCGTATGAATGACCTGTGCCTCTGCTTTATCGAGCGCTGTCTTGCCAGCTTCGACCTTGAGTCTCTTGTTACTGGTATCGAGGAGCTCCAGCCCACCAAGGAAGCCGTTGTCCAACTTGCTATCCACCCTGGGTTTGAGACGATGCGCCGCATGCTCATCTCATCCCCGCTTCAAGTCGCGATCATCTCGTATTTGGCCGAAGGACTCGACGGCTTCGACAAGGGTCTCGCTCAGGAGGAGCCCTACTACCGGACGACGATTATCCGTGTCTTGAGGATTGTTCATCGGGTTCTCGAGATTCAAGACATCTTCCTTGACATCTTCCTGCCCCTTCTCTCCGAGCTCAACGAGCCCACTTTGGTTGGCGACATTCCGCCTGTCTCGTTCTTCATCAAGCTCGACCAGGCGCTCTCCTTCACTCCCGACTACATCCCTGCACTCGCCGCCTACATCACCTACTCCAACTACCCCGAACTGCAGCTCCTCTCCGTAAAGATCCTGACAATGCTCGCGTCATCTGCCACTCCTTCGCAACTCGCTGTGTTCATTGATCGCAGCAGCGAATCGCTTCGCATCCTTGAAGGTTATCTTCGGATTCTCGACAACAACGTGTCCGAGGACGTCGAAGTGGCAGAGGAGAATGCAGAGGAAACCACTGGCGCTGGTGCCGCAGATCCGGAGGGAGTGTCCGATGTCCTGGTACAAGCCATACGGCTGGCTGTTCTTGACCTCCTCATCCAGAACACGAACCCATCCCGGTCTTTCCCCAATATTGCCCATTTTTTGCTCTTCGGAAACGCCTCGTCAACCAGCCAGATCGAAGACCCGAACGCGCTCCAGGGACGACGCGCATGCGTGCACTCCATTCTCGATCTCCTCAACTTTGGTGTCCGTCGGTTAGGAGAACGCGACCAAGAGAACGTTCTCGGGCCACCTCTATTCCTCACCCTCCCGGCCTTCGCCGAGCGTTGCTACCACATCATCTACAACTTATGCCAGCACAAGCTGACATCGGAGTCGACCATGCGGTACCTGCGCACGAGGGAGCGCTTTTTCGCGCGTCACCTGGCAGCAATACCATTCAAGGTCCCTTCGAGCGAACAGCAACCCTTCATTGAGGTGGTGTACAACGATGGCACGCGGCTGGCAACAACCATTGCAACTATGGCTTCATTCCTCAAGCTTCGGTCGTGGATTCTGGACCTCGTCGCGTTGGACCTACATGTATCCACCAGTCGGACGGCGCACAAGAACGTCAATGATTTGCTGGAGCTCATGTTCGGGACCGAGGAGGACTCCATGGACGCGGGTGCTGAATGGGAGGTGGATGTCTTCAGGCCCTTCCGCGAAGTCGGCCAGTCTCATCTCCGCATGATTGAACTAGTGCAGTCCCTCGACTTCGACTGGTCGGACAGCCTGATCGTTCAGCCCCAGGAGCTCACCTTACTTGGCACCCTCAACCTGCAAACATGTCTCCGAGTAGACGAGTCTGGTTGCGAGGTTATCGATCGCACTGCACTCCTATCCCTCCTCACTCTCGCCAAGCGAACCCTTCACCAGCAAGGCCATGTCACCTTCCAAGCACATGTGGAAGCTCTCGAAGCCGAAGGCAACTACATCCTCGAAAGCTGCGCTATCGAGAACCACAGGCGGAAAGTTCGGCACGCGGTCGCAACATCCTACGAGTCGTGGCGGCGTCTGCTCGACATGGCGCTCACTAAGTGCTTCGACCGCCTCCCCTTCGACCGGCGCGAGAACATGCTCTTCGACCTCCTCCACGTCCTCCCCAACCTCCTCCGCTCACAGAACGTTGTGGAGTCCACCGCCATACTCCTCGCCGAGACCATTCTCACCACGATCACGAAGCTTCGGGAAGACCGTCGACAGCAGGTCCTCATGCAGGCCGCAGCCGGCGACGTCGACGCGGGCGCACTGCCCGCGGAACGTCTCTCCATCCTTCTCCGGAGCATGCTCGACTGCATCACGGACCACAACCGCATCGAGTTGGTCCGGGGAAACCTGTACGCCGCGGTCGTGAACTACATCCACCTCATCATCCACGCCGAGGCCGCGGATAAGCCTGAGGAGAGCAACGGCTTCCACGATCTTGGGTCGTCGGTCATGTCCCCGACCGAGCTCGCGTTCAGCGACAGCTCCATGCAAGCATCGTCGATGCAGCTCGGACGACCGTCGGGCCGCGCTTCGCTCACCGCGACGAGCCTCGGAATCCTCAAGCCTGCGACGGAGCGCCTTGTCGCCATCGTTGCCCGCGACGCTATCGACGGCACGGAGGTGTGGAAGACGGTCGCGTTCATGCTCCTCGATTCCCTCGTCCGATTGTCAAAGTGGGAGAAGCACCCGACGTCGCTTACTTCTCTCGCGCGGCACGGGTTTCTGGGCGGGTTCGTGCGGGGTCTCAAGGAGGCGGACTTGCAGCTGCAGAATGTGCTGAAGCCAGAGCCTGGTACATTCGTCCTGCCATAGTCGACAAATGCATATCTAATATCACCTTCTGCGCAGATGATCTCAACTCCCTGTACATATACGAGTCGAAGATGTCCCTTCTCGTTAGGATGGCACAGACAAGACAAGGGGCCGAACGACTTCTGGAGGCGCGCGTCCTGCCCATCCTTGCAGACTGCGAGTATCTGGACACCCGACCAGAGACCGATCAGGCTTTCCTTGGTGGGTACAGCCAATGTTCTTATACGAGACTGAATGCTTACATTTATTGCAGACAGGGACGGATTCCTGCCTTCGGCAGTGCAGCGCTATCACCAGCTCTTCCTACCAGCGCTTCAGCTTGCTGCCGGCATGCTTGTGACGCTAGGCGAGAGGCATACTACAGCAGCGAACCAGGTAAGATGGCTCATATATTTCCTGGTGTGTTTTCTGACTGTTCGTAGGCTCTGCAATTCCTATCGATGCATCGAGACACCGCCGTCCTCCTGCTCAAGAACGACGCCGACGAGCTCTCTCTGTCAGTAATCGAGGAGCTGCGTTTGTTGGTGTTGTTGTGCAGCAATGTTGTCCACTTGGTTCCAAGGGCGGAGCTTGTGAGTTCTCCCGAAACGCCTGACCGCGACACTATCTGATTTCTTGTAGCTTTCCAGTTCAGGGTTTGGCACATTGCATGGTGCAATCATGGCTCTCGCGGCGACCTGCATGACAGACTCTTACTGGTCTGAACGAGTGAAACCTCAGACCGACGCCGAAATCGTGGACGCCCAGACACAATCACACGGTATGTCTCGCACCATTGTGATTTGAGTCATTGCTTACCCGCTGTCCAGAAGGTGGCCCGGAGTCAAAATTCCGTGCGGCATTATCAGTGAAGGAAATCAAGCTGAAACATACACTGATCTCGTACGCGTGCACCGCCAGTGGCTGCTCCGAGACAGACTTCACCCTCATCCTATCCCCATCGTTCACGACACCAAAACAGGAGCAACGTCCAGTTCGCTTTGTCGGTTTGTTACTCTCTTTGTACTACTCTCACTACTTCGCAGCTGACGCTCCACCGCAGCCACCGTTCCTACAGTGGGTGACGCCGTCGACTTCATCGGGGACATGTGCAGCGACCTGTCTGGTGTCCTCCTTCGGATTGCCGACCTCTCTGCTGAGCTCGCGTCGCCAGACGCCATTCGGGTAGATAACATCCATGATGTAAGTCGTTGTGCCATTCCCCGATCCGCTGAGGTCTGACCCCCCGCTTCAGGTCGTACACGTCTCCGACGCATCCCTGCTCGACAACCTCGACATGCGCCAGCGCCAGAACATCGTCGCCCGCGAGCTCGTGCAGTGGCGCACCCGCGCGAAGAGGCGCGCGCAGACCATTCTCGGTCCGTCATCTCTCTGCCCTTGTGCGCCTGGCCGTTCGCTCCTCTGACGCCTCCCCATAGACTCGATCGAGATGCTCACGCTGCTCGTCTGGCGCCACCTCGGCTTCTACCTCGACGGCAAGCACGTTGACAATCCCGACCTGAAGGGCGCCCTCGCACACACGCTCCGCCTCGCGTCCGCGCCGCCGCCGGACGTGCTCCGCGCCGACGCCGAACGCAAGCTCGCGCCCATGCTGGAAGCCCTCACTGCGCTTGACCTCGTGAGTCGCCTTCCTTCATTCCCTCGCGTGCTGTGATTTTGACGTTGCCTGCAGAACGAGTACACGCTCGGCCCCGAGTGGCGCTCATACGAGTCGTACAGGACACTCATCGTCCAGCGGCTCGCGGACCTCGCGGGGCTCGAACCAATGGAGGAGGAGCGGATGCCACAGAAAAGCACGATGATGCTCGATTACTGAGGTCTGCGGTCGCAGCCGCAGCCGACCCACAGTGACCCGGACCGAGGGCGCATAGTGCAGAGTGCATGGTGCATGTGAATATGCTTTGTTTATGTTTTGTCTGTTTTGAACGTTCGCAACAAGTCCTCAAGTGTACTAAATACCTACGATCCGTAATGGACAGATCACTGCCCAACCAACTATGCGTCCGTCCGTAACAGTGAGACTCGCAGCGCGGCGTCGGCGTGTGAAGCTCGCTCGTCGATTCAGCCTCGTCTTCTCCTTGGCGTGCGGTTCGCCAGCCACACGCGTCTCAGTCCAGCGGGCGATAGAAAAAGGCGCGAAATGAGCGATAAAGGTATCGAAAGCAATCAGCAGTACAGTACAAAGCGCGGTGCGTACGACGGTCAGATCGGGAGAAGACTGCCGGCGCCGCGGAGGGCCATCTGGCCGCCGAAGCGGAGGGTCTGGATGCCGCCGGGGAAGTACGCGAGCACGTACGAGACGAGCGCGATGACCTGGACGATCGCGCCGAGGAGCGAGCCGAGGTAGGAGTGCGCCTGCGTGCGGGGTGAGGCTCGGGGACGAGAGCGGACTGGGGGGGACGCGCGACGCACCCCGAGGGAGAAGTAGAGGGTAAGGGCGAGCGAGGCGATGTACGCGATGGAGAACGGCAGTCGCTCCTTGGACAAGAGGTGCTTGAGGTGGTTTAATGGCCCGATGAGCACCGAGAACCTGGCCGCGCGTGCGCCGCTCAGCGTGCTGACGTCAACGAGGTACGCGAGACGGCTTACCCGAACATCACGAGAAGGCTCCCCAGACTGTTGCGCGGGACCCAAGGGAGCGCGGTGAGCGCGCGAGCGGGGGAGGTGGGGTCCATGGAGCACGCACCTGAAGGCGAGAGCGAATTTTGCGGGGCGGAGGGCGATGAAGGGGACGGTCAAGAACGCGACGAAGAAGCATACGGCCGCCCCGATTAAGCACGCCCCAAAGCCCAGTAGCCTGTCCAGCGTCCCGCCATCCGTGCAGACAACAATGTTGGGCGTGTGAGGTGACGCAGGGAAATTAAACGTGCCCAGCGGTCAGCCTTGTCCAACGTGGGGGCGCTCCAATAGTGAAGAGCCCTGGGTGACAGTGGACGCACCTCTCCCATCTCGACAGCGCGAAATACGCCTCCTCCTCGTTAGACCGCTCCTCAGAACGTAGGGGTATGTAGCCGTTTCCAATCGCATTGTAGAAGCGCGAGAAGGGATTCGCGCCTCCCTGGGTGCCCTGGAGGTTCTGGGCTTGCCGCGAGTCGTCCGTGGTGCCGCGCGCCCAGCGAAACTGCGAGAGGCTGTCGCGGAAAGACTGTTCTGACGACATCGTGTAGGAAAGTGGGGTGGAGGGTGGAGAAGCGAGAGAGAGAGGTGAAGGGAAGGGAGGAACTAGTGCCAGAGGCTGGAAGGAGGGAGAGCGCAGCGGACTGCGACGCTGGAATGCCGCGGGCCGCGTCGAAGCCCAAGAATGGCAACCGAAGCGCTGGCCACGGCAACCTCGCGGGGTGTCGGCCCGCTTCTCCTCCTCCCTCCTCCTGTTCCATTCACTGCCGACCGTCTGGGGACTCAGAACGCTCAGCACAGGATGAGCGTAACAACGACGGAATGTCTCTCTTCCGCCAACGACCTTCTGGCTGCGCATAGCGCCCTCGTCTCCCGTATACGCCAAACCCAACAGACATACCGACGTCACCTGAAAGCTCTCCCTTCCCCACCAACGGAGCTCCTCAAGCTCCCCACCATCCCATCACCCCCACGATCACCATCTCCGTCACCACCCTCGTCTCCCCTAATCTCGTCTCCGACAAGGCCCCAACGACCGGATCTGCCGCCTGCGAAACGCGCGCGCGTTGCGCGGTACCACAACTATGTCCCGGAAGAGGAGACAATCCGGAACGACTACTCTCAAAGATATGTTGACGGCGGGGAGTGGCCACAGAACTGGGTGCTGGGTGCAGATCCGGAGCATCGTTTTGAAGAGTGAGTGTCTGGTTCACGCGTTCACGGAGGTGTAGACGCGTCCTCAACGGTGCTCGCGTGATAGGTACCCCAAGCAGCAGAGATTACTCGCTTTGAAAAAGGCGCAGGTCGCTGCTCATACCATCCCGCCGACATTCCTCCCCTACTCCCAGCTGTCGTCGCTGCAAGGCGCCAAGTTCGACGTCATCCTCATCGACCCCCCGTTCTCGTCGTCGTTCTCGTGGGACACTCTACAAGACCTCCCAATACCTGCCCTCTCTGCAGACCCTTCTTTCGTGTTGATGTGGGTGGGCAGCGGGTCGGGAGAAGGGTTGGAGCGCGGACGCGAAGTCATGGCCAAGTGGGGCTTCCGGAGGTGCGAGGACATCGTCTGGGTGAAGACGAATAAGACAAGTAACGAGGGACCTGGGGTTCGTCCGTCCTCTGTTCACAATTTCGCCCCGTCTGACCGCATGTATGCGCATAGATGGATCCACCCACGACTTCGCTTCTCACACGGACGAAGCAACACTGTCTCATGGGCATCCGTGGTACCGTTCGGCGATCCACAGACAGCTGGTTTGTCCACTGCAACGTCGGTACGTTTCTCAGCCTGCTTTACGCTTATCCTAGAGCTTCCTTTCATGACGTCTCCAGACACCGACGTCCTCATCTGGGAAGGCGACCCGTCCGACCCAACCCTCAAGCCCCCAGAGATGTACACGCTCATCGAGAACTTTTGCCTCGGCCTCCGCCGCCTCGAGATCTTTGGCCGCGCGCGAACCGCCCGCCGCGGCTGGGTCACCGCGCTCTCTGAGGGTGAGGAAGACCGGATCGAGGAGGGCATGTCCCTCGGCGACGACGACGGCGCGCAGGACGGCGCGATGCGCTGGGACAAGGACCGCTGGGAAGCGCGCATCAAGGAGCTCGTCGAGGGCCCCAAGCTCGTCGTGCCCATCACCCCCGGTGCGCTCCCTCTTCCCGCCCCCCTCCGCACATCGCTGACGCGCGCACGCAGACATCGACGCCCTCCGGCCAAAGTCCCCCGTGCGCGGCGGGTCCGCGAACCAGAGCTCGGGCATGAACCCGCCCATGGGCGGCGGCTCGCCTATGCAGGCCGCCGCGAACATGGGCCCGTCCGGCCCGCGTGGGGGCATGGGCCCGCGAGGGGGCGGGATGATGGGTCCCCCGATGGTGCCCATGAACGGCATGGCGGTCGGGCACGGGCCGGACATGGGTATGGGCGGGATGGGCCCCGGCATGATGGGCTGGGGTCCGGACATGGGCATGCACGGGCTCGGGATCACCGTCGGCGGGATGAACATGCCCACGATGGGTGGAATAAATGGCATGGGCGGGATGAACGTCGGGGGGATGGGCGGGATGGGCGGAATGGGTGGGATGAACACGATGGGGATGAGGATGGGAGGGATGGGCGGCGGGATGGGCGGACAGCAGGGGATGGGTGGACAGCAAGGGATGGGCGGAGGCGGGCGATTCGGACACGGACACGGGGCTACGCAGGGAGGCTTCGACGGGGGGATGGGGATGGGCTTCATGGGCGGCGGGGAGAACCAGTTCATGGACGGGAGTGGGGGAGGAATGTGGGACGGGAGCATGGGGGAGGGCATGATGCCCATGAACGGTATGAACGGGATGAACGGGATGAACGGGATGAACGGTGGGATGGGGAGCCAGCTGGGCTCGATCCGCATGGGCATGAACAGCGCGATGGGCCCGAACATGATGCACGGGATGGGCATGGGACAGGGCATGGGACAGTGGAATGGAGACGCTTTCGACGGCGGATACAACGGATGAGACGGACTCGAGGACGCATTGTCGATTGGATGCGCCACCACGCTGTATACGCTTTGCTTTGCTCATGTATTGCTATTCTTGTACGCCGGGCGGACTCCACAGGCACATACACTAGGTTTCAACAGTTGCTCGCATGCGGACTGGTTGAGCAAATAGTCGTGGTACACAGCTACACTACGGTCAATAAAGACCCTTCAGGTTGCCTTTGCCGCCTCCCTATCAGCGACCAGCTTCTTGGCCGTCGGCAACGCCTTCATCTTCTCATGCCACCTGCGCACCCAACTCGTCAGAAATGTAAGCTTCACTTGTGAACACAAATCAAGACTCACGCATGTACCGCCGGGAACTGCTTCTCAAAGTCGACCTCACCGTCGGGGTGGCCTTCTAACACATTTAACGCCAACATCGCGTCGTTCCAGTGGAAGAACGCAAGGTCTGCTGCGGTCATCCGCCCCGCGACGAGCCAGCCGCCCGGGCTTTGGGCGAGCACCCCGTCGAGCACGCCCCACACGCGCACGATCTCGCGCTGGTAGCGCGCAATCGCGGTAGGGAGCTTCTCTCCGGGATGATTGCGCAGGAAGTGGAACGCCTGGCCAAAGTACGGGCTGTGTAGCGGGGTTTCAGATAGGCGAAGGAAGAGGAGACAGGTAGACCCACCCTTGGCCCGAAGCCTGGAAGAAGAGCCACTTGATGAGGTCGTACTTGTCCGTCTCAGCGGTCACGGAGAGCTTGTGCGCGGGGTCGTACTTGTTGATCAGGTAGAGGATGATCGCGTCCGACTCCCAGAGGACGTAGTCGCCGTTGTGGTGGTCGATGAGGGTCGGGATGCGCCCGTTGGGGTTGAAGCGCGTGTGGTCCGGGCTCTTCTGCTCGTTCTTGGCGAGGTCGAGGTAGATGGGGTGGTAGGCGAGCCCGAGCTCCTCGAGCACGAAGGCGACTTTCCTGTGGGGACGTGGAGTCAACCAAGCGTTCGTGAACGTGATACGACTGCACGTGTACGTACCATCCATTGGGGCCTCCGCCAGCGTGGGAGTAGAGAGTGAACTGCTTTCCGTGAGACATCGGGGGCAAGTATGAGAGGATGTGGGGAGGGAGCTCAACTGAACATGCTTTATACTCTAGCAGTACGCAGTACGTTCGGGGACCGATCGGCCTCTGACCAAGCTGCCACGCATAGAGGTCGACTATGGTGAGTCAGATAATTTCTGGAATATCGGAATGACTCTTCTCTGGCAAACCTTGGGGGCTGGGGCTTCAATGCGAACGCCCGGCACTCGGCGCTCCGCTGTTCATCGAGGGAACAAGGATTCGTCTGGGATGGCGCGATAACCAGGCAAGGTGCCCTGCACTGCCATGATGCGACGCCGGGCTTCCCACTCAATTGCAACTTGACCGACGCAAGGCCAATCTGGGGAGCGACCTTGCAACCCGCGGTCCCAACGTTGACGCCGCCACTGGTCAGATGTCAGCATGTTCATGGCGGTTAATGTCGATTCTCGAAGCTTGACACGTACGCAATTGCTTGGTCAGGATTCTGTGCAGATCCTTAGTAATGCTGTACCATCAACTATTTCAATCCTTCTGAGAGCGATTTGTGTGTTGGAGGCAAGTTGGAGGCCATCGGAGCATCGTGGACCCCAACGGAAGCGAAGCGCCACGTGTTGATCGGCCACTCAGCCCAGACGGGCGGAGCAAGTTGCCGGCCGGACAGACGCCCAGAAGTCACTCTCTCCCTAACCACTACCATGCCTCCGGGCCCCAAGAAGGGCTCCGCCTACGCCAAGCGTGCGTACATGCGCGTACGAAAGCTGCAGGTGCTTAAGTTTGTTTCAGGTAATAACGCTGCCACTGTGGCGCCTTTAGGTAAGCACCAGTCAGCCGAACAATACCTTGTTGGATTCCTGACCACCCTTCAGAGGCCGACTCGGATTCAGATTTCAACCCAGGTGCATACGAGCCGGAACCAGCCAATAACAAGAGGTCGAGGAAGCCGGGCGCATCTGGTGAGCCCCCTTCAAAGAGGCGTCGCAAGGATATCCTTCACGACATAGGTCGTTCGAGTTCTGCCCATCGTAGGCGACAGAGTAAGTTCGACATAACGTCCATTTTATGCGTGCTAAAAACAGGAAGGCTCTGAGGAAGACTCGAGAGAAGCGGTACCGCTCCAGCGGAATCTGCTCGCTCAGTACTTCGGTGAGGATGTCGCTGACTATCGGATGCTTTAGGGGCGCTTAGTCTTGCATTTCAGGGGATCTCGGCATAATGCCGCCTGAAGAGAGCGAACCAGAAGCGGATGATGAAGTTGAGGAAGAGGAAGAGGAAGAGGAAGAGGACGAAGAGCGTAGTGATGATGACGCTGCTCCACCAGCGCGTCGGCAACCGCCGGTGGCTACTGAGCCCGTCATTATGGCGAATACAAAGACACCGACGCCACTAGAAGAGTCGGAAACTGGTGCGATTTGTTATTGACGTGGCAAATGCCGTTTTTGACATCCCATAGAATACGAGTCCGACGAGCGCTTACAGGCAGCTACAGCCATTCTACCGACCGAGCAGACTTCCCCTCCAAGCCGGCCACAAGCCGACCCGGAGGATTCAATCACCGAACCCGAACCAGAAGAGGAGGATTGGATAGATCCATCAACGCCTTCGCACTTCAACATACCCAAGACAGGTGGGTCATCTCCACTTTACCCGTTCTGCTGTTCTTTCTGATGGATTTCGTCAAGTCACTCGTTCTACGCCACGCAAACCGCCACCAAAGAAGTCCACCAAAGCCCCGCTAAGTTATGACACGGGATCGGACACGGAGCCTGAGTCTGATAGCTCAGAAGATGATGAGGTAATTAGTCAACTTGATCCGTACAACTCGGGCTAAAGTGTATGGATGCAGTTCTCGCAGCCGCGCCCTCAATTTCCTCTAAAAGAGGGGCAGGAGGTCCTAGGCCCATTGCTTCTCGACAGTCAGCACAAAGTACCTAGGCGCATCAACACGTTCTTACGTGAGTACCAGCGAGAAGGCATTCGATTCTTTTGGGACAGGTACCAGGAAGGCAGGGGTGGGCTTCTAGGTGACGACATGGGACTAGTGCGCGCATCTCATCTAGTCCTTTGCAGAGTGCTGATACCTTCTCCCCCACAGGGTAAAACGATTCAGGTCATCGCCTTCCTCTCTGCAATTATGAAGAAGCAGGGCACCGTCTACGATCTCTCTCGGCGTCGACAGCACGTTTCTAATCTACAAGATAAGCCAGACTGGAAGAAGCATCGTCGCCTTCCCAAGGCAAACGCGAAGTGGCCTACATGTCTAATTATATCACCGAGCAGCGTCGTGGGCAACTGGGAGCGCGAGTTCGAAACCGTATGAGCGTTGCTTCTCGACCCTGTGTTTCCCGCTGACTCTGCTACAGTGGGGATATTTCGAGGCGGGAATGTACATTGGTATTCCCTCGTCTCGCGCTGACATCTTGAACGAATTCAAGCTAGGCCGCCTTGACGTCTGTGAGTTTTCCAACATTTAAGCGCTCCTCGAATGTGCTTTAATTTCATCTCTCAGTGGTCACGTCGTTCGACGTGGCTCGCATGGATATCGAGCTTCTCGACGACCTCCCTTGGTCCGTGATCTTTATCGACGAGGTGCACCGAGTCAAGAACCCCACTTCCAAGCTCGCCGAGGCGTTCAGCAAGTTCAAATGCTCTTGTAGGTTTGGGCTGAGCGGTACCGTCATTCAGAACGGCTACGAAGAACTCTGGACCGTGCTCAACTGGACAAACCCTGGAGCCGCGGGGTCACGGAAGCAATGGAAGAGCTTCGTCGAGCATCCATTGCGCGTGGGCCAGAGTCGTTCTGCGACGGACGACCAGCACATCAGAGCAGCTGTACGTTATCTCTGCAAACTTCGGGTTCGATACACTGATTGCCTGCTTCAGCTTGTTGCGAAGACGTTGACGGAGAAGATTCTCCCGCAGCTCTTTCTGAGGCGTACCAAGGACATCATCAAGAACCAGCTCCCCACAAAGACAGATCAAGTCGTTTTCTGTCCTCTGACTTCGAAGCAACTCGAAGTGTACAAGAGGATCATCAATCTACCGCAGGTGTTGAGCCTTGTCTGCGGCGATCGCGCGTGCGAGTGCGGTTCCAAGAAGGCCAGAAAGAAATGCTGCCATCCTGTTCATCCGGGCGACCTGTTCAAGTACATGTCTACACTCATCAAGATTTCCAACCATCTCGTGCTGATCTTGCCAGGTTTTTCTTCTCTGTCTTCCATACCTTGACCTATCTCTAACCATGAGCTTATGATAGCGCCTACGGATACCACGGATCAGGTGAGGCTCCTCATCCAATCATCACTTGACGGGCGTTCTGACGTGACTTAGATCGCACGAAATCGAGAGCTTTCCAAGACGGCTTTCCCATCAGAAGTCATCCCTAAGTACGGCCCCGCGATGCTGCGTCCAGAGTATTGTGGGAAGTGGCAGGTCCTTGACATGCTCCTGAAGGAGTGGAGACAAGATGTGTCGAACGAGATGTCGAACAAGGTCCTGATCTTCACCAAGTCCGTCAAGCTTTTGGAAATGCTTGCTTATCACCTCGAAGCACAATGTGCGTTGCGAGGACTATTTCAGGTGGTCATGTACTCATGGATCGTCATCAGCGTACGGCTTCGTAAAGCTGGATGGGTCAACGAAGCAGTCGGATCGTAAGCAGAACTCGTAAATCCATGTGCTTCGTGGCTAACAAGATTATTCAGGTATGCCGATGATCGACCGTTTCCAGCAAGACCCAAAAATCTTCATCTTCCTCATCTCGACCATGGCTGGTGGGACAGGTCTGAACCTCACCGCGGCAAACAAAGTTGTTATCTTTGGTGAGTTCGTTTACGCTCGCACTCACGGAACTCGCTCACCTCAATCGTTCTTAGATCCCAATTGGAGTGAGTTTCGAACCACTTTGCCCCCCCTCTCTTTCGGCTGACCATCACGACCAGACCCGGCGCACGACCTGCAAGCCATGGACCGCGCATATCGCTTCGGGCAAACGCGCGACGTCGCCGTCTACCGCCTGCTCGGCGCGGGCTCGATCGAGGAGCTCATCTACGCCCGGCAGGTGTACAAGCAGCAGCAGATGCAGGTCGGCTACAACGCCAGCCTCCAGACGCGCTACTTCGAGGGCGTCCAGGGCGACAAGAGCAAGCAGGGAGAGCTCTTCGGGATCAAGAACATCTTCAAGCTCCACGAGCGCACGCTCGCAACCAAGCTCGCGGTGCGTCCCTCAGTCATCGCGCTCCTGTCCACGCACGCTGACGCTCGGATGCAAACAGATCGAGTCCGCGAACGTCAGCGACCTCGACTGGGCCTTCGCCTACATGGGCGCGCACGGCGGCGCCGGAGCCGGGGCAACGGCGAAGCGCGCGAAGGCGAAGAAGCCCGCGGGCGTCCAATGGGTGTACGAGGAGGAGGCGAAAACCGGGCGCGAGTACGACGACCTGCGCGGGCTCGGCGCGCTCCTATTTGACGACTCTGCGCCCGACGCGGCGGGGGCGCACGAGCCGGACGACATCGAGCGGACGCTGGGGGCGCTCGGGGTGCAGTACACGCACCGGAACGACGACCTGATCGCGGAGAACGCGATCGAGGGCGAGCGGATGCGCAAGCTCATCGAGGTGAGCGCCCTCCGCGCGTTTTTTGGCGGAATGTTGGACTGACTGAGGATGCAGGACCACAAGAAGAAGCTGAAGCAGCAGAAGCAGCAGAAACTCAAGGGGAAGAACCCGCCGCCGCCGTCGGTGTGGCCGCCCGTTCGCAAGCACCACAAGAAGCCGCCGACACCCGAGGAGCTGTCAGTCGTTGTTTTGTGTCTTTCTGTTGATCATGCTGATATCGAGCTACTCTGTGTAGCTTGCGCATCCGTCAGACGGCGCTCATCAAGCAAGGGATGCTGCCAAGCCCGGAGGACATCCCGAAATTTGCTGAAGAGTTGTAAGTACTAGGAGGCTCTCATCCTCGAAAGATTGCTCTGACACAAGTGCGCATGCTATTTCAGCAAGAAGAAAACGCAGGAGGAGCAAATCGCGCTACTGAAACAACTAGACGACTATGCGAAAGAGCACAATCTCAAATAGAGCGCGTGCATATGACCGGAACCTGGATCGTCGTTTTGAACATGTTTATCAGTACTTATGCTGTGTATAAAGCGCTCTGTGCTCGGATATACTGGTCTCTGTACATGTGGTTGAGGTTGGAGATGAGTTCAAAAGACATTGGCACCACTTATGAATTATGAACGCAGAGCGCGGAAGCGAAAATAGACGACTGCGCGCCTAGGCTCGGACCGAGCACCGACAACCTAGACCTGCCCTGAATCTCACACAACTTCGCACGGTTGGGGGATATAAACGCGACGGGCGCCATCGTCGGCTTGCTTCGTGCGGCGTCACGGCCATCCTTTTCCCCATGTTGCTCATGACTGCCCTCCCCCACGCGGTTGTTCGAGTGTCAGGCCGTGTCCAGATCAACCGGACGTCTCAGCGCCCGAGTGTCCTCTCCGCCCTTCTTTCGCGTGGAGAGGACGGGACGGTGGTTCTGTACAATTCCTTCCTTTGGATGCAAGTACAAGTACAAGTGTCATTACGTCTATCGCAGCAATACAATGCGTTCCACACCAGTTGTTCTGGAACGAGAGGTGCAAACGCCGGGTCACCGAGGCTTGAAGCAAAGTCATGGCTGCGCAGACTCAGTCAGTGAGAAATTTTCTGTGGCATTCCGAGGCTCAAAGAACGGACTGCTGACGACAGCTTGGCCCGGTACGCAGCACATGGTGTGACCTAAAGTGGTTTTTGAGTGTTGTCTGAAGGGAGAGCGCTGATCTAGACCCTTGTCGATGCGCTGGACATTATGGCGAGGCGTGGCCGGCCGGCTCCTGCGTTAGCTTCCCAGTCTGTCAGAGCTGCGAAGCTCTCACTGGCTGCGGCCCACTCTGTGATTGGCTGTTGCGGCTACCGGTGACTCGCCGCACTAACAACCATGGCCAGAACGTCATAGACAAGGGGCAGTGATCCGCAAGCAGCAATTATCAATCAAGCTCTACCTGGCCAGACCGAAGGAAACCGAGAGAGAGCGGAGGCCACACACCTTACCAGTGCCCGAGGTCTAGAACATGTTCGCCTGTACGTCATAATATCTCTTTCCCCAATTTGTCTACTGTGTGTTAACTAAATCATGTGTACTGTGTTCGGCGCCGAATAGCGTGAACAAGTTTGTAGAGCACTTCGTTGCCGAAAAAATGCACAGATTCGTGCGTATTGTCGTTGGAGTCGTCGGTGTTGATTTTTGCGACTTTACGGCTGCTACCAAACCCGCGACCCTGAACAGGTGCCGGAAGGGATTCGCTTCTAGGCACACTCGCAAACCTGTTCTTGGACGGAAACCAAGGGGCTCAAACCACATCGTGCGGCTGGGTCTAGACAGTTGGTGGGCAGACCAATGAAATGCTGGGTCCGAGCTGATACGGATGCACGGTCTAGACCTTTGGGGCGGACGAGACCCTTGCGCGCGTTACCATTGGTCGCCCGCGTCCTGTGCACGGTATGCGCGAATGTCAACAAACGGTGGGTCTTGTGCCCCGCGGCAACGTCAACGTTCTAGGCTCCTGCTCCTGCGGATGGCAGGTGCCTTATTCCCCCGCACTTGTCGCCATTTGATAGAGTATTTGGAGCGGTAAGTCGTGTCTCATCCCCAGTATCTGTTGACATTTTGGCGGGATTGCTGACGCTACTTCTGTCACGCAGTTTGTCACTATCGACGGACAGAAACCGACTCTTGCGCCGGCGGACTTGTTCGCTCCTCATGGATGGAAGTCCAGTCTGGCAACTTCACTCCCATTGGTTGCCGATACATATTCTAGATTGGCAGGTCTAGCCCGGCCTCCGAGGATAAGACGTAACGCCCGTGACAACTGCTTTCCGCAACGTCTCGGTCTACCCAACGGCAAAACGTGTCTTGATTCGAGCCCGTCAACGCTGCGCGGAGGAAGACTGCTGCGCTACAACACCGCGTCTCGACGAAGGGAACGCCCTGGTGAGCAGCAGTCGGTTAGCTTATGTATTTTGTGTATTTTGTTAACCATATTTGATGAATGCGCTGCTCGAAGTAGACTTGCAGTGCAAGTGGCTGGGCATTCCAGAAGTTCTATGTCCGGCATGCTATATAACCCCTCAAGGCCTCACAGTGCGCGACTACTCTCGTTGTTGATCCCGAGCCTCCACCATGTCGACTTGTACCACCGCGCAGACGACTTCTACTCCCACCCCATCGTACGCAGATTTGTGTGCGACTCCTCTTCAACCTGGTGTCGCGATCACAGTGTCCAGTGAGTGTCTCTTACACGGTGACCATCTCTTCCACGCTAATCACATCCACTCTCATGGGAGTCACCCTCTCCATCGCGTTCGCCTTGATCTTCTTCCTTCGCTACAACCAGCGCTTTGGTTGGCCTGCCACCCTAGTCATCCGCAAGGCGTTCCGGACCCAGTCCACGGCCGTTCTCCCCACCACGGTCCGCTACCCTGACAGGCGTGCTCGGAGCAACACACTCTCCCGCATCCCACTCTTCATCGCCATCCCCTACCCTTCCTCCCAAGGACTGTCGGCGAGCACGGTGGACCTGGAGTTAGCGGGAGATGTCGCCAGTCCGACCAGCACGGTCGTCGAGCCCTCCTCCTCTGCCGTTACCCTCTCGGACGCAGATGGCCTCAACACCGCAACGCCCATCTCTCCCATCGCAGTCCCCATCGCCGCCGTTGTGACGCACTGAACGGCCTCCAATTTCGCATCCTTCCCGCCGCGTACGTCGCCACTTACATGCGCTGTACCGCGGAATGCTTACGTGCGCGACACGCAGTCTCTGCTCCCCTCATATCCCCCAGGCTCCAAACGAAGAGGGGAGATAAGAGAGTGACCCGAAGGAGAAGGGAGCGGGATACTCACCCATGGTCGGCGTCGACCCGCTGCACCCATCGCCGAACATGCCTCTGACTCGCTCTCGGACCATCCGTCCATCCTTTCTATACCCCTCCCCGTACCGCCCCATCGTTTTGCTCTGACCGCTCTCCACGTCTCGCCCACCGCATGTCCATGCTCTCCGTTCCGCGATGCCCCTTAGAACCCTACGAACCCTGCACCCCCCTCCAAATTTCCCCGTCTCGCACAGCTCCCTGTATGCCGTTTACCGCAAAGAAGCCACGTTCATGATACCCAGCCTTCCATCCAGACGTCCGCGCTCACACGCCCACCGCCCGCGCGCCACCGCCGACGACACCCCCCGCGCGAAGACGGGCCTCGAGCACGCGTGCCCGCCCGCAGATAGGACCCGCCTGTGCCGGGCCGACACGCGGCGGCTTCTCGCTGACGGCGATGTGGTCCAGCTGACGGTCGTACCTGTGCCCGGGCTCTCCTGCGCGAGGACGAGGCGGGGCAGGCGGTGGTCTCTGGACACTGAGCAGCGGAGGCGGTGTGCATGCGCAAGGCGTCGGCTGCCGCGGTGGGCGAGGGACGCAGGGTGAGCGCGATTGGACCCCGCGCGGCTGCCTTGAGGTCATCAAAATCAGCGCCGCTTTGGCTCCGACTTGAAGGGCGTCGGGAGCTTTTGCATATGAAAAGCACAAATGCACAACTGAAATTCCTCTCGCTTTCAAATTCCAACACTGACGCGTCGTCGCCGAGGCGTACGCCATTTGTCTCCTCTTCCGGCTACTCTGTCGTGTATTCGTCACTTCCATCATTCCCCATCATCCCCACTACTGGCCTCCACACTCTCATCGCTACCGTCTTCATCGTCGTCCTCGTCCCCCTCGTCGAACACCACCCCAGGAAACTCCTCCCCGTCCGGCACCCGCCCCAGCTCGAGCGCGAGCCAGTTCGTGCCCGCCGCGTCCAGCCAGCGCACGACCGCGGTGACGTGCAGCATCCCGTACCCGTCCTCGAACCGGCCCGTGAGCGTGCGCGGGGTCGTGATCCGCCACCGCCCCGCCATCCGGTCCAGCGCCGCGGCCCGCGCGCGGTGCTGCGCCCAGAGCAGGTTCCCGAGCGCGTGCGCGAGCGTGAAGCCCTCGCCGGGGTACACCGTCAGCGGCGGGTCCGCGGGGCGCGTGTGCGCCCGCACGTCGTGGTTCTGCGCGGGCGGACCGAGGGTCAGCGGTGCCCCGGCGAAGCACGAAGAAGCGAGCTCGGAGGTCGGAGGCACAGCACCGGTGTTCAATATTCAATATTCAAGCACTCACCACCGGCGTCGGCCAGAAGTGCATGCGCGCGGGCGCGCCGCTCGGGACGCGCGCGTGCGCGTGCGCGGCGTCCGTGCACACGTCCGCCGTCGCGAACGGGAGGCGCGCGCACGCCGCGCAGCGCACGGGGGCGACCATGTCCGCGCTGATGTCGTCGTGCGCGTCGCGGATCATGTTCGCGAGGCGCGCGGGGTAGTCGTCTGGGTGCCAGTGCTGGAACGCGCCGAGCCGGATGCGGCCGCCGTTGGGCCATTTGAAGGCGATGGGGTAGCGTGTGTGAGGGTTGAGGGGGTCGAATCCTGGGGCTGTGTGGGGAGAGGGAGTAGGGTGGTTAGAGGCGTGTTCTGCGGGAGGGAGGTTTTCTCGACGACGTACTGAGTTCAAACATGGAAATATGTGTTGTTGGACTGACTCAGAGATAGTTGGAGGCCTGAAAGCGTGGGCGTCGCGCGATGTGTCGATAGGGATATGAGTGGAAGGAAGCTGTGAGGAAAGAAGATACGCTCTGGCCAGGCTGATATACCGAGTTGCATCCGCTTGAGAGCCACTGAAGGAGTTGTGGCCACTGACCAAGCGGACGGAACGAGTCGTCGGTGGCCGCGACCACAGTAATCCATACCACTGCGAGTGCGCTCAATTGGTTCCTCTTGAGTGAGGGAGCACAAACGTCCGTTCAGAGTGTACTGACCTGGTGTCGTGCTTTTTTCTACAGATGTGTGCTTTAAGCGACGGGCCTCCACCATATCAAGGCGTGCTGAGCGAGTAATGACATCTACATTGAAAAAATTGCAGGTCAGATGAGAGACAGAAGGGACAGCGTGTACCACGGCTTACTTTGGACTAAATCTCCTGTCGTAGCAGGAATACGATGATCTCACCTTGACCTAAAAGTACTTGTTCGTACCGGATGATTCCAAGGACGTCTGTGGCATTGAAGACACATGCACCAGGTGGTAACAGAAAAGTCCAGCTGACTGGTTGGAAATCGAACGACCAATAAGGAATTTGTTGGACTGGAGGCCGTTTCTTCGTAGAACATCTGGGCGCGATTTGACTGCCATGTGTTCTCCCATCTTCTGCGCTAAGTGGCAGGGAAAACCACAGAAGAACCATTGCCAAGAACCAAACAGAGTACTAGTTGTCCGTACTACAGAGCGCTGACGTTAGGTATTTCAAACTTGACCTGTAATTGGTCAGAAGCGCACCTCGTAGGCCAGGAATTTGTCGAGTGTCCTCCGATCGCACATGGTGTGCGACCATTGTAGTGACAGGTGTGCGAGTATTTTCTTGACAGTCTCCGCCGGGAGTCGAACGCGCGTCCTTCCGGCGCTCCATGGCGGAAATGCTGACATGAGGGGCAATCGCCGAACGGAGACGTTTCGGCATCGCCGGTGACCAGCGGTGACCTCATCCCAACCTCGTTCGCGCCGTGCTGGTGGAGGTAGAGCGATCGACGCCGATCCTCTGTGTATTTCATAGCCAGATATATAGTCGACCCTCAGTCGCTCCCAGCAACCCATCCAACACCAACCACACCCACCAACAGCCAACAGCCAACAGCCAACATGTCCAACCCCTGGGCCCAGCCTCCCCACCCCGCGACCAACCTCGGCCGCCACCGCCCCCTCGCCCCTGCGTGCGGCCTGCACGTCTCGCCCCTCCAGCTCGGTGCGATGAGCATCGGCGACAAGTGGGCTCAGTTCGGGATGGGCGCGATGGACAAGGAGTCCTCCTTCAAGCTCCTGGACGCGTTCTACGAGGCCGGCGGGAACTTCATCGACACGGCGTCGAACTACCAGGACGAGACGTCCGAGCAGTTCATCGGAGAGTGGATGGAGACGCGCGGGATCCGCACGCAGATGGTCATCGCGACCAAGGTGAGCTAGGTGCTGTATCGTGTGTGTATGGAACACCGCTGACGTACGGACGGCCTACAGTACTCGACGAACGCCAAGCGCGGTCGGACGGACATCAAGCAGCACACGGCTTGGGCTGGCAACAGCTTCAAGACGATGCGGGTCAGCGTCGACGAGGCTCTCGAGAAGCTGCGCACGTCGTACATCGACATTTTCTATGTCCACTGGGTACGCAACCCTGTCTGCCTCCTTCTCCTACCCTTCTGTCGCGCTGACCTCACATTCGCAGTGGGACTACACGACCCCGATCGAAGAGGTCATGGACGGCCTCCACCAGCTGGTGATGTCCGGCAAGGTCCTTTACCTGGGCATCTCCGACACGCCCGCCTGGATCGTGGCGTCCGCGAACCGGTACGCTCGCATGGCGCACAAGACGCCCTTCGTCATCTACCAAGGCTCCTGGTCCGTCTTGGACCGCGACTTCGAGCGGGACATCATCCCGCTCGCGCGGCACGAGGGCATGGCGCTCGCGCCGTGGAACGTCCTCGCGGGCGGCAAGATCCGCACGGACGCGGAGGAGCAGGCGCGCCTCGACAGCGGCGAGGGAGGGCGCGGGACGTTTGGGCCGTGGATGCGGAACGAGCGCGAGAAGGCGGTGGCGAAGGTCCTGGAGGAGGTCGCCAAAGAGGCCGGCACCGACTCCATCCAAGCGGGTGAGTCGTCCCGTTTTTGCGGGAGACGCAGCTCTGACTGACGACACGGTCCGCAGTGGCGATCGCGTACGTGATGCAGCGCACGCCGCACGTGTTCCCCATCATCGGCGGGCGCAAGGTCGAGCACCTGCACGGGAACATCAAGGCGCTCTCGATCGCGCTCTCGGAGGAGCAGATCCAGAAGATCGAGGCGGCGTCGCCGTTCGACAAGGGCTCGCTGTACAACATCTTCGTGAGTTTTACCGTCCAGCCGCTCTACGTCGACGCTGACCGCCGCAAAACAGGGCGACGGCTCCGACTACGGCGCCTTCCACAAGTCCGCCGGTCACTTCGATCGCTGGCCGACTGCCCCGGCTCTCCGCCCGAAGGCACAGTAAGTTGAACCGCTACTAGTCCGGAGGCACCTTCCGTCGGAGCCGGCGGCGGGATCCCTGGATGGTGGCGTTTTTGTTGCACCCACTCACCACTCAGTCTTGTAAATCAAAGTCTCATCGTCCACAGTGCTATCACTACTGTGTCTGACAAATAACAATGTTGTTCCAAGAAGGAGTTGTGTGCTAAGCACGGCCACCAGCTGAAGCCTACCTTGGCACACGTTGGCCTCCCGCACGACGGGAGCGGTTAGTAGTCTCGTCGGGACCGGCCTGCCTTTCTCGAAGGGCCTCGTGGATTTTCTAACGCAAATAGAACAAATGGATCACGTCATGGTTGATTGGAAAGAATACGAGTCTAACATCCCTAAGCGCCTGGCCGAGGCACGCTTCTGACGGGAAATGCGTATACTTACACCGCATGCATTCAGAGCTGACAGCGTATGCGCCGTGCGGAGACCCGCGCATGTGGCCTGCGCCCACCCACGCCAACATGCGGATGCATTCTACTGAGTCTTCGGGCGGATGGCCTGGGCAGGCGGCCAGCGGTCGAAGTGGCCGGCGTACTTGTGGAAGAAGCCATAATCCGAGCCGTCGCCCTACGGGAACAACAATAAGCCATGCGACGGTCTGACCCAGGTCCCAGGGAGGGGAACTCACGAAGACGTTGTACAGCGAGCCCTTGTCAAAGGGCGAAGCCGCCTCGATGCGCCGGATGTGCTCGTCCGTGAGCGCGATGTCGAGCGCCTTAACGTTCCCCAGGAGGTGCTCGACCTTGCGCCCGCCGATGATGGGGAACACGTACGGCGTCTTCTGCATCACGTACGCGATCGCCACTGCGCAGCGCCCCGCGCACAAGCCGTCAGCCTCTGCAGAACCCCGCACGGCACCCGCCGCAGCCGCGACTCACCCGCCTGGACCGAGTCCGTGCCGACCTCCTTCGCGACCGCCTCGAGCACCGCGCACACCGCCCTCTCCCCGTCGCTCCGCAGCCACCCGCCGAGCATCGCGCGCCCGCCCTCGCCGCTGTCGATGCGCGCCTGCTCCTCCGCGTCCGTGCGGACCTTGCCGCCGGCGAGGACGTTCCACGGCGCGAGCGCCATGCCCTCGTGCCGCGCCATTGGGATGATGTCCCGCTCGAACGTGCGCTCGAACACGTTCCACTCGCCCTCGTAGACGACGAAGGGCGTCTTGTGCGCCATGCGCGCGTACCGGTTCGCAGAGCTGACGATCCACGCGGGGGTGTCGGAGATCCCAAGGTAGAGGACCTTGCCGGACATGACCAGCTGGTGGAGGCCGTCCATGACCTCTTCGATCGGGGTCGTGTAGTCCCACTGGGGAGTCAAATTGTCAGTGAACGTGACGGAGGGGCGTGCACACCGAACTTGGGAGAGACGCACCCAGTGGACGTAGAGGAGGTCGATGTACGACGTGCGTAGCTTCTCGAGAGCCTCATCGACGGTGACGCGCATCGTCTTGAAGCTGTTGCCAGCCCAAGCCGTGTGCTGCTTAATGTCCGTCCGCCCGCGCTTGGCGTTCGTCGAGTACTGTAGGCCGTCAGTACGTCAGCCGTGTTCCCATGTGCAGAGGATACAACCCACCTTGGTAGCGATAACCATCTGCGTGCGGATCCCGCGCGTCTCCATCCACTCTCCGATGAACTGCTCAGACGTCTCGTCCTGGTAGTTCGATGCCGTGTCGATGAAGTTCCCGCCTGCCGCGTAGAACGCATCGAGGAGCTTGAACGAAGACTCCTTGTCCATCGCGCCCATCCCGAAGTCAGCCCACTTGTCGCCGATGCTCATCGCACCGAGCTGGAGGGGCGAGACGTGGAGGCCGCACGAAGGGGCGAGGGGGCGGTGGCGGCCGAGGTTGGTCGCGGGGTGGGGAGGCTGCGCCCAGGGGTTGGACATCGATGCTGAAGTGATGATGAAAGCTGAGATGGTAGTTGGGTGAGCTGTTGAAAGCGACAGGACGAACTTGAGCAATTTATACACGCAGACGATGCCCGATACCGGAAATTCCAGAGCAGCCAAGTGGGGGCCGAGCGTCGGTACGGGGCGTGGCTAAGCTAGATCCTAGGATGCCGGAACTGCCAGATGGAGATATCGGTTTACCGAAATTCCATTGCGTCAAATAGCACACCTAATAGTCGGCAGGGGGCGGTGCTGGTCCATCATGGTGGCATGCAAAGGTGACCGAATATACCAGTTTGGGTGCAAGAATTATGATAGTGCATTTCTGGTGTCATCGACCGTCAGGCTGTATCTGCACAAAGCGAGTGAGCGAGACGACAGGCTCGGGCGACACAGTAACACGTGCGACTACCCCTTCGCTAGTGTCTCCGAGATCAGTCATCTGGCGGCACCGACCGAGAGGAAGTGTGGGGTTCGCACACGCCAAGACTGGCTGCGGCAACTTGCCCCGACCATTCACAACGTGAACATTTCTTGAGCGGTGCGGACACCGAGGAGCTAGAGAGTAAGGTGTGATTAGTCGGGGAGCTTGCCGTGCGCACACGCACGTACCAAGGGACACATTCGGTAACAAGCTGTGATGGCGATTGTAGATACTTCAGCCTTGGAGCCTACAGTGGGTAGTTACCCTGCTTCCTTGGACCTCGGGGTCCATCATGATTTTGACGGCGCACGCGTGGAATGCCGCCCGAGGGATCCACTGGACTAGGTACTGCATATTCGTATTTCAACCCGGCCGGGCACGGATGGGTAGAATGCGAATCGTGCCAGCGTTCTCGCTCTGCTCTACTGCGGAGTCCTGTCATATATTCAATCGCTTACCGGAGGTTCGTGCCGAACGTTTTCGTATGTGTAAGTATGACGAAAAGCATGGCAACCGGGAATCCTGCCTAGACCCTTTGTATCGTCGAAACGGCCTTATAGAACACGTTATTTCGTCAATTCGCCCAGGCAGAGATTGTTGGGATGTAACAGGGCGTCGTCGCACTCCAGGTGACCTTTGGTCGACGATGAAGCGGCGCCCCGTCAGTGCGCATCTAGTCAAAGCATTCGTTCAGCGCAGCTCGTGCGACTTGTGTACGCACCTCCATCTGAAACTCGCGCAGGAATTTGCATATGATTCATAAACACCGCGGAGACACTATGTTGATGAACGCCGCGGAGACACTGTTGGTGGGATCCATGGAACCACGGAGTATAGGAGAATGACGGATGCGTCAACAGAGGACATGAGGTTGGTGTACTCGCCATCTGATGTACCGACGCGACCCTATCTCTGCCCGCACCTCCCCGCGGAGATAGCAAAGCCATCCATCCCAGCGTCCAACCTCGTCGTATAACAGAAAGCCACTTTTTAGGGATGTCTGCGATGCTGCACGCGCAGTGCAGGTGGGGAAATGGGGAGGAGGGCAGCGCACAGGACATTCGAGAGGACATACTGATCAGATGACACGCAGGTGGACCCTCTAACTACAGCCATTTCCACACGAGAGCTAGCCTCTCGTGCGAGCGCATTCTTCATAGGAAACAGAGACAGGTTGTGTGGAAGCTGGGTGGGGACGAATCAGAGCCGTACCGGCATGGCGTCCGGCATAACATTGAGATGGTATTTGAGATGGGCTGAAGCTTGAATATGTTGCGCCTTGCACGAGGCATACGACGAGGGAAACGGTGTGCAGGGACGGCAGGGCTCTGAGTGTGATGGGCGGCGAATGAATGGGGCGAGATGATCATAGTATTGGTTGAGAGAGGCACCGTTTAGCGCTCTCCCTGTTACCACCCACCACCATCATCACGTCACCAGCGCACCGCAGGGATTCGAGACAATCGCCAGCACGAGCCTCGGAGCTGAGGAATATGAGCTCGGAAAGCAGCACATTTTCCCCAAATGCATGTATGCTCAGTTCCTGGCCAGCCAGTTGTCCTTCGACTTCCTGACGCGTGTCTGTCACCTTGCAGGTTGTACTTCTACTCTGGTCTTCAACTGTAGTACTAGAGAATGTAGACGAGAGTGATTGCACGTTGACCGCATTCAAGCTTCACCAACCGACCACCCAACATGCGAGATCGAGGCTGACCTTCGGTGCCCTCGGCGACTCTCATGCCAGCCAGGTGGTCAGCCCCGAGCAACTGTTCGCCTCCTCAGAGCGGAGTCTGAATATGCCAGCCGCAGACCCATATAACTCCCCCACCCGCCGAACATCCTCTCTCTTCAGAACCACCACATTCGGTGAGCCTTCCCCTTCCCCTCGCCGCGCTATCGTCACTCATCCTCGCTTACAGCGGTGGGAGGTCTGGCTGTCCCTCCAAGGTACGTCTCCCATCGTCCTCTCCTACGCGCATCCTAACCCACCTCCCGCCACAGAGTGGCACGGCGGACTTCTCGGCAGGCGGCATGCGAACCTCCCCCGTAAGGGGAAGGGGGTACATATCCCAGACCCATGTGCCCCGACCCGCCTCCAGAGAATCCTGCCTGCCGCGCGGACCGTGTCCGGGTCGCTCGCGTCACTGGTGTCAGTGCGCGGCGGCACGTCGACCTCCGTTTGAGTCGGTACAGGGGACCGAGGGGGCCTCGATGGGGTGCGCCGAGACGAGAGTACCCGGACCGGCCCTGGTCGTTCGCCTCGTGCGGCGTCCGGGGCTTGAGGGGGCCGTCGGGTGACTGGCGGCTGCCCGAGGGACGGGGAAGCGCAATGTGGTCAAAGACTAATGCCCCCCGGACGCGTTGGGGCGACTCGACGGTCCGCGGGGTAGGTGGCGGCGTACGCGCCGGGTGGCCGGGCTCGTACGTGCTCGGGCGCGGGCTCGTCGCTGCTCGGTGTCGCGTCGCTACGCGGGGGATGGAGGTTGTGACTGTGCGTGCACTTTCTCTCTCCTTCTACGGTGTGCGACTCGACGTAGAGGCTGACCGCGTTAAGAGCTTGCAGACTTCCATCCCCCGGGTTTCGGGGGCGTGACGTCTGTTGCGCTCCCCGATTCAAGAAGCCCCCCGAGGAAGGGTCGGCCTCTGCTGCGTTTGCGGTGGGAGGCCGGTCCTGGCGCAGGCCTCTTCGTGGCCCTCGGGACTAGTACCGCTTCGTGCGGGAAGCCAACTGCGCCGAAGCCTCTGGTGGCTACTTCTCCACCATTTCTTATGACTCGAATTTTTTTGTGACATCATGTACTATCAGACGTCGTGATATCTAACGATGCGTGGTATGAAGCGTTTCGTATGTGCGTTCCCAGAACGAAAGTCCTCGTCGGGGAATCGAACCGCCGACCCCGCGGCAACTCCGGCGACATCTGAGGCGGCCCAGGCCCCTTTCTCTCTTCTCGACGCTCACGACATCCGAATTTCGAAAGTCACCGGTGCGCAGCGACGTGGACGGCGTCCTGTCCCACTAGACCGAACGGGTCGCCGAAGCAAGGGAAGAGCGAGCGGGTCATTCGACCTCGGGCTGACGGAAGTCCTGTCGCCCGGCAGTCACACAAGAGGCTGAATTTGTCCTGCCACGCAGCTCTTCCCGCACAATGCTGGCGCTCTTGACTCGGGCATCTGGTTTGCCTCGGTGCATGCCCGTCAGTGGGAGAGCACAGACAGAGTTCGCCACTATGGCATCGTCAGCGTCGGCCTCGCTCGAGGTGAGTATATGAATCCTTCGTCAGACGGTGATTCCCTCACCCACATCTACCACTCCCTTCAACCAGCCTTGCCAATCACCTCTTTGCGCTCGAGATGGCCGCTTTTGCTCAACCTCCTCCCCCAGCAACAAACCTCGGCCGCCACCGCCCCCTCGCCCCTTCCTGCGGTCTCCATGTGTCACCCCTCCAGCTGGGTGCGATGAGCATCGGCGACAAGTGGGCGGAGTTCGGGATGGGCGCGATGGACAAAGAGTCGAGCTTCAAGCTCCTGGACGCGTTCTACGAGGCCGGCGGGAACTTCATTGACACCGCATCTAACTACCAAGACGAAACGTCTGAGAAATTCATCGGGGAGTGGATGGAGGCTCGCGGGATCCGCACGCAAATGGTCGTCGCTACGAAGGTGAGCGGAGTGCCCTCTGTACGCATGTGTCGTTTCTGACGCGTCGGGTGTCTGCAGTACTCGATGAATGGAAAGCGCGGCCGGACGGACATCAAACAGCACACGGCCTGGGCGGGCAACAGCTTTAAGACGATGCGCGTCACCATCGACGAGGCGCTTGAGAAGCTACGGACCTCCTACATCGACATCCTCTACGTCCACTTTGTACGCTTCTCGTTTCACGGCTACCATATCACCGTGAATGGTAGCTGACAGCCATCACGCACAGTGGGATTACACGACCCCGATCGAGGAGGTCATGGACGGCCTCCACCAGCTGGTGATGTCCGGCAAGGTCCTCTACCTCGGGATCTCCGACACGCCGGCGTGGATCGTCAGCTCCGCGAACAGGTACGCGCGCATGGCGCACAAGACGCCCTTCGTCGTCTACCAGGGCGAGTGGAACGTGTTTGAGCGCACGTTTGAGCGGGATATCATCCCGCTCGCGCGGCACGAGGGCATGGCGCTCGCGCCGTGGAACGTCCTCGCAGGCGGCAAGATCCGCACGGACGCGGAGGAGCACGCGCGCATCGACAGCGGCGAGGGTGGGCGCGAGTCGTTTGGGCCGTGGTTGCGGAACGAGCACGAGAAGGCGGTGGCGAAGGTCCTGGAGGAAGTCGCAAAGGATGTCGGAACCGACTCGATTCAGGCCGGTGAGTGCAATCCGTCTTCGCTACAGGCTCTTGCGAAGACTAACGCGTTCTGTCACCCACCACAGTCGCGATTGCGTACGTGATGCAGAAGACCCCCTACGTATTTCCTGTTATCGGCGGGCGCAAGGTGAAGCACCTGCACGACAACATCAAGGCGCTCTCGATCGCGCTCTCGGACGAGCACATCAAGATGATTGAGACTGCTTCGCCTTTCGACAAGGGGACAATGTACAATGTCTTCGTGCGCCTTGATCTGCATCGTCAAAGCTTCTCATGCTGATTGTTGTTGTCGTAGGGCGATGGGTCCGACTACGGCTTTTTTCACAAGTATGCTGGTCATTTCGATCGTTGGCCGACTGCCCCGGCCCTCAGCCCGAACGCGCACTAGTGTTCTCCCCTTCTAGAGTCTTTGTAAAGCGTTGGTAGTTCGATTCTCGCATGTATGATCCTCGCACCCATAACACGTTGCGTTGTAGTCGAAATTTCATGCCGCCATTACACAACTCCCCAGCACACCTCGAGTTTATTTACAGAGCGGTACGCCTACAGAAACTTCGGCGCAGTTGGCTTCCCGCACGAAGCGGTACTAGTCCCGAGGGCCACGAAGAGGCCTGCGCCAGGACCGGCCTCCAACCGCAAACGCAGCAGAGGCCGACCCTTCCTCGGGGGGCTTCTTGAATCGGGGAGCGCAACAGACGTCACGCCCCCGAAACCCGGGGGTGGAGGTCTGCGAGCTCTTGACACGATCAGCCTCTGCGTCTCGCACACCGTGGAAGGAGAGAGAAAGTGCACGCACAGTCACAACCTCCGTCCCCCGCGTAGCGACGCGACACCGAGCAGCGACGAGCCCGCGCCCGAGCACGTACGAGCCCGGCCACCCGGCGCGTACGCCGCCACCTACCCCGCGGACCGTCGAGTCGCCCCAACGCGTCCGGGGGGCATTAGTCTTTGACCACATTGCGCTTCCCCGTCCCTCGGGCAGCCGCCAGTCACCCGACGGCCCCCTCAAGCCCCGGACGCCGCACGAGGCGAACGACCAGGGCCGGTCCAGGTACTCTCGTCTCGGCGCACCCCATCGAGGCCCCCTCGGTCCCCTGTACCGACTCAAACGGAGGTCGACGTGCCGCCGCGCACTGACACCAGTGACGCGAGCGACCCGGACACGGTCCGCGCGGCAGGCAGGATTCTCTGGAGGGGAGTCGGGGCACATGGGTCTGGGATATGTACCCCCTTCCCCTTGCGGGGGAGGTTCGCATGCCGCCTGCCGAGAAGTCCGCCGTGCCACTCTGTGGCGGGAGGTGGGTTGGGATGGGCGTAGGAGAGGACGATGGGAGACGTACCTTCGAGGGACAGCCAGACCTCCCACCACTGTAAACGAGGATGAGCGACGATCGCGTGGTGAGGGGAAGGGGAAGGCTCACCGAATGTGGTGGTTCTGAAGAGAGAGGATGTTCGGCGGGAGAGGATGTTATATGGGTCTGGGGCTGGCATGTTCAGACTCCGCTCTGAGGAGGCGAACAGTTGCTCGGGGCTGACCACCTGGCTGGCATGAGAGTCGCCGAGGGCACCGAAGGTCAGCCTCAATCCCTCGTGTTGAAACCGGAAGTGGGCTGACCGTCAATACGCAGATCGCTGTATCCCTCCAGTCTTGCGTAAACTGCACTGGGTTTTGAGGCCCTGAGCTCTTCTCATGGCGCAGCGTCGGCGGTGGGGCAGAGCTTCGGTGACGGATGTATCAGGCATGGCGGGGATTACGGGAGTCGACACGTATGCATCGCCACCAGGTCTATTATACACGTGTGTACTCACCAGCACGTGGACATGTGTGTCCATGAACGAGTGTGGCTGGTATATTTCAACCAAGATATCCCGGGGGTTAGAAAGGCCTCAGCGTTTATGAGGCGCACTGGTCTGTAGAAAGCTTTGTTTTCATGATCGGCGAGAAGCCCCGCATGATCAGCGCTCCGGACTTGAGGGCAAACGGAAGTCGGCGGGGACGGAACTAGCCTGGCTAGTAGCTTTCACCAATGCTGCATGCGAGAGCGACGGTGACGGGTGATGCTTGCTGTTGTTTACAATGTAACTAGATCTAATGCACAGGATGGTAGGCGGAGACTACGACGTAAGTGTATACTAAATGGCGCGCAGAGTATGTACGATTCTCACCCACCCCTCTCCCTCATCAAACGTGCGCCCGGGACGGCGGAGGTCACGCGAACCCAGCCTTCTCGACGTGCCATCATGCGCCATGGTCGGAAGCACCCTGCGCCCCTCGTGGGCATATGCAACGCTCAGACGTTGTAGTATTCGAAGGCGGGGCTGCCAGGCTCTGCAGTCTCGATCAACATCTTGGAGAGCGTGCTCAGGTCGGTTGACTTGACGTCCTCCACCCGCAGAACCTCCGCGCCTTGAAGGCCGAGAGTCTTCTGGAGGTAGGGCAGGATCTCGTGAAGCACCTTCATCTCCGAGAACGGCACCGAGCGGTTGAACGCCGTCTGCGCACCGAACTGGGTCATGCGTTTCTGACGAGAACGAAAGAGCGTCAGTATCCGCGGCGCGGCCACACAGCACGGAATGGGTCGCACCTTGAACGCCTGGACGAACGGCATCGCGCGCTTGTCCTTGATGAACCCGCGCTGGGTGAGGAGCTCACGGACCTTGACGTCGTCGACCTTGTCGTGCTCCGACGAGTACGCGTCCTTGACGATCTGCACGCACGTCTCCTGCCAGTCGGGGAACGCGCTCGTGACGTAGATGCGTACGGCGCGCGGCTTCTTCGGGTCGTACGTCGCCTGCCCCTGCTTGCCCTTGCCCATCTTCTTCAGCAGCGAGAGCTCCGCGTCGCGCATGGTCTTGATCGTCCCGCGCATGTACATCGCCGAGTCGATGATCGTCTGGTCGACTGGCGTGGTGGGCTCTGGCCAGCGCGCGAGCTGCACCGACTTGGGCTCGTTGAGGACAGCAGTCCAGATGTGCTCGGCGAAATGCGGTGCGATGGGCGCGGCGAGGAGCGCAGCGGTGCGGACCCACCACTCTACAAGGTCGGCGTGCATGCCAACCTCAGAGGTGACCTCACGGTACCAGTCGCGGGTGGACTGAAGCTCGTAGAACCCGAACTTGAGCGCATCCTTGTAGTGCATGCTGTAATAGCGTCAGTACCCCGCGTGCTCGGCTGTGCGTGAAAGCACTCACTTGGCGTAATGTTCTTTGGTCTTGACGATCAGGTCGTTGATTTCGTGCTCGAACACGACGTCGTGGTAGTTCTTCTCGCCGGTGCGGAGCTTTGACTTCTCCTTGACCATTTCCTGCAACTCGCCGTTAGCTACATGCTCTTGCTATACGAACGCGTACCGCTTACGTCACACCATGCCATGAGGGTGTGCAGACGCAGGATGTTCGCGTTTGCCGTCTTCTCGTCGAAGTTAGCGTCTTCGATGCTGTCACCAGCGTCGGCGAGACACAGCCTCGTCGCGTCCGCGCCGAACTTTTCAATGCACTGGCGCATGGTCATCGAGTTGCCCTTGCTCTTCGACATCTTCTGGCCGTTGACCATCAGGTGTCCGTTCGTGCGCATGCTCAGCGGCCACTTCTCTTCAGGGAAGAGCGCGGCGTGAATATACACGCAGAACGTCAAGTGGTTCGGGATCAGGTCCTTGCCGGATGAACGGACGTCGAAGGGGTAGAAGTACTCGAACTCGTGCTTGAGCGCGTTGGCCTTCTCCTGGGGGATGGGTGCGTTCGCGCCTAGCCAGGGGCCGTTGTTGAGCACGTACTCCCAGACCTCGTCCGTCATCTGCCCAGCGGTGATACCGAGGGGCCCAGGAGCGCTACCGTCGAGTTTGCCTATGATCAAGGATTAGACGATGCGCCCGTGTCGAGACGGAGATGACTCACTATGCAGCAGGTGGGCGACAGTGTAATATGACATGTAAATGGTCGAGTCACTCAGACTCTCAACCAAGAACGTCGGGTCCCAAGGAATTTTCGAGCCGAGGCCGTAGCTGCGCGCACACGCCCACTTGTTCAGCCACGCGAGAACACCCTCGAAGGCATTGCGCGTCTCGACGTTGTACGTCTCCATGCGCGCGACAAGCCTGACGTGGATCGTCAGCGCAACCTCGAATGTCATATTTGCACGAGTACTCACTTTTCAGCTTGCGCTCTCCAGCTCTCCTCTCCGTAGTCCAAGTACCACTGATCCATGAGCGCAATGACACACTCGTCCGCGCTGCGCGAGACAATGAGACCTTCCGGTTCGGCGTATGCGAACGCGAGCCCGGCGTCGATAAGCTTCTCGCGTACGCGCGGCTTCGCATCTTGGACAGACATGCCCTTGAAGTCGCCGACGAGCATCGTGCCGCTGTAGAAGCCCTCCTTGTACGCGATCTCCTTCGCCTCCGCAAGCTGCTTTGTGTCCTTTTGCGACTGGATCTTGAGCTGCTTGATCACCGCTGGCGCCGTCATCTCTCCGTACGTTGGCGTCGAAATCACTGGGACTGGGTCGATAGCGGCCCAAGACGGGTCGATTTTGTAGAACTCGGGCTTCTTCCGCAAGTCCGTCAGTGTCTGGAAGTCGTCGGGGGAATCGGAGGGGACGGAGGTGACCACACCCGTGCCCTTCGTCGGGAGGACGTTCTCCATAGGTAGCACGTAGACCTCGGGGTTGATAGAGAACGGCGCCTTGATCTTGGCCCCAACGATGAGGGAGCCGTCGATCTCAGCAAGCTGGTCGATCTGTCCGCGGGCGGGCATGATGCCCTGGAAGGCCATGTTACGGGCAGCGCGGTACGTGCATACGTACGCTTCCTTGTCGTTGATGGCGAAAACGCCGTACTTGATCTGGGTGCCCACGAAGCAGTTGGTCTGGCCGTACCTTGGGACAGTCGTTGGCTACGTTCCTTGCAAGAGCACGGTAGAAACTCACATGGTCTCTGGCCTCAGCGTTGCAGCCACAAGGTAAACCTTCCGACCACCAGCCTTCTCGGCTACAATCTTGCCAGCCTCCTCACTCCAGCTGATGACCTCCATTTTGATACCAGTATACTCCGTCGGGCCAAGGGCCTCACCCTCAGAGCGATCGTGGTCCATACATGGTTGGCCGTCCTTCGGACTATAAACCGTGTAGCGTTCACCGAACTTGATTTTGCCGGCCTTGTGCAGCCTGTTCATCTGCCAGCGGACGAAGGAGTCGTAGTACGGGTTCGCGTCGGTGGTGATGAATGATCGTCGCCAGTCTATACGGGAACCAAATAGCATGTTGTCTTCCTAGTCGCGCCACGTCCCGCGCGTTCAGCCTCCGTGCGCACGCGAGCAAATGATGGTCGAAACACACTCACAATGCAGATTGGCGGGTAGTACTTCACCCAGAAGTACGGATCCGCGAACTTCTTAATCTCCTCGCGCGGGACACCCATCGACTCCATGATCTGGAACTGGTATTGGAGGCCGGTGGCCTTGGCGGCGACCTTGCCCTTCTTCGCCTTGGGGTCTGCGGTGGAACTGCTGGCGGCAGGCTCCTCCTCGGGGACAAATCCCTCGAAGTTCTCTCCGAACATCTCAATCTCGCGTACGATCTTGTCCGCGGCAGACTGACCAGCGACGCATAAGTATGATTCCTCTCGCATGGGCATTTATGTCCCCTCTCTCCCTTGTCAATGCGCGAAGGGAACCAGCGAAACTCACCTTGATCGGCATGCCCGTGACGTGGAATCCGTGCGGGAAGAGCACGCGCTTGCCCAGCATGCGCTGGAACCCCGCCGCGAACTCGATTTTGGAGATGGTGAACGCATGGCCGAGGTGCAGCGAGCCGTTCGTGTACGGGAACGGGAAGTTGCCGAACCACTTGGGGTGCTGCTCGCGGATCTGCGCGGGGGTGAGGCCCTCGAGGTCCACGGGCGACGGCGCGGCGACCTCGAAGAGCTTTTCGTCCGTCCAGCGCGCCTGGTACTTGCGCTCGAGCTCGCGGATCTCGTCGCGCTTCCCGGTCTGGGCGAGCTCGATGGTGTTGGCGGAGGCCGCGGCCGCGGCGGCTTGTGCGGCGGCGGAGGCCATGGTGCGCGTCGACGTCTGGAGGGTGCACAGGAGCGAGCGGGAGAGGAGGGCGGGGGAGGGAGCGCGTCCCAGGAGAGACGAGAAGGAGAGAATGGTGGCCGCCGTCCGGATAGAGCAAGATAAATATTGGTGTCGATGCTTCAGCAGAGGCAATCGATGCTCGAGTCAGATGCCACCGATAGAACAGGTCCCCTCCTCAGGTGTTCGGGGTCCTTCCGCCGGGCCGCTCGGAGGTGCACAAAGCTGCGATTCAATACGACTGGAGCCGTATCAAATAAGTAGCGTAGGCGGCTTGTCTCCCTCTAGCTACTATAGTGTCTAGAATTCATGTCGACAGAAGATGATGGTCGGAAGGAATACTACCCGTGTCATCATCTCAAAGAGTCTCTTTGATTGTACATGATATATTCCCGCGAGCAGACGGAAGGGACGATCAGCAAGTAAGCACGTGGTCGACGCGGGACAAGTACGTATGTAGTAAAGTGAGCACTGAGCAGGAGGGACTGTGATCATCATGGGAAGTATTGTGGCATGTGATTTGGAACCACTACTTAGGCGGTGACGAACGCTCTAGAGATCTGAGATACGCTTCGGTTCAACTTAAGGGAAAGCAGGGAGGGAGGTGCGTTGGCCTTGGAAGGCAAAGAGAGTGAGGAAGAGGATGCGACACGTACATATGTGCGATGATAGCAATGGGGACTGTCAGCGGTAGACCATGCGGCCGCCTGCGCACCAGCAAATTCAACGAATGAACGTTTGACGACTCGACGGAAGAGCGTGTTGCCCGGCCGCCTGATCGAAGACCACACGGATGTCAGCCCTGCTTCGCCCGCGGTGTTCAAGGTTTCATATGGAGCTGTGAAGTAGTGATAAGCTGACTTGTGAGTCCACCCTGTTCGAATACATTTCGGTCTGATAGTTTGTTCCGCGATTGCCATGAGAATGCTTCTTTGAAAAGATGTGTGAGACGCATTACAGCCGATCCGTTTGAACTCTGCGTGAAACTCTTCTTATGGGCAGTGGACTGACACGCTAGTGAGAAGAAGTTGTTTCTGCCTCTACGTCGTGGCAACCACCGACACCCGCGGACGAGCCTGAGTAGCTGGACGCTAGCACAAAACACTCACTCTTGTGACGCCCAAACGAACGACCGCCGACGCTGACATGAGGTATGCTCTAGGGTGGATATCATGCGAGGCGGGATCTGGCGGGATTGGCGGCTGCAGCCTGCCGGCCGTTTGCGTCTAGTGCGGAACGACGGAGGGCGTGTGACCAGTACGTCTGCGCAGAAGGAGATATCCGATTCGCCCGAAACTGCCCCTCTTGGGCAAATTCCCGTGCTTTCGCGGATGCGAGTGCGAGATTGTGGCAGGCACAATCATCTCCAAGGCCTGCACGATAGAACATGTGCCCATATATACCGAACCAGTCCAACGCACTTCGTCTCCCCTCCTCCGCCTTCCCCGAGCATCCCCAGACTTGCCCGCGGCAAGTTGCCCACGACCCATGTCCGAGGCGCCGCCCGACAAGGCCGCCCGTACGTATCATCTCTCGACGCTGTGCAGTCCACCTTCGCTTACGCGCGACCCTTACCGCCTGCAGGCGAGCTTCAAGGCTCGATCGAAATGCGCTCCGGTGAGCACCTCCGCGGGCGCTGGGTGCCTGGCGCACGCGCGCGCTGTGGCGCTGCCCGCTGAGACTGACGTCCTCGAGCCAGCCAAAGAGAGCACGGTCGAAGCGCAGCCGGTGGACGGACCGCAGGAGTATCGGCTATACAAGCGGCGATGGATAGGCCTGGTTGCCCTCGTACGTCCATTCTTCTTCCTATATATGCGCGTCTTCGAACCCTGCACGATGACCAGGTCCTCTTGAACATCGTTTCCGGCCTTCTCCTGGTCTGGTTTGGTCCAATTGCCAATGATGGTATGTCCTTGTGCCCAACATCAGCGTGACAGTCCCTCACGTCCCGCTCTCCAAGTCGTCGATGAGTTTGGCTTCACCCTTGACGAAGTCAACTGGCTCGGTAACGTCATCAACCTGATATACCTCCCTTGCGCATTCGTCCTTCCCTACCTCTACGGCCGATTGGGCATTCGCGGCACCGTCAGTCCTATTCCTTCCATTGCCCTCCCACACCCACACTTACCCCATCTCAGGCCTACATTGGTGCTGTCCTCTTCGTACTTTCAGCCTGGGTTCGCTACGCAGGAACAGCGAAATCTCTGTCTGTGCGAAGCTCATATGCCCTCATCCTCATCGGTCAGGTGAGTACTGTGTAATGTCGAGAGATATGTGCCCATGCCCATTCTTCCTCAGCTCATTGCAGGCTTCACCCTCCCCATCTTCCAAATCATTGTCCCGAGTTACTCTGAACGATGGTTCGACCTAAAAGGTCGCACGACTGCTACGATGGTCATGAGTTTAGGTGAGGTGCACACTATTGTACAGGGTGTTAGCCAACTAATCTGGGTTTAGCTAATCCTGTTGGTAATGCTCTCGGTCAACTTATACCTCCGCTCGTCGGCAGCCCGCGTACTGGGGTAAGTAGATATGACTTTGATTTCCGTAATTTTGCGCTCACGCCGATTTAGCTCCTTGTGATGGCCATAATCTTTACCGTTGCCGCGCCGATCGTCTTCTTCGTCGGCGAACGACCGCCTATACCACCCAGTCAGTCCCGGCTTCCCAGCCTCCCATTTTGTTCGCTCACACTGCGTCTGTTCAGCATTTGCCGGTTCACATACCTATGCACCGACAATCACTGACCTGGGGAACGCCATGCTCGGCAAGACTCCTAGCGATCGACACCTGTACATGACGCCTCGACAACGCTTGGACTTCGGTGCTATCGTCATCCTTTTCGGCGTCCTTGTCGGAGTGTACGTTGGGTTTCCTCGGGCAGACCCCTTCTGCAACTGACTTTATTGGCAGTGTCAACGCGTTCGGTATCTTGACCGGCCAGCAGCTGGTACGCTCCTTGTTCGTTCGTCATCTTTATCTCCAGAGGCTGATTGTCCATAGGAACCATACGGATACTCGTCTGACGATGCCGGTATCATGGGCGCTGTTCTCCTCCTCGCCGGTCTCCTTGGCGCGGCAATCACCTCCCCCCTCTTCGACCGCGTTCTGACGCACCACCTGGCACTCTCGGCTAAAGTCTGCCTGCCCATCATGGCAGCGTGCTGGCTGTCGCTCATTTGGGAAAGTACGTCGATTCCCGTTCCTTGCCATCCACTTCTGCGGATCCGGCCCCTCTCGCTGGAATGGGATATTTACTGCCTTTGACGCAGTCAAGCCGAACAACACCACTTCGCTCTACATCATCCTCGTCATCCTCGGTGCGACAAGCCTGACGCTCCTGCCCGTGGTGCTCGAGCTCGCAGTAGAGCTGACGCGGAACGCCGAGGGAAGCTCTGCCGTCCTGTGGTTCTCGTACGCGCCTCGCCCCTCCTGCGCTCTCATACTCTGACGCGCGTGGGTTCTTCCAGGGCCAACCTATGCAGCCTCGCCTTCGTCCTCAGTGCGTCTTTTCTCCAAACCTCTTCGCGCCCCCACACTGATTTGCCCGCCCCTTCTTCCCCTGCACCATCCCACACCGCCGCGCGCCCCATCGCCGCCCCATCGCCGTCCGTGCGTCTCCATGCGACCCCCGCCTGCGCAGTCGAGGGTGCGCTGCGCGCCGGCACGGACGCGTCCCCGCCGCAGAACATGCACCGCGCGATCGTCTTCCAGGGCGCGGTCGTCGCCTCCGCCCTCGCGCTCGTCTACCTCGTCGAGGGCAAGCAGACGCGCCGCGCCGCGGACGAGCAGGCGCGCGACGGCGCCGCTGCGGAGCGCGTCGCCGTCACCGTCGCTGTCGTCGACGCGGGCGCGGACGTCGAGAGCGGCGAGGTCTCGCCCGGGACGTCGGACGCCACCGATGTCAAGGTGAAGGCGCAGTAGGCCCGAAGACGGACTGTGGGTTCTGTCGCCGTGGCTATACCCTGGGGTTCCCGTGTGCTAGTGTGCTTTAGCTTTAGGGCACTGAGCCACCGCATGGGCCATCGTGGGTGTGGCAGCGGGGCTCCATGTGGACGTTGGCACAATGCTTCCGGCGAAGGCGGGAGGCGTGAGTTGCGTGCCGCTGGTGCGTTGTTGTACTGATGTCTTGGTGATGTCGCTGTCCTTGTACTGTCTTCTGTTCATAGTGTACTATAGCCGCCACCGAGGTTCTAATGTCATCGACTGTTGCCTCTGTTTCGAACCTTGTTGTCTCCGCGGATGCTTTCACGAAGGGCAGTGCAATAACGTTAGACTCTCTCCACCTGCGCCTCGCCCCCTCTGCCTCGCCCCCCTCCGCTCTCGCCCGCATTCCTCTCGTTCGCGCGAGCACGTTCTAGCCACGCGGGCGCGACGCCGCGTCCCCGCCGTCTTGTCCCCCTCCGATGTGTCCCATCCTCCCCCCTGCTGACCACATTCTCAATACCCAATCTGTGCCGAGGACGTCCACATGGCTCGGAGCTCTCATTACGGGGCCGCGACGAGCCACCCCGCTATGACTTGCTAGTGCCGCTGTGCAGTATATCGTGTACGTACTTTGAAGTGGAACGAAAGCATTTCCATCTGCCTGCACAGTGGTGACTTGCGCATATGCTGGTGGTAGTTCAGACAAGTCTGTATCCTAGCACACAGCTATGTTCGACTTCTACTTGATCAACGAATACATAGTGCTAAACATCACAAGTGCTCGTAAGCAATACACACCCATCCGAGCGCCGGCAGGGGGCATGCCCGTCTGACAACTGAGATGATGAGGCACATCGGCGTGCTTTCGGGGATGACGGCGCCGTATATCTCGAAGACCGAGATGAGGTTCGGAAGTGGATCTATGTACAGAAAGCGACAGAGGCTCACCGGTCTCTCACCGGTTCAAGAACTTGTTGCCGTCCCGGTCGCAGTGGAAGACAGTGCCGGCGTGCTCGGTCATCTCCGTGAACCCGTGGATCACCGCACGCCGGTTGACTTCCGGATCTTCGTTGGGGTTGAGAAGATGGATGAGGAGATCCCTTGACACCCCATCGATTGTCGCAAAGAATACCTCGGCGTCTTCGTTACCCACAGAGGTAGAGCTGCGGCGCCCAAGGTCCACCTCCGGACAACCGTCGCGTGGGGGAGTATTGATGATCCGAGGGATGCCGAGGGCACCATCGCCCACCACAGCGAAGAAGGCGGCGGGGAGCTTCACGAGCACATCGATCAGCACGGGAAGAGCCTTCTGACAAGCGATTCTGTCTTTTGCTGCCTGAGCTCTCTACAAAGTAGGTAGTGAGCGTGCCATAAGGACCGCCGTGTTATTGAGTGCAACAGACTTACTAGGGAGGGCTGAGGTGGAGCAAACATTTCAGTGAAATGGGAGTGACGAGCGAAGCAGAATTCAGTGGATTCGTGTCTTCGACCAGACCCATGACAGCGGCCCTCGCCTCACGATAACCGTCAGGGCCGGAAGGTCGCAATAAACGTGCGCGGTATCTCCAAATCAGTAGCTTCACAGATAATCGGAGAAATGCTTGACCCAGAGACGGCCGTCACCCCAGGTATGGTGAGGTGCGAACCAAGTCAGCTAAATAGCACTTCAGATCATACGACGCTGCATCTCCTGCAAGAACAACCAGCTGCGTAGCGACGTGCCCGTCAAGCTATGCACAAGCAAGACGTTGGGACTCGGCTGTGAAAACGCGTGGTCGAGCGGCTTGCAAGGTCCGGCGTGTCCATGCACCGTAACTGCCTGCCGTCTCCGTGCCTGGCAGAAACAAGGCCAAACTAATCGTGAGCGAGTGATACCAGAAGAAGGATTGAAACTAGTAAAAACACTGGTAACATTCTGCCACTGCCCGTGCAATTTGAAGTTTATCTCATCCGTTGTACGGGAAGACGCACCATCGACGTACGGGCAATGGGTCCCTGGCCAGAGGTCAATAGCATCTATGGATGCAACAGTCGCACGGGGATGACAGAATATACGGGCGTCCAGATATCGGACGGCGAAGCACGCAGGGGTAATACACGACACAGGAAAATGGCATAAGGTAGTGATTATACGGGTCTGAACAACTCCGAGGAGAAGTGGCGCAGAAGGGTAGATGCCCGGGAGTGCAGAAAACAAAAACAACGAACCTCTACTGAGCACCCAGAGCACCGCGTAGTCGTCGAAAGCCAAGGTGGCATGCCCGACGCCCGCCCTAGGAGTATTTAATAGGGTGTTATGTGTTCGTGTCCAGTTGTGTCAGCTCCTGGCCGTCTTCATGAGCTTGCCTCAGGCCAGAGATGCACGGGGCGGGGCGATGGACAGGAGAACGAAGACAAGGACATGGTGGAAGTCGGGATGAAGGCAGGGAGAGTCAGCCATCGACGCTACGGCGTGGGCTCGTCCGCGGCCGGGATCCCTGCCGTGCCGGTCCGATGCCAGCAGAGCCACGCCTTCTTTCCTGCACACACCTCGTTCTTCGTCCATAGAAAACGCTTGACACTATGATCAACCTGGATGGCCCCGACTATGATGAGCGCATCGCGGATGGAGAAGCGCCGCCCCGATGGGTCTCGGATCATCCTGAACTTAAGAACGACGACATGGTCTTCCGGTTTCACAGACGAAAGGTAAGTCTGTGGTCAGCTCTTCGCAGTATACCTTGCTAATAACACCTCCATTTCAGCATCGAGTCTTTCTCTTCGAACACATACATTCAGGGTGCTGTTATTATGTCAAGCTCCCCCGAGACAGCATTGTATCTCGGGAAGCAGATATCTACGAATACTTACAACAAGATCCCGCCTCCTCCAACTACATCCTGCCATGCGTCAAGCTCGTTGGTGAGAAGCCCTTCCTCGTTACTCCAGAGGCCGGCAACTGGGAGTATTGGTCGTATCGAAAGCGACCGTTGAGCCATTATTTGACGGCCCTTTCCCGCATAATCAAGGTACACTACGTTGTGTCATAACTCCCCTGACAGCCGAGCTGATTGCGTAGATTATTGCGTATTTGCACAGCCGTCATGTCGTTCATCTGGTTAGTCTGCGACAAACGCGCACATCAACAACAGTACTTGCTCACACTGATGTCAGGATCTCTCGGATTCCAATATGGTGTGGGCCCCCGAGACGAACACCTTCTTCGGGAAGGAAGTCAAGGCAGAATATCCGTACCCGATAGACTTCGAGTTCTCGCAGCGGTTGGAGTTGGGTCCGGGCGTCCAGCCTGCCATCGAACTTCCGCCCTCGGCCATTAAGAAACCGAGGGGAATCACACATCTCGACCCTTACTCATGGGATGTTTACTGCCTAGGATGGCTCCTCCAATGGACGATTTCAGTACGTACTGCCAGGATGGTGCTTCGATTTGGGTTGTCGTTGACAGAAGTCCCAGTCGAGATACCTTCACCATACTCCACCCTGGTTGTTAAGACGCTACGTGCAATGGATCATCGGCGAAGAGCGCGGGTGCGCAGGCGTTTGTCGTTGTCGCCCGACCGCGAGACAAGCGCACCAAGTGCTGACGCTCATGCGTATATGCGTTGGAGTTTACGAATCCGTCGGTTCATTCTGGACCTCCTTCGGCGGAGTATGGGGTCGGCTGTTCTATCGACGGTGGTGGTCGCTGAATGCCAAGGTGTAGTCACCCGTGGCTAAGATACCCTGTGCTCATCGCGGGCTTGATTTCGTACCTGCTTCACTTTGTCATAAGTATTGATGGTTCGAAACGCCATGTGAAACGTAGAAATAGATTCCAGCCGTCGACGTCATGACGAAAAGATGTGAAAGTATATGCCAATTGTACATTCGTCCGGGAGTTGTACCATACAGCGCCTTTCCACGAGTCCCGCCAGCTCTCCTCATTATCACTGCGGGCTGGTAACCAGAATCCGCTATTAGAGTAGAGAGGATGGAAGGTCTTCGGGGAACCGGGGACGAGACACGGGTATGCCGCCGTCCCGATGTCTGGGCTCTGGTGAGGGTGCGAGGGCGAGTGCGAGTGTCCCGGGGAGGGTGGCCGAAGTGGATGCTGCTTAGAACACCAAGCATTTGGACGAGCTCATAGAGCTCTTGCAAGCCCTGCATGCGGCCGTCTCCCGCGCGCGCGGCGGACGTGACCGCGAAAAGGAAGACCTGGTGTCGGGGGAGCTGAATGGAAGAGATGTGTTTCCTGGCGTCCATAATCGTCGGCGACGAGGTCACATTAATATATGTACTTATGTACTTCAAGGTGCTGGCAGGGCCAGTATGTTCCAATATGGCGAGAGAGAGAAGACGTTCCAACCACAGCCGGGGAACGCCTGAGCAACACCTAATCATCAGACCTGTACTCATCCAGCCCCTCTACTACCAAGCTCTCGGCCAGGAGCCACGTCATGGCATCTGTGTCCATGGGAATAACGCCATTGCAGTCGTCGTACTTGATCCAGAACTCGGTCGGACGGCCCGAGGTCTGAGTGAACGACTGCAGCTTCCAGACGCCACCGGCAGTTTCGTCATGACATTCGAACCGCATGTCGATCAAAGGCGACGGCCGCTTGACGAGATCCTTGACCTCTTTGGATGTGAGCGGAGACGGTGGGTGCATGGCGACCGGCTGAGGGGGAGAACTCGACGGTGGAGTACAGCTGAGCATGCGTTGTGGGCTGGGCGGGGTCTGTGGAGGAAGGTGTGGCGCGGCACGTTCGTCTGGTGGCGGGGGCCAGTCGCCGGACAGGATCCGTTCGCGGTTTGCTCGAACCCATTCAGTCGAGCTGCGATGTGTCAACAGTACGCAGTACCTCGTCAGGCAGGAGACACTTACATTCTATGCCCTCGCGTCGTTATCTTGGCGACTACTCCATCGAAACGACAGTAGGGAATGACGAGCTTGAACTCAAGAAAAACCATGATCGCGGACATGGCGATGTGCCAGCGGAGCACACGGCTGGACGTGCGTCAACGACGAACATACGGAATCAACGAGTTTGATAGTGAAATGTACACACTCTGCAGTGGTCATGGCCGCTCCTTTGGCCGTCAGCCTCGCGATATCGGCGTCGACGAGGGCAAGGTACCTGTCCGGGTCTCCGTCTGGCCCCCCCACGAGCTGGACTGGGCCCAAGTCGGGTTCAGCTCGGGTTGCGTAGAGCTCGTCCCTCGCCTGCTGTCTCCCGATAGGATCCTTTTTGTTGACTAGGCCGTCCTCGTTGTAAATCTTGGAGTACGACACATATTTCTGCGAGAGAGCTTCACACTCCTCCTCGGAGGGAGGGAACGCAGCAGGAGTCTGATCGTAGACCATGTCAAGAATGATCGTCAGTGGCCCAGGCCCAGGCCCAACGCGGAACGCGGGGGTGTGCGCCGATGGGCGTCTGCGCAGGGGTCCTCCTCCTCCTCCGAACGTCATGCTCCAGGTCCAGAAGGTCTCCTTCGCCAGTCCACCAGTACCCTGGCCGGTCGCCAGCAGAAGCAGCGCGGGCTCGTTACACCCCCGGAGCCTTACAATTCCATTGCCATCGGTGGCGGTGAGCAGCGTTTGTTTTTGGGCTCATTGGACGCAACCAACGCGAACGCCGTGCAGCTTGGTTTCCGGGTGCGTCATTTGTATCTGCATGGCCTGCCTTGTTCAACATCTCCGTAGACGGCCTGCATTGCGAAGCGCGGCGCCTTCAGTAGAACGTGCCTCAACGCGGGCTGCATTCCCTCAAAAGTGATACTCAACGGTTCGCGCATGTGCCACCGGGCCCAGCACACATGAAGCGGTTCGGAATTACAGTGAGTGTCGTTTGGCGCGGCTTTTGCATATCCCCCTCCCAATGATTCGCCATGATATCCTGTCAAGTTCCCGAGGTCGACCTCTTTCTTTCTTTCATGCTCATGCGAGCGGTCACTGGCTTAGTGAAGGGTACCAAGACCCTTTCCAAGCAAAACAAGGTCGACTACATCAAGGGTGCCGGCTCGTTCGTCTCCACCACGAAGATCGCCGCCACGCTCAACGAGGGGGCGAGGGCAAGAACATCATCATTGCCACTAATTCCAAGGTCGCACCTTCCCCCGGCAGCGTCATCACCATCGACGAGAAGCAGATTGTCTCTTTTGCTGGCGTGCTCTCCTCAAGGACGTCCCCAGGAAGACAGTCGTCATTGGCGGTGGTATCATTGGTCTGGGGAGCGTCTGGGTGCGCAGATCACTGGTGTCGAGTTCCTTGGTGGTATCAACGGTGCGGGTATCGACGAGGAGATTGCGTACGTCTCTCTTACTCTGACCCTTTTACTCGTGCTCACTTCTAGCACAAGGTCCCAAGTTCATGTTGAACAGATTCTGTCCGCTGAGAAGCGCGAAGGGTAGCAGGGAGGAAGAGGTACGTCGCCAATATTCTGTCTTGCGCGTTCGCAGTGCACATCCTCCCCTCCTTCGCAGCGGACGTCGTCCTTGTCACCGTCGGTTGCCGCCCGTACACCGATGGTCCTAATCTCGTCGCCGGCGGTGTCGAGGTCGACAGGAAGGGTCGCGTCGTGATCGATGGCCAGTTCAGCACCTCCGTCAAGGGCATCCGCTGCATTGGTGACGTCACCTTTGGGCCCATGCTCGTGCGCGAGGCCGAGGAGGGCATCGCCGCCATCGAGCACCTCTCCAAGGGCCATGGGCACGCCAATTACGACGCGGTCGTGTGGGTGGGCAAGACCGAGAAGGAGCTCAAGGCGGACGGCGTCAAGTACTACAAGGCCGGCAAGTTCCCCTTCGCCGGGAACCCACGTGTGAAGACGAACCGAAAGCATCGTCAAGTTCGTCACCAAGGCGGGGACGGGCTGGATTCTGGATGTTCGTGTCATTAGCCCCAACGCGGACGAGATGATTGTGGAGGGCGCGCTCGCGCCCCAGTACGGTGCGAGTGCGGAGGACGTCGCGCGGACGACGCACGCTCACGTGAGTCCAGTTATTCTTCTGTTTTCTTGCGGTACGGTGCGGGACGGGACGAGGCTTACTGCCGATATGTTGTCCTGCAGCCCACGTCCTCGGTGGCCTTCATGAGGCGGCGATGGCGACAGGCGCCCACTTCTGATTAGAGTCGTCCTTCATCGGTGTTAGGATCGCGAATCTACGCTATTCAAATACTATTCACCAGACGTGTCTGCACGCTCAAGCAGCGTCTCGCCTGTCCCAGTTCCTTGCTCGAAGTACTCTACCCTTCCAGTCCCACCGTCGACACTGATCCGCCGCCACGACGCCTCGTAATATCAGTGATCAGAGCACAACTGGTCGTGCCCTTCATAATCCCATTCACCGTATGCTCGGGATTTCACGAAGCCGCGTCGTTCGTCTGGACTTTGCTATGAGGGACGGGTCGCGAGAAAATCTTGTTGTACCCCGCGGAGCGCCATGCCTTCAAGTTGTCACGTAGAACTAGTGTGTACGGCGTCAGGTGGCAGGTTGTGGTTGCGTACGAGGGACGCCGTGGTGTTCGATCATGGTGTGGGGGCGGCAGGGCGGCGGCCGATCACGCCGAGCACTGAAGGTAATTATGTCAATCTCCCCCGAAGCAGTGACATGCTTGTGGTCGGCGAGGTAGACATGCAAGCGACGCGCCCATTCGAGCAGTGTGTGCAGGGACCGCCGCTAGTACGTGTTTCACACTGAAACCCACGGTTGAAGGGCGAGTTGAATAGGCTTGGCTCGCAACGAAAAATAATATTGCAGTCCGATTGGCACAGGAATCAATCTCCGAGCATGACAGAAGGCCAAGGCCCACTGACAGCTCGGACACGTGGAAGAGAACAGGGCGGCGATGCTGTACACACAAGGCGTGACTGGCTCATTAGTCGGAGGGGTAGACGATCTTCTCGTTAGGGACACCTGAATGTCGATCTCATTGAGCAAACCATATGAACGACGAAAGCAACGACACCCACCCGGAAGCGACCTGATACGCCGCCAATACCGCTGCACTATATCGATGTACCACATCGGATCCTCGTCACCCATCTCAAGCACTTCCCGCAGTTTGAGGGTGTACTCCGGTGGGATCACGTCCTGGTAGTTGGACCCGATCTGTATCCCCCGTATCGCACTGCCATTCTTGTCGACCAGGAGTACATAAAGTTCGAGGCAGTCCACGTATTTGCTCGGCAGCTCGATAAGATCCACCAGGGCCGTGAGGAGCTTCCCGTCTTGGAGCGTGAAATTGAAACTGCCGATCTTCGTCTTCGGACTGGGGTTCCCGGGGAATTCGAAATAACCGTAGTACTCTGGCGGAAGCGTTGGTTTGTCGGAAGGCCGGTCGACCAATGTAATGGACTTCGGGAACCTCTCTGACATGATGCGCTTCAGGTGGTCGTTGTCGATGATCCAGGCGTATCGGAACAATGGAGGTCTGTACAAAGCGATGTTTTGAGGAGAGCGAAGGAGCGGAATGAATTCGCTGTCTTTCAGCGGTTGCATGGCATAGATATGTTCATCCTCCTAAGCAAGTCGATGTGACTGGATGCAAACACTGAAAAACAGTAGTACGCACCTCTTCCGTACCCTCGTACGCAAGGCCGTCCGCCGGGGCGAAGGGGATATGGGGTTGTATGAAGAGAGGCGAAAAATATTTGTTCGACATTTGGCCTTGTACTCGGAGCCGCCGTCACATTAATGAGAGCCCAGTGGCGGCTCTCGGCGGCCCGGCTCGCGTGGCCCGACTGCAGTCTGCCGCACTGGGCTCGTCGCCCTCGGGCTTCTGACTTGTCTCCTCTGGTCGCTCACAACCTCTCGCTGCACTTCCATCTACCCGGCTCAGGTCAAGCCGACTCTAGTGGCGTCGTCACCCCCACTCGCCTCCATCTCCAACCGCTGCCGATGTGGCCTCGCTAAAGTCCACGGATGCGCCGAGTCTTTCGGCCACATTCGCCACTAACACGCCCGCTGTGAAGGATTCAGCCCTGGGTCCCGAGGAGTCTTCGGTGCTGAATTTTTCTGTATACGAGAACAGGCTGCGGTCCTGCGTCGTCGCGTCCAACACCTCCAACCCCGGATCTTCAAGATTGACGCACGTTCTGGTAGGAGGAGCTTCTCACCATCGAGGACGAGTGTGTCTACAGTGAAAAGCAGATAGCCGCTATGCTCAAGATGTTGGAGGACGGGCACAGGCATTGCGTAGGGCGTGAGTGTTGTTCGGGGTGGCAGGTGCGTTGCGGTATGCATTCGATTTGCTGCCCAATCCGACAGGAGCTTAGGCTTCACCAGGCTGGTACATGATCCTCTTGTCGAAGCAATCCGTTGTTGCATTCATAGGTGGACGCTCGGTCTACCAGTTCAAAAGCACCCGCGTCCTCCCCATCGCGTTCAAGCACTGCGTAGAGAAGCCGGGAGCAACGTCTGAGCATCTTCGAGCAGGTAGACGTGTCGAGAATTTTCTACTTCAGGCCCCCCACCAGTTCGCTGTGCCTTTCTGTTGTAGACACTGAGCTCATACACGCGGCTTTGGCACGTTCAGTTACGCGTATGATCTCACTTCGACGCTTCAACGTAACCGAAGTGTAGCAGTTGGACTGCGGTCCCGACCCTGCGCGTTGACGGTCCATCAATAACCGTTTTGTGTGTACCCACTGCAGTGTCGCGCGCGACCAGACTCCATTGTCGAATAGATCGCGTTGGCTGGTGCCGCTCAGCCATGGACATGTCTGTCAAGCTAGTGAGCGGGTCAGACGCACTCTTTGCTGGAAGCCGATCGAACGGTGTGCAGAACCAACCGTGTTTGGACGCGTCGTGTGCGACTCTCATTGTGCGACGGTCTCGACACCATGCGGGTGCCCGATACCTCTAACGACGAGGTGCGTGTTGCGAATACAGCCGCCCAGTGATGAGTGGGCAAGGAAATGTCGCCAAGGAAGTGAAGACTGGTTCTAGCTACATTATTAGATGCCAGAGCGAGGAGACATAATACAGCACCGGCGTGACAGCGACTACATCATTAGTCGGAGGGGTAAACGATCTTCTTGTTAGGGAGACCTGAATGTCGATCTCATTGAATAAAAGATATGAACGACGAAAGCAAAGACACCCACCTGGAAGCGACCTGATACGCCGCCAATACCGCTGCGTTATATCGATGTACCACATCGGGTCCTCGTCGCCCACCTCAAGCAGTTCCCGCAGTTTGAGGGCGTATTCCGGTGGGATCACGTCCTGGTAGTTGGACCCTATCTGCATCCCCTGTATCGCACTTCCATTCTTGTCGACTAGGAGTACGTATTCGAGGTGATCCACATAGTCACTAGGCAGCTTGGTGGATTCAACCAAGCCCTCGATGAGCCCGCCGTCTTGGAGTGTAAGAGTGAAACTGCCGATCTTTGTCTTCGGACTCGGGTTCTCGCTGAATTCGAAGTAATTGTAGTACTCTGGCGGAAGAGTGGGTTTGTCCTGGGAAGGACGGTCGACCAATGTAATAAACTTTGGGAACTTCTCTGACATGGTGCGCTTCAGATGGTCGTCGTCTATGATCCAGGCGTATCGAAACATCGGGGGTCTGTACATGACGTCGGTACTAGGATGGCGGAGGATCGGATTGAATTCGCTGTCCTTCAACGGTTGCATGGCATAGATATGTTCATCCTCCTATTCAAATCAATGTGAGTAAGTGCACAACACCGAAAGACGGTAGTACGCACCTCTTCCGTACCCTTGTACGCAAGGCCGTCCGCCGGGGCGAAGGGGATATGGGGTTGCATGAAGAGAGGTGAGAACGATCTGTTCGACATTTGTGATACAATCCAAATGCGAAGCTATAGGCACGACTCAAGCGGATGCTGGGCAAGGGATGGTAAGCTGCATCGCTTCGGTGCGCCTTCCTGTATACGTGGCAGCTGGTGTTACCACGTGGTGACAATGAGCCTGGTCTGCAGGCTCCGAATCTGCCGTTTAGAATACTGCTCATCGCTCGGTCCTCAGGCCTCAGCCTTATATTACCTGGTATCACTAGTTTGACTGAGGCGAGGACAACGCTTGTGCGAATAGACATCAGTCGCCGTGTGCTTTAGCAATGTGAAAGTACATGATTGTGCACCTGTACTATAGAGCGTCTTTCCACCAGTCCTGCTAGCTTTCCTCATTATATATAGCACCGTACGGGCTGGTCCCCAATTAGTATTCGCCAGCCTCATCCGCATGCCACAGCAAGCACGCACCTCGCTCCGTCCTATGGCCGCGCATCCCCAGGAACGGCAGATAAACGTGCCTCGGTCCTTCGGCGCAAAACGTCAGCGGAGACGAGCGGCTGAGTTTGAGCCGCATGACACGCCCTACGCCGGCCTGCTTCTTTTGCACCCCTGCTCTGTCCTCGGGCGTCCCGTGTTCCAGACGAATCCTTGCGCTCTCACCGCGTCGACGCACGCATGGTGTTTTTGGCGGCCAAGCCTTCCGAGCACGAACGTGCGAAGCAAGCCACCTGCGCCGTCTCTTCCCCACTTCGGTTTAAAAGCGAGGGGCGGGATGTCTGATCGGCGTCCAACCCCTAGTCAGTCGCGACCAACGCCTTTGTTCCACGTGTCGCGCACTTCGCAAACGATCTCCAAACATCCAAGAACAGGACCTCATGCAGTACTGGACGAGCTTCCTCCGCGGCGCGGCACTCGCAGTGCTGATCTCGACCGCGGCGGCGCAGACCAAGGTCGTGCTGACCAACGATGACGGGTGGGCGGTCGCGCAGGTCCGCGCGCAGTTTGACTCCCTCACCTCGGCGGGTTTCAACGTGAGTGAGAGCCAGCGCTCTAACCGACGTCACTGACTCTCAC